TGAATGGTGATAAAAACATCCCCGCCGGGCCTGCCGTGGGGGTACAACAAATGATGAGCCAATAACAACACAACCGTACGTCTAATCAGTCGGGGTCCAGAGCAAAGGCTGCTCTCCGTTCTGCCTCGCGAGCTCGGCTTCCCAACCTCCCTCCGGGACGGTCTCGACGGGTTGCACCCGGGCACCAGAGACGTTCATCCGCCCGTTGTTCCTACCCTTGAACCAAGCAGGGGCAGGGACCCTCTGATTGGGACAGTTGACGGCTACATGGCCGTGTTGGAAACACCGGTAGCAGGGGTCGTTCCGCCTCATCCTGCCCGCGTCGAGTTCCATGGGGGCAGCGGTGGAAGCGTTGGCGGCGGGGGTAGGAGTCGCAACGGTAGTATTGACCACAACGGGGTTGCGGGGAGCGGAGTGGTTGCTCGCTTGTCGGTTACCGCCCGAGTGGTAGCGGTTTCCCGAGGACGCATGCCTTCTGGCATCCGCCTGATCTTCGTACCGGCGGCATTCCATTTGGAATTCCGCCAAGGTCATTGTTTCTTGGCCCGGCATAGGGACGATGGCGTCTTTGAACGCTTGGTTCAGGTTGGCCCTGAACAGCATCCGGCGAGAGTATTCGCAGACGTTGGGGAGGAGGGCCAAGAGGTCGTTGTACTCGGTGATGTACGTCGCGAGGCTCTTGGTGCCTTGCCTCAAGTGAACTAATTCGGCCTCAGTTGCCGCGATGTTTCGTCCTCCACCATAAGTGGAGATGAGCAGTTGCTCGAACTGCTCCCAGGTAGCCGGCACTCGACCCGTGGAGTACTCCCGGGCCCAATCGGCGGCTTGTCCTTCCATGTACGACTCCGCGTACATCATCTTCAGGCGGTCGGTAACGTAGACGCCCGGTTTGACCTCGAATTCCCGGTTGCATTGGTCCAGGAACCCTCGGACCTTCTCCTTCTTGCTGCCATCGAACTTGTCCGGCGTTCCGAACTTAAACAGTTTGGCCCGGGCCTCGTCCGACGACGACCGCGACTCCCTTGCCCTCGCCAACTCCAGCACCTGGACTTGCATGTTGGCCATCAATTGAAAAAGGGCATTCAAGTCCGGCGCGGCGGCAACGGGAGCTGGGGTGGCTGCGGGATTGCTCGCAGGAGAGGTTGGTACCACTTGTGGGGGGACCGTTCCCATGTTGTTGGCCGGCGTGGCCTGCGTTTGAGGTTGCTGGTTGGCAAACACCCGCAATTCGCTTGCGGTGGTCTCCGTTCCGGAGTCCGTCGTTCGCAACCACAAAAACCTTCCCTCCCCATCCACCTGCTGGCTTTGTCCATCCTCGGACAGCACAGGCGAGATCCCTGGCGGGATTCCTTGGGGGGTCCCATCGGGGCGAAAACACTGGGTGAAGGAAGTGTTCATCGCGTAGGGGTTTCTAGTCGGGGTGAAGTTTGTAGATCCGTTATTCTATTAGGCTTGCCTGCAAGCCTGAGATAGTATCACACGGGACTAGAAGGTAAGGGTAAGGTAATGAATGTAATAACGGATGTAGTACAACTAGTACTACATTACAGTAAACACATAGGGGGTGTTCTAGATATACTCCGTACGGGAACTCCCCTCGGAGGTCCCTGTAAAACTACCCGACGCGGGTGTGCGATACGCGTACCGCGGATGCTATAACAGGAGCGGATCCGGTTAAAAACCTCCTTGATGAGCCGAATATGTTCCTCCCTCGTTTCCGTGTACACCAGAATGTCGTCGATGTACACAGTAACACCTTGGTCCAGTAGGGGATTGAACACATCGTTCATGAAGAATTGGAAACTGGCTCCTGCGTTGGTCATGCCTTCTCGCATGACTCGAGACTTGAATGACCCATAGCGAGTTAGGATTGTGGTCCAATCCTCGTCTTCTTCCCGCATTCGAAGTAACTGATATGAAGTTGGCATATCGAATTTGGAGAAGAAGCGAGCTCTGCTAACTCGTTCTAAGGTGGTATTGATCTTCGGAAGCGGATACGCGTTCTTCTTTGTAGCATTATTCAATGCTCGGAAGTCGGTAACCATCCTGAATTCTCCAGGAGTCTTCTTTGGTACGAGGAAGACCGGGGAACCGAACCAATGCGAACTCGGTTCAATGTGCCCAATCCGCCTCGATTCGTCTATCCAATTCTTGAGCCACTTGTCCGCCGCAGCAGAAAGCGGGTAAGGCTTGAGTCGTTTCAACTCCACGTTTGGTAGCAGTTCCACAACGTGATCGTACGACCTGTGGGGAGGAAGGCTGGTGTAGTCGCTCTTCCTGAATACGTCTAAGTAGTCATGAAACTCAATTGGGATCATTTGACGCATCTCTTCCGATGCGATGTCGTAATCCTCTTCGTCGTCATGTTCCAGACCCAATTCCCGTAGCGCTCGAGAATCGACATCTGTGTCGACAACTTCCGGGTCTTGTCTTCGGAGGAACCGGTTTCGCTCCAAATATTCCAGATTCGTTCCCTTGAGAGGCGAATCCGGCTTGATCAAACTGATCTCGCAAGTGTCCCAATCCGTGATGGTACGAAGACCCTTAACGAATGGGACTCCTAGGATAATATCCGGGGCCGCAATTTCCGCAATGTCGAAGTCGAGGGAGTAAGGACCGATGTGTCCTCCGACATAGAAGATCAGATTCACGTAATGGGTGATCTCTCCTCGCTGATTCGGGTTAGGTTGGTTGTCAACCAACCGGAGTCGCTTCGGCTGATCATAAGGGATCGCCTCGACATGCTGGAGTACCTCCGCAGAGGGTCGAATGAAATTACAGCTGGCTCCACTGTCGATCAGGGCGTCTGTCGTGTAAGAAGATGCTCCTGCATGGAAGTCCACCGTAATAAGAGGATCTTGCCCCTGGAAGCGAAATTTGACCCATTCGGTTCGATTCGCTTTGTTCGCCCAGGTGGGAGCCGGAACTCCTTCGATTGTGGCATTTCTAGCTCGCTCGACATTAGGAGTACCCCCTCCATTTCTGCCAGCAAGAACAGGACAGGCTGAAGCGTAGTGTCCGGCCTTCCCGCAGTAAGTGCAAAGGTCGAGGTCGCGGCGCCTCTTCCTTTCTTCATCGGTAATAGGACCCTTTTGGTAAGGAGTCGCACCTCTGGGTTTGACGACCTCCTTTTCATAGGTTTTGGTCCGTTCGGTGACAACTCGCTCGGATCGAACCGGATTCGGTTCCTTCCTGCTATCCTTGCGAGCGTTCCGCTTCTCGTCTTCTCGGTTGAGAACTCCATCATCGTGAAGCCTATTGTCCGCGTCGACAGCCTCATTCCTGAACTCGTTGAAGTCTGCAAACTCCATCCTCTTGTTCAGGATACCGAGACGTTCCACCACCTTGGCCTTCAGTCCTTTCTTTGCTGCAGCGATAAGAGCTTCATCGTTAAAGCCACACAAGGGACTGTACTGGGTGAATTCGGAGAAGTAAGACGAAGCGGATCCGGTTTGAACCAGCTTGTCTAAAGCGGCTTGGGCTGCAGCTTTCTCGTTGGAGCCCCCGAAGTTATGCTTCAAGAACCTCTTGAAGGCATCGTAGTCGTGTAGGAAAAGGGGTTGGTCCGCTTCATCCAACTGGAGATAAGACGAAACCGTTTTAAAGGCTCGCCCTCCAAGAAATCCGATAGCGAAATCGATCTTGGATCCTCCAGTGGGGTAGCGTCCAGGTAATTGTCGGAAGACCATGTTGAGTTTAACGATGAATTCGTCTAACTCCTTGGCGTCTCCCTTGAACGTGGGTGGATCAGCCGGTTTCGGTTCCTTGGTCCGTTTGGCAAGCAAATCCGCTTCGTTCTCCCGAAGGGGAACGTCCCTCATAGGAGTATAGGGATCCCTGGACCGAGCTACCGAAGGTCGGTGAAGTTCTCTAGGGTCGATAGTAGTTCCCGCTAGAGATGGAGGGTTGGATGGGTAGATGTTGAACTGCCTTCGAGGAAGGGGAGCCGGAATTTCTTCTCGTGTAGCGAGTTCGTCTCTTTGTTTCCTGATCGTCTGCATGAGTTCCAGGATTTGTTCTTCGAGGCGACCAATACGTTCAGAGTCCGTTTCCCTAGGAGCCGGATTCGTTTCTATTGAGCCGGTCCTGGCTCGAGAGAACCGCTGTTCTTCCTCTGGGGGCAGGTCGTGGTTTTCGGAATAGACTGACATTGTCCTAACCAGGTGCGATAAAGAAGTTCCGATATGCTGTTACGGCGGAGGTCGCTAATCGAGCTAGGTCCTAAGTCGTAAGGCGTAGGGTGCTTATAGGTGAATCGCAGGTAGTTGGGAGAATGTCGCAAGTCCGCTTAGATGAAGCGGGTTCGGGTGCGGGATACGAATCCAGAGATGTATGGATAAGGAAGGTGATCACTCGGTGTGAGGTACCGGATTCGGTCTAAGGTAAAACGATGAAGCGTAGATACTTAGCGACGTCCTTGAGTTGTAACCTCTCCGCAACACGTCTTGAAGATGTTGTAACAAGTCAGGTAGGCGTGTATTGAATGTGATATCGGAACTTGACCTCTAACTATTACAGAGCGTCCTCTAACGAATTCGGTCAAGTTCCTCTAGCTATTCATACGGAGACGAGTACGGAGACGAGGCTGGCGAACACTGAAAAGACCCAAGAGAAAAGAATGGCGAGAGATGGCGAAAACTGGAAGAACGAGATGGCGAACAGACGAATCCTGTCGAGAGCAGCCGGATTCGGTAGAGGAGGCGAGTTTGAGTTCTCATTTGTCCCTAGGTACGTCGAGTAAGGTTGTCGAGGTCCTGAGTAGAGTGTCGTGTACCTCGAGGTCCCTGTACCTGTTTGTGATATGTGTCGGGAAGGTTTGTTGTTTCGGTGAATGGTGAAGGCGAATGGTAGGGGCGACCGAATCTGCTCCGAGGGAATCGGATTCGCCTCGTCGAGCCGGACTTAGGTGTATGCTGATGTCCGTAGATCGAGCCTGTGTGTCGGTAGTCGACTCACGTGATGATCCCGTAACAGCGTACATCACCCTTGGCTGGTGGCTCATGGCTCGAATGGAGGAGTGTTTGCAGCTCAAGGAGATGGACTTCATCGAGCACGGTCAGGACCCCAACTATCCCGGCCAGGACATGGCTATTATGGTCCTGACGTTCCGGAAGACGAACCAGATGGATCCGTTCGATAGTGAGTGAAGTTACGGCCATGTTCACTCAAGCCGAAAGATCACTTTACAGCTTTACTGATACCTAAACGGCTGCTTCGGGGCTCTATTTGACACTAGGTAATCGCTACCAGATGCACGAGCCGATGGACGAGAACGAGAAGCCAGTTTGGGCCCTCCCCCGACTACTCCGCTGGCGTCAGTTCGTCACCGAGAAGACCCACATCCCCCACGCAGGCTCGCACATGCTACTACCCGCCATCTCGTCGGGAGGGAAGATAGACCTCGAACAGGCTATGCCACAGAGGTCCTGGATGGCTATCTTCGATCGACTATGCCAGGATTCGGGCCTGAACGACAAACACCCGAACTCTACTGTTAGGCGTCGAGAAGGCTCCAGGGAAGACCGGCTCGATGTATACCTGCGAGGACATATCCGGGAGTAATGTAGAACGTAGGACTAGGGTATATAGATGTAATAACAGATGAAAGACTATATACTACAATGCTGATACAAAGTGGTACAATACGATATGCTCCTTGAACAACTCCGCCGGAGTTGGTACGACTCGAGTCCGGCGTACGCGCGCGTCGCTATAACAGGATCCCCCCGTTACGGGCGAGCTCCGAACGCCCTAGGCATCGCCGTACTCCTCGAAAGCAGGTTTCGGCTTGTTTGGGTATCGTCGATGATAATCCAGCACCGCTTGGTCGTCATGGTGGAAGTCTTCCGGATGTACCCACTCGTTATACTCATCCTCGTAACCTTCCCACCGCACCAGATATTGGGTACGCGTCTGACGTCCCCGCTTTCTGCTCCGCGAATCTACGATCTCAGATACTACCCACTGGGTGTCACCGTTATCCACCACCTCTGGGGGAGGAGGCGGGACCTGTTCCCGCGATGGCAGCTCGTTCCGCTTGTACGGAATCAGCATCGAGACATGGAACACGGGGTGTACCCGCCGCAGTTGCTCGGGAAGCTCCAACCTTCGCGCCATCTTCGCATCTCCCACGACCTCGGTGATCTTGAAAGGTCCGAGGGTCTTGTAGTCCAACTTCTTGTTTGGACGAACCGTCTTGATGTGGTCCGTAGACAACATCACTTGATCCCCGACCTCCATTCCTTCGTCGGGAACGGGTCGCCTCTTTCTGTTGGCGTATTTCGCCATATCTACCCTTGCTTGCTCCAACGCCCGGAGTACCGACTCGTGGATGTTCGAGAGTCGCTCCCTGAACTCATCCGCGCTTTCATTGGGCACTTCGGCCATCCGGATGGTGAACTTGTGGTCAGTCCCCTCGGAGGCCATGAAAGGCGACATCCCTATGGCGGAATGCTTGGAGTTGTTGTAGGCGAACTCCGCCAGAGGCAACAACTCCGCCCAATCATCCTGCTGGAAGTTCACGTAACTCCGCAGGTACTGTTCCAACGTCGAGTTGCTCCTCTCCGTTTGTCCGTCAGTCTCCGGGTGGTATGCCGTCGAGAACCTCCTCTCGACACCCGCAAAAGCACACACATCCCGCCAGAAGCTAGACATGAACAATGTTCCTCTGTCCGAGATGATCTGATCAGGGAACCCGTGCAACTTGACGTAGTGGGAGAAGAATAACTTCGCCAGGTACGAGGCGTTGTTATCCTTCCGACACGGGATGAAGTGTGCCCGCTTACTGAAGCGGTCGACGATTACCAGGATTGCATCCTGGCCCAATGACTCGGGGAGGTCCGTGATGTGGTCCCAAGTGATAGACGACCACGGCTTCCTCGCCGCAGGTAGAGGGGCCAATTCTCCGATCGGCTTTTGTCGGGGACGGCGGTTCTTCTGGCACGTCAAGCACGAGGCCACGTAGTTGCCTACCCAGTCTCTCATTCGGGGCCAATAAAAGTCTCTCGAGAGGAGGTCCTCCGTTTTGTCTCGCCCGTAGTGCCCCGCGAGCTTGCCGTCGTGAACGTACTTCATCAGTCGGACCCTTACCGACTCCACATCAGGGACGTACAGGAGTCCCTTATAGATTAGGAACCCCTCGCCATCCTTCTTGTAGGGACCCTGCTCGTTGGGCTCCCTCTCCATCTTCTCCAAGATGGCCTTGACTACTTCGTCCGCCTCGTAACCTTGCAACAGGTCTCTCCGGAGGTCCTCGCCGGGAATTGGCAGGGTACCGTTGATCTGTAAATGCGGAGGAATCTCCCGCGCTGTAGCCGAGAGATTCATGGGCCGTAGCATCGTCTCGGTCTGTCTTGGTTCGCTCTCTTCTAGGAGCTCCTCTTTCCGACTCAAGGCGTCGGCCTTACCGTTCATTACCCCCGGCTTGTACTCCAGGGTGTAGCTCAGACTGTTCAACAGCTGAGACCATCTTGCTTGTCGCCTTGACAGTAACTTCTCCGTTCGGAAGTACTCGAGGTTCTTGTGATCGGTAAAGATCCGAATAGGGTGAGGTCCCTCCAGGTAGTGTCGCCATATCTTGCAGGCGTAGACGATGGCCAGCATCTCTCTGTCGTGAACGTCGTAGTTCCGCTCTGCGGGAGTTAACGACTTTGACATGAACGCTACTGGTCGGAGTTTTCCGTCCGAACCTCTCTGCGACATCACTGCTCCAATCGCTCCGGCCGAGGCATCCGTTTCCAACGTTACCTCTGCATCTTCCTGGAAATGCGCCAGTATAGGCGCCTGCGTGAACGCCTTCTTCAGCGTTACGAACGCAGTCTCTGCGGATTCGTTCCATTGAAACCGCACTCCTTTCTTCAGGAGCTTTGTCATCCCCTGTATCTTCTGGGAGTAGTTCGTGATGAACCTCCGATAGTAGTTGGCGAAACCTAGGAACGACTGTAGTCCCTTCAGGTTTCGAGGCGCCGCCCATTGTTCTATGGACGACACCTTGGAGGGGTTCATCTTTACCCCTCCCGGAGACACGTCGTATCCAAGGAACTCCGTGTCTGTTGTGTGGAACTCACACTTCTCTGCTTTGGCGTACAGCCCATTTTCTTGTAGCCTTCGCAGCACCTCCTTCACGTGTCTCTCGTGCGTAGTCTCGTCGGGAGAGAACACAAGGATGTCGTCCAGGTACACTACGACGGACTCGTCCAGAAGGTCCCTGAACACATGGTTCATCCACCTTTGGAACGTCGCCGGAGCGTTCGTCAACCCGAACGGCATCACCAGACACTCAAACAGTCCGTATCTAGTACGGAAAGCTGTCTTCCATTCGTCCCCTTCCTTTACTCGTAACAAGTTGTACGCTCCTCGGAGGTCCAACTTGGTATAGACCTTCGCTGTCGTTAACTTATCGAGCGTCTCGGAAATCAGCGGTAACGGGGTCCGATCCTTTGTGGTAATGGCGTTCAAACGCCGGTAGTCAATACAGAGCCTGAGCTCTCCTCCCTTCTTCGGGACAAACAATACGGGACTTGCGGCGGGTGACGTCGAAGCCCTGATAAAACCTTTATCAAGGTTCTCCTTGATCCAGCGCTTCAATTCGGCGCTCTCCTTTTCGGAGTGGTTGTAGAGTTTTCCGAAGGGGGGTACTTTCCCTTCCTCTACGTCGATCGAGTGATCGAAGTCTCTATGCGCCGGCAACTCGTCGGCCTTGGTCTTGGAGAACGCTCCGAGGAAAGCGTGATACTTCTCCGGTACCACCTTCCGTAACGTCTCCATATATTCGGGAGGGTCCAGGTCTCCCGGGAAACTCTCCGCTGGCTTGTCGTCCCAATCCCATAAGTCGGGACGCCTCACCCTCTCTTCTTCTTCATCATTGGCCTTGAGGTAGGCCACTACTAGTTCTTCGGTGACCCCTCCTTTGATTCGGTCCGTCGAACGTAACTCCTTCTCCTCCGATTCGTAATCCACGGGGGAGTATACTATTTCTTTTGCTGGTGTACATCCGTTCTGGACGCACTTATCTTCGAACGCTACTGCGCTCATTTCCCAGTCAATTCGGGGGTTGTGCTCCTTCAACCATGGTAGGCCGAGCACCGTTGTGAAAGTTCCGAGGCTACATACGTAGAAGTACGCCGTTTCGGTATGTCTACCGATACGTAGTCTAGCTTGTACCCGGTGTGTAACTGCGCCGGAAGAGATCTCTCTCCCATCAATGACCAGGAGTGGTCGGGGTCGTTCTAAAGGAATGAGGTCGAATCCGTGTTGCTCGACGAATTCGGTGTCTATAAACAAACTGGTCGCTCCTGAGTCGATCATCAAGACCGTCTCCGTCGGAGTACCATTCGGGTAGAAGGTGCCGGCGACCGTAATATGAGCCTCCGGCCGAGAGGGAGAACCTATGCTGCTCAGCACCAACGGTTCTCCAGTTGCTACGTTCAAGTCATTACCCGGGGAACTCGGATGATCTGTTATTCTGTTAGGCGTCGAGAAGGCTCCAGGGAAGACCGGCTCGATGTATACCTGCGAGGACATATCCGGGAGTAATGTAGAACGTAGGACTAGGGTATATAGATGTAATAACAGATGAAAGACTATATACTACAATGCTGATACAAAGTGGTACAATACGATATGCTCCTTGAACAACTCCGCCGGAGTTGGTACGACTCGAGTCCGGCGTACGCGCGCGTCGCTATAACATCTACGTTCAGCAGCCATTCGCTACGACGTGGAGGGGCTCAGTGGCGTTTCAACTATGCTCCGGCTCGTTGGGGATTGCAGGTCATTCGGTGGTGGGGTGGATGGGCCCCTGGCGAAGCGGTAAGTCTAGCAACGGGTGTCTCGGTCGTTCGAAGTCTTGGGTGAAGGGGGGATATCTTGCACTCAGCTTCAGTGAACGGATCCTACCCTGCACTTTAACACCTCGACTGACATATCCTGCTTCGTGTTGATTCTAGACCGGTACTCTGATGCGGTACCTTCTTGAGGAGCGAGCCAAGATCGACACCTACCACGGGGACATCATGAATCCACTCCTCGACCCCGCCAGGCAGGTCGTTCAGAGTGACGGGCAGAACGGTCTCGTCTCGAAGGTCGGAGACATCACTCGTCTCGAAACACGCATGGCGAGGAAGCTGGAGGGTGTGGTGGCTCGTCTGATGGCAGACATGGGAGAGGAGATGGACAGGACAAGGGCAATGGTGCGAGAGTTTACGACGCGGATGTATGCCGACCCTGATGAGCAGTCGGATGTAGTGAGTCCCTCTTTGAGTGAAGGTTTGGTAATCCTCGCTGAAGAACTGTCGAGTTGCAGGAACGGGAACGCCACCAGCAGATCCTTCAGGCTATCGCCAACATGCAGATTCAGGTCGACAGCCAGCAGAGATCGCTCTGTGCTGCCACGTCTGCTGCAACAACCATCGTGGGCACGAACGGATGGACCCCTCCCGGCTTCAACGGCCTCATCTTACCTCCTTCGGCTTCGGTGCAAGTTCCGGATCATTCACCCGACATCAGAATCCCCGTGGTACCCTCGACCGCGCTATTCAGAGCTGCAATCAGGGAAGTAGAGGGTCCCAAGACCCTTAGACTTCGGTACAGCGGTGATATGATCACGGGAGAACGTCCACCCATCCCGAAGACGTGGACCGTTCGATCCTACGTCCTTCAGTGGTTCCAGGGCGGACAACATGTCCAGCACCCGTATCCTCTGCGAGAGTGGCCTCGAGACTGGCTCCACAACAAGACGAAGGAGGATCAGCAGGTCTGGGTGCTGTGGAGGAACAGGGAGGTCTTTGGAATGGGGTACGAGTACGCCAATGAAGGTTCGACAGTCTTCACCGAAGAAGGGTTCGCCCGATTTGAGGCCAGGTATCCTGCTACGACGGTCACTGGTGTCTTGAGCGCTATAAGGAAGGATCTCCAGACTGCAGGGAAGATCAAGAGCCGTCAGCGTAGCCCCAAAAGCCCAGAATAGGTCGTGAACGAGGTCGACCACAATTCCAGTTTGTTGTATTATATTTCACGCTTCACTGTAGCTTCATGTAACTTCACCGACCATATATACCCATAATCATGTTGTTGTACTACCTACAGAGCTCTGGAGACTGTTCTAATTGACTCTAGGACCTTATAGGTCGTCATATCTCTTATTTACTGAAATCGAGCTGAAATTGTCAAGAACGGTCAAGAACGTCGTTCGAGAACAAAAGAAAATGTAAGGATCGTCGCTCGCGTCGAGAAGCACCCTTACCTTCTTCACTGCGTTCGGATTGATATTCACTATACATCAACTATCAACTAAGTTCTTCTACTATACATTGAGACCTCTAGACACCTCTAAACATCGAAAACGAACCCTCTCGCGCTATAAACAACCTCACGTTTCATCAAAAAGTAAACATGTCGAACGCCGAAGCCGGAGTAAGCCTTTCTCGCTTTAGTGCGGTTCTCGGAACCTGCACTTTGAGTCCTGACTTATAAAATCACTTTACTCCTTTCGTATCCCCTCTATAGCCCTCTAACACCACTGCTCGAGTCCCCAAGAGCTCCCCGATTGCCAAGATGGCGCAGGCGAGGAGGGAGAAGGCGGCTGCGAGGGCGGTGAGGAAGGAAGCGCGAGCTCGTCGGCTCGCTCTGAACGTGGGTCGTATTCCGGCCGAGGATAAGGGGAAGGGGAAGGAGAAGGACATGGAGGTGGAGATGGAGGTGGTAGATGATGAGGACGACGACGAGGAGGAGGAGGAAGAGCTTCCCGCTCAGGGACCGTTGCCGCCGCATCTCGAGTAAGTCAGGGCTTAGTGCAGGTGCTCTATCTTTCACTGAAGCTTTGTGTAGATGGAGGTTGGGTTTCGAGAAGCCTCAACCGAAGCGGAACTGGCTGGGGGAGGTTGTGGTGCCTCAACCCAACAGCGATGACTCGGATGTCGATGTTGATGAGGCTTTCCGAGAACCGAAAAAGAGGAGTCTGTAAGTCGTAACAGTTTAGTGCAGACTTCCCAATCTTAGCTGAAGTTTGTCCACATTGTCGACATAGCAAAATCAAGCTGAACGTACCAGAAGGTCAGCCTCCCCCTCCCGCTGGAACTCCTCCCCCTTCTCCTCCCGCTTCTCCTCTCCGTGATGTCGTCAAGGATCCCCTCGGTGATGTCGAGCAAGGCGGACACGACATGGGGGACATGGGGGACATGGGGTAAGTCCAAGAACGTTCGGTGAAAACTCAAGTCTATTCACTAATATTCCCAAACATAGTGTTGACCGAGACAGCACTCTCTCTCCCGTTCCGGATCAAGGTGATGGGGATTTCGAGCCCGAAGATGACGAGGACGAGCTTGGAGACGTCGACGAGCTCGAAGAAGAGCCCGAACCCGTTCCCAACGACGCCAGTTGGGAGATCGACTGCGCTAGGCTCGACGCAGCGCTCGCGGCCACCCCCGACGCAGCCAAGAAGGCTGCTATGCTGCGGGCCTTCGAGAAGTACAAGGCTAGCAAGCTGTACTGGACCTTCCAGCGAATATACTCGTACTGGGAGGGTGTAAACAAGGAGTCGACACATCTGTCGGTAAGTTCGGGCTCGCCGAACATCGGGCTTCCTGCACTGAAGCTTTCTTCTTGTGATATAGGCTGCTATGAGGATGCAGTTTGCCAACTACGGCAAGGTGAACGTGGGAGATGAACGCTGCGACAGGTGTAAAGACCTGATGTTCAACCCCAAGCGCAACGGCCGTGACGGGAACCCCGGGATTATACTGCAGTGTCGTCAAGGTTCACCGTACGCCAAATGTTGTCACTGTACGATATCTGGCGACGACTGCTCGAACAAACTCGAGAGGAACGAGGTCGACACTGTCAGGGCAGGGGGTCCCGGTCGATGGCAGGAGGTATCGCAGGAACTCGCCTCGCTGTTCCTGGACTTCGAGGACGAGAAGGGTAGACTCGACCCCGAGGATCCTGAAGATGTTGCCGCCTTCACTAAGGCTCATCTCGACGGGATCACCAACAAGCTCAAGGCGATCCGCGAGCGAGCGATTGAGGGTGCGAAGCTGGCTGCTCCTCTGCGTATGGAGGAGTATACGGAGAAGCACGAGGATCACGGTGAGATCAGGCGTCTCGACGGTACGGTGGCTGAGTTGTATGTTTTCGAGTCGTAATACCTTCGGTGAAGTTTGAGGTTACTGCAGTCTTGTTTGTTGTATACGAGTAGTGTTCCTATGTTCATAATACCCTCTAGAATGATGAATACAAGGCCCACACCTAGCAATACTATGCAGTACGATTCGATTTGTGTGATAAAGGTCTTCAGTGAATAGAGGCGAACATGCACTCAGTAAACTCCTAACTTCTAACCTTGAAACACATCGCTGTGGCTTGAAACTGGCTCAGATTTACGGACATATAGCTATAAAAACCTCCGGAGCGGCGCCCTACGGGCGCAATTCAGTCGATTTAAGACGTTAAATCGTATTAAATCGAGTGCGTGTTATGTTCGTGCTATGCGCGTCTTTCAGTGATGTTATGTGATCCTTCACCATAACAAATTCGCTAAATCACGCGCTAGTCGACCCCCCCCCCTCGTGTTCCCGCCGTTCGACTTTATTCGTTAAATCCCTGCTGCTATGCGAGCAAGGACGACATCCCCAACGAGGCGACGAGCGGGGGAGGTAAGAGCGAGAGGCATAGGGAGACGGAGCGTGATGGGATGACGGAGTGGGCGTTTGCGCCTCTGATCGAATCGGGGGCAAGCGGTGGGGCAAGGCGGGCAGGATCAAATCCAGCGGAAGCAATCAGCAACACTTTCCATCAAGCCATGATCTCTATCCCGGCACAATCTGACCGCTCGCTCGGACCTCGTCGTCGTCACGGGCGGGTGGATGCAGACGACGAACGGCGAACGACGACGACGACACGTTCCCAATCCACCGACTGGCAGCTGGCAGGCTGGTCAAAAAAAGGGAGGGAGAGGGCCTTTGAGATCGACGCACGCGCGGTCTCTCGGGTCAGATAAAGGGAAAACACACGCTCTCAGTTCCAGTTCGGTTCACCCTTTCACTCCGATCGCTCGTTCAACTCCCCTTCATTCGATAGACCCCTATATAGTCGAACCCTTGGTAAGTTGACATACACTTCTTCCGCTCCTTATTCCTAGTCGTTCTGCTTCACACACCCAGGCCTACAAGCTCATCCATCCTCGTTTACGAGCAGACCCTCAGCGAGAAAAGATAGCTGCAAGCAAGATGTCTGAAGTCAAAGCTACCAACCCCGCCGACGGCAAGGTCGCCAACCCCAAGGTCATGCTCAACTTGGGATCGCTTCCTCCTCGTCAAAAGCCCAGCGCCATGATGCGAGAACAGGTGAGTCTGGCTTCTCTTGCTGGACAGTTGGTCAGCCCGTCCATCCCGATCCTGAGCGATTCGGCCTGGTCTGGGTCGCCTGCGGTCGAACAGCCCGGTCCGGATTGCTACCCGTGGTGAACAGCTCGTCCTGTTCTTGTCGTTGTCTTTACAGTCCGATCTCATCTGACCACTTCATACCAATCTCGTAGTACCCTCGAACTCCCTCCCGAGTCAACCCCGATCAACCTCAATGGCCCGGTAAGCTCACCCTCCTTTCCTCCTCGTCGTGGTCATCATCTCGATCTGGATGACGTCCCCTACGCACAAAAATGCTTACGCTCGTGTATCCACCTGATTTTCGCTTTGCGATTCCCGCTCGTTTCCTCTCGACATACCGACCGGAATTCCCCTTCCTCATGACGCGTGATCGTCGATCGCCGATCCACCTGTTTCGAACGGTCATCCCCCAAAGCTTACCGAGGATATCACGTAAGTTTCTTGCCTCAGAGCTTCCGAGCTGGCTGTTGACCAGGCATTGACCCCAATCTCGTTCGACATGTAGGAATACTCGTTCGCGCACGCTACCATGTCGGTTCGATTGCCTACCATCCTGGAGAAGGGTATCGCCGATGTCCACCTTACTGTTAACCAAGAGGTTAGTCGTGAACCCATCGTCTGATCTGGTCCGGTCCGAAACTCTCGAAAGCTGATTCAACGTCATGGCGTGTTATCTGGCAAACAGTACGACGAGGACCGTGTCAAGGACCTCGTCGAGTGTATCCACAGGATGGAGGATCTCCTCGACTCGTTGAAGGCCAACGACAAGCTCAGGTACATTACCGATGACGGTGCCGGTGATGTCGCCCTCTGGAACAAGGAGATCGCCCGATACTTCCGAGGAAAGGATTTGTGAGTGGAGACCGGGTTTCTATTCTTGAAGGACTCGATGGCTGAACTGGACGATGCCTTGCGTTTCGCTAGCATGAACTCTCCTTGGGTGTTCGCCGAGGCTTACAAGTACCGACGACTCCGCGAGTGTTTCTCTCTTTCCAAGTACTGGGTCGAATACGGTTCGTTCACGCCTGCATCTTGCTTGACTACTTAGTCTTCAGAACTGACTCGTCCCTTCCTTGCAATTAGACGTCTTCTTCAGGCAGAAGTGTGACACCTTTGCTCGATCGGCCGAGGCCGTCTTCGAGCTCGCTTCTCGATTCGCTGCGCCCTTCTCTTTCGCCGAGGGTATCTCGGACGAGGACAAGTTGAAGACCTCCAAGTTGATGTTCAGGGAGTTGACTCAGAGTGAGTGCCGAGCCTAGACCGACCTAGGCAATACGTCCGTTGGCTGACCATGCGTGGCCTTGACAGTCTGCTTGTGGGGAAACTCCACCGACTTGTCCCTCTTGATCGACATGACCGAGGAGGACATCAAGAAGTTGCAATCCACCGGAGGAGAGCACCTCTCGGCCACGGAGAAGAACATCTTGGGTAACGACCTCGATAAGATCACCGACAAGGTCGCTTCCATGAAGGGAGGCAGGATCGACTTTGTCCTCGACAATGCCGGGTTCGAGCTCTACTGTGATGTGAGTCGATGCAAGCGGGTGATTGTTGCTGTTAGGCATCTCGTGCTGACGTGAAGGGGTTACTCCGTCTATAGCTCGTTTACGCCGATTGGTTGATTCAGAGCGGAATCTGCAAGGAGATTGTCTTCCACGGAAAGAAGGTGAGCGCTCACGGTTTCTCTTGCCGCACGACTCGAGATCCACGTTCGCTGAGATCAATGCCCATTCCCTCAACATAGATCCCCTGGTTCGTCTCGGACGTCACCAAGAAGGACTGGGACTGGATCTTGAACTCTTGTGTCTACGGGTACTTGTTCCCCGAGGCCACCGAGGAGGAGATGGACTGGTTGAGGGTTATGGGTCGACGATGGAAGTCGTACGAGAAGGAGGGCAAGTTCAAGTACCAGAGCCACCCCTTCTGGTGTTCCGGATTCACCTTCTGGAGCTTGACCGCCGAGGCTCCCGATCTCTTCATCGAGTTGGCCACCAGTGATTTGGTCATCTTCAAGGGAGACTTGAACCACCGAAAAGTCAGTCCAGTCGAACGTTGCGTATCATGCGAGGAGCAACATTGGAGATGCTGATCGCCCCATGCGCATTGGTCTTATATAGCTCGGATACGACTGCCACTACCCTTACAACACCCCCTTCTCGCAAGCCATCGGACCTCTTGCCAGCACCCCTGGCGCCCCTCCCATCGTCTCCCTCCGTACCGTCAAGAGTGACATCGTCGTCGGTATCCCCGATGGCGTCGGTGAAAAGTTGGACGAGGAAGAGAAGGGCTGGAAGATCTCCGGAAAGGTGAGTCTAGCGGATTCGGAACTTGACCGGGTAGATGTAGGAAAGAAAGCTTACGTCCGCTGATACGTCACTCTCTCCGAACTACAGTACGCCGTCGTGCTCCTTTCCGAAGGTCGACCTGGCGAAAAGATCACCTTTGCCGACACCAACAACGAGTAGTCGCCGCCTCGCTCCGTCGCGGTTGTCTCTCGCCAATCGACATTTGAACCTTTGTTTGACGTTACGACTGTTTTGTATCCGGTTTCAGTTCTCCCATTAGACGTCTCTACGAAGACTCATTGTTACGGGCCCGGTTGGGGGATGGATAGGCAAGGGTATAGTCCTCTCGGGCTTGCCTGGTTCCTATTCCGTCATCCTCCTGCTCGTAATCGACCGTGTTGTGATTAATACGTGGCTAGCACGATGTTTGCGGCCCTCATCGATCAATACCATGTCTTACGAAGTTCTGCTTTCCGCCAATGGGCAACTTCAAACTCTTGAGTCTGACACTGGCACGCATCCCTCGTGATCGTAGTCTATGAACTGGGTGACGGATGGCCCAGGTTGTTACATCGCGTCGCGTTCTCGGGCTCTGGGCCGGGGGGGCTTACGGGAACAAAAAGAGGCAATCGGGTGTGAGCGGTGAAACGGATTGATCGCATCAAGGGGTAACGGATTCTTTGTGTAGCGACGAGAGGGCAGCAGCCCGGAGCGATCGATCAGGCGATCAGGCGAGATTGATGGGAAGATTTGATGACTTTGGGTTTGTTGTTGTAGCAAGAGGACCGGTGCGAAGGGCCGGGGATTCGCACGCTACTGACACCCTCGCAATCTATATTCTACTTAGTCGGCGGAGCTTTGGCCACTTTCGATCGTCAGACAGTCACGAACATCAGCGACTCCACTCCTATCGCCATCACCTACGGCTATCGATCGAAGCTACAGACAACACTCATGTACACTCGGAGATAGATTCAGCCCAATCAATCGACACTGCACGAACAGATTCTTATTGGACCGCGGATCACATCGTCTGGTCGTTTCCAGTGACGATCTGTTCCGTGTCAGCGGAGGCTAGGCGACCGTTCTTTCTCCCCCTTCATTCTGCCAACACTCAGCACACTGAACAGCTTAATCACATCAAAAATTCCAACACAATCAGCATGAGTTCCTCACCCACTACCATCACCAACCCTCCTGTCCGAGTGCAGCCAAAACGCACGACCAGCAACCTCGGTACACGTCGAGACAAGTTTCTCAGATCCCTCGGCATACCTTCCTTTCAACACGCTATCAGCCACAAACCCACTCCCTACAACTCGACTGGAGTCACCCTCGAACGTCCACCCTCGGAAGGCCTGAAGAGTTCAGTTTCAACTCCGCTGGTCTCGAATTTAGGCAAAGATAAGACGAGGGCGGTGACGACCATGTTGGACAAGACGAAAGGCGACGAGGACAAGGGCGTTGAAGACCTCCTCGCCTCTTCGCACACCGACAAGAGGATGTCGTCGATCAGGTTGAGAAACTACAAATCTATCGGGAACCTCGATCAACAGGCGAGAGAAGACGGTCTTACCGGGTCTATTCGTGGTCCGGGAAGCAAGCAGTTCGAGATGGCTGGAGGTATGACCGTATCCAAGTCGATGCCTTTGAACGTACATAACCAGATTCAGAACGAGGAGATGGAAGGTGGGTCCTCACGCTTTTGAGTCGGTCTGACTGCACCCCACCACTGCTGATACGCTGGCTGTCCGCACAGCTTTTGCTGGTAATCTCGCCACTATCCACGTCAGTCCGGTCACTCCAGCCGTGTCAAGCGTTCCACCCGGTATAGACAAGCACGAGATGATGGTGATGCTCGAAGGTTAGTTCCGTATTCTCAATACGCTCTCACATACGAGAGAGTAGGCTCATCGGTCGTGTCGAATGCAGCCCCTGGAAGTCAGCAAACTCTGGTGAAAACTCAACAAGAGTTAGCCAACTTGCATGAAGGACTGGTCGATTGGCAAAGAACGGTACGTGGTTGTCTTCCCCGGTGTCTACGGGGGTTGTCGCGTCTGACGGCTCCGCCCCCCATAGAACGGCCACCTACGAGATCTGTACATCCCGGAACTGCCTCGATCAGTTCAGGGGGCTTTACTGGTCCCCATTGCAAGGACGGGAAGTTCCCTCAGCCAGATTTCCAATGCTTCTCCCGAATCTACAACCTCCCGCACAACCTCCAACGGAACCAAGAAACGGCAAGGCTCTTTTTTGTCAAACCTTCAGAACAAGATGAAATCTACCATCCGTGCGGTGTCTGAAGGCAGCCGGAGCGGGGCGACTTCCCCGGTCAGCCAGTTAGGATCTCCTCACTTACTTACGCCCGGTCCGATGTCGCCGGCATTGACTCCAAGCAACAGCCTGGATCAAGTGACTTCCCTGAATCTCGGGCTCGGCAAATTCGACTTCGAGGACAAGTTATCCCCCATCACGGACCGCTTCTCGACTCTTGAGAATCGCCCTTCCATGGATCCAGGAGGCAGTCCCGAGCCTAAAGGTCTCACGTTAGATAGTGCGGCCGCCTTAGTCACCGCTATGACAGCAGACGAGAGGTTTGCTAAGTTGGCCTCGAGGCCTTCAAGTATCGTGGTCAAGTCGGGAGGCCTATATGGGAAGGATGCGCCGACGGGAGGTCTGCTTCCGAGCCCTCTTCTCTCACCTCAGGAAGCCATCAAGCGCTCGCACGAAAGCTCTCGAGATATGGACCCGGGCGTACCTCCTCCTAACGGGATAGACTCGCAATCAGGACTGGATACGAAAGAGATTTCTACCTATCTCAATCTGCTTGCCCAACAGACTTCGGTCCGCGCGTCATTGCCCTGGATCGAATTTTTCGGCGCACCAGGACTAAGCGCAAAGCCATCGGGAAAGAAAATCGGTTGGAATGACGAAGCGGACGAAAAGCTGGAGAGGGAGAGACAACGGCTCGACTTGGACAGACTGAACTCGACCCAGAGGAGGTCGATGCTCAGAAAGAGCAGGAGTTTGGGTGAAGGACTGTTGAGCTTGTTTGCGGCAGGTGATCGACAGGAGCTGGCGCCCGCTGTGCCGACCACTTCGCCTAGCCCAGATTCACCGGCAGCTCCGGTACTACCTCCTATCTCTCCTATGTACGGATCAAGAGACAGCACAGACTTGACTCGCAAGATCGACCGTGAAGTGATCGCGGTTGGAACAGAGGACACTGAAACCCGATCACCTCAGCTGGAAGCTGAAACACCGGCACCTACCGAAGCAAGCGGTGCGGAAGCTATACAGCCAGATGAAGACGAGGCTGAAGCACATGCCGAAAGTGATGTTGCAACTATAGTGCCGCTCGACCCCAGTATAGCAGCTGCTAGACTTGTCGAGTCGCAGCCCGGCGAAGCAATGAAACGGAAACGACCTGGAAGAAAGGCCACTTCGGTAGACGACTTTGAGCTAATCAGGGTTTTGGGGAAAGGATGCGCTGGCAAGGTTAGACGAAATTTTCACAGAATCGTGATGTTCCTTGACCTAACGCGATCGCCTTCCATAGGTGGTGCTGGTGAAACACACAAAGACCGGCGGGCTCTATGCGATGAAAGCCATCATGAAACGTCACGTTCTAGCGCATCAAGAGCTGACTCACACGCTTGTGAGTTTAATCGCCAGTCGCATTGGCTACATGCTGATGGCAGATTTCGATTTCGAACAGACCGAGCAGTCAGTGTTGCGCCGGATGTCATCAACAGAACTTTCCAATCCGTTCATCGTCAAACTATGGTGGTCGTTTCACGATGTCGATAACCTGTACCTCGTTTTGGACTTTCTGCCGGGAGGGGATCTCGCCACACAACTGTCTCGATGGGGACGACTTGGCAGAGATCGCGCCCGATTCTATACATGCGAAATAGTAGAAGGGGTGGAGGCCCTGCACGCTGCCGGTATCATATATCGCGATTTGAAACCCGGTATGTGTATCATCCTGCTCTTTACGGCGTCACTAGACTAAATGGTTAGCGTCAATCATTGTCTCAGAAAATATCCTGCTCGGAGCCGATGGACACATCTCGTAAGCATTGGGTCGATATCAAAATATGGAGCCTACTTGCTGAGTCGAATCACATATCTAGCTTGGCAGACTTTGGTCTGGCAGCCGAGTTTCCTGAGAGTAAAGGTCCTTTGGCGGCAGCACCCCCGTGGATGACAGGGTCTAGCCTGTCAACAGCTAGCTCTGGGCTTTCTACAGAACCCTTGAACAGTGGCAGGGATCAAGCGACTTCATTCGTAGGGACAGCCGAGTACTTGGTAAGACTTAGAACCACTGGCCTAGATATCTGGGCTGTGTAGCAAGCTCATCTGATGTCTCGATCAGGCTCCAGAGGTGATAAAGGGGCTGCCCTACTCGTATGAGGTAGATTGGTGAGTCAAACTCGTCGTTCGGAATCGAACCTTCTTGGCTCAAGCTTGATGGAACAGGTGGGCACTGGGAACCATGCTATACGAGGCGCTCATCGGCAACGTACGTGGCATGGATACTCGTACGGAATGCTCATGGCAGCTCATTCTGATTCGCGCCCGAATAGACGCCCTTCTGGGTCGACAACCATGCGGAAATGTACATGCGGGTCGTCAACGAAGAGCTGAGGTTCCCCGAAGATCGTGTGCTGGACAAAGAGACCAAGAGTTTCATTCGAGGACTGTTGCAGGTACAGATTTAGAATACCGTTACGCGCACCTTAGCAAGTCACTGACAGATGTCTTTCATTTGGGCGCATCCCTCACTATACAGAAAGACCCAGTTTTCCGTCTGGCTGAGCCTCGTAAGCCCCGATGACGTATGGCAACAAGATCTATCTTTTGAACTAATGCTGATCTCGCACCAGGTATTCGGAAGCATCCCTATTTAGGTAAGATATATACCGATCTCGATAGCGGAACGATCCAGCTGAAGATGCCTTGCCGATTGTAGCCATGGTCGAGTGGGATCACGTAAAGCACAAACGTTACATTCCTCCATACATCCCGCCGACTGACAAGAATTTGGAATACGATTTTCAAAACTTCGATGCCAACTTCCTCGAGATGGATCCGGCGCTCAAAGCGGAAGGCGCTTCTACCTCGGGAGACTCGGAAACGGACGATGCCGAAAGGGATGGCATAATCGAAGCAGATGCGAATGCTTTTGACGGGTATCTATACAAACACCACGACATCGTGTCGGTTCACGAGCCAGACGCGTCTGAAACGGGGGGCTCGCACGGCGAGAGCGAGCAAAACACGAAGGAGGCAGCAACGGGTGATACGGAGCCTTCGTCGCCATCAAACTCGGACACCACGACGGACACCACGACCGAGATGGAGGATCCGGTTCCCGACACTACGGTTACTCCCACGCCCACCGTAGAAGCAGCGACGGCCATGCTCCAGCGCATTCAAGCGCTGACGAACGAAGCCGCCGCGAGCAACGTCAAGACGTCCAGGCATTCTCGCGAGATCATGAACCGCGGCTCCATGGACCGTCTTTCTATGGACCGTCTGTCGCGAACGATGGCGAGCGAGGACGATGACGAGTGGGATATCGTCGAGGATAACCCTGACGCGGTCGCTACCAATGGACGCGACACGCTCTTCGCTCGCGGCGTAGTCGACAAGTACCGTTTGGCCGTATTGAAGAGGCGAGAATCGACCGTGAGGAGGAAACCGAGCGTCAAATTCAAACGATCCTCGCCGAGCTCGTCTCAGGTCCTGGGTCGTGCAGGAGACGAGGTCCCTCCTTTGCCGACGACACCTCGTGCTTCGGGTCTCAAGTACCGCCTGAGAAATCGAATGAAGACGCCGAGGTCATCATCTGCGCAATCGCCTGACGCAACTCCCCAGCCGTCGATGATGAAGGAGTCGGGATCGAACCTGACCGTGGGTCCGACTGGTGGCACCCAGCGTCAACCTCTGGCCTTGAGGAGCGAATCTACACAAAGTGTTAATTCGGCTTGGTCGACCGAGAACGGGTCTGATGGAGCGATGAGCCTCGATAGTCGGTTGACGGCAAGAATTCACCCAGAGCATCAGGGCGACGTGAGACGGGGCAGTGCAGGGGTGTAAAACGCGGGCCTAGCTGGGCTCGTATAGTCAGAGAACGAGGCGCATAGGGTAGTTGTCGAGGGAAGATATAACGTCAAGACGGCGGGCTTGAACGGGGGTTTTGCACCGCAAAGCATGCTCATGTCGTCGATGGTATACCGGTTTATAGTAGGGATATCAAATCGTTCTCGTGCTTACGTCTCTCTCTCTATTTTGCTGTGCCGTGAGGTCGTCGTCGATGGTGGTGGCTTGACGGAACCTTTTGCTTTGGAACCGTCTTCTTCCGATTCCATCAGCACATCGGCCCAAGAGCCCTGACGCCCTACTAGCTCGTGCTCGTGCTCTTCGCGAGATTTCTTCTCGTTTTATTTTGGTCATTTCGTTCATCCCATCCATGCACACAAACTCCTGCTGTCGACCCTTGATAACCCACCCGTCGCTGTCCTCTCGAGATCCCTAAACCCTGCTCGTCGGTACATGGTCTCTGGGGCATCTCGACAGCAGTCGGTTGATCGCTTATACACGAACGCCTAGTAGCTAGCGTCTCTCCCTGGACGGCCCCCGTATAGGGGTGGGAAGAGGTCGACGTCTTTCAGTACACCCATTGCCTCCTGCTACCGCCTCGGATCACGTAGTCAGACGACACACCGTCGAGTCTACCTCTGTCGAGTAAACACCATTCGCCTCCTCTTGACGTATGGACAGTTACATATCTCGAAGACGGCAGACGTCGAGAACGGATTCGGACAGCGGCAGACCCTGGGTCATCTCCAGCATGAGAGGTCGACCGGAGGCTCTGCCTCGATATAGCACACCGGATATACGATCGAGACATGGTCATGATCGAGGTCGAACGAGATCATACTCTCAGCGGATACACCTCACTGCACATCGGATAGGCACCTCTCGCTCGTTCAGAGGTCTGTACAACCTGTGCAAGAGATACCCGTTGATCCCGCTCGGCATCATCTGGTTTTTCTTGCTCGCCTTTCGTCCGATACACTTTTGGCATACCCACAAACGGACTCATGGCTGGAGTGCGAAACCACATCCGACTTTTTCTCACCTCATGGTGCACGCTCATACCTACTGGTTGCCCGCAAGTGTGATGAACGCCTTGATGCCCTGGTTGCCGGATAGCAAGGGCAGGATGTTCATGTGGACCTATCCCATACCCGAACTCGTCGAGGCCAAGCACCCCATCGAGTTCGAGGTGCCTCGACTCGAACCCGCTCTACGCAGAAAGCGGAGAAAACTACGAGACCATCCTCAACCTCCTCCACAGGATCAGCACTTCCAGCCATGGGAAAAGACCGACCTCGTCTCGACAGCCTTCCTCTCGTTCAACGTCCTCACCATGCAGTCTCCCAAAGCGAGATCGTTCCGCGATCTCCTGAGAAAATACCAGAAATCCAGGATCCCACCTGCTTACGAACACTTGATCGATTACAACTTTGTCATGGCCTCGCCAGCCTGGCACGATCGGGCGGCGTGGGCGGAATTGGAGACGGAGCAAGCACAGTATGGGGACCTGGTCATCATGGATGAGATGGAGGAGGACGATAGCAAGAGGATGCCGGAGAATGGAGATTTCGGAAAATCGTACAGGACTTGGCAGACGTTGATCGAGCGAGCAGAGGATGGAAGAGGACGGAAGGCATTATGGTACTAGTGAGTGCAGAGGCGACGCCAGGGTGCGAGGATCTCAGGCTCAATCTGCATCATGTGCCGTGTTCGCAGCAAGACCGACGATGACGCCTATACGATTATGCCGAACCTGCTCAACCATCTTCTCTCGCTCGACTACCGAGAGCCGACCTTCACCGGGTCGACTCTGGGTTGTTCATATCGACCTCATATGTACTTTCAGGGACTGGGATATGCTTTGAGTTACCCATTGGTGAGTCGTTCCTCTGCTGGGTCACTGTCGCACAAACACGTCAGCTAATGGAGGAGGATGCTGTTCATCAGATCAAATCGCTTGTCGAAGCGAAACTGACCTTTCCTCACACGGTGGGGTACGAAGATCATCTAACAGGCGCCTGGATGCTTTCGTTGCCTCCACATCCTAAATGGAAGCACGTCGATCCTGCCAAGATCCCGGAACGTAAAGGGGTCGACAATTTCCTCAACTATCTACCACCCTCACCTGAACCGCTCAGCGGCCTGATACGTGCGGACACGTACGGCAAGAGCGTCAGCTGGTTCTGGTGGTGGGTGTCCAAGACAGAGACGACCATTACGGTTCACGGCATGAAGACTGTCGAGGTGCGTCGACTCGAAGCTTTACTGACGGCTCATCTGCAGTAATTGATCAGACTCGGTTTTGCTCAGGAATGGGTGCAAGCCTGGCAGTATTTCGAAAAGCTCTGGTTAACGCCCACCTGGGTCGGACAGCGGGCGAGAACGCCATACGAATGGCAACCGCCCGAGTGGATTCAACCCTTTGCCGAGCCAGGATTGCCCAACACCCTCAACATCTCGACACATTGGGAGAAATTCCATTCGCGCCCTAGCAAACACAATCAAACACATGGCTACCGACAGCATCCGCCGCACGACTCGTATCCTGGTGTCGGGCACGAGTTAGGCTTGCCTTAAGCTCGATCACCCATCTCATCACTACTTCCCGTATCAGACCCGTCATGGTGGCCTTACGACCCTGTCAGCTGCGTCTGACCACGTTACGAACACGACTCACACCTGTCGTGAGAATACGAGCATCCAAATAGAACAGCATCAACCATGTAGCAGCCGAACCTCGTCGATATAATCATACTATAGGTCCAGCTGTCGATCGCCGTCAACTACGTCAATCCTTAAGAGCCTCACAAGCCGATATCGAAGAAAGGTCCACTCCACGAATGGTCGACATCTGCCATCAGACCCGAATGCGTATGAATGATATAGATTATGAAGAACGATTGACAATGAGTAAGACTATATCCAAGTGCTGGTTATGCGATGTTGACGTGATTGTTGTAAATACTATGTTGATGTATGAAGCTGATTGTGTTCTGTGTGCGGACGAGAAATACGGGGCAAGGGGAGATGTATCGAGAATACTGCGACCTCCTGGAAGGTTTTTGTTTTTGGTACCCTATTCAAGGGCTTCACTTGTCGAGGTAACCGACGAGGGTGTTCTCGAACTTGGCCCTGATGCCGTTCATGTCAAGACCGGTGGCAATGGCGAGCTGCAACCTGATCCTGGCCTTGACCGGGTTAAGGAAACCGGCAGAGATCCAGTCTCGGCCGGCAGGTACCGCACCCTCGTTGCTTTGGTGCCAATGTAGTATCAGTGATAGTCTGCTGTCAACGGCTTGAGGAACGGGCTCACATTTTGGTAGAAGCGACGATGGGGAAGCCTTGCTTAAGCAACCTTTCAACCTCGATGATGGTAAGGTCGCTCAAAGAACCGGCTCCGGTACCGGCAATGACGATTCCCTTGGCTCCGTTGTCGATAGCCTCCTGGATGAGCTTCCAGTCGAAGCTTTGGTGGCTAAAGTATACGACCGATCAATTAGGATAGCCCACGACGAGACTGTAGGCGAGAATACTCACCCGTAGAGAACATCGACCATGGGGAGCTCGTTGACCGAGCTGATGTCGAAAGTCTCCTTGAAAGTCGGTTGACCGGCAGGGTAGTAGAAGAACGGCTTGGTAGACAAGAACCCTCCGATGTTACCCTGCTCGACAGCAGTGAAGGTATTGATGGTGTTGGCATTGTTCTTCTGAGTGTAGAGGGCGCTTCCGATACGGTCGTTGAGCGCGATGAGGGCACCTCGGTCCCGAGCGTCGGGCTCTCCAGCGAGGGTGACGGCTTCCAAGAGGTTGGCAGGGCCATCAGCGGAGATGGCAGTCGAGGGCCTCATAGCTCCGACGAGCACGACGGGCTTGCCGCAGTTGACGACGCTGTCCACTAAATGAACAAGCGTATTCGGTTAGGCAAGAAAACATAAAAGTGCTGAGGACACGAAGGGGACGTACTCAAGAACGCGGTCTCCTCGAGAGTGTCGGTTCCGTGGGTGATGACGAGCCCATCGGTGGTCGATCCCTCGGCACACAAGACGGCATTGGCAAACTTGGCGATCTGCAAGACGATGGTCGAGTTGAGGGATTCCGAAGCGATGTTGATGATCTGGGATCCCTGGACGTTGGCGACGTCCAAGAGCTGGGGAACGGCCTCGATCAGGGCGGCGATGCCGACGACACCGGCCGTGTACGAAGTGGTGTCAAGCTCACTGGAGGAAGACCCGGCGATGGTCCCTCCGGTAGCAAAGATGGCAACGTTGGGGAGCGATGCATTGTGAGGTCCAGAGTAGGTGATGTTCAAGCCAATGTCGGTCGGGAGGAAACTCGAGTTGCCAGAGTTTGCCCGGGCTTCCAAGGGGAGAGCGATAGCGAGCTGAGCAGCACTGGCAGCGAGGAGAGTGATGAGGGATCGGCCGAACATGGTGAGGAAGAGGGGAAGAAGAAGAAGAGTGGTGGGAAGAGATTATGGGTGAACAGCTAGTAGAGCAGCGGGCGTTAATGTTCAGGCTCACCTCGCTGCTATCAGCCTGCATATATACGTCTGCCCGGCCAAGAGATGGCTCGTCCTATCATCTCGTAGATTCTACATTCGAAATAAAAGAGGGCCGCCGAAATTTGGGGTCGCAAAGGCTTTGGCGATGGCGGACAGGTCGCCGACGACGACCACGACGAGGATGGGATATTCGACCAACTTTTGATCGAGCCACCCTCCGCGCGCCAAGTCACTTTGATCCGCGAAAGCCGATCACCCGAAAATCAGGAACCGTCTCCCCGCGCTAATATGGACCCGGATGAGAGATTACGGGGACGAACATCTACGCCTTGACCCGAAAAAAAGTTCGGTAGGTCAGTACCTGTTCATGTCAGATTCTGCCCAACAGACTCTTCCAGCAAAAAATAAAGCAGACCATCACCTCGTAGGGCCCAGAACTCGAGCGTGGAGCGCGATCTGAAGTGATTGGCTGTTGACGTACATCAAGCAGGCTAGCTCACATGCCAGCCGCTGGCCTACGCACACGCCTTCTTTCAGACAGATGATTTCCCTTGGCTGCCGTTGAAACTCCAACCCGAAGGCTATCGTGTATCGAGCACGATTTCCCATTCGCGGAGGCTTATGGCACGGCAAGGTTTCGAAACGCAAGTCACGATTTCCCATTACATCGGGATCAAAAATTGCCCACGTTTGATGGTGGCTGAGTTTTACCGTGAAATTCGAAAATGCGTTGCTGAGCGTGAGTTGACCGAGCGGCTCTGGCGACTGTGCAGATGCCTATCGTGATATGTGAGAGCTCGTTGATAACCTTCTCCGATGTGCTCTTACTGACCGCCTCATCGATCGCTGTAGTTCAAAAAGATATGGGACGATTCGCGAGTCGTCGGCAAGCGGACTGTCCAGCTTATGGTACCTGTCCATTTATGGGAGACTGGTTGGAACGTTCTAATTTACCTTGCTCTAGCTCGGTTAGGCCATAAACCGTCTTTGCTCAGGTTGTACTTTAGATCGTCATCAAGGTCATCAGCTCTAGCATCCCGCCTTGCGCTGCGAGCGTTCGCGATTGAATGGTGAAGATGCCATATAAGGTCAAGCAGAATTTCTTTTTCACGGTTACAGCAATAATGCTGTCCCACGAAGGAGGATGTATGTGAATGATCAAGGCGAACATGTACAGCTCCGGTTTTCCCTCACAGCCACGATACCATTGCCGTCCAAATTGCACAAGGGAGTAGGCGTGGGTGATGTCTCGCTACAGACTCAAGCGGGTGGAAGGCAGAAGTTGTCTTTGGGCAGGGGGAAGGCAAGGGGGGCTCATTGGTCTTGAGCCGATAAAGTGACATCGAATGATTGCCCTGAAGGCGAAGATCCATCATTTGTTTCTGGGCTGGTCCGTTCGATGGTTGGGGCTATTGACGTTTGAACGGCTGAACGAGACCCTACGGTCGGCAGTATCGATTCCGAGATAGCACCGGGATGTACGCGGCATATACAGGCTCTGCTTGTACGCCAATGGTAAAGGTTCCTTTGCGGCGGTGGTAATCGATCGACTCCAACCAGCATGTAAACCGCTTTTTGTTGGAATCCGAATCGAAATTGCCGCTAAGTCTGATAGGTTTTGTTTCCTCCACCAGGCCTTGAATTCTGTCGACACAGGCAGTAATCAGACTGGGTTCGAGGTCGAAGGTTGACTGTTCACCCTCAGTGGTAATACGCTCATAGGTGACTCTGTCCTTGCTATGAATTTGGAAGATCAATGTTCCCGCGAGGCGCTATAACAAGACCGATCATACGCAACATGAATCTTGAGCCAATTGGAGAGTTGCTACTTAGACTACTCACATGATCCGCTTTGTTGTACAACCTGGCCAGTAACTGAGCGAAGGCAACATACTCCAAGGGTTCAGAACTGGCTGTGATCGCCATATTGACTAATGGTCGTATAAAATGACGTCTGATCCTCTGACTCGATGCAGCAAGCACAACCACCTTAGCCTGCTACCCGTCTTTATACATGATCAAGATACTCGTAGCATCGCCAGACCCGAAAACACCAAGACAAATTGACAAAGGAAGCGCCAAGATTTCGTACACAGAAAGCATCTCCGCCCTCTTTCTACTTTTCCTCCCTGACTCGGCAGGCAACCGTCCAATGCAGTTGCGGCCTGGAATGGCCGAATCGGTTGATCAGGACTGAGACTGAAGCTGAAACGGGATTCTATCGGGCGCGGTCGGAGACCAAGATTGATGGAGTTTAGACCAATGAGCGCAATGCAAGTCCACTATCCCCGAGTTCGTGTTCGTAAGTGATTTCATCAATCTCTCCATCATCATCGTTACAAAACCAAGAATCGTCATGGATACATGAACGAGTCGAGTAACATAGCCGACAAACGACGGGAAAAGACCAATAGTGGCGGGTCGGAAAGAGAAAGCGAGAGGTATCAAACACAGAGACGTCGGGGATTTTATCGATTGTTCGTCTATGTGGGTTTGCTCTACTCGTCGTCCTCCTCCTCGGCGTCGCCCTCACCGTCACCACCAGCGGCGGCAGCGGCCCTCTTCCTCTTAACACGACCGGGTCGTCCACCGGCAAGGGGAGAGTTCAAAGCGTAGTCGAGGTGCTGCGAGCGCGGTATAGACTGTCAATATAGGTGCAAGTTGCTCTTTTGCCAGCGCCACGGCTCACCTTCTGGGAGTCCAATCGGACAACGAACGAGGGAACGTTGACCATCTGCTTTCCGACACGGATGTGCCTCTGCCTGATGAGGACACGGGCGTGGTGGACGGACTTGGCGAGACTAGAGATCAAAGCATCACGATTCCACCTGTCAATCCCTCCGTCCTTGCGTGATCCATCTTGCTACCTGATTCCCACTCACCCGCTCTTGAAGACCTGGGTCTGCAACCTCCTCTCCAAGAAGTCCTCGACCTTGAGGGCCAAGACGTAATCCAACCTCATCCTGGAGTCATCGAGCACTCCGATCCTCACGAGTCGTCGAATCAAGGCGTTACCCTCGAAGAGACGCTTGGGGTCCTTGTCGTCGAGCTTCAAGAGCTCTCGGGCGGCTCGTCGAATCTGTCGACGGGGTTCATGTAGCAAGTTGATGCGTGATAATGATTTGCAGTACGAGAAGTTATGTTGAGCAAGAAGAAGGGATGAAAGAAGTCAAGTCCGGGTTAGCTCAAACACCTTTCAGCACCAGCCATTTCTACCGGCTTACGCACCTTGGAAAGGGTCAACTGAATCCTCCAGATCTCTCGCTTGTTTCGGAGACCGTACTCTCCGGCGAGCTGTGATGACAAGGGCAAAGAAGAATCTCAGTACGTTATTCCGTCTGAACCGGGAGATGTACAGGGTGGGGTGCGAGAGGTGCAACGGTGCGGTGCTCGGTTCCGGTCGACGAGCGAGAGTTGCGGGTAGAACATCTTGCTAGAACGGTTGTGCCGGTTGTCTTGGTCCCGACTTCTTTTCTTTTCTTGCATTCGCTTGCTTGCGTCTTCCCTAGATTTTCTCCCATAGCCCAAATCTTCCGGCTTCTTCCCTCGTCTGCTCGTCTGCCAGCACCATCACCAGCGCCGATATCCCGCACCACCACCTGTCACATCTCCATGTATTTGTCGAGACCCACCTTGAGCTCGGCATCGAGACGAGCGGACTCGTAAGGACGACGGGGAACCTTGTAGGTCTTGGAGTGGGCCCTGGGAGCGCTGTTGATCGTAGAACCGTAACGAGAGGACGTCAGCGTTCAGAACATCCTGGGCCGGTTCATTGAGAGCTCGAGGTCGACTAACAGAGGCATCTGAGATTTGGCGAAAAGTCGAAATTCGAGAGAAAGCGATTAAAAGTTTGACGACACGAGCGGATCAGCTATTCGTTCAGTCTTCTTCCAGAGTTGACGTCCGAGAGATGATATCAAGGGTGTGAGAGACGACTCACTTTTGTCGATGGGTGTCGAAAGTTCCGGGGAAGGGCACGACGTCGACGGGTGTGTGGATTGACGAGTTGATGATTTCGATATCGAGATCAGACCAGGAGAGCCCGGACGGCGCGAGAGCAGCGAAGCACGGTCGAGGCAGGCAAGGCGGTTGGTTGCTAGGGCGTGAGCCGTGGCTGGGTGGTGGGTGAGGTGGGCTGGGCTCGCGCGAGACACTCGCAGGGTCGAAGTGTGCGAAAAGACCGGATAGAAGCGCAATCCCTTGCGAGGTCTTCAAGCGCGATCGAGCGGGACGCGCTTCTAAGTATCGCCGACTTTTCCCTACTGGGCTTTCAGCACGGCGCCTCGCGACCTCCACCTTTGGCTGGCCGTGCCGCCTGGACCCTACTACCCCTACCGGATCCCGTCACACTCTCTGGCTTCGCAGGGGGGGACTCTGTGAATCTCGGAGCGAGCGAACCTCTCACGCCCAGGACTCGGTCGAGATCAACCTCGAACCTCGTCAAGATATCGTCTTCGTAAACCCCCCTGGCTCTTGCTCGTTTTCGTTCTAGGCCACCGACAACCACCCTCCCATCAACACTGTGAGCGTCAGGTCCTGTTACCTCCCGATAGATCGAGGTCAAAGGTCGAAGATGAAAGGCATGTTACGGGTCAACATCGGGAGCGGACGGACGGACACGATTGGCATTTTCGTCTTGCTGGATCTCTTCTCCCTCTTTCGATATGTGTGCGAGGCCGTGTGTGTGTGTGCGGATGGATCACAGGGAAACGGATTATGGAGGACAACGGTCGACCTTCAAGCGCCGCAATGGATGTGACGGAGGACAACTATAGAAACGACGATCATCATCGAAGGATTATGAGAAAAGATAACGCGAGCAGCAAACCCGAGAGGAAGGAAGGATTTCTCTGACGCTTGAGAGGGAGATGCGGACGGAATTGGGAGAAGGATGCAGGACTTGCAACAAAGAATCACAAGCGGGAGGTCTTGCGATCGACATGCGCTATTCGCAAATTAGAAAGGCGACGACAATCGATACAGCGATACCAATGGGGTTGACGGGGAAGTGTCCATTTGGCCTCCTCCATATCCGAGACGGAGGCATCAGGCAACAATTCTCGTCGCCCATATACAATCCATACGCACACTCGCCCCACACACGCACACACGCACATACGCACATGTATCGAATTAGGGAAAGAGGCTCGCCGAGGCAGACGACCGTCCGTTTGTCACTCGATCCGACCCGTATCATCGACTTCATCATCGACTTGGCCTCGACCTCCGATCTAGATCGTTCCCAGTTGGCGGAGTACGTCTTTACTGACAATCGACCTTCCCTTTCTCTCACGACTACCATAGTATAAGGACCGAATAACCTTTCAAAATGCCTCACTCTTTCGGTATCAGGGCGCGAACGCGTCACATGTTCAAGAAGGGCTTCAAGGGTCAGTCCTAGTCGAATTAGCCAACTGGCGAATTGCGGGGGTGGAATAAGGAAAAGCTGACAGGAGTCGTAATGGTGCGGCGGAATAGAGCATGGTGCCCCCAAGATGGCCACCTACTTGTCGACCTACCGAATCGGTGACATTGTTGACATCAAGGCCAACGCCGCTGAGCAGAAGGGTATGGTAAGTAAAGTTACCTGCCGAACAGAATGGAATCCCGAAGCGATTTTCAGTCGGCTAACGATGATCCCCTCTTTCCGCCTCACAGCCCCACAAGTTCTACCACGGAAAGACCGGTATCGTCTACAACGTCTCCCCCCGAGGAGTCGGTGTCATCTGCTACAAGGTCGTCAACGGTCGATACATGGAGAAGCGTGTCAACTTGAGGGTCGAGCACGTCAAGCACTCCAAGTGCAGGCAGGAGTTCTTGGACCGGGTTGTCAGCAACGCCGCCAAGAAGAAGGAGGCCAAGGCCAAGGGAGGTGAGTCGATGCCGCGGATGCCCTCGAGCGGGAAAGAATGGTTAGCTGACAGACGAACCGTTCTTTCTGTTGCGTGCCATACACAGAGTTCGTCCAGCTCAAGCGTCTCCCTGCCCAGCCCCGAGAGGCCCACACCGTCTCCACCTCGGACAACGCCCCCCAGACCCTCTACCCCCTTCCTTACGAGACCACCATCTAAGCGAGAGCAAATGTTTTTCGTTTCTTTGTGGGCTGGTTGGGCAGATGATGATGACGAGGAGGAGGATGTGTATTCAAGAGTCTTTGTTCACTATACAACTCGGCGAGATGAGAATACATGTTACCACATGACGAGCTGGTTCGAAACGTGATGCTTTGCGCATCGGAGCCGGCCAGACCACCTCTAAGCTTGACACGTGGTTCGGGTACGCTGTGTTGAGAACCTGTCTGCCTTGGCAAATGTTCATGCGGGAATCCGAACGCATCGGCCTATGTTTGTGTTTCGTTCCCTTGTCCATTTTAAAGGCTTGGTGGGTCAGCACGGACGAGCCACTCGATTTTATGTCCGTTCCCCGCTGTTCTCGGTGTATTGCTCGTCCCGATCAATCGGACCGAAAACTGTCCGAGAACGATCACTGACCGGGCAATGGGTGAAACAAATGAGCATTCAGAGGTCATAAGCCATGGCCGGGTGGACTTGGATCAACAATACCAGAACAACCATGACGGCCGTACAGACCAATTCACAAAATCCAATCGATCAAGTAAACCAATACGCTACCTGATTCGACCATGTCGTCTCCACTCTACATCGGTCTGGACAACAGCACGCAAGCCCTCAAAGCTGTCGTCATCGACCAGCACTTGAACACGCTGTACGAACACCGACTGGACTTTGCCGACGACCTACCAGAATACAAGACCAAGAGCGGGGTCATCATCGCTGACGATGGATCCGTCTTGGCACCCGTCTTGATGTACGTCGAGGCGATGGAGAAGGTGTTTGACAACCTGAAATCACAGTGAGTGTTTTCACGATTCGGCGACCGGTCCCGAGCTGACGAAATGCGGGTGGTCAGGGGTCTCGACTTTTCGCGAGTCAAGGCGGTATCTGGAGCGGCCGCTCAGCATGCTATCGTCCTCCTCAACTCCAAATACCGAGCTGCCTCTGAGGGATTATCCTCGGACCAGTCCCTGAAGACTCAGCTGTCCGATGTCTTTGCCTCCCCCTTCGCGACCAACTGGCAAGATTCGACTACGACCAAACAATGTCGAGAGATGGAAACGGCGATTCACCAAGTCGCAAACGGGTCGAGCCCTGGAGCGAGCATGGCCCAAGTGACCGGCTCATCGGCACACGAACGGTTCTCGGGACCTCAATTGAAAAAGGTCTACCAGACCAACCGGGAGGTGTTTGACAAGACCGACCGGGTGTGCGTTTTGAGCGCCTTCTTGACGACGTTGCTGTGTGCCGATGGAGAGGTGAAAGCGGTCGACGAGGCGAGTCGGCCTCACTCCAACCTTTTTCAAGAGGACACCAGGTAGCTGACCCTGATTCATTATGCGTCACCGACATAGGCCGATGCATCTGGAGCGAATTTGTACTCAATTCCCGATCGCAAATGGAACCCGACCCTTCTCGGTTCTATTGTAGGCGCCGATACGGCCAACGACGATGTCCAGCGTATGATGGGCGCCGTCGAGCGCGACCCGAGAAAGAGCGCTGGTAAAATCGGAAAGTGGTTCCAGGACCGTTATGGATTCGCTTCAGGTGAGTCATTGTGTCGACCCGAGCGTGATTCCAAGCTGACCTAGTAGTATCCGTTGAACAGACTGCGAGGTAGCCTACTTTACGGGTGACAACCCGGCTACCCTGCTCTCGTTTGCTTTGGTGCCGTGAGTCAACCTTTTCAGACCAGTTGATTTACGGATATACAGCTAAGATGATATCGGACATATCAGGGGCGATGCTGTGGTCTCGCTCGGAACCTCGGACACGGTTCTCCTGGCGACCGAAAAGTACAACCCCCATCCGAATTACCACATCTTCCCCCATCCTGCTGGCAACGACAAGAACGGCGGTGAGCGATACATGGGCATGTGAGTCTGTCAAAGAAGGACCGAAATTTGGTGTCCAGTACCCTGATACCTCTTGACGATCCAGGCTTTGCTACAAGAACGGATCTTTGGCCCGAGAGATGGTACGAGATGGAATCAACGGCTCGTCAACCAAATCTTGGGACTCGTTCAACAGGGCGGTGCAAGACACCCCAGCGCCCAAGCTCGACTCGAAGGAGAAAGACGTCTTCGGTTTCTACTTCCGAGACCACGAGATTATCCCCCGGAACGTACAAGGACTGTACCGTTTCGACGCTGAAATGGACATGGAATCGGAACCGCTCAACTTGAAGTCGCTCGACGCCGTACGCTGGTCCACATCGGACGCCAAGAGGATCTTGGAATCGCAGTTCTTGAGCTTCAAGAGCAAGATCAATCAGCTCTTGCCTGCAGACTCGCCTAGCCTTCGACGCATCTACGTCACTGGTGGCGCGAGCGCAAACCCCGTCATCACATCTCTGCTGAGTACCGTACTCAACGCTCCCATCTATGCGGGTGGCAGTGCCCAGGGATGTGCTATGGGTGGTGCTTACCGGGCGGCCTGGTGTCACGCCAGCAAGCAGGGCGGGGATGTCGAGTTTGCCGAGTTTGTCAAGAACAGCAGGAACGCCAAGGAGACGGTCGAGGCCGAGGGCAGGGTCGTCGCTCAGCCTGACCGGGATCTGGCCAAGGTCTATGACGATCTGTTAGAGTCCTGGAGAAAGGCAGAAGCACAGGTCATTCAGGCTTGCGCAAAGTAGCTCCCCGGTCTTGGTCCATTTCATTTGCTGATGTCTCGGAAAGGTTCTCATACCCATGATTGTAGTATCCACATATAGTTGTTCAATCTCTCATGCATTCAGGCGATCTATACAAGCTTCTTTTGTCCCAAAACCGGGGTCGGTTGAGCTGGGGCTTCCTTGATGGCAACGACTTCGGCCACAGGGATTTCCTCCGTGATGATACCGATCGGTTTCACCTGAGCCGTTCCGACTTCCTGGACAGCAGCTGCTGTCTTGACCTGTTCCGCAGCCCGCCTCTTCTCAATCTCGTGCATGACGTCCGACTTGACGTGGCTCGCACGACCGAGAGCGTCTCCTAGCTTCAAACCCGTCGAGTCCTCGATCGAATGGGTGATCTTGCTTCCGAGCCCTCGTGCGTCCTCAGTGAGGTGTTCGGCGCGGTACATGGCAGAGGAGAATGTCGAGGAGAGTTGTCGGTTGATTTCGTTGTGCTGAGCGGCCAATTCGGGGAAATGGGCGTCCTCGACGTTTGAGAGGTATTGTCGGACATTGCGGGAAGTTTTGGGCAGGAAGTAAGGAGCAGCCGAGACGAAGAGGAGAGGAGGGAGTGTCAGACGAAGCAGAATGTTCCCTGTAATCGAGTTTTGTTGAGAAAGGAAATCGCACCGTGAGCTCAAATATGGTGCTCACTGTTTCGAGCCAAGACGGATCCAGCAAGTCCGGCGACACCGACGTAAAGGATCCCAGGGGTCAGAGGCTCGTCCTTGGGAATGACCGACTTGACTTCACCTGCAAGAATGCCGTTCCAATCCGATGGTGGATCAGCAGCAAGTTCCTGTTCATTTGCATTTGGCCAATCCTGCTACCCACGCTCAACTCGTCGCTCAAACTTGACCCACTTGTCGACTCCGCGGTCGACCTGAACCCGAGCATCTCCCAAGATATCACTGACAGCTTCTCTTGCTACCTTGACATGGGGGACGAGGGGGTTGGGCTCCTCGACCAGAATGACTTTTGGTGCAGGACCAGGGTAGATTGAGAGCTAGAGAAGCACGATAATCCGTTTCAGCTACGGATATCACCTCGACATCTACCTAGAGCCTTACCTTTTCCTGAGACATTCCGGGACCGTTCTTGATGCAAGTGAAGGAACTAGACCGAGGCTGGACCAAGCTGAATGACCATGCAGCCTGAACAACTCGAAACTACATCGTTCGGGTCTTTGACCTCATCAGTCGACCATCTCCCTCGCTATCGCTGACGGCATTCGCATGCGTCGTGCACCGCGGATCGCGTTGAGATTTATGACATGGATCGTTCATCATAGTTGATCACCTTACAGCCAAACATGTACAACCACCACCCTCAATCTCTATCTGTTCCGGTCTCCGTATCGCTAGCTGTCACACTCTCTTCAAAGCTTTCCTCCCCACCCGTGTCTCCCAAAGACTCCCGCAGCCCAGCTTGATCTTCCTCTGCCGAGCTCGTACTGGTATTGCGCCGCCGCTGTATCATCATCGACGGAGCCGGGCTCTTTTGTACGGTCTTGCCTCCCGCTTGGCCGCTAGTCCTCTTCATCGGTGTGGAGGGTAGAGGTAATCCATCGATATCCTCACTTTCGGTCCGCTCGTGGCTCAGTTGGCTAGTGCGAGCGAGCGAGGAATTTCCATCCGTTTCCGAGGCTTTCAAGACAAGACCACCATCACTGGCTTCTGTCGTCTCTGATTCCACAAAGCTGACTGTCCGGCGCCCATTCGGATCGTTGTCCAGTTTCCTCGCATCAACGCCAGTCGCTTGTTGATTGAGGCTTGGTGCGATAGCTCGTCTGGATGTCGCAGGCTTCGATGATGGTCGGAATATCAACGAGATGAGGACGAATGACATGAGAGCCGATGTCAGAGTCAGGCCGAAAGCGATAGGAGGAAGTATGATGACGGGAATCAGCCAGTGCGATGTGAGTAGCCATCTACCCAAGCGGAAAGAAGCGTCCATCAGCGAATGTGCTCGACGTGTAAAATCAGGCATAACAGACCCACCTCAGTCCCGTCGCACGGGGTATAAACCTGACAATCACCCAACCACCCGTCCTTACTTCCCCCTTGTATCCGCCCGCTCCATCTTCCCGCCCTATTGATACCCCAACCCCACCGACAATCCTACCAGCAACCTTCCTCCCCGATGGTCTCGGCACAAGACCCTCTTCGTGATCGATCATAGGTCTGACGAGCAAGAATTTGTCCTTGCTGGCCTTGCTTGATCTCTTCTTCTTTCCGCTCCGGCTTAAGATTCCGAATAGCTTGAAAGGGTTCACAGATGTGATCCGCGGTACCGGTACAAAAGAGTAGAGGTTCAAGGGGGAAACTGCAAGGGGAATCGAGATCAGGCGTGACAGTATGCCGGGAGGAACATATGGTAGTGCCGGCAGACACTGAGAGGTGTACATGGTCAATACCGACTACGGCTTTGGCTAGCTCACGAGACTCACAGGTTGAGAAACCGTCTGAATGGTGTCCCCGCTCTTCTCCGAGATCAAGTCCAGGTTGATCATAAAGCTCCCTGAAGGTGTCTCACAAGTCAGCCGCCATACTCTGACTTGATCCAGCAGAAATCAGACACTGTACCTAGGTCCTCGCTTCCTAGCCTAGGTCGCAGCAGCTCCAACTCGACCTCCACATCGTAAGCGACATCCTGCTGAAACAGCTTGACTGGCGAGAATGTGACCTGCGTATGAGGTGTAGGGTTGAGCTTGGACCTGTATACAACCAAAAGACGTGAACATGAGCATTCGCTAGCTATCGTGTTAGGAAAGGGTATGACTTACCCGTAGATGAGCCATCCTTCCACCTCCACAGCCCCATTTCGGCCCCAAGTGTACCAAGTTCCGGCGACCGATAGCGTTGACAGAATCCCGCTTGCGAATAGCAAGGAGGCCAACAGGATCGACTTGACTGTCAACGAGACGGTAAGAGGAGAAGTAGCGATCTGGTAGATCTTTCGGATTGGAAAGGTGATGCTATTGCAGGCAGGTGTCGTTCAGCAATCTTCCAGCTTCAGAGAAAGGTAGAGGTGGAGTGCCGCTTACGGGAAGAGCGAGAGTCTGAGGAGTGTCATCAGAAAACTGAAGAAAGCCGAGTCCGTTTCGTTCCCTGCTGTTCTTCTTCTAGGAAACTCGGCTCTCCTATAGTTGATAGGAGGAAGAGGTTGCGCTGCCATGTGGGCTGGGGGAGGGCCTTGCCGATGTTTGAGGATCGAGCCAGGAATCATCCTGGTGAACCGGAACGCGAGTTGCACTAGCTCGAGCAGTACAGGGCTGAGTATACGAATACTTAGAAGTCAGCAGCAGCAGATCAGTAGTTGGTGTACTGACGGCCTGAAGATACCGACAAGACCGGAAGACCAACTTGAAGCACCCGAGTGTTTTGCGTATAGCGTATAGCACCCCCCTTGGCCCCCTTGCGCTCGCTAACTTACATGGTGGTTGAGCGGTGACGTAATCCAGTAGAATGGCTCATTTATGATCACGTGATCTCGAGCAGATGATTTAGCTTTCGTCGCGTCGCGTAGGTTGAGTTATATCACTTTGTCACCCGCTCTTGCCGCGACTTTTTGCTTCCGTCGAGGGGGAGAGAGGGTCGATCAACCACACCCCCCGCCGATGGACCGCTTCATCTCATCTCTCTCCCTCAAGTCCTCCTCATCGCCACCCACCCTTGTATCAAAAAAGTGCAATCACCCACGACCATCTTTCTCAGTCATCAGCTCATCAGTCACATATAGCATCGTCTCTAAAATCTTAGTCAATTAAGAAGAACTCCGCCATGTCGCAAGAACAAGACCCCGATATGATCGAAGAGGAGGACGAGGAGGCCCTCATCTCGGGACCGCTGCTCGTAGCGAAACTACAGGTGAATACCGGCTAGCGTTGCATGCTTTCCCTTGCTTCAACTGAAATTGTATCCCTGTCAACTCTCAGGAAGCTGGTATATCGGCATCAGACACCAAGAAGCTCCAAGATGCCGGTCTTAATACCATCGAAGCCGTCGCATTTACGCCGAAGAAGACGTTGTTGACAATCAAGGGAATTAGCGAGGCCAAGGCAGACAAGATCCTCACCGAAGGTGAGTATCTCAACACTGCCTTATCCCAGCACGCTGTTTTCACCAAGATGCCCTCCGCTTGTGATAGCATGCAAGCTAGTCCCGATGGGATTCACCACGGCGACCGAAATTCACTCTAGGAGAAGCGAGCTCGTCCATATTACGACCGGAGCAACTGGACTGGATACGATTCTAGGTGGAGGTATCGAGACCGGGGCTATCACTGAACTCTATGGTATGTCTTGCCACACCATCACTTTCAAGCCATACGATCTCGTCTGATCATTCTCGCCCCGCTTGGCCGACCCTGTTCAGGCGAATTCCGAACGGGTAAATCCCAAATTTGCCATACCCTCGCTGTCACCTGTCAACTCCCGATCAGTATGGGCGGAGGAGAGGGTAAATGCCTGTACATCGATACCGAGGGGACTTTCCGACCCGCACGTATGCTGGCCGTCGCCGAGCGCTATGGGCTCAACGGAGAAGAGGTACTGGACAACATTGCTTATGCGAGAGCGTACAATGCGGAGCATCAGTTGAGCTTATTGATACAAGCTAGCGCGATGATGGCGGAATCCAGGTTCGTCCGATCTTTTCGCAGGTATCGATTGATACTGTATTTCATTCTAACGATTCATTTCGCTTGTGCAGGTTCGCCTTGCTCATCGTGGACTCGTGTACTTCGCTGTATCGTACCGACTTTTCAGGACGAGGAGAGTTATCGGCACGTCAGATGCATTTAGCAAAGTTTCTGAGGATGTTGATGCGACTCTCGGACGAGGTGAGATTGTCAGCCCGCTCTTCAAGACTGATACAGTCTTCAAGCTGGTAATCAAGCTGACCCTAATATTACCCGGACGTTAGTTTGGAGTGGCGGTAGTGGTTACCAACCAGGTCGTAGCGCAAGTAGACGGTGCCATGTTTGCCGGTGCCGATCCGAAAAAGCCGATGTGAGTCGGTTACATCCATAGTCAAAACACGATCCACGCTTGTAATACTCATTGATACTGATCGAGTGCTTCTCACCTTGCAGTGGAGGAAACATCATGGCACACGCCTCCACAACACGGCTCTCCTTGCGAAAGGGTCGAGGAGCGACCCGAGTGGCCAAGATTGTCGATTCGCCCGAATTACCTGAAGCGGAGGCTGTCTATTCCATCAAGTACGTTGCACATCGGAATACTGTCAATACAGAAGGACGCAGGCTGATCGTCGGTATTGAAATGATAGTGCGGACGGTATTGGCGAACCCCTGGAAGATGGGTCGTAGGCGTCTCATTCCGGGTATCTCGTGTCCGTTTCCTACTCCCTTTCTATCATTGCTTGATTCCCTCGACTCTGTCCTTTATATTCCCTTCTTTGGATAGCCCGACTGTATGCACATTCGAAATAACCTGGTTGTAATCGAGATATACCAAGATCTAGCGAAAGATGAGGCTCCCCTCTTGTATGCACGTCGCCTTTGATCCCGGCATGCGACGAAAGGGAGCATCACGGCTTCACCTTGTTTAATAGCTCCTGTCTGCATGCATGCATGCTTACAAGCGACTCGGCACCTTCCGACTCCTTGCTTCTGAGCCGTCATTGAATCTTCGAATTAGGGTCAAGATGATCAACTATGTGATGCTGGTCAGCCGGCAAGGTCAGTCTCAGGGATGCAGCGATCGCTCGATGATCAGCTTCTAAAGTGTTGTTAGGTAAACACAACAGGCAAGGTCAGACTGGCCAAGTGGTTTCAAACCCTTCCACCGAAAGCAAAGGCCAAGATCGTCAAGGACGTCACACAACTGGTCTTGGCTCGTCGAACACGGATGTGTAACTTTTTGGAATACAAGGGTGAGCTGCCATTGCTGAACGAAAGGACGCCGGAAAGTGCCAGTACAGATGGCTAGCCGAATCTGACGTATTGTTCTGTTATATGTTGATGTAGACACCAAGATCATCTACCGGCGATATGCTTCCCTGTTCTTCATTTGTTCAATCTCCCCGAGCGACAACGAACTGCTTACGCTGGAGATCGTACACCGATACGTCGAAGTACTGGATCGCTACTTTGGGAACGTTTGTGAACTGGATCTGATCTTCAACTTTCAAAAGGCTTATGCTGTGAGTATTGCAGACCTTCCTCGCTCCATGAATGGCGAGCTCATGCTGACAGTGCATCCGGTCCGTTAAGATTCTGGACGAGCTGATTATCGGCGGAGAGATACAAGAATCGAGCAAGAAAGCCGTACTACGAGTCGTAAGTCGCAGCGCATCCATCACCTGCGTCTCGGAAACTGACGCTTCTCATGCAGGTTGCCCAGAGCGATACGATCGAAGAAGCCGAGATTCAGGAAGATTCGCTGGCAAGATTGGGAAGTTACGGCAACATGGCGGTGAATTTGGCCCGTGGCTGAGATCATTACCAGAATCAAGTCACACCCTTAGACGACTTGGTATGGTATGTGTTACATCAAAGTTGTATCGAGTTGTGCGCTGTCGTTATATCTATTTCGTTATATGTCCAACGGCAAATGCCGTCATCGAAGCTCCAAGCCCATCTCGTCAACCAATCGACCGCTCGCTATGCTCTGCAGCTTGTTGACCTCTTCATTTGATAGCGATCTGAAAAAGAAAGCGAGAGTTAGACCCATGGTATGCGCAGCTAGCTACGCGTTGACTGACCTATCCATCGATCGGTAAGTGATACGATAGCACTTGCTTTTTCTGCCGGTCTTCTTGTGCGTAAAGTCGTCGATCTGGTATCTCGCACAGTCAGTCTACGTTGTAGGAGGGTTGACCGGAAAACGGACGAGAACCACTCACGAGGTTGACATTCTCTACCAGGTCCCCGGCCACATCCCTGACGATCTCGCAGAAATCGTTCTCGTGGAATGGCTTCCTGCCCTGCACAACGGCACCGCCTCCGCCGGCAGCCTTAGCTCCGTGTTCCTCTGAGGCGGTTTCGGGCAACCAGAAGCTGATATCCTTGATGCATGGCGGGTATTTTGAGTATGGCTGGAAGGTAGTTATCTGTCCGGCCTGGAATTGCTTGGTGAAGCGAGCGTCTTCCGACCAGAACAGACGGATGTCAGGTATCGAAAAGAGAATCATGGCGATGCGTTCGAGACCCAGTCCAAAAGCCCAGCCGATTTTGTGGGGCACGTCTATGACGAGAGAGGCATATCAGTCCGTGGGGCCATGATATCGAAAGTGACATACCGATCTTACCTGCAGTGATAAGAGTCTGCTGTTTGACTACTCCGCAACCGAGAATCTCGAGCCATTCGCCTCCCCACCAGACCTCGACCTCGTAGCTAGGAGATGTAAAGGGGAAGAACGCCTCGATCCACCTGACCTTGAGCGGTTCCTCATTCGAAGCAGCACCTCCTGGTCGGGTCTGTCCGAACAGGCGGAAGATGAGCGAGTTCAGGCTATGCTTCAGGTTTTGCGCGACCTCTGCAGCAAATTCCGGGTCATGTTCCGCCTGATAAGGGTTGTCACCTGACGTCATTGCGATATCTTCGATAAGCAGAGGACAGGCTTCCAGTTGCTTTTTCATCTCAGCGTTCAGCTTCTTCAATACGGCCAGGTCGCTTTGCTCCCAAACTCGAGCTCCTTCCATCTGGTGAAAAGCGGGATAGTGGGAAGAATCGATCTCGTCCCGCCTGTAAACATCCGCAGAGAGGAGCCAGCTGTCATGTCCAGCCCTGAATGTGGCAACCTCGTGAGCTGAAGTATGTGTCCGCAACATGTTGTCCTTGTTGAGGTAGTAGGAATCCGTCATCGAGCGGCCTGGATGATCAGGAGCGAAGCCGAGTTCGTCAAAGTTCTCCTTGACTGTGACTACAGCTGCAGCGGGCGAGACAGGCGTGAAACCCTTGAAATGGGATTCGATTTGGGACCGAAGGATCCCTATAGGATGGTCGGCCTGGTCGTGCAACCGTTTCGGGATCTTGGAGAGGATTGTCCCAGGAGTATTCGTCCAAGCGTCCTTAGGATATGCAATCCCTCCGACGACGAGGTCTTGTTGTACTATTGTCGTTTGTAGAAACTATCAGAAAACGTGGAAGACTGGAAAGATTTTGCGGATTACTCACCCTTACTCGCCAACCCACGTAGACTTGACACGTTCAAAGGTCCTACTGCAGTTCGGCATCCTGCGAGCAGGGAGATTCGGCCGCATCGTACTAAAGACACGGCCCTGCCCCGTACCTGTGCGCTGATATTCGAGCACAGCATCGTGTCCTCGACAGTCCTTCTAGCCAGAACGCCTGGATATACGTAAGATGATGATGAAGCTATTCTTGCACATCTAGCTGAAAGCAAAGTGTTTCGGTCGACTACGAGTACGAGGAACTTTGAAATCGCTTGCCCTCGCTCCGGGACGGAAGTAATCTCGGTCCGTGAAATATCGACACTGCACGTAATAAACCCATCAATCTAGAAGCAGCACAATGGTTGAGAAACGCTTCTGGCAGAATTTATATCCTGCCATAACGTGTCTGCCGGTTGTTCACCGAAAGTGTGCTTTGCCTCGACCGTTTGCTCAAGGTTTGAACCACAGGTTGCGCCATGGAGCTTTCGTTTCGCGTCTTTGGAAATAGAAACGGCATGCGTCGCTCTGCACTTTGGCCTCAGAAATGGTTATGGTCATATTACCCACTCCGCCTCCTCTGGACTCATGACCGACATTTTAGGGACGGCCATTTTGCTCGCTACCGACCGCCATCGGATCGTCGTTGATCCGATATTCTCTAACTTCCCGTCCAGCTGTTTATTCTTGGTCGAAGCCGCGTCGTGGTAGGTTCCTATCAAGACCGGTTGTTCCCCTACGAATCTCTCATAGAGCCTTCGTATGGTCCGGAGGGGTATTCTGAGCTGAAGGGAATCGGGCCGTGAGGTAGGTCGTGCCCGCTCCTCTTCTGGCGCAGACCATTCGGCCTTGGGGATCAAGGATTTGCTTAGATGGGATATCCGCACCGGAAGCGGGTAGCTCTCAAGGGTTTTCAGGCGTTCCAGACTTTCTGTCATCCGATCTGATATCCTGAACCAATCCTTCAACCGCCTTTCTTCGTTCTTGGTCAACCCGGCTGTGAGTGCTGCAATCTCGTCCCGATTCAGCGGCCTCTGCTTCATCTCCGCTTGAGGTTGTTTCCCTTTTCTGGGTTCGATGTCGACACGATTACGAGACGATGACCATGATGATATCCGAACGGCCAAGGGGATCGTCATCTTGCTCATCTCCATCGACCTCTCCTCCCAGAGCCTGTTTGCAATGATTCTCGGAGTAGGCAGCTTCAAGCTCGCCCGAGGTTCGTTGTCTAGGGGCTTTTTCGTCGGTATGAGTGCTGCAATGTGGGCAGGGTATGGTGAGGGAGGCTGTGATCGTCGGGAGAGGCTAGATGAAGGATCCGGGGGTGGGCGTTGTAGCGATGGGGGATAGATCGTCTGTGATCCAAAGTTCATTTCAGCCGATCAAGGAGACTCGCACCGATGATCGCATAGCCCATCTCTACTTACATCAAGGAAATCCCAGCGCCGCTTGCCTCTTCGAGCATAGGTCATGTCCATCATCCTCTGGTATTTCGTATGATCGCCTTTCGCCACCTCCTTGATGGCTGTCAATTCCTGTTTCCATCATATTATAAGTTAGCCGGTTCATCTCTCTATCGGCGGAACCGCTAACGTACCCTTTGCAATTTCGAGAGTAATCGAGCTGGGTCACGGGAGGGAGCTTCTGGAACCCCAGGTATTTGCTTGTAGTGCGCGCATTCGGTCGCAACGTCAGCTATCGTGCGACATCGCTCGTAATAGTAATGCCTAGGAGGATCTTCAGAATAAGTCGAGCGACCTCTTCAGTAGAAGATACCAATAGACTCGCCTGATCTCGCTATCCGGAATCAGACGGAGATACTGCAGAAATTTCCGATAAATGCTACGGATCGACGCGGAATCCGATGTCTTGATCTGCATCTTTTGTCACGGCTTCTGACAACCGTTCCAAGGGGGTTGATGTGGTCTGAAGAGCTGTAAGAGCGACGATATTCTGGGTGCCTTTTTCGACAATCGAGAAGGGCAGTTGCGCAGTTGTGTGTATTAGCTTCGGTCCTGTCCTACTCATACTCGTCTACATCCTTTTGACATGGCAACAAAGTAAACAAAGCGTCATTTACGCTTCCGGGACCGGTCGAACCTCAGAAGATCAGAAGATCAGACTCGCCTTGGTTGTTGCGAGTACTACCGCCATCAGTCGTATGCGCTTTCGGAGCTACGTGTTTTGCACTGCTTGACAGCTCCCCTTTCCCTGCCTCATGTGGCCCCGTCATGGCTCGCTGCTGAGCATCCTATCGGTATCGGCGCTCTCCCCGGCGGTACTCGCCGTCTGGCCGTTTCCCGAGCGACAGTACAAGGTTGAAGGTTGGATCAATAGCGGACAGTTGGGCCTCGATATCAAAGGCAGCGTCGTAGCTCTAGGAGATTGGGACGCAGATCAGTAGTAAGTTCTTCTCAGAGAGATCATCACTAGGGCTGAAACGAATAGGCACGATCCGTCAACAGTCTAGACTTGTTCGTCCTAGACGACAGCCGGACGAACGTGCAGATACATCGCTTCGATCCAGGTGAGAGACATTTCTTTTGTCTTTGCCATTCCTCTATTGCCGAAACTGACTTGTTGAATCGCAGTCGGTCATGTCTACCAGCTAGCACATGAGCTGTCGTCCCCGAAGCCCGTAGAGAACGTTATTCCCGCAGACTTCAATCAAGATGGACGGCTCGACCTCGTACTGCTTACCGTCAACGATGGCACAGACCAAGGATGGTGGGCGCATGGAGGTGATGATTTAGTCGCAATGTTACATATTCAGGAAAAGGATGGCGCCCCTAGTAAGCCTCGACCGTCGGTTCCGTTCAGTCTAGACAAGCCTTCGACCGTTGAGATTCACTTCCGCCAACAGGAAAGGAAGGCATCAACATCGAGGGCTTCACACATAACCAGCCTTTCATCGTAGACGCCGACGGAGACTTGAAACCAGATCTCCTCGGTACGGGCCGGACAGAATCCGGAGGGGAATCCCTGCAAATGTGGAAAGAATCGGACGGGGTATTCGAGAGGTATGTTCGGTGTAGTGATCCAAGGCAGTCTTCCTAAGAAGTGCTCGATCAATTTGAGCTCACCTAACTATATTGATGCAGGTATCAAGTTCCGCTAGAGCCGGCAACGAAACTTTGCCGATTAGCAGAACCTCATAGTAACGCTTTTGTCGATCTCGATGGAGACTGCCTTGCAGGTAAGCCTTTCTTCGCCGCTTAGTACCTCGCTTACATGCAGAGCATCCTTACTAGCCAACTCTCTCGTCTATGCAGATCTGTTCTTGATGTGCGAGCGCTCGGGCTCGAAGCGCTCTTTCCAAATCTGGCGTAACAGGAAGGCCGCTGGGTTCCATCTCGCGGGCGAGTGGGATTTACCGGCTGGCGCCGGAGCTGTAACATTTGCAGATATGGGTAAGCTATATCGTTTGGCGGATCGGCCAGGACAAGCAGTCCTTTGTGCTGAAGAGTACCACACCGCATAGACCGTGACGGGACAATCGATCTGGTGTTCCCTACATGCTCGTCCGTGTCGTCTTCGACCGGTATAGGACGAGGCTGTTCGATCAACATTGCTTACAACAAGCAGAAACCGCTGTGTTCATCGTCCAGTGGCAGTTGGCTAGCGGGACTCTCACAAGTGGTAGCCGTACCCAAGAAGGACTGCAGGGAGTCGTTTGATCTATGCACGGCGGATGAAGCTTTCACTTTTGATCTGGGCGCGACGAGCGATGTGGGTCGGGCTCGTCTTATCGGTACAAGAACAAAGTCACAAATATGCTAAACTTGACACTATATTGTAGGCATTTACCACTGTACCAGTCGTTTCTCTCTTCCCTGGCACAACCTCGCTATTGTTTGCGGAGCCAAAGACCTCGACCAGCAAGACTGCCGCTCATATACCGTTACGGATCGGCGATTACAACATCGACGGGTTCCCGGACATCTTGGTGCTCGTACCAAATAACACTGCAGCACCCCCCTCAGGAGGCATCTTCGGGGGAGGCAGGAACCCCGGCGTACAAGTACGGGTGCTCGAGAACACAGCCTGCAAGAAAAAAGACGCCGCTTGCCAAGATGGCAAATACCAGGCGAGAAGACGACATTTCAAGGTGGAGGATGAGGTTGGGATGAGCGCTCTCGACGACATTTGGGATGCGACGAATGCGGCTTGGTTGGATGTTGGAGAAGATGTGGGTGACGGCAACAGCAAGATCTCATACATGGCAGGAACTGATGGGTACCGTTCTTACAGGGCACCCTGGACATTATAGTTGAACGCACTGGCAGACAGGACGCCGGACGAGTAACCTTCATCAAGAATAATGCCTTCCATGATGCATTTTTCCTCAAAGCCCTTGGTCAGCCGTGTGTGACAATAGCTCCTTGTAGCTATATCTGACGAAATCCCCCTCCAGTGCTAGACGGAGCCTGTCAAGGCGATGCCTGTATTTCCGCTTCAGATGGCGAATCCTACAGCGTGAGCAGAATATGGCGCAACGAGTTCAGAAGCCGTAGCTGATATCCTTCGACGTGCAGCCTTATGGAAGCAACCTTCCAGGTGGTAACTTCAAATTCACCATCCTGGACACGGCGGGTAACCGGGTACCAGCTCAGAGTAAGTCGACGCGATGTTCCAATGACTACAGTGCACACCTTGACTTTACCATCTTCGGACAGTACCGCAAATGCCTCAGACAGCCTATCGCACCTTGCAAGCACCATATTCGTTCTTTGGACTCGGTCGCACCAATAATTACATTGAGGTCAGTCGCCGATACACGCTGGGTAACGAGGTATGTAGTTGATCGGCTCTTACCCTGCAGAAACTCTTCATTGGTTCTACAAAACACGACCTGGAGCACTATACCACGATAGAAGGCGTCATACCAAACTCTCACATCGTCATCAATCCACCATTGCCTAGCGCAGCCAACGGTTCCGCCGAGGTCCGAGAAGCTTCATCAGACTGGCACAAGACGCTGTATCTGCAGCCTGGCAAGTGGATGCAATGGGTGATTGCTACGGCGACCGTGATCGTCGTGATCTTGGCTGGTGTTACATACATGCTGCACAACGCGGAAAAGGTGGGTCTCTAAATTCATCATCAACAATACATAAGCGCAATCGCTGACGGTTCAATTGCATGACAGCGAGAAGACGAGCTCGACCGAAGAAAAACAATGCATAGGATTAATTTCGCTGCTTTCGGCTAGGGAACGCTCTGCATGGTGAGCGCCAAATTGTTGTAAAATACCCTAGTGTACAAATCATCGCATTGCTCCCGGACCAGCGAGATGCCCCAAATCTAGTATAGATGAGAGCGTATTGATACAAAACGAGTGGCAATTTGGGCAGGATTGAACGCATCTAAAAGGGTAGCCAACCGACCTGTTTACAGCTGGACTTGACACACTCGCTAAGGACCTTTTGTCAGACGTTGTTGAAGCCGGCTTTTGGCGTTCTTTTCCTGGAACTCGATCCATCCGTACCAACCCTAGCCACGAGATGAAAGACTTTCGATCAGCGAACATACATGGAGAATCGAAAAATCTGTACTCACCCCTCCAATCAAGGTCAGGACGATTCCGATACCGTTGGTGAAATTGATGTGGAGGTTGAACAGGAAGACGGCGATGGCAATGGTCAAGACTTGCTTGCAGTTCGCCGCTACCGTCATCGTGAGGGCCTGAAGCGCGAAAGACCTCGTTTCAATACGTATCACATCGGACCGCGAACCCTTGCCAGCACTGCACTTACACCCGTCTTCTTGTTCGCGGAGAAGCTGACGACATTCAACCCGAAAGCGATCATCCCATTGATGAACAAGGCAAATGCCTTCTCCCTGGTCATCTCCCTCGCACCGTATCGTCTGACTCGTTCGAGCTCGCCCGACCACCAGCCGTAGATGACGCATTGGATGAACGCCAGGGGCGACATTCGCATGAGCAGATCGAGAGGGTGCTGATGTCCAGAGCAGGGTATTCTTAGCCCCAATACGTCCCGCCCAGAACTTCAAGCGAGCCTGCTACTTACCAGCTTGAGGCGTCCACCGCCACCTGTCTGAATGACATTGGTGATCACAGTCTTGAAAGCGGCAAGGAAAGTGCCGAGCAGAGTCAAGATAAGTCCCCAGGCGGTGAAATAATAGTCTCCGTAGGTGCTGTGATGCATCGTCGTAAGCTCGACAACGATGAAGATGCCGAGGCGACATTACATGATACTCACGCAAACCCGACTCCAGCGATGACCGGCAACAAGCTGATGAGCTTCATCGCGCTGAATTTACCTCGGAAGAACAACACCGAGATGAGAATGGTGAACAACGGGGTCGACGCCCGGACGACTTGATGGAACTGTCAATACGTAACATCAGTCTTACTGCCTGTCCACGCGATCGGTGGAGACTCACAGGAACTGTGACGAGATGCAGACTGAGATTGCTGACGGCGATATTGATGGTGTACAGGACAGAGAATGCTCCCATGACGAGATTCTCCTTTGATGTCAGTCGAGCCGGTACCTATTGGATATGATAGATCCTCAGTCGGGTTCTTAAGTCAGGAAGTGCGTCCTGAGAAAGGCTCTGGCTCACAAAAGCTCCCCTTTCGAGCGCGATATAACAACCCGCACATCCACTCAGAGCATGAAGTCCAGTCAGGGTCTGCGAAATGCAGTTCAGAAACGGTCAGTACCGAAATCTGAAAAGCATCGACCACCTGCAAAACTTACATAGGGAAAGGGAAAGTTGACCAGGACGACCTTATTAAACAGGGTCAGCCCGAGGTTGAACATGAAGTAGAGGATCAACCAATAAGCCGCCGAATCGGTAAACTTCTTGGTGCCCTCGGCTCCATCCATCGTCAACGGCCGTTTCTCGTCGAAAGAAGGCGGTGCTGTACCGATGGGCGTATGGTTTAGGCTACCAGGTGGGGTGAACTTGTGATCCCGGCCACCGAACGGGACGTCCCGATAATCGTCGCCCAAGTTTATCGAGCTGGTCGGAGGCAGGCCAGTCCCGTAAGGATCGTCCGCGTAGCTAGGCCGCTTCTCGCTGTTCGTCATTGTGATAGAGGATTGTGAAGACGAGGTGGCAGAGGCACTGGCACCTGGAAGTCCGAATTGATGGCTTGGCAGACGGTGTGCGCTCAACCTTCTCGATGTGTTTCCCCCTTCTTCCATAAAAGGACCTGAACCGTCCACCCGTTTATCGTTGAAATGTGACTCTTGAAGCAGCACAGGACTTTTGCTAGTCCTCACGTTATCGGCGAATGAGCTGTCGTTGACAGAGTCGGGAGTGACCGGTCCCGCAGTCGACAGCCCGCTCTGAATGCTATCGTTGCTCGCCGACATGGGGATCGGACGCTCCTCGACCTGGATCGTCGGTAGAGTGTCGATGTGTAAGTTTTTCTGGTCCATCCTCTGAAGTCAGTTTGAGAACAAGTTCTTGTTGGTAGTCGTCGAGACCTGGCAGATTGAGCGATAGTGATTGTGTATGGGGAGCAACTACCGTGGCCGGTGGGATGGATGATTGTCCCTCGTAGATCAAAAGACGGCCGGCGCGAAGGTGGAGGTCGTCGTGTTCCCGTTTCTCGTGGTAATTTGCAAGTAGCTGGTAGAATGTAGTGTCAGGAATAACGAAAGGTGTGATTCGTATCGTGATCGTTTCACAAGACCGAGTTGGGATTGTCAAATGGTAATGTATTGCTAACTGTTCATGCTGCTCAACAGCGCTGTGAGCTTGCAGCTTGAAAGAAAGAGAGCTAGACAAGGCTGAAAGCTGAAAGGTACCGTCTCCGGGTCCTAGGCTCGCTAGCTAGGTTTGACGCGCGCTGATCGGAAGAAGCAGCGCGATTCGGGCAAAAAGATCTGGACAGATCAGAGAATAACAGCATCATGCAATCACGTTCCAGCTCGCAGGCGTTCTGCTACGTTGCTACTGTATGCTCGGGGGAAAATACGGCCACTTGACTCTCACAAGAGGTCGTCTATTGCCATATAGAAGATCTCGCCTTCAAGGTCGCCGACCCTTCTACATTCATGAATCCAACAAGTTGCAAGTTGGTTGTTCTGCTTCCGGAATCCTAAATCCCCGCAGAGACACGTCCGCACGCCCCCGCTGTCCCCACGAGGCGTTCTCGTCAGGGCAGCGAGAAAAAGCACGGGAGAGAAATGAGAATGGACAGGGAGGACCAGAACAAAGACAAGAGGGACACGATATGGCAGATGGCATCGATGCTTTGAAGAGGAGGGGTCGCGAGCAAGGTGCAGACGTCGAGCAAGAATCGTGAGACGCGTGGACGCCTTCTCTTGCCTTCCGGCCTCTGCCTCTTCCCGGGCCTGATTACCACGAGTACTGGAAACCCAAAATCTGAGCCGAGGCACTTCTGAAGCCGTCGATTTTGGCTGGTATTTCTTCCTCCGTTTGCCCGCGTTTCATGGTTTGGCGTCGTAGAAGCCGTCCGGATTCGGCTGAAACACCTCTTGTCGAACGCCGCGGCGTCGACGTGAAAGTCCTCAGCATTGTCTCATTGCTAGTCACGGTCAGCTTTGGAGCAAGATGCGGCCCCGGAGCCGCATCTGACAAGCGGTATCGGAAGCGGTTTCAGCCAGACATGCCCATTCTCCGCATTTAACGCAGCGACGTGACTGCGGACCCGTTGAACTAACGTTCTTTGATGTGGGCACGCCGCAACCTTCCGACCTAGCCGATGCACATATTCAGAGGAGATATACCAGGCAGGAGCTACATTCCAGCTTGTGCTTCGGCTCAGACTTATGGGCTATCGATTCTTCGATAACGCGAATTGTGGCGCACAGCGCTGCGCTCGAGTCGTAATGCTGAGGAGATCATCTTCAGCCTTTGTCTGATGCATGACGTTAATCGTTCCAGGTGTGATTCTTTGTATAGCATGGAATATGTTGGATATATCATGTTGTCATGACCGACTGCTCGATGAGAACTACAGCCGTGGTGCCACACGGGCGTAGTCTGATAATGCCTTTCGCATGTTCATTCTGTAAGCCAGAACTCTATGGGTGTCAAAGGGATGTATTCTCCAGCGCTCAAGAACACCAGGAGATGGGTAGAGAGACTTTCACTGATGAGGACCTGTAAGCGGCACCGGATGAAGCGATCGATTCGATAGCGTCGACTGATGATCTGAGCAGAGGGCCTGCAGGATAAAGATAGGGGTAAACAAGTCGAGCATGTTATCGGCAGAGGAAAGGCTGTTCACACCACCAATTCTGGATGGATTGCTGCACATAGGTGGGATTAGGTGGAGTGATACAGTGTCGCTGAGTCGGGAAATACACGGTCACCTGGAGTTCCGGCGACAGCGATGCGAACGAACTGTGCGATTACCCATTTGACCCGGAGGACAAGGAGCTCATCGCAAGAAAAGCCTTGCGAAACGTTGCTGAACAAACAAGGGCAGGCGATTGATGATGTTCTGGTCGTCCGTTGTATCAATACGGAGATAGGGGCCGGGCGAGATGATACGATATGCCCGTCCGGAAGACATCGGTTTGATCGAAACATGGTTCGATCAGCAATGCAAACGTTCGATTTTGGACATACTCTGTGATGGGTATACCATAATGTACAGGATAGTCAGATGTAGTCTTAGTGGTTCACTTCAAAGCTGATGTTTGATTGTATATATAAAGGCGATACGGCTCGATTCTTGTCGTGATGAATGGAAATCGTGATGGTTGGAAAACGTGATTTCGCGACTAGGTTGAAAACGAGGTACCTTTGGCCGCCATAAGTGATGCTGAAGAAGCCACGAAAGATAGAAGATAACTAGTACAGACTAGTACAGACTAGTAGAAACCAATTAAGATGCTTGAATGTATAGTCGTTAAGGCGATCTCTGGGGGTCCTTTGGAGTTTTAGCATGGCCCGATGATCTGGGACGAAGGATCGAAGCGTACTGGCACATTCGGAACAGGGATTGGATAACTGCTGCTACCTTTTTCTCACGCTGCTGGCTACGAAGGTAATGCCTTGGGTCAGGTGAGAAGCAGAGGATGAAGCGAGGCGAGGATGGTAGGGTGGAAGCCACCATGATGATGACGGCATAGCCGGCATATGATGTGCCAAGATGTGACCGATCAAGGGAAAGGCTGAAAAGGGAGGGCGAACAAGCGCAGGCACGCAGTACATCCATCTTCCCCAAACCCCACTTCCCCACACATGTATCAACACGGTCCAGCAGCCATATATACCGACAGCGATGAAAAAAGTGGTCTCCCCTCCCGCCTCCCACCCATTTCCCTTTTGCCTCTTTTTTGCGCGAACTTCTCTTTCTCTTGATCTCTTGCAGACCTGACGAACTTTATGAGCTCACGACCACACAACAACAATCATCACCTTCGCACTTGCCACACTCTCAATTTCCATTCGTCGCATTCGCGGAAGTGATCATACATTTCATCGACACGCTACCTCCCCCTTTCACTGTCAATTCGCGACCTTCGACGCTGCCTTTGTTGAACGACGATCGCCGAGGTCGAGGGTGATTGTCAACATCAATCAATACAGTAGTCTCACAGAAAGACGACCCGTCATCACCCCCTCATAGCGTTGCTGGCTTCGTGTCACCGCCCCATCAAAACGGATTCGACTTCCGAGTCATCGCGATCCGACCTGCCCCCTTCCATCGCGTTCGCCATGGCACACCATGGCAACATCATCAAACGGACCGAGCACGCCTCGTCGTTCACGTCCATCCTCCCTGCCGATCATCCCATGATGAAACCGAGCAACATTCCTCGACCGAAAAGGCTGTCGACCGGTGTCCCTCCCCTAGTCGCCGCGACTCGACCAGATCATCGACGACATTCAAAACAAAAACAACAACGCGACGGCCAGGCCGAATTCGAACCTCCTCGAGCTCCTCGAGTAGAATCATCATCAACATCGACATTGACGTCGACATCATCGACTACTACAGCTCTCGTCCCCATCACAACACAAACCACCACCCATTATAGACTTCCCATCTCGTTGAAGATGATCCGCAACAGGCAGCTCAGCGCGGGTCTCCGAGCACACTCCGACGAGAACCGTCCGCGTCCGACGCCAGAGGAACGTCAAGCTCTTCTCGAACGTCTCCGGACAGAGAGACTAAATCGCAAGAACGGGCTTCCTATCGGTACTAATGGACATTCCCAAAGGACTGAAGAGGTGGGAAGGAGAGAAAACAAACTCGTTATCACACATGTTCAGCACACGGAGCTCGCGAGGACGCCAATCGCGAAGCCCACAACAGTGGAGCATCTTGAAGAGAAGGAGAACACCAGGTCTGCAGGGAAGAAGCAGAGTCTTGTATCAGCATCGACGAAAGGAAAAGGAAAGATGACGATAGAAGAGATGGTGAGCTATTGTCGACTTCTCGCTCTAGATGTAGCCGCTGACTACAGGCTTTTTTGCTATAGAACGAGTACAACCAGGAGCAACAGCTCTTGCATTCCCCACGACGAGAAGACCTACGAGTGACGAAACGGACCACAAGGAATGAGATTGTATGTGATAGCAGACCTTCGCTATCTCAATCGATGCTCGACTGCTAACCAAGTGCCCTTCGATTGCAGATTGTTTCGCAGCGGGAGACACAGCTCTCGCAAGCCCGACGACAGGAGAGCCGACCAATCTTGAACACGATGACGACAACGAATGAAACAGTAAGTCACCTTATCATGGGTCGTATTCTCCTCATCCCGTGAGCTCATCAGCCGCTCTTGGTATATAGAACGTTCTCAACGCGGAGAACCAGCTCTTACAACCCCAACAACGGGAGGACGCACGAGTCGCAACAGACGACATGGTGAGTTTCTTGCCTCGTCCTCACTGTCTGGTCGGTACTTGCATGCTGACCCTATGCGCCCCGGTCGACCTCAGACTGATGATACCCGCGAGCGACATCGCTTGCAATCCCAACATCCGGAGGACCGAGGCGCTTCGTACGACGTCCGGTCGTCTGGATTCTTGATTCCTCTTGACGACCCCCTTACGACAACGGGAAATCGACAATCCGAGCGTGACATTCATTCGTCCGGATTGCTGGCTACCTTTAACGACCCCTTCACGACCGGAGTGTCCTTGACCGAGCTCCAACTTGAAGACCCCCTTACGATGAACGACCCCGAATCCGCTCCTGAAGAAGTCAGCCATTCCTTCAGCGGTTCTACGACCAGCGAGACGCCATCTGGGCCCTCGAACTACTTCGTTTCGCCTTCGAAATTACCGGTGGACGAGCCGTCATTTGCAAACATTGCATCGAGCACGTTCATGTACGAAGATCGCCTTTCCTCATCGGGAGAACGAGTCCTCCGCCCTCCTCTCGTGCTCGGTCCTGAACAGAGAACATCGCAGTCAGGGTATCCCGTCTACCCAAAGCGTATGAGGAAGAGGACCCCTCCCGAGACCATTCTCAATACGCCGCCTGGTCGTATCCTCCTACCAGGCCAACCTAACGACCTTTACGACCCCGAACGGGCAGCCGAACACAACGAGCTGTACAAGCCTCGAAATTCCAACGATGAACTGAGGTCGCACCGACCGATGCTCGCCGAAGACGCGTCGGTCACCTTGTCTTACGAGTGGGAGTCGACAGACAACGAGGACAAGCACACAAGGGACCAGCCAACCGATAAGACCAGACGGTTCGTCATGCACACCGAGCCCAACCGAAACGCTAGGGAAGCACATTTTGAGGCTGCGCTTGCAAGGATGGTCGCCAAGGGGGGTTTAGAGAGCGAGGGCTGGAACTTGCCGTGGGTGCTAGAGGAAGGGGACTCGTTCCCGCGAAAGAAACCTTCGAGCCAGATTCCTACAGGCTTACCGCTGGAGGAACCCAAGGGCGAGGGTGAGGCGACTCCATACAGGGCGGGGGCAGTAACAGGACCCTCGTGGAGCTGGCCAACTGAACTTCAGGGACAAGGACAGGCTGAGGCGATGACTGCTACTGGGATGTCCGACCCAGTCATCGCTGAACGGGAACATAGCGTGTCTCCCGGTAAAGCTCACGCTCCGTATGAGCAAACGGGTTGGACGACTCCCGAAGCTTCTCTTGATACGGCCGTTGTCTCGACGGGTAGCCAAGCGGGAAGCAGGAGTCCAGTTCGGTCGCCTGGGCGAAGCAGGAGCGAGCCAGGTATTCACGTCTCCAAAATCCCGGCCCTCTTGAACCACGAGGATGACCTTCCCGATATGATGGAGCAAGAAGAGCAAGGTCACGTAAGTTCCGCTGGGACCTGATAATTATCTTTCAAGACCTCAACCGCTTACTTGATGGATCGTGACTTGGTACAGGCTTCGTCCTCGTCCCGACCGAGATCCGTATGGGACGATCCGCTACCCCCGAGGAACACACCCGCGTACTACCGGGCCTTGAGGGAGCGACTGGCCGCCAAGCCGTACACCGGGTGGCCCCGTACACCTTCCCGGTCGGCTCGGGTCGATAGCCTGTCTGACGAGTCGGAGGCTGGCATGGAGGAGCAGTTTGCGTAAGTAGATCCGTCTGTTGATGGCTCGTACATTTTGGGCTGATGCAAGCTACTTCTGGTACAGTCAAGCTGGAGAGAACGAGGCGAGTGGGGAGAGGAGCGTAGAGCACAGCGGCTCTGAAGGTCAGTCTGCCTGATTTCAATTTCCGTGTCTACGTTCGACCATTGACTCTGACACTCGCATCAGATTCCGGACGATTGTCTGATGGCGCCGAGCGAGGCGAAGAACAAGAGGATGAGGAGGACGAGTCGAGCGCTCCGCCCAGCCCCGAGTACCGTGACCTTCCGCGGAGGCTGAACGGGGTCGCTCAAAGGCTGTTGTCGGACTCGTTTCTTAGGGCAGAGGCCGCCAAACGAAGGGGAGGGAGCAACGTGAGTTATGTTTCCTTTAATGCTAGCTGTCGGACAGCATGATACTGATGATGGTCTAAATCATCGTGTCGACAGGACGGCTCTATCGACAGGTCGAGATCGCCGTTGGAAGCGCCGATCTCGATGATCAACGCGGCGGGACGCGCCGAATCTGTCACGCCAGAGCCCGAAACGATCCCGGGTAGAGGATCTTGGCGAGATGGACGTTCGCGGCACGGGTTCCCACCTCCAGAGAGGCGAAGTCAGACTTTGCAGGTGGAGGGCGCTGGGAGCTTCGATGCGGGGTCAGGGATGGGACCTATCCAGGACGGTCAAGGCGTCGAGGGGTTTCGCACTCCGCCTCGTCAAGTCATCCGTAGGGGAGAAGAAGTGGTGTCGCCCGTGTCGTCGCCGGAAGCGACCAAGAACACCACCATCCCGTTAATCGACCCCAGGCGGGAGGGTGGTCAGCGAAGCCCGGACAGCCCCGCCATGCCGTTCGACCCGGCTTACGACCTACCTCGGCGGGGCAAGTTGGCCGACATCTCGACGAGCGGTACTCCGGTCTCGAGGGGTGCCAGTAGCCGACGATCAGTCAGCCAGGCTTCCGACAGCTTTAATGTCCCTGAGCTGTTGGAGCGAATGAGGGCCAAGATCGACGGCTCGGCTTCGCAACGGGGTGGCGTTGACAACTCGCGCCACGACCGAGCTTTGCACAGATCGTTGACGATCTTGCAACAGCTAAAGACTTCGTCGGCTGAGAGGAACGCAGCTCACAGCCTGATGGACGAGAGATGCAGCCTCATGTCTTCCGGGCCGGCCTCGAGCGATCGAAGGATCTCTGCCGACCGGAAGCAGCAAGAGGACGCGGAGCAGGAGGAGTGGGAGGACGTAGAAGAGACGGCTGAAGAGGACGCCGTCGTAAACCAGGTGCAGCCGTCTGCGTCGGCTGCATCGCTAAGGAGGTCTAGCGCGGGAAGCGACTTCGACCCCTTCCCTGAGGCCAACGATTGGTCGAGGAGCCTGGTTTGTGAGTTTTCCTTCCGAACGTCATCAAACGACGAGATACAGAGCGTTAAACCTTGCTCTCGCCCTTCTCAGACGATGCCGCGTGTGATGGGTGGGTTCTAGGACCCCGCAAGTTCTGGAGGGAGGACCGGGTCGATGCGTTTGGCTTGAGGCCAATCATTCACGGGTCCGACCCCACCCGGTTCCCCGACCTCGCAGCCTCGTCGAGCGACCTAGCGAGGGAGATCGCCAGGGTCTTTGGGGGTGACACTACCGACGAATCCGAGGACGTCGGTACCAGGGAGGACAGCACGCAGGGACCAGGCGTGCAGGAGGTGGTCCCGTCTGGAGATGTCTCGGGGGAGAAGGCTGTCTCGGTGCCAGAAAGCGAGGAACAGGGAGCGAGGTCGACCTTGTCTATCCCTCCAGCGTCCGGCAGGACCTCGCGCCGGGCGAGGCAGGTTCACTCCAGCCCGAAGACCAACATGTCGGGCAGGAAGATCTCCGTCGCGGGGCCCGTGTCTGAGGGCATGCCTACGGCGGAGGACTTTGAGGCGGGCCTCTTTGAATCGGTCTCGGGTTCAGAGGCCGACACTGAGGACCCCGGTCAAGGGGAGCTCGGTCCCGAGGACTCTTCTTCCGACGAAGGCGAGCCGGAAGCTCTAATCGGCCACCTTCGCCGAGAGGAGGAGAAGGCGACGGCGGCGGCCCCCAGCCCCGCCGCCAGTATGGTCAGTCCGACGGCCTTGTGGTCGGACAGCCAGTCCCAGGCTTACTCGGGGCACATCCCCCACGGGACGCCGTTGGTGTCGATCTTCGAGCAGACTGAACCGTCTGAGTCGGAGGAGGAGGACAAGCGGATCGACCAGGGTTCGACCACTCCAACGGTCACCCCGGTCGGCAATGTCCTCCAGCGGATCGACGAGAGAAGGGGGCTTCTGTTTGGTGCAGCAGACCACAGGGAGGCCGCTGCTCAACCGTCGATGATGGTCCCTAGCGGATCATACTCCTTCGAAAACGGGTCGCCTATGCCCGGCCGGGTGAAGGAGTTGAGCATGCTCAAGAGGAGCATGGGCATAAGGGATGCTGGCGACGCATCCCGAACGCCAGAGGCCTCGCCCCGAGCGACACAAATGACGTATCCTATGGATACTCGATCTCGGGGCGAGGCGGCCACGGCGGGCGAGAACACGGTGCTCTCGCCGAGCACTTTCATCACGCCGTGGAACAAGCGGAGGGGAGGACCCTACCCCCGCTTCGAGGCTGGACCTCTTTCTTCGAGGATCGGGACAATCTCTGCCGGAGAGATCGAAGGAGGCCGCGCCTCGGTGTTGTCGGTTCCCGAGGTGGCACCCGCAAAGGCCTCCCCAGAGCGAGCAACCGAGCTCGCTGTGATCGCGCCGGGATCAGAGAAGAGGGAGGAGAGGGAGGAACAGGCGCCAGTCCTGCCGGCAACGACGAGGACTGAGGGAGAGAGCCTGCTCGTCGATGGCAGCGAAGAGGCCGAGGATAAAATTGCGTGAGTATGAATGAAGTGACCCGTATCGATCGATCATGTGCTAATACAAGCACCTTTCGGTATTTGCATAGTTATTCTCGGGTCTACATCGACAAACTCCGCGAAGAGTTCCGGCTCGCGGAGGAACGCCTGGACCGGGCCAGGAAGTACTTCTTGATGGGGGTCAAGGAGTTCGAGCACTACCAGGATGGCGAGGGCGTGGCGGGTCCGGTCATCGAGGTCCCCCAATCGTCGCCTTGGCCCAAGTGGTACCGCTGGGCCTGGTTGTTCGCGATCGTGATCGCGACATGCATGTGAGTGCAGTGGCGACATAGACATATCACACACGACGGGACTAATCGAGCTTGTGTATAGATTTGTCATGTGGAACGGGCAAGAGGTCGACTACATGGACCCGTTCTACACCAGTCGCCCCGCCGACTGGCAAATATGGATCATGAAGCTGTTCGGGGGAGCAACATCGACCTGCCGATCCGGGTTCAGCCCAGCTTGCTGGATCTGGAATCCGACGCCGCAGGACATGCTGCTCTACTCGCGTCGTTACGCCTATACGCCGATCTAGGAGGTCGGGGAAACGAATCACGGGCAGACGACGCTGAGCGAACCGAATATGGATCACAAAAAAAATCCGAAAAATCCGAAAAACACTCGACCGATACCAGGACGACGACCAACCGGACAACAACGATTCAAGGGAGTTCTAGCAAGACGACTCTTCACTCAACCACAGTATACATGACCAGTGCGGATGGCCTTGTCCAACGTCTTGTCGATATATCGTGGAAGAGCTCAGAGAATCTCTTAGCAAGGCCTAATGAATCGTTGTAAGCGCCGTGCCCTTGCCAGACACGATATCACAACCAGTGCGGATGGCCTTGTCCAACGTCTGGTTGTATTATCGTAGTTGACGGAAGCTCGTTGTACCTCGTCAGTTGACGAAGTGAGTCGGAAGTCATGGTATTGGGCTATTGTTCCGAGTTGTACGGTATCGAACGAGATATAAAAAATGAGCCAAACAAGCGTTCCCGACGATCGTCAAGACGGGACCGCGACCGTCGCCCTGGTCGAATGTCCCTAACTCCAAAGCGGTTCATTGCTTGCATCTCATATCTTGCTTATATACAGTCTGGGTGGATTCGTCGAGGCCCTAGGAGAGCCGCCGTACCGCTGAGTATCAGTGGAGCAATCGATATTGCGACTAAGACCGCTTCATCTCGGTCGATAACCTACAGGCGAATAGGCGTTAGCTCAAATGAAAGGGGTGGCTGCATAAACGCCGCTCGACTTACCATTCTCATCTAACAGCCTTCCATCCGCGATGCTGTCGTGCACGAACTCCGGCGTGACAATCTGCTTCAGAATTGAACTGTAGTTGTGTCCCGTATCGCGTCAGATATTTCTTCTCGTCAGGACTCTCAAGGCAGACGTACCCCTTCCAGGCCCGATTGATCTGCTTGTACCGCTTGCTGTCATCGCTATGCTGAACGACGTGTGTCAAGCTGCCAGAGAATAGGTCTTCGCTAAATGTACCGCCATGACGGAGTACCGTCGGAACAATAGCCGACAGCCTAGGTTTGACGGAACGTTGATCATCATGTGCTGACTATTAGGTAATCACTGTCAATATCGACTCTAGCTTACTCTTGTTCGGCTTCCTTATTGGGTTTGGTAGCGTCGAGTCCGTTCTGTTTGGCATTCGAGAATGTATCGAGGTAAAAGACTCTACAAAGGCAGCGTGTGTCCATCTTAATGTGCTACTTGTGTGCCGCGAATCGACGTCAACTCACAAGTGTTTGAAAATCTAAGCATTGCAAATAAGTGTCAACGGAATACACCGCAAGAAGCTCGAGCAAGTCATACCAGATCTTGATCATACTGCATAGCCTCGGCGGTCTCTCCCATTTTGCTCTCAGTTTGTCCACCAAGGTCATTTGGTTCTGGCGCAGGCAAGACGGGTTCATACACAGACCCGGTTCCAGGAAGGTCGACCGCCACGGTAGATACTTCATCGCTTGCGGGCGGAACCTCCGGGATCTGTCACAGAAAGCGGGATAAGCAGATTATTCAGTGATGTGGATGTAGCACGGAATCTTACTTGTTTGGCCTCTGCTTCCTCCTTGACTGCGGTCGGAAGGGACATTCTTGTGACGAGTTCTGGTTTCGTTTCATCGTCTTCATTATCATAATCTTCCCTTTCAGTGTCGCCTGCTATCTCCGTATTACTCTGACCATAGGACCCAAAATCATCAGCCTTGTTATCGCCGGTCCTGCTCTATCTTTGCTAACCTTGAGCACATCTAGCGCATCCCCTTCAATGTCTGACAAGTCGTTCTCCCGCTCATCATTGCTCTCCGGTTCGGTCTCAGATTCTTCAACTTGTCTATCCGATTTGACGTTTCTCAGATTCCAAACCCCTCCCAGATCGACATCCCGCGGTGGTGACGGATAAGGCCGTTTGTGTTTGCGTTCCTCGCTCTCGCTACGAGACCTGTTGTCGGCTTCGTCTTCGTCCTCGTCTTCTGTCACGTCGTCAAGGTCGTTCGGAGTCAAAGCTGCTTGAGAGTCCAGGTAGTCGAGTTTCGTATAATAATGAGGCCCGTCTTCAACCTCGGCATCCGCAAACAAGGTCAATCTGAGTGATTTCTCATTTGTCAATCGATTTGTATCAATGTGAGATTCGGAGAACGTACTCTTCCGTCAACGGTAACATACGTCCGTGTTTGATGCTCTCCACCACCCAAGCGGGTCTCAGGATCGTAACATCCTTTCGCTTATAGCCCTGAGCATTTGGATCTAGCAAGAAATATACACGATTTCTTCGAGTTAAAGAGCTTGATAAAGCCAGCATTATCGCACTGGATGGGACTTACGGCCGAGTCTATTCCCTATAGGAATAGCCAAGTTCCCTTCCGTTCTCGCTTGAGCGAATTCGCCCCCGTTTTCCACGATCATCTTCTCGAGTTCTTTTTTCGGAGGGTCTTTCGACTCGAAGACATCTATTGCATAAAATGTTTTGTCATTGACTTCAGATCGGTTGTTCCCTTGAGATACATCGGGAAACGCTCACGAAAGATTTTCCCTCGGAAGATATTTGCTCGAGTCTGTACACCCTTTAAAGCCTGTCCGGAGACGTTTGAAGCGATAGGCGCCTGTTCCTTATTCAAGTGAGCTCTACCTGATTTTTCACGGCTACAAATACAACTGGACCTACCTTGCGGCTTGCGACCACTTTCCTCTTCTTGACTGTGGCTTTAGCTTCCCTGTGTCGTGCGGGCTAATGGTACTCAGCACCTGCTGCTGAGGGCTGTTCTCGACCACATGCATATCACTGACTGTACTTGACTACTAGTCCAGTACCTCCGCTCCTGTCTCTGATTGTATAGATCCACCAGTTCTGTCCTTCATAGCGACGATGGGCTGCTGTTCGAGCCTTGTATGACACGAATTTGTATGCTCACCCGCCTTGCTCATCTGTGTCGCAAGGGATTAGCGATCGATACGAGATCGCAGAGGGAACGGGCTTACACCATTCCAGAGGCTTTCGTTCATCATCCCAGGGTACTATAAGCAACCGATCTCCGTTGCTGTCAGGATAGAATCGATGGAAATGCCCTCTCGAGGTCGTATACATCCTCTAGCTACTGATCTACTGAGAGGCTGATTAAGGTGTTCGCCAACAGAAGATGAGTCGACCTCTCCCCGATATGACGAATGCGGAAGCAAAATCGACAAGGTAAACAAACACATCACGTGATGTCTGGTGTTCATAGTCGAGACTTGTGAAACACAATTTGAAACCATCATATTGCCTCTCAAAAGCCGCCACTCGCGTATACAAGCTTGTGCAGAGTCGGAAGGTCCTAGCTCAAACTCGCATGCACGTGCGACTCCTCCTCTCTTGTCTGACCCAGCGCCTCCTGAAGGTAGCCCATCTTGCAGTGATTCTCAACCTTGGCCAAGCCGGTTCCCCATCGCCACCACTACCCTTCCCTTGTGATTGCCCTTCTGAATACCCAAACCTGATGTCTTCAAACAAGGAACACAATCGCTTTTCGGCAATCAGCGACGACATGGATTTGCCGCTAAAAAGGTCGATGCCGATCGCATTTCTGATGATAGATTGCAGGGCCTCGCCGACGCCGACAGGCAAAGTTCACAGATATTGGTGGCTCCGAATCCCTCAAACCAGTCGCTTACAGGTACATCCGCCCTCGAATGAAACACGCTCCCTAGCGAATCACTAACGAAGTTTTCTGTGTACACGCGGACCACAGCGGAGGACCTCGTCAGGCTGCAATCGGGAGAAGACCTGACTGACACCCTCATTGGGCATGGCATCAGGGCCATGTGTCCAGCCTTTCCAGAAGACAGTGTCGCTCTAATGTCAGTTCTATGTGGGATTGGGTCTCATCTCAGACAAGGCTCAAAATTGTAAGCCGTTAATCTCGTATCAAGCGTTAAAAACAGAGCCTAGTACTGAATGCCCATTGCTTTACAACTCAGGAAAGTCGCTTGGGATCACTGCTGGCTGACGAGAAAAGGAGCCAGAGCCCCCGGGCCCAGGATTCCAGTGAAAAGTCTTGATACTATAAGTTGGGTAACTAAGCTATATCTGGTGGATACACTATAGGTGTTAAAGCTACTGCGTCCCATACTCATTTTCCGTTGTGAATCACTCGTCTAAAGCCTCCTTATAGCAAGGGACATTGCTCGGGTTTCTGATGGTATATTGTCTCGTTCGGATCTCGAAATGGCATGAATCACAGTGTCGTGGTCGTCTCAAGTTTCGTTACAACGGAAGTTCGTAGAGTGAGCGGTCGTGGACGCAATTCGATCGGTCAGCAGACTTAAGCGTTTATCTTGGCGGCATCGTCTTCCTCCTCTTCCTTCTCGATGATTCTCCTCACGCGGGGGAATCTCAGCGTCAAACCCATACCGAAACCTTCAGAGACGGTAATCTCCGAAGCCTTGACGGTGATGGTGAAAAGGTCCTGGCGCTGAAGGTACACGTCCGGCTTGTCGTCCGGCTTCAATTTGCTAAAGACGACCCATTTCGGGGCGTTGCTGCGTTCGAATGGAATCCATTTGTCTCCGAACTTTTTCCTGCGCAAGAATTGGGTATACTAAGCTCCGATTGGTGCGGATAAAGCAAGAGAGACGATTCGACTGACTCTAGCCAAACAAAATCGCTGAACGCCAAACCACCTCCAGCCGCGCAAAACGTTGTAAAGCTGGAAGTCATAAACGATGTCGCAACCGATCAGCATGATGACGACGACTTAGTCCCGCCGTCTATGCTTACGTGGGTAAAGAGCCATCTTCGGGTGGATCTTGTTCATTGCGCAGACCACAAAGCAGAGAGCCGATCTTGCCTCCTCTCTTACCGCTACCCCACCATCCACCTAGATGACGACAGTCACAATCAGCCAGAGAATGTAATGTACAAGCAAGTTTCTCGGCAGATTCTCACCTAGAACGGTCAGATCCAGCGTTTCTCCCATGTCATCAGCGTATTCTATCAGCGAGACGTGATTTTCGATGAGCACCGATACAGCGAAATGTGCCGCGTACAAACATGGCCATACCTGGCTTGACCTTGATCCAACTCTCGCTACGCCCGTTCATTTCATACGCAGACAATGGATTCTTGATGACCAATCCTTCCCCTCTACCGCAGAAGAATGATGAACATCAGCGGAAGCGCGCACACGTTTTCAGCTGGACTCACTTTGACCCTACGATATCTTTCAATCGCATATCGATATCGTCGGGAGTCGATCCGTCCCACAAGTCGGCAAGCTCGAACCGACCAGGAACCGTCTTGAAGACTCGATCTTTCGCCAGTACTTCTTTTCTTCTCCGAAGCGATTTCTGAGCCAGACTGGTGCCATTGATCATGAGGACATCAAACACCTTGACTGTGCGGTTGAGAAACGAGGTGAATTGAAAGCCTTGCTGAGAGTAGTGTCTGAGCTTACAACATGGTCTCACGGCATCCGGTTGATTTGTACGATCTGCAATGTACCGCCTGACATCAGATGCGCTTCTACCCATGATATACAAACGATGAACGTACCAAGAGCTGCAGACTTCAGAGTACCGAACGCTAGATATCGCCCGAGCAGCGGATCATAAACCAGCATCTCGCCGTCCAATATACAGCTGTCTCGTAGAATGAGATTCAGCTTCCGATAACCGTCGGAAGGAATATTGCGACCCACCTTTGAACGCCAGACGAAAAAGCTCCATGGATGTGTGGCGTCAGGGTACCGTCTCCGATATGCGCGCCGTAGAGGTATGTATAGTCTTTTGCCTTTCTGCGGAGTCGATGGGGATCGATGAGTACACACTGCAGATCGGCAGGCATGTTCGAGAAACAGCCACAACTCACCTCGAGCAGTAGAAATACTCATTCCCTCGCTTGTGCAGCTGGATCCTTTCTCCATCCATCTTCTCCTCGATGTAGAAATCCTTTGGCATATGTTTGACGATCGCGGCAAAGTCGTGGTTCGCCGTACGCTTGCAGAGTTGAGGGAGGAACGACCTAAACAGCTTCACTTCGGCTTCCTGCGTTTCAGGCATATAGACGAATCAGCCTGCGACGAAGACCAGCATGCAGAGTATCAGCTTCGACTCACCCCTGTTTCCAACTTCTTCTCCTTATCGGTCAACGTCCAGCATACGCGTTTTAGATCACTAGAGACGTTGAACAATTCTTGGGCGTCCGGGTGATATACCGCGAGAACGGTCTTTTCCCGCACGCTAATCTTGAGATCTACCTCGAGGCAAGTTTTTTTCGTATTTCAGTTGTGTCAAAACTCTTCAGGGTGGGAATCTGAACGTTCCATTGGACTTACCCTTGAGGATGATTCTCATCAACCAGCGTTGCTGTTCTGCATTCAGATGCTTCATCACCTCTCCAAAGATCCTAACATGGGCGTCTCTGCCTCATTGAAGTGTATATATCAGCGGACGGTATCAGTCTTCATCCCGTTTGAGACCACTTACACCTTGTTCCCCCGGGTCACTGCTAATCTATCCAGTACCTGGTTCACAGCGTCCACAGTCCATATATCCTCCGGCTTCGGCGGCACCTGTCTAGCTTTGATGGCCTCGTAACATATATGAGGGAAATCACCTGTCGCTTCCTGTCCTTGCGCAAAGGATCAATATTTAGGCTCAGAATTCTGTTGAGAATACGAGAGGGACGACATACGGCTCCTGGGCGAGGTATCTTCCAGTGAATGAGCTTCTGAGCGGCTTCCGACTTTGGATCTAGGTCGAGGACCTTGACGTAGACTTTGGCCATTTGAGATTCTTTGAGACCGTATACTGGTCTTTCTCGGTCTCGCTGAGCAGGATAGTTAGCTTTCTCGCCGTTTCGATTTCATCTCGGCTCGTGCTCACGTCAGGTAAAAGTAACCGGATGAAAGGGTACAGGTCTGGTCCAGCATGAGTTCTGAGTAACTAGCATCATCATACCGATCAGACATGCTAAACTATCTTGCATAGGATTCAAAAGCTCGACGCACCTCGAACATCTTGACCAAAAGCTCTCTCCGCTTGGTTGGATGATCTCTGAGTTGCTCGAAAAACCTGCATATCACGTTGAAGGACAGGCTCGAGTGATTGACGAGTCCTGGAGGTTTCTCCAAGCTATCGGCTGCTGTCGGATAGACCGGAGTACGGACATTGAACTCGTGACCTGATGGCATATCCAGTGAGGTTTAGAAGATTTGACGCTGACTTGGTGGCAACAGTGCTCCTCGATGGTTTCGTCTTGTGGGCGATAGCTAGGCGACTGCTTGCTGCTTACTGCACTGCTGCTTCTCTGTATCTAATCAGCTTCCCTGCTTCGGAAGCATTCCCTAACTGATTACGTCACACTTCCGGACATGAGGACATTTTCCATGTTGCAGAGCGGAAGCGCCTTCGAGTCAGACAGACCCCCTCCACCCGAAATCCCGAGAAAGTTGGTCTTTCGACGTTGGATCTCCATTTAGTTGCTGCTACACCTCATCTCCCAATACCTGGTCTAGCCGGTCTCTGAATCCTTGAACAAGACTGTCCCAGATATCTGCGCATAACTCAAACACAATGGTCTCCGCACCTCAAAACAAGATCAAAGTCGGTGTACTTGGAGCTACCGGTGAGCACCGAGTCAGGAAGGACGCAAGTAGCTGTACTTCAAATCGCTCATTACCTTCCCGTCTTGCATAATTCATCAGGCACCGTCGGACAGAGGTCAGTCTCGACGCCTCGTACAGCGAGCGAGCGGAAGAGCATCCGTAGCTGACAGTCTCTGCTTTGATCAGGTTCATCGAGCTCCTTGCCCCTCACCCATATTTTGAGCTGCATGTCCTCGCCGCCTCCTCGCGGTCCGCCGGACAGGAATACGCCAAGATTGTGAAATGGAAACTCAACACTCCCATCCCTGAAAAGGTCAAGAAGATGGTCGTTCAGGAGTGCAGCAAGGATGCACCGGGAATGAAGGATTGTGGTGTCGTTTTCAGTGGGCTGGATCATGACGTAGCTGGTGATATCGGTGATTACGGAGCCGGACTGCGATCTTGCTTTGATCTTACAAGGATAGAAGCTCACGAATTTATCGCCACCTTATAGAGGCATCTCTTCGACAAGCCGAGCTCGTCGTCTTCTCAAACGCCAAAAACTACCGACGAGATCCCATCGTCCCTCTTGTCGTTCCGCTCGTCAACCCTTCGCACTTTTCCGTCATCGAGCACCAACGTGCCAGCCTCGGTCTGCAAAAGGGTTACATCGTCTGCAACGCCAACTGCTCGACCACTGGAGTTGTCGTCGCTCTGAAAGCCCTGGAGGACAGGTTCGGACCCTTGGAGACCATCATGTGCACCACGATGCAGGCCATCTCGGGCGCGGGATACCCGGGAGTCTCCTCGTTGGACATCCTGGACAATGTCGTCCCTCACATCGGAGGCGAGGAGGAAAAGATCGAATGGGAAACTGCCAAGATCTTGGGGGGCGTCAACGAGGACCAAAAGGGTTTCGACTACCACGCTTCGCACCCGCTCAAGATCTCGGCAAACTGCAACCGTGTCCCCGTCATCGACGGCCACCTCGCCTGCGTCTCTGTCAAGTTTTCCAAGCAGCCTGCACCTTCCGTCGAAGAGGTCCAAAAGGCCTTCCGGGAATTCACCTGCGAAGCTCAGACCTTGGGCAAGGATGTCTGCCCCTCGGCACCCGAACGAGCTATCGTCTACCACGATGCTCCGGACAGGCCTCAGCCTCGTTTGGACCGTGACCTGGAGAACGGCGCTTGTGTGAGCGTAGGAAGGCTAAGAGAGTGCAACGTCCTGGATGTCAAGTTTGTGACCCTCCTAGACAACGTCAGGCTGGGAGCTGCCACCAGTAGCGTCATCAACGCCGAGATTGCGGTTGCCAAGGGGCTCATTGTATAAAGAAGCGAAGCATCTAATAGCACGTAAATTTTCCGTTGTAGATGCGATTCAAATGTGAGCGGGGAACAACAGCATCATTACATCAGTACATCATTGCGTCACTTCGAGGTCTTGTCCGCGGTACATGACATCCGTCGCATTCCCACTCGCGTCAGATCGATCGTAGATCGTAACTTGGGTAAATGCTGAACCTCCACTTTGCAGGGGACAGGGGTCTGAGAAAGCTGAAAGTGACCGCAACCTCTTCTTGTCCAGCACTGATGCTCGATAACGCTACAACATAATTGCAAAGCAGATTTTGGTCTTGTATATACAATATGGGCAAACCTTCCAAAGCTAGAGGTCGAGGTGGTACTTTTCTTGGCGGACGAAACGCTGCTCCTGCAGGCGCCTCCGGTCGAGCCAAGGGGTTGAGGAACGGAGCGAATAACCGTCGGGAACAGGTGGACGAGCATATTCCAGCCAGCCTCGTAACGGCAAGCGATGAAGAGGAGGATAGTGACGCGGATAGTGAGGAAGAGACGAGCGGAAGTTCTCAAGAAGATGATGAAGAGGAAGGTAGCGATGATGACGAGGATGAAGATGAGGATGGTCATCAGGATGACGATGATGAGGAGGAGGGCAACGAGGAGGATCTGGACAATGTCAAGATTGCCGTTCCCGTAGCCATGTGGGTGAGTAGTATCGATGGTAGCATTGATGATAAGACGTACCAAGCTGAATATCTGGGCTGTTACAGGACTTCAACCATTGTGATCCTAAGCGTTGCTCGGGCAAGCGACTCGCCCGTCATGGTCTCATCACCTCGATGAGGGTCGGACAAAGGTTCCGTGGAGTGTCTTTAACGTGAGCGCTGCACTTGTATTCCGTTGTGAGCGATACGAAGTGGTACTGATAACCCTGGTGCACCCACATACAGGCCGAACGGGAAAAGCACGATCTCACCAGCTGATCGAGAATGGGTCGGTCTCGGTGGACTGGCTGTTGTTGAAGCCTCATGGGCAAGGCTCGACGAGGTGCCGTTTGCGAAGATCAGGAGTCCTCATGAGCGACTACGTGGGTCGATACTGTGCGACTCGGCTTGATTACGGGCCTCTCACTCAGTCCGTCCATCCTTACAGTGCCTTTCCTCATCGCCACGAACCCTGTCAATTACGGAAAGCCTTGGAGACTGAATTGTGTCGAAGCTCTTGCAGCCGGTTTCTATCTGACAGGGTATGACAGCTATGGTGACAAATTGTGAGTCACGCATGTGTTTCTGCCACATACCTGTATTTCCTCGTAAGCTTCGCTGATACCATAACCTCCTGCAGGATGAGCAAATTTTCCTGGGGACACTCGTTCATGAAAGTCAACCGGTAAGTATCCTAGAGCAAATCGCCAAGGTGACATATTGTCTGAACATGACCTTCCGCTAGTCACCTGATCGAACGATACAAGACGTGCAAGGACGCGAAAGAGATGGTCGAAATGCAAGAGAGAATTCAGACAGAGATGGAGGAGGAAGGGAAGCGTGCACGAAAAGAACGAGGTGAGTCCCCGCACCTGATCGTTCTCGACCGCATTCTGGCTTACCCTCGAAACCGGATACGCAGCGGAAATCGGCGACGACATGTTGATGGGCAATCCCAATCTTCACGAAGACGACGAGGAAGAGGGAGATGCTGATGAGGACGAGGACGACAAGCAGGACTCCACGGCCGCACAGGCAGAGGAGGCCGAAATGGACAACGTCGAAGCATTGATGGCCGGCGTCGCTATCGAGGAGAAAGACAAGGTGAGTCCTCGTGTCGGTTACGATTGCGATTTTGACTAAAGCCGTCTGTGTAGTTTGGAAATACCATCGTACGCGGACCTAACGCCGCTCCTGCAAGCGACACCCCTGTAACTCAGTACCCGGCCGCATCCAGGTCAGCCAAGCAGATGAACGATCTCGGCGATACATTCGAATTGACTTATAAACGGTTGGACACTGAATCGATCGTGAACACGGTCAAAGATGATGGAGCGGGAGCGATTGCGACGTTCATCGGGACAACGAGGAACAGTTTTCAAGGTAAGACATATTGGGTTGTAAATCCGGGAGGATTAGCAATGACGAACGCGACTCCAACCATCAACAGGAAAGAGCGTTACGAGGTTGACGTACGAGGCATACACGACTTTGTGTATGAAGAGTTTTGAGAAAATTGCGTGGGCTGCCCGGGAGCTGCCTTCGCAATCAAAGACGACACACACCATCCTGTCCGCCTCTCCAGCAGGAGGAGACCGATTATCAAAAGTTGCAATACATCATCGATTGGGGGAATGCCCTGTAGGAGAGGCCAGTATCGTCATCGCCGTCAGCTCACCTCATCGGCGGGAAGCGTTCGAGGCCTGCGAGTTCATACTGGAAGAGGTCAAGAAGAAGTCACAAATCTGGAAACGGGAGTGGTATGCAGAAGAAGGAAGCGACAAGAATGACGCTGCTAGTTGGAAGGAGAACTTTCCTCGAGTAGCCAAGGATGGCGCCTGAGACGCGGTCTGAGCTCGTCTTGTTGTTACATGTTGAGATAGCTTGATGGTGCCGATGATACAACTTCTATTAACGATACATCCATAAGCGGACTCTAATCCGTCTTCATCTTGCCGCTCCTCGCATTCTGCAGAACCTCCCTGATCAATCCTCTCCACTCTTCGGCGCCTTTGCCGTCCCTCTGCCCGTCCACAGCCTTTTCGAGAAGTCGCCAGCCTTCCTCTTCCGAGTGTTTGTCTATCCACAGAATATATTCCTGCTCTGACCACTCGTGTATCTGGTGAGGCAGTTGCAACGGCGACAGGACAATGATGTGATGCAAAAGCACGAGAGGGGCAATTCCTTGAGTCTCGGCGGGATGGGCAAGTGATGTATGGTCCAAGAACAAGCACGTCCTGAATGCTCTTAGGCTCTTGTAGTCGCGACCGGCAGCGTCGAGCCGTGTAGCGTTCTGACGAGAGGTGTGTCCGGTTGCCAAAAACGTGTTCAGTGCGAATTCGAGTTCCGTCATGTCTCCCGTTAGCTTGAGCTTGCCGCTTTCGCCTAGAGGACGAGCGATCGAGGCGTTGAGTAGGAAGGCTCTTATAGCGTGACGGGTCAGGGAAAGGAGCCTGTTCGGTCAAAGTCGATGACCATCAGTCAGTCGAAGCTGACAATCTGAGAAACATGTCGCAGAATGACTGACCACTCGTCTCGCATCGCTCCCATGTCGAAGCGGCCCAGAATCTCCGTCCGCAAAAAGTTCAAGCGATCCGCCAAATCCTTGATATAGGGACTACCACCGGTACCACCGCCCATACCCATCGAACTCATGGGATCTACCGACTTGGCAAAGTCGACCCTGTGGACCCTCGCAAAAATGGTGCTCAATTCGCGTTTGATTGCGGTGTCGAGTGCAGCGGTGACTGCTCCGTAACATTTCTCGGCCGCCTAGTGGAACGAGCACAGAAGTCAGTAATGGAGGCCCCAGCGTTCGGTACCCCGTGCGTCGACTTGCCTGAAGTGGGGTTTCCAGTGAGGCAATGATCTTGGACGGGAACTCCGTGAAGGGATTCCTCAGGCTGTACACGATGTGATACACAAAGCTGACAAGAGCAGAGTTGTTGACTTGCGCAGAGCTGGCCAGAGGTCCAATCAACGATGTTGCCGAAAAGTCCTTGATGAGCTGGAGAATGGGAACGTTGTCAGCCATCGCATCAATCGCGACTCCAGTGTTGCCCAATGAGATACGTACCAGACTATCCACCTTCCCTGTTATTGCATCGACCGCCTTCCCGATCAACCTCGCCATGTTTCTCCCGAGTAACGGATCAAATTTCGCTGAGTCCATCTCGTTGAGCATGATTCGCGAGACTGAGTTGCCTTCTTTCGATCCAGGAGGCTGTTTATAGCCTCCCGAGAACGCGGCGTTGATGCTATCCGTCATGCGCGCCGACGAGCGTGAGAGATAAAGCGTTTCAAATTTGGAGATCGCTCGGAGGCAAAGGACGGTTTCGGGGCTATACGAATTTGTTTCAGCATGCGGGTGGCGAGGTACTGCACCGACGATCATTCATACCTCTGATGCTCTTGCGTATAGACGGTCTCGGTGTGCACGGCAATCTTGGCGAAAAAGGTGTGAAACAGCCTTAAGAAGCGGGGATAGTTGGAACTGAGTGCTTGTTGCAAAAAGTTGTTTGCTGCGGACGAAGAAGGGGCGATGTTGACAGTCAGCACTCATGGCGATACATTGTGGGCCACCAAGACCCACCTTCACATATAGCCCTCGTCTGCGTGTCGAGACTGGTCGCCAAGGTCGTCCAGAAAGTAAAGGTCGGCTTCTCTTCCATCGTCTCCAGGCACTCGTCCAAAAAGCTCCCTTCCTTGACCTCGTCCAGCACTGAAGCAGAAGCTTCTCCGAGTCCAGTTCCACCTGCCGATAGACCGAATCCAGTGTTGGGATTGACGACTTTTTTCATCCGCAATACCTTTTCTAGCGTATACACCTTGATGCAACACTGAGCGATGTCTTCCAGCAAGACGTCCAAGCGTCTCCAAAGGACGTCGTGAAAGATCGAGATGTTCTGGTTAGTCGGGGTCGACGAGGGTTTCAGGCGCGTCGAACGGTAGAGCAATGATGTAGCAGCGGAAGCGGCCGAGGGTTGCTCTACGTCAAGAACCATTCAACAGCGTCTCGTCAGCGATACGGCGAGACAAACGGTGTAGACTTTCCGACTGACCTTTCTGAGCGACCTCTTTCCCTATGCTCTCCATATCAAACACCTTGCCGATCCTCGTTTCCACTGCATCGTTAAGGTCTGCCAACAGGTTCGATACCAACTGAGGCAAGAGTCTCAGATTATGTGCGGTCTGCAGGGAGGTGGATAGTAGGGGTTGGTTCTAGGCACATCAAGCAAGGTCAAATCAGCTCTCATTCGGTTGGTCACCTGGGTTCCCCTGCGAGACGGATGGTCGGACTGACGAGGTTGGCAAGCCCGTTGATGACCATGCCTTCCATCTCTTCGATGACGACATCCCTCGCCCTCCTCACTGCAGGTACTTGAGCTTTCACCACGTCTAGACTCGTCAGAGCGATTTGATCCGGATCTAGTGGGATGATAGCCTCTTCTACTACTGGGTCTACGGGTGCGGCATCGGTTTCGGATGTAACCGCTGGTTTAGGTGATTCCGGTTCCTGCAAGAGGATGTCTTGACGAGCAGGATCCAAAGTATCGAATCAGAACGATGCTTCAGAGAAGACACTGGAGGCATGCTTACCGAGTTCAGCAATGGTCAGAGCCGCCTTGGCCATTTCCCTCTCCCTTTCTCCTTCTCCACTACCATCTTCCTTGCCATCTCCCCCACCAGTCTTTCCCCCTTCAATTTTGTTTGTGACGAAACCCATCTGCCCTTCCAACCTCCTCGCTAGGACCAGAAACCTGCTGACTCGCCTCAACACTTCGTTCGCACATCGAATCTTTTCAAGTCGTTCCACCTGGGCTTTCAACTCGGAATGTGGGAGGTGGATCTTGGTATGTAACCGGGAGAGGGAGGCCGACAAAGTGGTAAGAGTCGATTGAATGGCGGTCACATTGGACGAGAGAGTGGAGGACGAAGCGAGGTGTTTGAGGAGGAGAGGGTGATTTTCTTCGATCTGTACGTCGAACGTTCAGCTAGAAGCTCGATCCAAGATCTTTCGGGAACGACGAGTCTCACCTCATGCTTCATCTGTCGATCGACGTCTTCCTGTGGAGCATATCAGATCATACCAGACAAAGGCATCAGCCATCTTGCCGATGTGTTCACTAGTCACCGAATCGATAGACTCACTATCCCGTAGTTCAACTTGGCGAGAGCGACCGAGACGTCTCCCTTGACACTTAGACTCGCTGTCCCCGACCCGTTCCCGGCGCCCCCAAAGCCAACGTTCTTCGACGCTGCATCGTCCTTGTTCTTCGCGACGCCGTTCAAACTGTCACCTTCAGGATCTTCCGGGGTTTCTTCAGGGTCGTACCGCTCTCCGGCTAGAATGGCGTTTGCGTAAAACGTCGGGTTGAACTTGGACGACGCAAATGGCGCATAGTCTGCAATACAGGATGTAAGGCGATGCCATCAGCTAGCCGCTTGACCGGGTTTCGAGGGAGACGTACCCATATACCCATCCGTCGTCATGTTTGCATTCGATACTTCGATGGATGGGCCTTGCACCCGCGATGCACGATGAGACAGATGTGACCTCATCCTCACCATGCATCTCTGACCTGCCAGCTACTTGGGGGAAGAGCAGGGAGCTTGTTCTGCTTACCTAAGCGACTTTGTAAACAAGCACGAGTCGGATCCGACATTTCGCCCTTTTTACCCCCCCATACTCCCCCTCTGGGTATCACGTGACCCGTCCATCAACTTGCCGAGGCGAGCCAGATTTCTGATCGAGGAGGGTGTGTGTGTGTGTGCAGAGAAAGTTGTTACAAGTTGCTCTGCTCGACGCATAAACAACCAGACGATCATTCGACTGCCCCTCGCAACTAAATAAAACCAAGAACGAGCAACTATGGCAGGCCTCAAAAGACAATCAGAGGGTGCCGGCGGTGCCGCTCGTGGTACTAAACGACCCCGTGATGAGCCGTCGACATCAACAAAGACGACGGACAAGCCCGCCAGCTCGCAGCCTCGACCCGTCTTTACCTCGGCGCTCATGGCGGACGAAGGTGACTTCCCAAGAGGAGGTGGTACGACGCTGACCCCGCTCGAGTACAAGGAAGTCAGGGACGAGGGGAGAAAAGAGGCTGAGAAGGACGTCGAGGCCGAGAGGAAGAAGAGACGGTTGACCCAGAACAGTCGGAAGAAGGGGAAACCGGTGGACGGCGGGAAGAAAGCGGATGCCAAGGACAAGGACGCTATCCGTGAGTCTACGCTGTGGTCATGTGCGTCGTGATGTGGGAAGTTGGTTGACGTTCCGGCGCTCGATGGTCTAGGTGTGGAACACTTGAACTACAAGCGATTAACACAGGGCACCAAAATCCTCGCCCGTATCCATTCCGTCCTCAACCTCCACCTCATTCTCTCTCTACCGAACCAGCTCCTCGCTCACGTTCCTATTACCGAGATCTCCAACTCTCTCACCCATCTGCTTACTAAGGACGAGAAGGACAGCAACAGCGACATCTCCATGAAAGAGGAAGAGTCCGACTCGGACGATGAGGAATCCAGCGTTCCCGAGCTGCATCAGCTCTTCCGACCGGGTCAATACGTCTTGACCACCCTCACCCAATCCTTCGTGTCCGAATCCAGCAACAAGGCTTTCCTCACCCTCTATCCACCCTCAGAGGCGATTAGACTGGCGAGCAGGTTGGAGATGAGCTTGGTTCCGGAAAAGGTCAACAAGGAGGTTTCGAAATTGGATGTCGTCAAGGGTTTCAGGGTCACTGGAGAGGTCAAGGGGGAGGAAGATCACGGGTGGATCGTAGGATTGGGAGTAGAGGGGATCGAAGGTTTCTTGAGAAAGGAGGACGTCAAGGGTGAGTCATCGAGGATCTCCGTCGCACTTGTCATCTGGTTTGCGAATACGTAGGCAGGCTCGCAGCTGACAGATCATCCTGAATACGATTTCCCGGCAGGGGTCAACATCGTCGTCGGACAGCTGCTGGATACGGTGGTCTCCGACGTTCAATCTAACGGTCGGATTGCTCGTCTGACGATCGACCCTGTCATCGTGGCGCGAACTCAGGTGAGATTGACCGCCGCTGCGGGGACTAGTCGAAATCTTGCTAACCTGTGCCTAATCGCTCAACTCTTTTAGCAACAAGAAGTCACAACAATCACCAGTCTGTTGCCCGGGCATATCATCTCGGCCCTGATCACCTCGGTCATCCCCTCGACTGGTCTCAACCTGAAGATCTTCGGGACGTTTGACTCTACCGTGGACTTGACCCACTTGCCTGTGTCTCCCTCTGTCGACCTTGAAGAAGCGTACAAGGTTGGGAAAAAGGTCAAGGCGAGGATCATCTTCGAGACGGTAGGGACGACGGATACGGGCAAGGTATTTGGTCTGAGCTTGTTGCCGCACGTCGTTGATGGCAAGAGTCCCGTGGTCGATGGCGAGGATGTGGAGCAGAAGATGACGATCGGCACGATCTGCGAGGACGTCGAAGTGGAACGGGTGGAAAAGGAATGGGGTCTCGTCTGTACCACTCGGGAGGGTTATCGAGCATGGGTTCATGTGAGTCTCGCCTGTAACTCTGCTGAGTGGAGACGCTGACAGCGGAACGTGTGCCTTTGTGATCCTGTCTTAGATGTCGCATGTGGCGGACGAACGACCGGCGAGTCTCTCAGGGACTGGACCTTACCGAGTTGGGACCAAGCACAAAGCCAGGGTTCTCGGTCATTCGCCGTTCGATGGACTGGTCTTGCTCAGTTTCGAACCCAAGGTCATCAACCAAAAGTTCATGCTCGTTAGCGAGGTCAAGGTCGGAGAGATGATGAAGGTCCGTATGAGCGCGTTAACGTGGGCTTTGTCGTAGATTCAGACTGACAATCGTTCGCTGGAATCACACAGGGAACGATCAGCAACTTGACCGACAAAGCCTTGTTTGTGGACGTTTCCGGAAGCGTACAGGGTGTCGTTTTCCCTCTTCACTACGCCGACATCAAGCTCAAGCACCCGGAGAAGCGATTCAAGGCCGGACAGAGCGTCAAGTGTCGAGTCTTTTCCGTCGAGCCTGAAAAGGGTCGTGTCAAGCTGACCTTGAAGAAGAGCTTGGTGGAGGCCACCGAGACCATTCCTCTTGGGTTTGATGATGTCAAGGTCGACATGGTCACTCCCGGTCTGATCACCAAAGTCTTTGAAAAGGGATGCTTGGTCGAGTTGTTCTCGGGCATCGTGGCCTACGTTCCTCTCGCCGAGGTCAGCGACGCTTTCATCACGGATCTCAAGACGGCCGTGTTCGAGGGCAAGCCTGTCAAGGTCAAGATCACTTCGGTCGATCGGGAGTCGCAAAAGATGTTTGCGAGCATCAGGCAGGCATTACCTTCCAACTTGGCGGCTGCGGCGATCCAGATCGATGATGTCGTCTCGGGAGAGGTCGTGCAGATCCATCAAGACCAGATCGTTCTCAAGCTCTTGCCGAGTCAGAGAAAGGCTATCCTGGCTTTGGGCAACTTGGCGCACCACCGTGGCGTCAAGATCGCAGCTCTGAAAACTTCGCTCAAGGTTGGGGAAAAGCTCGACGATCTCGTCGTTGTTGTCAAGAGCGATGACACCGGTCTGATCATCGTCGCCAATAAGCAAAAGCCCGCGAGCACCGAGACCCCGACGGGACTCATCTCCAAGGGTATCAACATGTCCAACCTCAAGCCCGGTCAGGTCGTCCCCGCCCGTGTGACCAAGAAGAACGCTCAGGGATACTTTTTGAGCATTACGAGAAACGTTGTCGGACGACTTCACCCGACCGACATGGCCGACGACTTTGGCAAGCTGCCCGAGATAAACCAGGGCGACATCGTTAAGTGTTGCGTGATCAAGGTCGACGCCGAGAGCCGGCAGCTAGACCTTTCGACGAGGCCTTCGAGGGTCGACGCGGCTGGTTCGAGCGGCAAGTCGATCATTCTCGACAGGGAGATTGAATCGCTTTCCGACCTCAAGAAGGGGCAAAAGATTCGAGGGATCGTCAAGAACATCACCGGGAGCGGTCTCTACGTCAGCTTGGGCAGAAACGTCACCGCGAGGGTCATGATCAAGGAGATGTTTGACGACTATGTCGCCGACTGGCAGTCTAGGTTTGAAAAGGGTCAGGTGGTCGAGGGAAAGCTGCTCAGCGTCGATGCCAAGAAGGAGCAGGTCGAGATGACCCTGAAGAAAAAGGCCAGCAAGACCAAGGAGAAAAAGTCTTCCGCTGGCTTGGCCGATTTCCAGGTCGATCAAAAGGTCGACGCTATCGTTCGAAAGGTCGAAGACTATGGAATTTTCCTCAAGATCGATGGAACCGATATCAGTGGTCTGTGCCACAAGTCAGAGATTGCCGATGACAAAAAGGCCGATGTCGCTCAAGCGATGAAGAGCTTCCGATCGGGCGACAAGCTCAAGGCCAAGATCACCGCCATCGATACCGAGGCAAACAAGATCTCGTTCGGTATCAAGCCGAGTTATTTCGATGCCGAAGACTTCGGCCTTGAGAAGGACGACGAGGAGAACGAGGCTGAGGCTTCAGAGGATGGTGACATGGATGCCGATGAGGAGGCCGACGGTGACGTTGACGAGGACGAGGGTTCTGCAGCTGAGAACGGCTTCATGGATCTCCAGGCGGAAGATGACGACGAGGAGGAAGAGGAGGACGATGAAGAGGAAGAGGAAGAGATGGACGACGACGACGAAGAGGTCGATGATGATAGCGCTGCGCAAGAGGGAGAATCAGAGTCTGAGGAGGAAGACGTGAGTCTCACTTGAACAGCTAAGATTGCTATTAACACGCGCTGATAGCAGGATACGACACAGATCGTCATGGTGTCGGGAAACAACGTCAAGCCGGCCAAGAACGGCAAGTCCGCCTCAGCGACAACGGCTTCAGCAGCTCTCCCCATCAAGGGTGGCTTTAGCTGGAACGGCGCGACTACGCAGCCAGATGAGGAAGAAGCCTCAGATTCCTCATCGGACGAAAGTTCGGACGAAGAGGTGGAGGATTCGGGCAAGACTGGCAAGAAGAGAAAGGGTGGTCACCAACCGATCAAAGACTTGACAGGCGAGATTCGAACGAAGCAACCCGAATCCAGCGCCGAGTTTGAAAGAGCGCTTTTGGCTTCGCCCAACTCGTCATACTTGTGGATCCAGTTCATGTCGTTCCAACTAGCCCTCTCCGAGATTGAAAAGGCCAAGGATATTGGTCGACGGGCATTGACCACGATCGCGTTCAGAGAAGAAGAGGAAAAGCTCAACGTGTGGATGGCGCTCATCAACCTGGAGAATGCTCACGGGACGCCCGAGAGTTTCGACAAGCTGTTCAAGGAGGCTGCGCAATATAATGACGCCAAGACTGTCTACCTCAGGACGGCCTCCGTACTGCAGCAGACTGAAAAGCTTGACGCCGCCGCCGAGATTTTCAAAAAGGCTTGCAAGAAATTTGGTCAGGACTCTGAGCCTTGGACGAGTTTCGCAGAGTTCGAGTTTGTCGCGAGGGATGACGCGGATGCTGCGCGAGCGCTCCTGCCTCGAAGTTTGAAGAGCCTGCCCACATCTGAGCGTGAGTTCCGGCCGTGTCTACGCTTCCACCATCCAGTTGCTGATGACTCCGCTGCTTTACAGACTCAAAAACGATTGAAAAGTTTGCCATTCTTGAATTCCGTCATGGAGACCAGGAGCGAGGCAAGACCATCTTTGAGGGTCTCGTTGACCGATATCCCAAGCGACTCGACATTTGGAACAACTATATCGACCAGGTTACAAAGCTTGGAGATGTCCAGTCTGCCAGGTGAGTCGGTCTTTCCGGTGGCTTCCAGCTCCAAACTGTACTCATCCGCCCTCTCATCTTCCGCAGGGGACTGATCGACCGAGCACTCGACCAAAAGTTGACACCGAAAAAGGCCAAATTCTTGTTCAAGAAGCTCATCTTTGTCGAGGACCGCATCGGCGACGACGCAGGCAAGGACCGGGCCAAGGCCAAGGCCAGGGAGTGGGTCTTGAGCCAGGCCAAGGAGGACGAGGATGACGAGTAGACCGGGGTCGCGTGATCGTGTACAATATGTATGGAGCAGGGATGGTAGACCGATTGTAATACCCAATATCGACCGTCATCATCGAGGATTTCTGAGCCAAGAATCCTACGGTCGAATGTCACTCTCTGGATGCTGATGAATCGCCCAGGTAATCGGTCACTGGTCAGGGCCATTGTTCGTTATCATCTGTAGAGGTCGCTTGAGACCCGAATCGCGCAACGGTCTGCAGACCAACAACATACGTGGCCCGATAATAAATACATGACTGATCTCCCCGCCGACGAAACGAGGCAGATAGGGGAAATGTAACATAAGAAGGGGAAGGTGGGTATGGTACGAATACAAGTGCAAAGGAGGTCGATTTCGTGCCATGACGTATGACTTGTCGGGCCCATACAGATCCAGATAGGGTCGGATGAGAGTAGAAAGGGGTTCGTAATCCGAGAGCGTCTATAGTTGAACTCCTCGAGGGTATCTACGATGTACCATCATCTACGAACAGATAGAAACGGAGTCAGTCCAGGTTCTGGATGACGCCGCGCCCCGCCATGTATGGAAAGAAGATGGGAATACGAAGCTGATAGGATTGAAGAACATACCTGACACCCGCAAAACACCAAAAACGCCGCATAGACGGCTGCAGCCATGTAACAAACATGAGCTACGGCGGTAGGATCATCCGGGTCGTTCGTCGATCCGGTCATGGCTTCGGTGCGACCGGAGAATGCTAGTCCGAACTGTCCAGATCAATGTTCGAGTAGGGTGAGAAGGTCATCGAAGGATTGATGTGGAAGTTTGGCAGCTTACGACTATTGAGCGGAGAAGAGATTGTATGTGAGCTCTAGAGCCTTGGAGGTGAAGGGGCGGTTAAGGACTTACCTGTTAGGATCACTACTCCGAATACCGAGAGGACAGTGCAGCATCCGGCTGTGTAAGGATCATCCAGGAAACATATCATGACAGGAAGTATCCAATGATAACGAAGGGCATGTTGGTGAGAGCGGCAGCAAGTGAGTATACAAGGCCAGCTTGCGATCGGCTTCAAGTGTACGCACCGAGGGGAGCCGAAACTACGGGACGCATTGCGAGAGCCATCTTGTGGGAAGTTTGATTGTCGTAATGACGTCTGGAGTGGCGATCAGCTATTGAGATGAGGATGATTAGCTGCGAGTAGCGAGTAGTCATCACCCCCGATCATGCACATGCATCTCCATCCCTGGGCCCTTGATGATGATGATGTCTTGATGGCGACAGGATGATGACGCGGCGGACATCTGACTGTTTTACGAATATATGACGGGATGATCGTAATTCACGCGGATGTCCGCTTGCTCCGCCGCCCGAACGGAAACCGATCGTCCCCTCCCAAAGTTCAAAAGTTGTCATAAAGTTGGGTGGTGGTGACATGATCGACCATGATACGATTCACTCGACCATTCATACCACCACGACACTGATTCCAGTCTACCCAACTTACGGGCTCATCAGCTTCGTCGCCTCGAAAAATACGTACGAACCTCTTCACTTCCGGCCGGTTCGAAAGCAAGCGAGAGAGAAAAAAAGGCGGTCAGATCGTGGTGATCCAGCTCGCATCGCACAATCAGAGCTAGAATCATGTCGACGCCCACCGCCAGCTATTCGGCTGCCTTTGCTCGTCAACTATGTAGACAACGAAACAACCGATCGTCCATACGGTGGTCGAGCTCCTGGAACATATCACGATCTGCGAGCACGGCAGCTGCACCGACACCGTCGGCAACCAGCCAAGCGCCGCATCAACATGAACCCTCGACATCGGCCACTTCGAAAGTCACAAAACCGAGCTCGATGCTCTCGGCTCTCCCCATCATCTCTTCAGAACTCACCAACCTGAAATCCTCTCTCTTCCATCTGCTCGGCTCGTCCCACCCTTCTTTGGACGCTGTAGCGAAATACTACTTCCAGGCAGAAGGGAAACACCTCCGACCGATGTTGGTCTTGCTACTAGCTCAGGCGACGAACGGCATGGGAGGAGCAGCTTGGGACGACCTGTTGGCAAAGGAACGAGAGGACCAACGGACAGGCAGGGGAGTCGACGAGAGCTTGACGAGCGTCGAGGGGGTCTTGAACGATTGGAACCCGGAACAAATGGGTATGGAGGGAGAGGCCGACATGATCTTTGCCGAACCGTACAACGCTACGGCAGATCGCTCGGGAGAGAGACGGCCGGGGAGCTCGTCGACGTCTACCATCAAGAAGACGTTAGCGAATGCATTGATGGGCAGCGGCTCCTCGCCGTCGTCTTCCTCTTTGGCGGATGGCCTCGATTCGACATTGCCCATTCTCTCAACACAACGGCGTCTAGCTTCGATCACCGAGATGATTCACGTAGCTTCCCTCCTTCACGACGACGTCATCGATACCTCCCCTCTCCGTCGGGGTCTCCCTTCGGCACCCCAACAGTTTAGTAACAAGCTCTCCATCCTCGCCGGTGATTTCCTGCTAGGTCGAGCTTCCGTCGCGCTCGCCCGTCTAGGGTCCAACGAGGTCGTCGAGCTCTTGGCGACCGTCATCGCCAACCTTGTTGAGGGCGAGGTCATGCAGCTTCGAGCTTCTCCCAACGAGACCGACGAGAACAAGCCGAGCAAGCAGGCTTTCGAGGTGTACATGAGAAAGACTTATCTGAAGACGGCTAGTCTGATGGCCAAGAGCGCGAGGGCGGCGGTGATCCTAGGAGGCGCAGGGCAGGGGTACGGAAGGACGACAAGGGAAATCGAAGAGGGAGAGAGGCTGAAAGATATCGCCTATGGGTATGGGAGGAATCTCGGAATCGCCTTCCAGGTAAGTACTTACCGTAAACCTCCCACAAAGGCGTCACTTCGATTCATGAGCTGACCTTGCCCTGAGACTATTGTAGCTCATCGACGATATGCTCGACTTCCTGCCTCCTTCGCCGGAACTCGGCAAACCGGGACTCGGAGCAGACCTTTCTCTGGGCCTCACAACCGCACCCTCACTATTCGCCTGGCAATCCAATCCCGAGCTTGGCCCTCTGATCTCGCGCAAGTTTTCTCAACCGGGCGACGTAGAACGGGCTCGAGAGCTGGTCACCCAGAGCGATGGCTTACGGAAAACTCGCGAGTTGGCAGAGCGGTTTGCCAGCGAGGCTAGGAGGGGGGTAGAGCAGTTGCCCGAGAGCGAGGCTAGGGAGGCGCTGATCGCCTTGACGAAAAAGGTCGTCGAACGGGTGGCATAAGCAGGCACTTCAGATTGAGTAACGAGGAGCGGCCGTGGACCGGAGCATGTAGAAGGAGAACGAAGACAACGATTATCCGATAGAGACTTTGGACTAGCAAGCATACAAGACACCCCGCTCCTGAGTTGTATGGAGTAGATCTCTTGCATCATATGACTATCGCATAGAATAGAGCATGATACGGGCGTATCCCTACCGGGCAGCGCAATTCTCATGCTGATGTGGAGGGAATGCAGGACCGACAGGCTAGTTGGCAACTAGGATAGCTTGCATTTCTGCCTCGAGCAGAGCATCGACGATCTACATATTGGTTGGTTCGGCAATACAGCAGGACGGACGGTCACGCACGAACGAGTCCCAAACCGACGACTTCCTATGTATCGTAATCTCTGCATGTCCTCCGGCCGTAAGGGCGCCTGAACCACGATCTGGATACCAGATAGTTGGCGAGAAAAGGGCAGAAGGTGTCCGGGCGGAGACCATCTCGTCGGTCTGAGGGTAGCTTGGAACAGAGAGCGGATCACGTCTCTCCATAACCAACGTAGAGGTGAACTCGCTCGGAGCCACGCAATAAGTTCCGTCTCGATGGCGCGACTTCCGATATCACCTCGCCACTGCAAGGCGGACTCGGCCGCAGTGAGTACCCAGAGTGGGCAATCCAATGCACCCGTTTGCAACCCCGTCTTAATTGCGACGGGCCTGAAAGATTTCCCGGTATCAGATGGATTAGATTTTTTGGTCGTTTCGATGAAGCTTGTGAGGATCGTAAAAGAGGACGGCCCGGCGAGTGATTCGACATGAATGCAGTGCATGTGATCCTCAGTGGCAATGACGTAGCCTACCAATAGGGTAAAATGTTGCTGATGACACCAAGGGACAAGACTCGTTCCTCCTTGAAGAATTTCCAACGCTTGCTTGCGTGCTTCCGCGTGTAGCATGTACATGTGTGTATCAATGCAGACAACCGACCTGTCCCTGACGACAGCCTCGACGCGATGTACATCAGACTCGGACGACCGATACTCCTGCGTCTCACTGTGGGCCATTAGCTTCCTCTGGATTCACCGGGTCGACAAATAATCTCGAACGAATCCCGGGTCAACAGCTCCGTCAAGCGCATACGGTTCCAGAGGATATAACACGGGGACCGGACGTTGAACCTTGCGCTTCGAGGGTATACGAATAAGGCCTTTTCCACGAGGCGCCGTCACCCATGGCACGAGAAGTCGAGAAGTGGGACCGGGCCTTGAGACTTCTTCAGCATTATCGAGTGCTTGCTTCATGGATATTGAGAGTGCACAAGTTCCCGACAGAGCCGGGAGGTACGTCACATAATTACTTCCCTTTTCGCAAGCGAGCCCTTCCACCTTCTAGACGAGTCCCAATCAGATCTGAACCTGCTTCCCCCTTATCGAAAAATGATGAGATTCATGTTGAAAGCGCCTCTTCCCAACTATCTGATCGGAGACCCTAGCAAACGGGATTACTTCAAATATACGTTCGCTACAGTTGGGTCCTGTCTATATCTGGCTGGCAAGTGACGCACGAAGTCACCTCAACCCGAGGTGTCGACGTCAACGTCGACGTAGACACTCTTGGATGTGAAGCCATCGTGACATCATGCACCAAGCGTGTAGTCCGATGGGGGTTGTCACAGTCTGCATTCAGTCCAGCGTTCGTAGCTCGCCAGAAACCATGGGAGTTCATCTGGACCTGCAGAACCCAGCTGAAACCGACGGCGAATTCGAGATGAAACTCGATCGCGACAGAGAAGCTTCTACGCCAAGGCGGTGCATGTGACATCATCGATTGATGGATCCGCAGTCCGCGCGCTACCGTCTCGTATCCTTTCTCCTGGCCGGCATCCTTGACGCACAAGATCGGGAGTTCGGCAGAGATCTCGCCTCCACCTCTCTCTCTCCGGATCCCTCCATCTCTCTCTTGCATTCGTCGCCCGGTGATTGTGTTGCGGCATTGCGCGTTCCAAGGGAATCACCTGTTTCTGCTGCCGATCCTGCTCCTACATCATCCGATCTGCGGGGGACCTAGGGGTTAGTGGCAACGACCCCTTGGCGTAAATTGAATTAGTAATGCAGCGATCGCATATATAGCTCGTACGGCCTGGTCGACTGTGCCATCGGACGACCTACGCCCTTGCCTCTTCTACCGACTTCACTTATAATAATAAACACCCACCTTGCCTATAAAGCAAATTCGTACTAGCTACAACAATTTGGCTAGTGTCACAAACAATCGCATAAACCAAATTTCTCAATCGCTCTTCGAAGATGGCGTTGGACAACTATGGGTGAGTCTTCAACAAATCGGTTATACCCCACCGATCAACCACTGACTGATACTCGTCGATCCTCAGATGGTTCGTCGTTGTCGTCGTTGCAATCGTGTTGTCTATCACCATAATGGGTAAGTTTATATCCACTCGGGCGATCCGATAAATTATCGTTAACGACTCCCTTCTCGTTTTCGCTACAGGCCGAATATACCTCTACAAGAAACACCGCCGTCAAGCCCAGCTTGCTGCATCAAGAGGGTTGCCTTTCCCGGTCATGACCAACTCCTTGTCCAACTCGTGGAGACCGTCTTCGGCCGATCGACCGCCAGGAGGGGAGAGGCTGACGCGAGGGCAGAATGACGTGGTCAGGGTGGCAAGCAGGACAGATGGGGATCTGCCTAGTTATCGTGAGTACACCCGGCGTCGATTGGCCATATCTTTAGATTGTTTACTGATCGACATGCTCCCCATGGCAGACGACCCCGGTATCAAGATTCCTGAAGCGATGTACAATCCAAACACCTCCCCAGTCGTGCCGTCCCTGTCGAACCTCAACTCGTCATCACAACCACCGCTTGCTGCACCTTTGGGCGCTCCGCCAGGCTATCACGAACCGTCCTCAAACGGTCGCTGAATAGGAGTCTGGCCTGCTTGGAACGAGAACATTCAGGATTTCACTTGCTGTACGAATGAAGATCAAGGTTATATAAAGTGGCAGCTCTGCACTACTGAATACACTACTACTGTAGCATCGGACGACTTTGTTGAGATAATGTACAAACGCAATGCTCTTATAATAAGTGTAATGATCCAAACCTCCTACCTGGCGAGCAAATGCGCATAGGCAGCGACAAGCTGCAAGCTGCCTCGTGGTGCAATCGCTGCAACTCTCTCTGATCGTCTGACCCGAAAGGTCCCATTTCAGCCCTCGGCATGATATGTCTGGGCGTCTGCCGAACTCGCAACGCGGCGTTCGCGGCCGAGTCGCAGCGCAATCTAGGACCCGAAATGTCCGGGGTGTGCCGAAACAGGAACAACTTTGTAGACTTGCATCACCCGATGATCATCGTTGTATCGATATGATCTCTATGCTCGACCATATATGAATCCGTCAGCGAGCAAGACCAATACCCATGCGACAATGGGGCTGGTTGACATTCGCCGTGCTGTTAGCTTGCATCGCTTATTTCCGCGAAACCTACCTGATCGACCGCTCAGACGACATTCACTCGAAAATGATAACCTCTAGTTTGAAGAACGTGGTTGTAGTAGGAGGGTCGTATGTCGGTTTGGTGAGTCTCACATCATGCACTTTCCTTTCCTAAGGGAGCTGTGAGCTGATTCGGAGGGGCAATATGGATATAGAGTGCAGCGCAACAACTAGCAGCGGCTTTACCGTCTACGCACCGTGTGCTCCTGATCGAACCTCATAGTCACTTTCACCACCTGTTCGCTTTTGTGAGTGGATCTACTAGGATTTGATATGCAAGTCTCGTGCTGACCTGATCAGTCTCGCCTCGCAATAGCCTCGGTTCGCGGTGGTTCCTGAGCACGAGCACAAGGCGTTCATTCCGTACTCGCATGCGTTCAAGCAACCGAATATCCCCAACCCGGACTTGCATCACTTCATCAAGGCCAAGGTCTTATCGGTCTATCCCTATCACCTCGAGCTCGACCGCGAATGGAAGGGCACCAAACGGGTCGACTTTGATCACCTCGTCCTGGCCACGGGGACCAAACTCCCCTCGCCTGGGTCGATGCAGTCGGACGAAAAGAAGGAATCTATCGGGTACTTCAAGACTTACCAAGCCGGCGTTCAAAGGGCTGATAGGATTGTCATCATCGGTGGAGGAGCTGTAGGCGTCCAAATGGCTACGGATCTCAAAGAGGTCTACCCGGAAAAAACCGTGACGCTGGTCCAGTCCAGAAAGACGGTCATGCCCAAGTATCATCCCAAGTTGCACGAGATCATCAAGCAGCGATTCGACGTCCTCGGGGTCGATCTCATCACGGAGAACAGGGTCATCGTACCCTCAGACGGGTTCCCGCTGGACGGATCCAATTTCGATGTCGAGCTCAGGGACGGGCGAAAGATACCCGCTCAACTGGTCATCCTCGCCACCGGTCAGATCGCCAATAATCAGCTCTTGCACTCGCTTCAGCCCTCCACGGACGAGGTCTTGGTGAATCCAACGAACGGGTTCATCCGAGTCAAACCAACGCTACAATTCAAGGACCCTGTTTATGGTCATATGTACGCTCTCGGTGATATCGCCGATACGGGCGCACACAAGGCGGCGAGACCGGGCATCGCGCAGGCGGGTGTCGTCACCAAAAACATCTTGAGCGCGATCGAAGGCAAGGAGGGCGAGAGTGAGATCGAGATCGGACCTGCGGGGATTCATATGAGTCTGGGACTGGTGGGTTTGCGCAGCGGGTGCTAGATACGGATTGCCGTTTCTGAATCTTTCCGCCTGTTTCATCCGGTTGCAGACGGAGAACCTAGTCTTCCGAAATCCAGCCAATGAAGGCGAAGATCCCGTAGTCATCATGCGCACCGAGTGAGTTTCAATCGGGTCAGTGTTAACCCCTTGAAAACCACATCTGACGAATCATTACTCTGCTCGACTTTCTGCCTTCCCCCATGACTTCGTCCTGCGTTGCCCAAACTATAGCGGATCAAGGGACATGAACATCGAAAGCGTGTGGACAAGACGAGGCGTTATTGTCAACGGCATCGAAGATTATCACTTGTAAAAAGCCTTTCGCCTGTCTGCAGAACACGCGTTCCTCTGTTGTATCACTTGTCATCGTACCCGTAACAGTATCCAGACCTGATTCTAAGCGATCGGACCTATCGCCCACCAAGTATATGCAATCAGTGCAATAATGAACATTAATGGTAACAACCTGTTTATCCAGAAAGGTGAGTTGCGCGAAAGCAGAAGATTCCTAGATCTACTTAGCTCCACCAGATGTCCTTGCCCCCCTCCCATGTTCGCTTCAGTCTGTAGATGATGTAGCCTAGATTGGGCACCAACAACAGTCCTGCCTTTCTAGCTGCATACACAGTCTCTTGCTGTTGCGGCGTGAGAATGATGGACCTGGAAACTAGATCTTATCAAAATTACTTATGATAAGACATGAAACTTCAGGCCGTGGAGCATCAATGGAAACGCTCTCCCATCGTCCGACGCCATAGGCAGGTCTTTGGCTTGGACAAGACGTCTTTAGGAAGTCGAGCGGTAAACAGGACGGAGTTGTATCCAAAAGAAGAGGTTCTTACGACACGGGACGCAGTGATAAATAGTCAAGTCCAAAATGACGTACATGATTGTAACATCCCCCAAGTCACGAAGTGATCTGAAACATCAGAATTCGTCTTCGAGCTTCGAGATGATAGATCGTCGATCGTCGCCTTCCTTCTGAAACGCGCGCGAGCAGGCGAGACGAGATAGGCGATCGATCCTGGCGGATGCGACCGAAGTCAAGGGTAGGATGACAGGGGTAGGAGTACAAGAAGAAAGTAGCCAGACAGAGAGACGAGCCGTAAGCGAGCTCATACCAGGGAGGCTTGAGCCGAAAGTCGAGAGAACGAAGAAGAGTGATCCGACGGATCCGACGCGATCGGTCTCGGATCCTGATTTCTTGAATTTCTTGTCGACGAGCCTGGTGATATGTGACGAGCCAGATGAATGACGAGCGTGATGATGAGCACGATGAGCCAGATGAAGCCAACCCCACAGTTTTGCCATACGTTTGGACGAATATATAACACAGGCAAGATGCAAGGGACTTCTGTACTACTTTGACGATGTATCTGTTTTGCCTATACACATCATCCAGATCGTCCCCTCCCTTCGCGTCCGCGCCCTCTCCGCCTCTTATCAGCCCTCTATAATGGCCGCCTTTCTCGACCTGTCTCCCGTCCATTATCCCGTGCTGTCGGATGGTAACGGACGGGGGTCAGGGCGACAAGGCGTCCATTGTATGGGGCTGATAATTGGGCGGAGGTGGAGAGTGAACCGAGGCAAGGTGAAACGATGTGGATGATGTGATGAGGTCTGTATGATTGGGTCAGCAGCGCAGCGTCATGGGGGAGCTATTCGCGGACAATCCCATGCGTCGACCTCCACATTTCGACAGAGAGTAAGCACGCCCCCACCCCCCGTCCTCACTCTTTCGACCTCGAAACATCTTCACAAATCATCTTCAACTACTGACCTACTTGCGACTTGCGACTTGGTTGATCTCAAGCAGTAGCCACCTTCGCGTTGATACATATACACCGTGATCATGCACCGAATACGCTCAACGACCACCGCGACGCCGATAACGATGACCCGGACGACGATAAGCCGGCGACAAGCAATCTCGACCTCCCCGAACCTCTTCAGACCGCCCGCACAGGCCGTAAGGGTGCGTGATGTAGAGGACGAGCCGCTGGACTATATGGCGTCGAGAGGGGTCGGGATGGAGAGTATGGTAGAAGGGTTTCAACGAGGAGAATTGTCAGGGTCGAGGTCGGCAGGGAATTACCGGGATTACATCAAGGTACTTTCGAAGGCTCGGTTTCTTTTCGCCAAGTAACGAGCGTATCGAGCTCATTTTGTGTGATTCGTCCTTTCAGGCCAAGATTGCCCAGCACGATCTTCTCCACCCAGCCCCTCTTACCGCTGCCTCGCCGTCACCCTCGAGCTCGGAACTCGGCCAGATCTTGGATCCAGCCGGTCTGACAGCCAGGTCGAGGGAAAAGACGGGGAGACACCCATTGACGGATCGGTATAAGCGGGATCATGGCTACTTGAGGATCAGTCTGACTGAGAGGTGCAACCTGCGATGTAAGTCGAATCTTTGGGGCCGGAGATCAATCATCGCCTTATCCGTTTTCTGACTCGACGTTTCGCTCCTTGTACCACAGGTACCTACTGCATGCCCGCCAACGGAGTCCCTCTGTCCCCTCCCTCTCACATCCTGACCAACTCGGAGATCATGCACCTCTCCCGCCTCTTCGTCTCCCAAGGCGTATCCAAAATCAGACTCACCGGTGGTGAACCTACATTGAGGAAAGACCTGGCCGGGCTTGTTGCTGGGATAGGGGCACTCAGAGATCAGGGGTTAAGAATCATAGGGATGACGAGTAATGGAGTGGCTCTGGGAGGCAGGAGCGATAATGGCGGGAAATTGAACGAGTTGGTCAAGGGGGGTTTGACGCATTTGAATTTGAGGTGAGCAAGAGGGTTGCGTCTTCAGTTGGCGGGAAGTGTGGATACTGATGGCGAATCCTGGATGACCCATAGCTTGGATACGCTAGAAGAGGCCAAATTCGAGGAGATCACTCGTCGGCGAGGGTATTCTGCCGTCATGTCTGCACTCGACCACGCCCTGTCGCATCTCAGCGACGCACCCCTTCACGCCTCCCTCTCTGATTTCCGCCCGGGTCTCCGTTCGGTCAAACTCAACTCGGTCCTCACCCGATCCACCAACCTGTCCGAACTGTTGTCGTTTGCCGAACTCACCAAGGAGCGTCCGATCAGCGTCAGGTTTATCGAGTTTATGCCGTTTTCCGGCAACGAGTGGGACAAGACGGAGATGGTCAGTTATGAAGAGGCTTTGGGGATACTGAAGGCACGGTATGGCGACGATCTGGAGATGGTCAGGGATGACGGGGATGATGGGACGAGCAAGAGGTGGAGGGTCAAGGGGTACAAGGGGGAGATTGGATTTATCAGCAGTATGGTGAGCTTTGTTCTCGGCCGTATAAGAGCACCGTGCTGTTTCAGAAGGTTGGGTATTGATGCGAATCGAAAATGTCTTGGAAACAGAGCGACCACTTCTGCGGGACTTGTAACCGACTTCGAATCACGGCGGACGGGCATCTCAAGGTGAGCGCTCAGTCAACTCTAGCTTGTTGAGCCGCTTTTGCTAACGCTTCCCTGCCTTGTCTCTCGCAACCCCTTCCCGCAGGTCTGCCTGTTCGACAATACCGAAGTCTCGCTCCGCGATGTCATGCGCTCTCAAGACCCAAACTCGCGGATAGACGAACGCTTGATCGACGTCATCTCCATGGCCGTGGGCAACAAGAAGCCGAAACACGCAGGTATGGACCTTTTGAAGTCCATGCGAAATCGGAGCATGGTCATGATCGGGGGTTGATCGAGGCGACTTTGGCGTATTGTGTGTGGAACTTGGGACTTGGACTGTATCATATTGGGGCTGGATTGGCTCGGACTGGACTGGAACGAAATTGGCGGGGTTTGGGGATTATTGTATCGGCTTGGCGTATGGAAAAGGGCTTGGACGGATCGTCAATCTCTCAGGTAAGTCAAGTGTCGAAGCAGAGGCTTGCGGGCTGTGTTCTGATGAGTGAAACCTTTACAGACCATAGAACTGTATCGCATAGACTGTGGAGAAGATCGGAACAGATCGTAGAGCGTGCGCCGAGGATAATGAAGAGAAACGGTCTTGGAATCGGAGGACGAAGTACCGGCTGGTTAGCTATCAGACAGAAACACACTAGCGCTCATGTCAACGAGGTCAAGGAACCGACATTGACGCACCTCGACAAGACGGGCCGCGCCTCGATGGTCTCGATTTCGAACAAGGCGTCAACGACTCGACGCGCAACTGCCAAGGGCCGAATCTACCTGCCCAAGGTCGCTTTCGACATGCTCGCGCAGGATCCGAGCGGTTCGACCTGGAAAAAAGGAGATGTCTTTGGAACGGCGAGGATCGCGGGGATCATGGCCGGGAAGAGGACGAGCGACATGATTCCTCTTTGTCATCCCATCAGCTTGACGGACTTGAAACTGGCTTTTAGATTGGATCAGGATGTGCGCAAGGACGACGGCGGCGGTTGGGTCTCGGTCAAGGCGGTAGCCGAGTGCGAAGGCAAGACCGGCGTCGAGGTGAGTTTCGAAAAAGGAACGCCCTTATCTTGTCTTTTTAGACGCTTACCCCGCCTACCTTACCTTGTCGTTCAGATGGAAGCCTTATCGGCAGCGTCCGTTGCGCTGCTGACCGTTTGGGACATGGTCAAGGCAGTAGCGGGTAAAGAGATGGTCATGAGCGACCTCATGGTCACCCATAAGGAGGGGGGAAAAAGTGGGGATTGGGACCGTCCCGGAGGTTGGGTCGCAGGCGAAATCAAGGCCAACGAGGTCGACTTTGCGTTGTAGAAGATGACGTCGAGGCGGTCGAGATGCAATCATCCATTATAGTGGTGACCTTGAAGGCATGCTAAAATCGGTGGATACAAAGGCGGTACTAGTGATATACAAGACTATCGATACAGTTCCTTACGTGACGTCCGAGACCAAGCCTTAACCCGGTCGCGGCTTGCCTTCCAATCCTCGATAACCCTGACACCAAGGTCTACAAGACGCGCATTGCAAGAGTTCAGCTTATGAGCAAACACTTAACGTATCAAGTGGTACTCACGGTCTATGCGAGTCCTCATTGCTCCAGTATGCTCGGCATCTCAGCGAGAAACCGTACGGCACTTGTATGACGAAGACGGTTGCGTCAGCTCAACCTGTAACCTGTAACAAGGCTATCGACCGGCTCACAATCATATCCACGAGCTCCTTCGTTGTGCTTGTCGACTAGGCGGAGCATCTGGGTGATCTTGTTACTATCAAGACGGACGTTTAACAATTTTAGCACCACGTAGCAATGTCGATTGTGTGCTCTTGACTCACGTGTTGGTGAGGTATTTGCGAGCGTATGCAAACGCCAAGAACGCTTTCCTCTTCAATTCTTCCTCGTCCAGCAAGGCCTTTTTGAGGATGTCATCGATTTGCTCGATGGTATTGTCCGGATGAAGCTTGATCATGAACTTTTCAAACGCCTCTTCGTGCTCGGTGGGGATGTCCCCGGCGACGACACAACCGCTCAAGAATGATTGTGCGTATTTGCGGATCGCCTTTCTGCTCAAACTCGAATCAAAGACACAGATCTTGCTACTCCTCAGACCTTCTGCAAAGTCCTGTCGCATACGGATGTGTTTCTGATAGTAAGGGTGGTCGATTGTATACGTCTCGAGAGGATCCTCGTACGCCTTCGGATCTTCCCAAATGGTATATCCAGGATGTTGGAACCGCTTGATGACGGTGTCCTTGCCATCGTTAATAGCATTGGTCACCACGGTTCGCAACGGGTAGACTATGCGAGAACGATTGATCAAATTCGGAGTTCAGGCGCATCCTATAGACGATCGCCACTCACAGCTACCGGTGAAGCCAAACATCTGCGCATCATGCTTGCGTTCGCTCCATTTGCCAGGGAAAAAGTCCCACTGATTGGCAGAATCTGGACTATGTCCGAACAGATGCATGCTCATATCCGGGTATGATGCCTTGAGCCTCTCCGGGTTGTAGACGTCCAGCATCTCGAAAGCGTACTTTGTGACCGTAATGTTGCTAGAGTAGGGGTACCATTCCTTGAAGCAGTTGAGCGAGTGGCAGTCCCCGATCTGTTGTGCCAAGAGAGCTCCACATGGCATAGGGGACAATCTCTTGTCATTCTGTTTAAAAATGTCGCTGTCGACATAAAGCCCGCGGAGGTTAGCGAGCACCTTCGTTTAGTGAAATCGAATCGGCGGTCGACGTACGAGATGGTCCAGACCAGGTCGAAACCTTCCGCTGGGCATCCCTCGGCCACTCCTTTGACAACCTCGAGCCATTTTCCCATCTTGACCCCATCTTCGACAGTACTCTTTTCCATCTCCGAGGCTTGCTCTTCCAGCCGAACCTGGCGATCCGAATCTTTCCAGATGCCAGCCCAGTCGTCACCCTCCCGCTGCCGACCCATAACCTGTTCTCCGGCTCGAGCTCTCCTCTCGTCCGTATCTTTTCCCTTCGTAACCTTGTCGATCTCGGAAACCCTCCACATTCTCCTACGGACGTTCTCCCCGATATTTACCTCGGGGTCCCATCCGTGCCAACCCGGACCCCATACGTCGACCCGGGATATCAGAGGATGTCTCAGGGCAGAATCCACGATTTCGTAGGTATGCGTGTTCATGCGTTCCAGGTAGTCGTGGTAGTCTGCGGAAAGTAACGATCGAAGGACTTTGTCAGACGAGGACGATCGAGGGAGCTTTGTTTAGGGATTGCTTCTTGCGACGTACCGGTCAAGAACAACACCCTCTTGCCCTTCTGCCCATCATCACCATCATCTTCGAGATCGAGCTCGGGAAGATGATCAAAAGGACTCGACCCGACCTCGTCCACGTTGCCCCAGAACCAGGGCATCGTGTCCCCATCTTCCCCATCCTCTTCCTGTCCTTCCGCCGTGCCCTGTCTGACCTCTTCTTGTGCGGCTCCAGCTTGAATCTTGAGCTCGCCAGGTGGAGTCGTTACCGGATTGAGCCGTCGTCGAAGAGGAGAATGAGCGGAACTAGATCCTTGTAATGCGGAATGAGGGAGATCGACCCCGTCCAGAAAGACGGGCATCAACCCTAAATCCCGAAGGCTTCTTTGCAACTTTCTTCCCAAGAGGCCTTTCGACGTCCGTCCAGCCTCTGACCTAGAGCTCAGCTTAAGACCGGATCCAGCGTCCACCCACGCTGGCCATCTGAATTCTCCCCTGGCGTCCTTTCCCGCTACGGATCCCGACGCCGCCGCGATCATCCTCGTCCGTCTTCGATTCCTCGCTCCGGACCCTAGCGTCATGACGAACAAGACGACCACCGTGAAGAGTAGAGATAGCCTGACGAGCCTTCGCCGAGAGACAGGGAGTTGGAGGGAGAAGAGAGATGATCGTCTTCGGATGGAAGGGTAGATACTGTTATGATCACTGTCATGGCCGTTGTCGTGATCGTACTTGTGGTCGACCGGTCCAAGGGTAGTAATCTCGGTCCCGCCGAGCTTATGGACGAGGTCGCTGGGGATATTGATCAACCTCTCGAAATGCCTAAAAGGTGGAGCGGATGATTTGGGAGAGACCTCGTCATCGTTATCGTTGTAGTTGTTGTTGGGAGGTCCGTGTCGTCCGTTGCTATCGTCCTCATTCTCGAAAGGACGGGTAGACCCTCGGCGAGATGGTGCGTTCGAGCCGGGTCTTGACAACGACGCCATAGCTAATCGATGCGTCGAAGTGTGATGTGTGGGTGCTGTGCGAGCGTGATGTTGACCTAGGAGCACTGATGCTCGAAGCTTGATGATCAAGGCAGGAGGTCGATACGGAATGCCTTTCTACGAGTTCGTGTCTCCTCTAGAAGCTTGTTGATTATAATACGATTCTACGTTGAATCGTTCGATCAAGCGTATCCTGCAGGGAAAAGGAATGTATCGATAAGGACATTGATGATGTGGGGATGCTACCTTGATGAAAGGGGGAGTGTGGGCAGATGTCACGGCTACATGCAACTCGCATGACCTCGACCTTTGTCGACTCGGTCACCTCGTTTCGCCGATCCCTCCTTACGAAATGCCAAGACCAAAAAACAAAAAAAGACGGCATGGACTCTACCGCCAGCTCCTCCCTACGACCGGCCAACTTGCGACGGCTGCGAATCATCCATCTCGTTTCGTAGGTTTCGCAGTTTCACAATCTACGCACGCCCCTGTACCTCTCGAGCCTGGTAACTCCAGCAGTGTATGGTAGTAGGTGCAGGAGCAGGGCGACGACAACAAAAGAATACACAAACCTCAATTTCTATGGATAAATTCGCCGAGAGGACGAAGTTTGTCATCTATCCCCCGGCGGGCTCTAGCTCTCCGAGGCGCTTCTTGCGAAGTGTTTCGCAGTCGCCACCTTGCTCATCAACACCTTCAAAGCTGTGTATCTTCCAACACTATGAAACAACAATGCAAAGATCATATCGGTATCATCGACGACTTGGTCGACTTGGCGAGTCGCAAGTCGCAAGGTCGTGTGACGTCGAGATAACGAAAATGTTTCCCCTTTGTTTTTGCGCCCGGCCGCCACCCGAGGACAGCTGACCGGGTCCCGAAGGATCCAGAGAACGGGAGAAAGCGGGATGCCCGAGTGCCGTTTTCGGTAACGTACCCGTCGGGGATCGGAGAATTGTCAGATCACCACCTCCAGCTTCTTCGATACACGTTGATCGTTATTTGTATGCAACCTGCTTCTTCCTCCTGAGTTCGATACAACCATCCTGTTTCCGTTCTCGCGGCGGGCATCATCGTCCGAATCCCAAACCATCCCTCCTCCCTCCCGATCCGCCCCACGCGCTGGCTCCCTGGGCGTCCAGCGCGCCAGTTTCCCCGTCGATCCGGATCCAACCCCCGATCGCATACAGGTCGCTATACTCGAACGAAGCGTACATTCCACTGGATCCTACTATGTCCAGCGAGTTGGCTGGACCATCTTGCCAGTCTCCACTCGTATTCCAGTGGTCGGACTGGTCATTGTCTGGCTGGGCGTCGGGTGCTGCGGAGGCAGCGGCGGGGGCGTATTTCGGCGGTCGTGGGTGTGCGGGTTGCAATTGCGCAATGATCCTATCAAGGTATTGAGAACGGTTCATTAGCGTCGACTCTATGTGTGTAAACGCTTCGAGACGTGAGAAATCAGCCGACTCACAGCACCGGTCCCACCCATGTCAATGCCTCCCCGCCATCCTGACCCTGATTCTGAACCCATTCGCTGGGAACCACCCTGCCTCCGTCCTTGACGACACCTTGTAACCATTTCCTTTCCTTGAGTATCGGATGATATTGCCTTGTATCCACACCATGACGACCTGCGCGACCGGGTAGACCATGACGAGACCCCGCTCGGCCGTTCGTACCATTTGTCTCCTTCTTGCTTTCTCTGTCGCCACTACCGGGGAAGATCGGGTCCAGAGGAAAGTTCTCGTCAGACTGACCTGCCACCTGACCCCTAGGCGTATAATTGGGGTACAAGGCATGGCTAGGCGCAGGGCATGGATGCGTCATGATCGAATAAGGAAGGCTGCCCAGCGCATCAATCTGATTGGTCCGACGTTTGTCGATGTCGTCGTGACGGATGCCATTCCAGCCAGGTCCGCATGCTTCCGCGCGATCACTGTTACCATCTTCATTGACAGGTGTCCTTGCCGTGGGTAAAGGTAAACCCTCGGACACGATGCCTCTTTGCGACCGCGATGCATCCTCAGGTACCTCTGACAGACCCCCCTGGTTGTTCCTCTGCTGATCATCTGACGAGCGCCCTTCTTGCGAGTCGCGGGAGCCTATCCTACGTAACCAATTCCGGCTCCTAGACCCTGAGCCACCAGTGCTTGCGCCTTCGGACGAGGACAACATCGCCGTCGACGGCCCGGCGTTGTTATTGTTTGAACTCGAGGACGAGGATCCGAACTTGAGCATCCTAGTCAAGGCTGATCCCGATCCCGAACGATGGCGGGAAGAAGACGTTCCCGCTGCAACTCCAGAATTGGAGGTCTCTTCCGGTGTGGCATTGTGTTGCAACATCTGAACCGAGCTGTTCAACCGGCTCGTAGAACTGAGAGGGGCGAATACCTGTGCGGTCGTCATGTTCCAAGGTTGCGTGGTCGTCCCCGTCGACGATGATGCAGACGTCTCCATGACTGAATAAGACCGGCCTCTCGCCAACTTAGCGGGTGTCTGATGTGTGCGTAGATCTGGAAGTTCAGAGTTCCTCCTCGGATTCTTCATGCGTGCCGCCTTGACGTGATCAGGTGGTTCAAGCTCGTATCCATCTTCGTCCACCACCGTCTCCCACCCAGCCTTGTTCCTGCCAGAGAGCTTCGGAGGGTGACACAGTCGGAATGCCTTTTCGTTGATAAAGACCGACCGGGGACTGGCCAACACGCCAAACATCAAGATCCGAACGTCCTGAAGCTGAACCAGTAGCCGGACTTGAGTCGGAAGATGCGACAAGTTGTTTTGCAATCTGTCGATCGGGGTTGATCAGCCGACCCGATAAGTCGTGCAAAGACAAGATAGACTGACTTTATCTCTCGAAAGATCTCCAACGGGTCGAACGTGCGGGAATATATTCGGTTGAGTGAGCAAGTTCCATTCCGGTGTAACATGAGAAAGCGCTGGTAGCATTACGATTGTATCAGCTCCAGAGAGATGGATTCCAATGACTTTCTTGTCAACTCACCGTCCATGACTCTTCGTGAGTGCAACCCAGCGCCCGGTGCTCCAATCGCCTCAGCATCCGCAAGAACATCGCCCTCCAGCGCTCGTCCCCCTCTCCGTACCGCCTCCAGCTGGGCAAGAACCTCCTGCGAAACACCTCTTCCCATACAGCATCGGACAACTTGGGTATCTCCATCTCTTCCAGGATCCATCTCGCCTCCCCTCTGACCAAGATCTCTGTAAAGACATTCCTCGCTACGTGGGTATAGCTTCCAAGGGAGGCGAGTTCCGGTGGGTAAGGTGGTCCACGGAGTAGTATACGCTGAACGGGTCCGAGAAACGGTGTGATCTGCGGCGATAGTGAGACCGCTCGTAGCGTTGATGAAAGTAAGGATACGGGTATAAGGTCCTTCAAGGGTAGGTGGCTGTATGCAAAGAGATACACGTTCAGCTCGGGTATTGCCGACGCAGCGGATGGTACTCGCCTCAAGATAGCTTGCGTGATCTCGAACGGGAGACCCTCGAACTGTACACTCGAGCTCTGCTCCTCTGGATCCATGGGTATAGGTATCGATGCGACGGTTCTGGCTGGATATGAAATGGGAAGTGAGGAGACTGTCTATAGCTAGGTGCTAGGTGAATTGTCGACTTTCTGATCATTCGACGCTGAATCATGCCCGGCAAGCTAAGTAAGGGGGAGGGGCGTGACCTCCACCTCGTCCTCGATCGACTGCTCGGAAGCTAATTCCACGAACGATATACTTCCGGCGGGCACTTCAGTGTCCTGATAAGTCTTGACCAGCATGACCAGGCGATGGTACCCGGCATCAGCTGCGATACTACACTGCTCCAATTGATCTCAAGCGCAAGATGGACCGAGATCGATCCTAGCACGAGCCAGACTGTAAGTCCTATCGTTCATCATCATCGTTGTCGTCAAGGTCGTTAAAGTCATCATACAACGTCTCTCGGAGTCCGTGATACACCTCCAAGAGGACCTCCAATCGAGGTCTTGTCGTCTGGCAGAACGACCAAGGCCAGGTGGGTGATGAGCGTAATCAGTAGATCGACCACAGACGCCCTATTAGATTTTCACTACTACAGTACTCACTGGGAACACCACATGCACCTCCAGCCCTTCCACACCATACCCTCCTGCGCACTCATACATCCCTCCGCGGCTCAGAACGCCTAGATAGTAGACGACGCTCCACCGATGGAACGCCTCGTTGAGAAATATCCTCGAGCTGGATCTGATGTTGGAAAGGGGAATAAACCGTTTAGACGTTCCGAGAGGTACGACTAGTCGAAGGGAAAACGGAAAGGGGATAATGATCGCTGTGGTTGATTCCAGTTGGATGCCCAGGTTTGGGAAGGCTACGGCGGATTCTGGAGCGAGGAGATAGGAGAGATATTAGCTTCGATGAGTCGTAGAATAGGTAGGTTCCGTTGAGTTACATACCGGAGACTACCGACTTGTTAGCGATAAGCAACAAGCATATACAGCATGCGGTCGTCCACCTGTGTAGCTTGAACTGACGATACGAAACAGGTTGTCGTTGATCAGATACGTTCTTCCACTCAGACTGATACGAGAAACGCTCACGACGTTCGATCCATACACCTTCAAGATACACGCCAACCCCATCCAGAAGGATCCCCAAAGTATCCAGTGAAAGAGCCCGACCTTGACAGTGGGGATATAGCAATACTCGACGCAGAGAGGATGGTCGGCATCTCCCCCGACTGGCCAGGTCCGTTTGCTGCTCAGCTGAGGGTGTCCGGGGAGCGGAAACGAGACGCTTTCGGTCCGTTGTTCCTGAGAGCTTTGAGCGTCATTCCCATGACTGATTCCGGGCAGAGAACATTCCGCAGTGAGATTCTTCTTGAAATTGCGGTCGTCGCCATTCTTTGTCAAGTCCCCTGAATTACTACTGTTGCGGTGCATAGCCATGACCATCTCCCTTGTTCCAGCTGGGATACGCGAGCAGAAGACGTGCGGGTCATCAGAATTCGTCAGGGATCATGATGCCGTCGATTTGCGATTTGAGCGGTTCTAGCGTGAAAGTAAGTAGCTAAGTAGACACCGGAGATGGCCAGGAGGCAGGAGGTGATCTTGAACACCTGTACACCTGAGCGTGCAAAGACCGAGTCTGCTCACCGTGTCGACGCTGAGCGGACAGTTCATAAGTAGTCATGTCCGTGTAGCGGTTCATGAAATCGCATATCTATTTTTACTGTAGAATCTGTACCTGTCTGGCCGGCCCTAGGATCTGGCCCTCGCGCCCTCGCTCTCGCCCACGGCAAAGACCGAGATAGCCACGTCGCCGTGATGACGAGTGGCTTTGATTGCTGCTCTGCGCTCTGAGCTCTGCCAGCTGCTGGACGCAACTCTTTTTTTTCTTGCGTCGCGCAATCCGCTGGGGTGTACGGTGTGACGACGAAACGAATGTCGTCCGGTGGCTGACAACGAGGGATGGCTTGTAACTCAAAAATTTCGCTTGCAATCGGCGGCACTAGAGCCTTCAGCAGCGGGCGGCCACAGACCGGGACGCGAGGTTCCAGGAACCAGGCATCTTCCGGTTGATCCCGGACGTAAACATAAACATCGCGGGGGGGGGGTGGCTTTTCGAGACCCATCGACGACGACGACTTGCCGGTTTTGGAATAGATGGATGCGATCAATCCAAAGGTCGATCCTATCTTCTCTCACAGCTTTTTACGATCTGCGATCTGCGTAATCTCTCTGATCCATCTCTCGGTCTCTCGTTTGTCACTACCACCTACACTCGTTATCGCGATTCACCCCACGATCATTTAAAGTACAAGCTACGTTTCACGGCAGGTCCAGAAACACGCTCGACCCCTATCTCGCCCTCGATTTACTTTACAACTACCTCTCGATAACATAAACATCCCAACACCAGCGATACCAGTAATACTCTGCAAAACACACACATCATGGTCGCTCTCTCCGCCTTTCTCTCGACACTGCTCTTGCTGTCTTCGGCAGTCGCTCTGCCCGCGTCGACCACCATCGATCTGACATCCCGGGACAACGCCCCTGTCCGTCGACAAGCCCCGGCCCCTTCGATGGCTCGTCGAGGTCTTCACAAGAAGAAGCATGTCGACGTGACCTACATCCCGGGAAACAAGAAGGATTATTCTCCCTTCCTCTGTCCTTCCCCCGAAGCGCCCGTCGTTGCTGCCTCGACGTCCACCGCGCTCCCTCTAAACCCCAACAACGTCCCCGTTCTGACCAAGATGAAGTCGTGCCCCGCTCCTGGAGCTGGACTCGTAGGAGAAGCCCTGGAAGGGCTATCGCCCGAGGAGCTGGGTGCGCAGATGGAGACGTTGGCGGATTGGTTCAGGATCGGATTCGAATGCGTCGATTTCGAGAACGATGCCGAAAACTGCGGAGGCTGTGCGATCTTCAACCTTGGGTACGTCTGTTCCCTCTCAAAAATACACATTACGTTCCCTCTCACTTACCTTGGATCTTCCTCTTCACGTCCTCGTAGCCAAAACTGCACAGCCATCCCTTCGGCCCGCCGTACCACCTGCGCACAAGCGACCTGCCACGTCCTGGCATGTGAGCCCGGCTACGTGATCTCGAAAGAGAAGAACGCTTGCGTCGAGCGTTCGCGCAATATCGCCCTCGAAACCACCGATGAGGATTGGGTGGAACAGGAACGTCTGCTAGAGGAGAGCGATAATCAAAAGGTCATCGGAAGGAAGCGATAGTAAAGTCGCCGCGATCAACGGTCTGGAGGAATTTTTATGGACATTTAGAGAAGCTCGCGTGCTGGTGGGCATATAGGCAAAGGATATATAACTAGACGAAGGATATGTAACAAGGTTCACATGCCTGCTAAAAGAGGAACTACTTTGTACGAGATCAACGAGTCTCCACCCATTATTTTCGATGCGATGCTCCGTGCGATTCGACAACCAGATGATATAGATGCGACTGACTCTTGCGAAAGCACTTTGCACCTGCGGCTCTGACAGGCTGTGACTCTGACTTGCTTGAGAATTGTCCTCTAGGCAGGAATCGCCCTCTTCTTGCTGCCCCGGGGAGGTTTTGCGGCAGGATGGGATCATAGCAGAATCGAAGGAGGTAGCTCGAAATTCGATGCTGGATTCGCTTCTAGATCGCTGTCCACGGCCTCAGTTGATTAGATTGTAGTCAAATGAGTGTGGTAGGAAGGAAGAGTGGTTTTTACAGGGGGAACAATCGGTGCCTGAGAGATTGTTCCTGTAACACATGCCAAACCGCGACCGGGAGCATGTCTTCACCCCTCATCGTATGTATCATACATACATGCATACTCATCGCTCGCCAGAATCCTCTCACACATAGCACATGCACACATAACTTGTCGTTCTCTATGATTCAGCGCTACCATGGCCCATGGACTTGTCTTGAACCCAGCCTGCAGCATTGAAAGGAGATTGACGAGAAGAAACTCAAAGAACTTGGAATTTGTCATGAGGACCTGACCCAACAGCACAACAAACACGTCGCCAGTCTTCATAATTTGGCTGGTGTTGTGACCCAACACCATGCCAACCTTTATACTCTGACTGCTGTTGTGACCCAACACCACGACAAACATGTCGCCATTCTCACCCAAAACCACTTTCCCGTGCATTCATTCCTCCGCGCCTTCTTTGCCTTCTCTGCAACCAGTTGACAGAGCTCCAAATCTTCCTTGATCGACTGCCAGTCGATTCCAGTAGCTCCGTCAGCATTCACATCCAAATTCCCTTGACATCGTGGATACGCTCGAATCACGGCTGCCACCCGTCTTGAGAACCTATCTGCGTCATTCCACAGGGTATCCTCCTGGTGAGAATCTCTAGCCCAAAACATAGCATTGATGTATTTCGCTAACGTGTTCTTGGTAGGCAGCAACCGGCGGATCTCTTCCTGGACGATATTGTTACATGCGTTCAATAGCGACGGTGCGTTTGTAGAGTTGACAGGAGACGCGGGAGGCAAATACGTGGAGAACAGGGGAAAAGGGGAGGGGGAGGCGGCAGGAATGCCGACATTTGTGGCAAAGGTCGTGGTGGATCGTTTGTACAACTCTCCTCGACCCGTGCTGTTCGTGCCTCGGATGCGTTTTGGATTTTGAGTTGGCTGTGATTGTTCACTAAGCTTCTCTGTCTACATGAAGATCATGCCGTCGACTTCTAGCTGAATTAGAAGTCTGCCTTCCAGCAGTGATCATGGAATGTAGTTGATCGTAGCTGAGGCTGAGGAAGATCATCGCTCATCCAACTATGAATATCATAATGCGACCTGCGAGCTGGAGTATGAGGTAAGTTGCGAGCAATTTACGTCAGCTCACCCAGCTGCACGTGTACCGCGGAGTTTCTATGTATGGTGAGGACGACAGAAGTAGCGGAGGGTATCTAGACTCCTCTCATGAAGCCATGCTTGAGCACTTCTTTGTTGGTTTCAGACATAGTGAATATAGGTGAGCGAAGAATGTCGAAGCGAGTCGTCGATCCCGAACACATCCGAGAGTCGGTCGTTACATTCATGCCAGACAAGATACGAACACGGTCCGTTATCTCGAAAGTGTTGTGCCGCTGAAACGGGTTGTACCAGGCCTGGAGTGTTGCAGATTGATTTGGGAATGAGTAGGACGGTTCCAAAAGCTAGATAATAGCGCGTTGTGGCGTCCCGGTCGTAAAGCACTGATCCAACCGGCAATGTGGCAACCATCTTTCGATCAAACAATCTATTCATCATTAACAAGACAAACCCGGAACAGTCCCTATATTATCGTATCGTTACAACAAGACACACGTCTCACAAAACGTTATTTTGGGGTTTGTTTTCATCGCGCCGTTGTGAGCAGATTACTGACAATGCCTCACGAAGACCACTCTTCCAGGTTCTGCATCTGGACACCCTGAGCGTCCTTGATAGCACCGATCACGATGGCGCCGGGCTCACCCGAGCTCCTGATACTCTCCAAAGCAGCCTCGGCCTTGTCGCTGTGTTGTGGAAAGGGCAGCCGCAATCTCGAATAAGCTCACTACACCATACTCGACACGAAATTCCCTATCGTAGACTCACGCAGCGACAATGACGACCATGCCAATACCCATGTTGAACGTCCTGGCCATCTCCAGGGCTTCAATGTTTCCAGTCTTCATGATCCACTTCCAGATCGCGGGCAAATCCCAAGCCTTAGCGTCGATCGTGCATCCCAAGTTGGAACCCGAGGGGAACACTCGAGGGATGTTCTCCAGGAATCCACCTCCGGTAATGTGAGACATTCCCTTGAGCATACCGGCTCGGATGGCGGGCAAGAGCTGTTTGATGTAGATCCTGGTCGGGACCAAGAGGGATTGACCGAGGGTGACCGAAGTGTCCCAAGGAGCGGGCGAGGTGTATTCGAGTCCAGATCGAGCGACGACCTTGCGGACGAGCGAGAACCCGTTCGAGTGGATCCCGGACGAGGGGAGACCGATGAGGACGTCGCCGGCCTGGATGTTGCGCTGCGGCAAGAGCAACTCGCGTTCGACCGCACCGACGGCGAACCCAGCCAAGTCATAGTCGTCTAAAGACGGGCGAGGAAAACTAGCTTTAGCCTCGGTGGGAAAGCCTCTGCCAACTGAGCGACTACTGACCTCCGTGGTACATTCCCGGCATCTCGGCCGTCTCACCCCCGATCAAGGCGCAACCGGCCTGGAGACACCCCTCGGCGATCCCAGTGATGACATCGGCAGCGACGGGCACGTCGAGCTTGGAACACGCAAAGTAGTCCAAGAAGTACAACGGCTCGGCTCCCTGAACGATGAGGTCGTTGACCGACATGGCGACGAGGTCGATACCTATAAAAAATGCTTTCATGCGTGAGCAAGGCTGCAAGAGCGTCTCTGACCCCAGACCAAGACGACTCACCGACACTGGTGTGGATCCCGCAATCGAGTGCGACCCTCAACTTGGTCCCGACCCCGTCGGTCCCGCTGACGAGCACCGGGTCCCTAAAGCCTGCCGACTTGAGGTCGAACGCGCCCCCAAATCCGCCAATCTCGCCGTCCGCACCCGGTCGTCGGGTAGCCTTGACGATGGGCTTGATAGCATCGACGAGGGCATTCCCGTTGTCGACCGATACACCAGCGGCGGCGTAGGTGAGCGAGTCGCCCTTGTCGCTCGAAGACGCCTTGCCCAGAGCTCTGCGAGACGATTTAATGATCGGTAAGCGACTCTGGACCAGATTCTTGCATCCATAACCACGTTGTCACTCACCGATGAGCGATATCCCGCCTAAACGTCTTGCCCTCGAAATCGACCGCGTCCACTCCCTTGTAAGCGAGTTGTACGGCCTGCTCGAGCGTCTCCCCGGCAGCGCAGACGGCCATGACCCTCCCTCCATCCGTGACGATCGATCCGTCCTCCAACTTCTTGGTCCCCGCGTGGAAGACGTGGACGCCCTCGGGAACGTTGGCGGTATCGATGGTGATCTTTTTCCCCTTGGGGTAGCTTCCCGGGTATCCCCCGCTGGCAAGGATGACGCTGACGGCGTGTTTCCCCTGTTGAACGTCGATGTCGACGGAATCCAATCTCCTCTCGGTACAGGCGAGCATGATCTCGGCCAGGTCACCCGAAGAGAGCAAGACGAGCGCCTCGGTCTCGGGATCTCCGAAACGGACGTTGTATTCCAAGACTTTCGGACCGGAAGAGGTGAGCACGAAACCGGTAAAGAGCATGCCCAAGAACGGGTGTCCTTCTTTCCTCATCCCCCTCAAGGTGGGTTCAAGGCATTCCGAGGAGATCCGACGCATGATCTCTTCGTCTCCGACCGGAGCTGGGGCGTAGGCTCCCATCCCGCCAGTGTTCAGCCCGACGTCTCCTTCGCCTATCCGCTTGTGGTCTTGCGCGGGAGGCAGACACTTGAACGTGTATCCATCGCAAAAGGCCAGGACGCTGATCTCGGGGCCAGTGAGGAATTCCTCGATGACGACCTCTTCCCCTGCGTTCCCAAACTCCATGTCGACGAGGACGGACTTGACGGCGGCCCTGGCTTCGTCCATAGTCTCCGGGATGAGCACTCCCTTGCCACCAGCGAGTCCGGAAGCTTTGATGACGACCCGAGGGTATCCGCAGGTGTCCAGGTAAGAGAGCGCGTCATGGTAGGTCGAAGGGGTGAAACAGGCGAATCCGGCCGTGGGGATCGAGTGACGGGCCATGAAGGCTTTGGAGAGGGCTTTAGAACCCTCGAGCAGGGCGGCAGCAGGGGATGGACCGAAGACGGCGATGCCGGCTGAGAGTCGAGTCGAGGTAGAAGTCGGCCGCATGGTTGATCAGCTCCCCCAAGCGAGAACACTGATTGAGATGCAAGCGACAGCTCACCTTGGCGGAAGACACCCTCGACACCGTCTACCAGAGGTTGCTCAGGTCCAGGAATGAGCAAATCGACCTAGCAACGGTGACTGTTCAGCTGCAGGTTATTACAGCCGACAAAATCTCGTCAAGCGCGACCCACCTTGTTCTGCTTGGCCCAAGCTACCAGCCCGTCAAATTGCTGTCCCCACTTGACCTCGACGTTTTCGACCTTGCCCCCGAGCATATCCGCCGTCCCACCGTTCCCAGGCGAGACGAACACCTTGCTGACCTTGGGCGACTGGGCGAGCTTGTAGGCGAGGGCGTGTTCCCTGCCTCCGGCTCCGAGCAGGAGGATGCGGAGGGACGAGGCCGGGGCGGGAAAGTCAGTGACGGGAGAGGACATGGTGGTGATTGGTTGTGTGTGTTGTTTTGGGTAGGTTGTCAACGACTACGGTCGATAACCTTGTGTGGGAAATCGATAGGGTAGCAGTCAGGTGGATGGTACAAGATGTGACCTTTTGACGAGGTTTATCGTTCCAAAATGTTCGTAGGACACACTCGCCGAAGGGAGGGATAAAAGCGAGATGCCGGCATCAAATATGGGTTACGAGATTCGGGTCGGAACCAAAAAACAGCGTCGAAGGCTCTCCTTAAAACATGGCACAAATGGGTGGAACGCGTGAGAAGGCAGAGAGTTTGGAGGGCTAGGAAGAGTGAGGGTGCTCGTAACGTGATGCGATCCGCGGATGATTTCGGAGCAAAAGTCCCAAGGAGGGGAAGGGTCGGAGGCGAGCGAATGGGCGATCGTGAGTTGTGGGAGGGCTCGCTCGCTCGCTCGGGGCATCTCTTTCAAACAATCGATCAATCGACATCAGCGTACAACGTAGACATACACTCCCTCACTCCCCGCACTCCACGACCTAGTAGCAGCATCACTTCGGACGATGGCTCTCTCTCTCACCCGAATCAACCTCGCTCCCAGCTCGAGGGCGCTCGCCTCGGGCCTCCCCGTCAGCGCCGTCAACCACGCCTTGAAGGGCATCCAGGCCGGTGGACACGGGTCAGGTCACGCAGCCGACGAGCACGGTCACAACGGGCCCAGGAAGGATGCCATCCCGTCGTGGGTGGCGAGGCAGAGTGGGAGCATGCACGTCAGCAGGGCGGTTCGTGAGTACACTTTGAGCGAGTGGCAGCGATCGAATCCCTATTTCTTTTCGAGCGGAGCGAGATCCGTTCTCTTGTTGAGCAGAGCGAAGAGCGAGGTCGCTGCTCTTCTTCCTCATCCTTTCGACCGAAACCCGGTCACCTTTATCTTCTTAGAGCAGAGCGAGTGTCTCCTCGAGCATCAGCGAAGTCATGACTTTCTGCCAATCTGCGTCTCTCCCTCGAGCATCAGCGAGGACATGTCCTTTTTCGAGGGGAGCGAGATCGAGCTTCCGGATGTTGGTCGTCGAGCGTAGAGCGAGATTACATACGGTCGAGCGTAACGAGGAATGCCGAGATCGACCTCAATTCGAGCGTTGGCGAGGAATACAAACGGACCTCGGCGAGAAGTCTGTCCTTTTCCGGATCCCGAGCGGGAGCGAAGGATGTATTACCTCTGCTCTGGCCTCTCTATCGAGCAGAACGAGGAATACATAACTCTCTCCTGCTCTGGTGATGTCGACCATCGCCTCGTTCTCTCGTCCCTTGTCGATCGCGTCTTCCTCGTCTCGCTTCCCATCGCTTTCTTTCCGTTTATATACGACAACTTCGACTGACAACCCACGACTTCTCTGCACCTCTTCGCAGCCCGATCGACCGGGATCTACCAGCCTCGATACTTTTCCACCTCGGCCCGATCTCTCCGTGAGACCACCTCGATCCCCGATTTTACCCCTTACCTCGCCAAATCCCCCAACACCAACCGATCGCTCCAATACTTTATGGTCGGATCCATGGGTCTCTTGGCCGCCAGCGGTGCCAAGTCTACCGTCAGTGACATTCTGAGCAACATGGCCGCTAGTGCCGACGTCTTGGCCTTGGCCAAGGTCGAGGTCGAGATGAGCGCCATCCCAGAGGGAAAGAACCTGATCGTCAAGTGGAGAGGGTCAGTTCAGGGCGTCCCCGCACATGTCCTCCCGTGGTTCCCTCGCTGACGTTATTTCCTCGTGTGCTTTGTAGTAAACCCGTTTTCATCCGACACCGAACCGCCGACGAGATTGAGGAGGCCAACAAGGTCGACATCAAGACGCTCCGTGATCCCCAGGCCGACGACGACCGTGTCCAGCGACCCGAATGGTTGGTCATGCTCGGTGTGTGCACCCACTTGGGTTGTGTGCCCTTGGGTCAGGCCGGTGACTGTGAGTCCTGCTCTAGCGTTTTTCGGAAGACGTTGTGAGATGACGGACATTGCGGCTGATGACGCGATGGTGGTTTTTGTAGACGGTGGTTGGTTCTGCCCGTGTCACGGTTCCCACTACGACATTTCCGGTCGAATTCGACGAGGTCCCGCTCCCGTGAGTTCCCAGCCGGCTCGGTCCGCCCGTCCTGATCCTTTCAAAACTGACAATTGCCTACAACTTAAAACCCTATAGCTCAACTTGGAGGTCCCCGCTTACACCTTCAACGACGACGAGGAGAAGCTTGTCATCGGTTAAGTCGTCAGTCGAGACGCGACGGATGAAGTAAAAATGTATATAGTCGGACGATGACATGGCGGGACGATCGGGATGTGTGTTTGTGTGTGTGTGTTAGATGGATTCTTATTCGGATTTGGTTGGGGATGCGTGTGTGGCTTTTTTTCTCTTGGACCGGGCACTCTGAAACGCTCTCTTCTGGTATTCCGTGCGAAGTTGATGCGCTTGAAGGGATTGCCATGAACGTGTTTCAGGTTTCAGGTTGTGAAACGCTATCGCGGTGTTACCCGCCTGACATGCTTTGTTTCAGCATTGTCTTCACGCGAGACGAGTGAAACATGGTGAGGCCTGTCTCTTAATAAGATTATAGGAGAGTGGCTGTCGTTTTCGTAGTAACGTGCGTTACTTTCGCTAAAGAGGCAGAAGATCGCGCTGCAGCTCAAGCTAGAGAGCCATAGAACCAGAAGTCCGCACCGCAGCTCGACCAGGCAGATGGAACAGGTCATGATGGCCTGCATTAGGCGCGAAGCGTGGAAACGATTGATTAAGCTAGCATCGCTACAGAGGGGATGACAGGTAGGCTCCGGCGAATGGGCCGGGGAAAGGGGCGTCATGCGTCTAGCCTGCGACGGACGGCGCAGCCTGGAGAGATGTGGCGCTCTGTTCGTCTTTGTAAGGTCAGATCTGCCTACACTACTGCATGATCCGTGACAGACTCGACTGTCTCTTGACATCACATGCAATATCTGCATCGTCATCATGCGGAATGGGTTCATAAGTTGACAACGTAGGTTGATGTTATCATATGCACAGGCAAATTGATGTAGGGAGTCGACGGTAGAAGAAGCCGTTGGTCGGTAGGACTTCTTGGCTTGTCATGAATGTCGTGGCGTCGTGGATTCAGAGATTGTATAATACGTAGGGTTCGAGGTCGTGAGCAGTCGATCGGACTTGGGGGTGAAAAGGCAACGATTACGTCTCCTTTTTGGCTCGAGGTAGGGGCCGGATCTCTCGTTGCGCCATGGCAAGTTGCTGTTGAACCGCTTGGAGCTCGAGTTTCGCGCGTTCGGCCTGAAGGTCGGCCTCAGCTTTGCCAAGCCTCGCTGTGGTCTCCCTCCATCCATCGTTCAATCTCTGTGTTGGCTCGAGATGTTCTCTCTGAATCGTGATCATCTGTCCGTCCTTTTCAGCAAGCTCCCTACGCATCCGGTCGATTGTCGCCATTAAATCTTTTTCCTTATTGACCATCTGATCGATCGTTGCGACCAGCTCTTTCTCCCGATTGACTTTGTGGTCTACTGTGGCTGTCAACTCTCTCTCCCTGTCGGCCAGCTCCTCCCGGTCCTCGATACCAATGTCGCCCGATCCCAATGCCGACGATCTCTCGTCCGGCCTGATACCCGCCTCCCCTCCTGCCTCCGGTCTCGTCGATCCGTACAAATCGGCGGGTTTGATAACTGGAACAGGGAGCGTATGGGAAGGAGAGATGTAACTCGACGGGGTAGGAGAGCTCGTTTGGCGAATGTAAGCTGAGCGAGGGGACGGGCGTTGTGGGAAACCGGTAGTGGTAGGCAACGTGAAGGATTCAGAGATAGGCGAGATAGTGGAGCGAGCTGTCGAAGCTGCATGAGGTTGAACGATCGGAGATGGGCCGAATTGATTAGGGCTGGGAGATATAGTAGGTTGAGCGGTAGAGACTGCGGCGGAGGTGGAAGCGGCCGGTTGATCGGTAGTCGACGACACGCAAGGTGACATCGCGGCAGGTTGAGTTACCGACGAAGATGACGACACATCAATGGAACCTTTCGTGGGTTTGGGTTTTTTCCTACGAATGGCCTGTGCCAAGTGATGATTGCACTTGGAGAAGCTGACCGGCCAAGTGGCGTCCTTGACAACGTCCCTGCAAAACTCTCCTTTCTCCTTGGTGTCACATCTGCAAGCAGAATCAGACCCACCGGCAAGTTGAGAGTCAAATCAACATGGTCATGGCAATGCATACTTCTCTAAGGTACTCACCTGTGCGAGGAACAGATATAGTAACCACTCTCCCTGAACGGCTCGAGTCGAGGATCGTGTAGGGGCCACGACCTCCGGGTTGGGGGGTACAGTTTGTCCTTGGACGTGGCAGGCTTGCCGCAATCTTGCATACTGCATATGTGAGTGATTTCGCTCATGTCGAAGTGTATGAACCACAATGAGTGACTGATAAGACTGTGCCGGTCGTTTGACATGATAGAGTTGCATATATACAATAATAATATACATATATACATCCTTTGGTCAAAGCAAGTCGTGGTCAAACCTCAAACTGATGGCTTCTCCGGGTCCTTTCGTGACGCGTCGGATGCTATTTCCTTTCTTTGTTCCTAATCTTTTGTTGTCACAGCACGTTCAACGATCGTTCGACTAGATCTAGTATACAACGCTTCGCCTCGACTAGACAACACTGCTAAACACAACATTTACTCGTAACCAAATCGATCCGGCAACACCAGAGGAGCCAGCCTAATCAACGGGCGCAGTCGGTTCTCAGCAGCAGCACTTCGGTGATACACTAGGCGAAACGTGAGAACTCACAAGCTCCAGGCGTAGATTCCGTAACAAATCCAGCTACTGACGATCCTCATCCACATAGCAGCCTCTGATCGACCGATGTAGACGTCGGGTTCGTCGTTGCCGGAAGCGCTCGCCGAGATGGTGGAGACCACGCGCCTGCGGGTAAGAAATGGTCAGAGCAGATTCCAAGTGAATGACCAGAAGAAAATAGATCGTACCAATCGGTCAACAGGCCCGCCACATACATGGCCGCCATCACAAAGATGACATGGAACCAGGAGTACTAAACGAGCGTATTGCTGGTCAGTGGTAGGGTATGCGTGACCATAGCAAGGGAAGAGCCGACTAACGTTGTACTTGGTCCCACTCCTCTCGTCATCCCTCTCAACGCCAGTCACTTCGTCCTCGTCATCGGATTCCGGCTCGTCCAATGCAGAAGCCGGAAGGGCGCTGCAACATCAAGAGACAATGTAAGTTTCTCGTCAGGACCAGTCGGCTCGTCTAAAGCAAACACATACCCCGCATCGACAGCCGCCTTGATAGCTTGATACCTCATCTCGTCCTTCCTAGGCTTGGGCTGACTGGTGACCATACGGACATGACCCTCTTCGTCCATCATCTCGCCGTCTCCATCGGGCAGAGCGATCGGCCCGACGGTCTTTCCCTTGCCGACCAGGGCCTTGCTCTGCGTGGCAGCTCTCGAGGTGGAATACGCGATGGCGAGGAAGGTGAACAAGGCGCCGAGCAGGATGGTAGTCTTCTTGGTGCCGGATCGGTGTAACGGGTTACACTCGCCGTGTCCGTCGTCGTTGTGGTTGGCGACGGCCGAGGCGGTCAAGTAGGTACAGTAAGCTGCGACCATGGAAGCCTGAGCGAGACCAGATTTCGGGTTGGCTTCCTGAACGGGAGGCGCGATTGACAATAGTGTCGCCATGATCGACAGGATCAAGTTGAAGGTGATGAAGAAGGTGTTGGTTCCGCACCCTGACCCGGCGAAAAAGATGTAGAGTACCGTTGTCATGATGATCGCGCCGAGATAGAGACCAAAGGTCGATCCGACGAGAATAAATTGCCAGAGGTTGGATTGCGTCTCTGACGATTCCCAGCGGTCGAGACAAGTCTCCGACCAGGTGTGCGCAAAGTCGACCAAGAGGACCAGCCCGATGAGGATGAAGAAAAAGGCTCCGATGGGTACGATGTAACGGCCGTAGAACATGAAGAATTCGTTGGGGATCAGGAAAGCCAGGAAGCTGAGCAGGAAGAATGACAACAGCTTCGGACCCCACCAGCTGTAGATGAAAGGCACAATTAGCATGATGTCGGAGATGCTCAAATGACTCAGCTAGACTTGCCCGTTCTGCACCGCGGCCCGCTTGGCTTTGGTAGATTTGACGCCGAGCAACAAAAGAGCGAGGATAGAGTGGAAGATGACGAGCGCAAACTCGAATCGGTGAACCTGTCGATACAACGTACCGGTACACTGTTCGTGAGCACACCGACAAAGGCCTGACAACGACGAGCTACTTACAGCCAACAGCCCGTAACACTTTCCTCCTGAGCAGTCCATCTTGATCCAATCCCAACTAAGCTTCTCGATCTGCCTGATAGCCATGTCCGTCCTCGAGACATAGGCCATCATGGCCGCTAAAGCAAAGATCAACTGTAGCACAAAGACATGTCGTGATTAGCGAAGACCGTTCGCTGAACGAATACAGCAAAATCGTCGACGCTCACACCAAAGCCGACTCGAGTTGCGATACTGGAATTACAGTTGCAGCTCTTGCAGAAAGCTGAAGCGGCTGATCCTCCCATGAAGAGCATGAAACCGGAAAAGAGGCTCGACCCGATCGTCGCTATGCCTCCGCCGAGGAGAGGCAAAGATAGTAGGGCTCCCATTTTCGAGATCCAGGTTGTGCTTCCGCGGTGATGTCAACCGATGCAAAGTCTGGGACTGGGTCTGATGGTATTAGGAAAGGTCTATGGATCTCTGCCTGCCTATTGACGAGATACGTATAAGACGAACGAACTCCTCTGAAGATAGCGAGACCACCATTCATAGACCCGGGGAGAGGTCGATCGATGAGGTAACGGGTTTCATGGGGGCAACACGTAAAAGAGCGATTATGCGTTATCGACCCCGATCATTCGGCCGGCCGGCACTTGGCCTGCTTTCGTTCATGTCGTTCCAAGCTGAAGACCTTTGTGGTAAGCCAACCGCTACAAGCTATCAAGATCCCAGGTCTTTCTGCCTCTGTCCAGGGCTGGAGTAGTATAGGACTAGATTACGATCCGAAACCGGTTAGCGGCTAGACAGAACAACTATGAACGAATACTCTACGGGCTCCGATTCGGAGTATGCCAATAGGTAAGCACTCCTCTTCATTCCCCTAGTGGATCCTTTTCGCTTTAGAACATCGGCGAGGCTGACCCGAACCCTCTTTATGAACGTACAGCTGGATCACTTGGTTCTTGTCGACCAAGGGCAACGAATACTTTGTCGAGATCGACGAGGACTACATCCTGGATCGCTTCAACTTGACCGGATTGAACGGGGAGGTGGTGCAAGAGTATGCTAGGGCGCTCGACCTGATCACGGATCAGCTTGGTAAGCATAGTTCCGCCTTACATCAAGGACTCTGTGTACTATGGCTGACAAGTGGGTCGACTTGAACAGAGGATGAGGATGACATGGACGAAGATTTGCGGGAAACGATCGACAATTCGGCGAGGTATCTGTACGGCCTAATTCACGCTCGATACATCATCACAACACGAGGCTTGGCCAAGATGGTAAGCATGCCGCCTTGTCCTTCATAAGGCATAAACCTCACGCATGCATTGCTGATCCCACTTTCTCGCCAGCTCGACAAGTACCGCAGCGCCGACTTTGGCACCTGCCCCCGCGTTTACTGCTACTCTCAACCCGTTCTCCCCGTCGGTCTCGCCGATGCACCTTATCAGAAAGCCGTCAAACTATATTGCCCTCGTTGTGAAGACCTCTATTCGCCAAAAGGTAGCCGACATGGCAACATCGACGGTGCTTACTTTGGGACGACTTTCCCTCATATGCTGTTCATGGTCTACCCACATATGGTCCCGAGTAAAGGTCCCCCTGTACCAGGACCGGGGGGCCCGGGAGGACCTGTCGGACATGTGGGCGGAGCTTCGGGATTGCCGGGATACCTGGGACATGGGCCGACGGGAATTGGGTCGATCAGCACGGCGGCGGCGGCTATCAAGGCGGAGGTGTATGATCCCAAGTTGTTTGGATTCCGGGTCAACGAATCGGCCAAGCTGAAACGATGGCGGGAAGCGATGCGGGACGAGTGAGTTCGACGGTCTCTCCGTTTCTCAACCTTTCTCCGAATGACACAAGGCTCACGTGACGAACCTTGTTGCTCCGCTCATTTCCAGGCAAGTCAAGCGCTTAGAGGGGATCGAGAAGGAAGAAGGTGGAACTGGGAACAACTTATGAAGACCTGAATCGGACCGTGACGTGTCATAGATAGATATACCTGATACTCCTCTCGATGCAATTGTACTGTCTCTTTAACGATGACCATATGTCCTGACGTATCTTCCATTCGAGCACGATTGGTGAAGGATATGCACTGCAACCCGCAAATTCTCTGTGCAAAAGATCAAGCTGTTGAGATGGGCTGTACAGTGCAGTGAAGGGAAGGTTCCTACAAGCGCTCGATTGGACTGAGGAACGGTTTGTGGATTGGGTCTGCAGTGCGCGACTGGATGTGCAGGATCCGAGGTGAGCAATATGAACTGGGTTTGATCTACGAAGAGGACCACCTGTTGATCGTGCAAGCACGTTATCCGATAGATGCCATCTCTTCTTCATGATGTACGGAATCGAAACAGGTCTGGCCTCATCCATAGACATGACTCACAAGAGCAGTTGGGACCGTATTTGCTTTCGGCCACTCTCTTTCGCTACAGTATTGATGATAGCGTTATCGGTCCTCATCTTGTGTTTGCAACCTGGAAGCAGCAGCGCGTCTTATCTCTACTACAAAGCCTGTTTCTTCAACCACTTTCGAGCCTTTTCATCACCGGTCCGGTTGAGCAGCGGCATGACTTCCTTGATGCACAAATCGTTGTGGTCCTTGAGCCATTGTGCTTCTTCCTTTGACAGCAAGGTGAAATCGACTAGTGACGCCTGAATGGGCACCCTCGTCACTCGTTCCCAACAGAGCCAAGGCGCCTGACCGAAAGCGTACCTCGTCTACGAAATGGTCACAGGATAAGCGAAGCAAATTGTGATAGACTCGAACGTTACCAACTCACCTCGACTTCCTTACAGACGACGACGCTCTCGATCCGGATACCCCATTCGCCCTCGAGATAGAATCCAGGTTCATTCGAGACGATATGACCTGGTTTGATGGTCGTCGCCCAACCGATACCCGGAGGGACTGCAAGGTGGTCGAGGGGAGTCAGCCAGTGGGCCACCAGCGCGGATGTATTGCTACTGACGCTCGTGAACACTGTATAATGGGAAAGATAAGCACAGTTTCAGACTACACGTTCGATATGGCAGGACTCTGGCGGTACGCACGAAAGATAAGAGCCGATGCCGTGTCCTACACCGTGTCCAAAGTTCAGTCCTTCTCGCCACAAAAACTGTCTGGCCAAGGGGTCTAGCTTGTCTCCCTTGGTGCCCTGAGGGAAGGGTGTGGTCTCGATAGCAATCTGGCGTTGCACGTGACTATTTGTTAGCCGACTTGAAAGGTCTCGATGAGCTGGAAAGACCGAGCTTACGTGACCCTGCAAGACCCTGGTGAAGGCCCGAGTCTGGTCAGGAGTGGGAGTGCCAAAGTGTCTATACGCAAAATCGTTCAAATACGATTCTTAATCACAGGAGAATTCGAGCAGGCTTACAGCGTCCGGGTCGTATCGATCGTGCCATCTGCGGAGACCAAGCCATCGATCAGTTTAAGTCATTGGTTTGTCGAAATCGATCGTCATGACTCACCAAGATATTGACCACCCGCATCGCTGAGATATTGACAATTAGCTGGGGACTCAAAGCTGCAACCCAGATAGGTGGTGATGAGGCTCACATGACATAAGTCGTCTCCCGATCGATGAGCCGATCTTGACCCTGGTGAGGGATATAATGAGGAAGGGCTGCGAGGGATCAACCCATTTCAGCGATTTGCTATGTACCATAGCTCTCGACCTCAGTTCCCACCTCCGTTGGGTCCGGAAGCGCTGATATTATCATAAGCCAAACCACTATTCTTTCCCCAGATTGGTGACTAAATCAGCAACACATACCATCACCATTGAGCCAGGGACAGCAAACTTGCCGGTAATACTGTTCCAACGATCTGAATGCGGTGAGCTTGTCACCAGCGTCGCACTCGCCGATATCCATCTTCTTCTCCTTGACTTGTTCTTCCAGCCAAGCCAACCATCGCGCCTGTCAGCGACAAAGATGCGAACCGCAAGTTCCGTCACAAGACGTGCCGATAAGTCAGCTTTGGCATATTGAATGTCGGGCGTTTTGGTCGACTCACGGTAGCGGCACCGTCCCGAAGGTAAGCCCGTTTGAAACCTTCGATCTCGGTGGCGTTCTTGATCGCTTTTGCGGTATCTACCGGGCAGTCGATCGTCTTGACGTTGTCCTACAAACGGTCAAGACCAGTCTCAGGTCGTCAGTCTCGACCATTGCGACCAAACTTTTCAAAAAAAAAAAGTCAATGCCAAGCAACGACTCACGAGTCCGATCGCATCGGCCAGACCCCAGCTCGCGCTCGTGGGTACCAGAACCCTCCCTTCGACCTCGAGCGCCTTTTCCCCACTCTCTTCCCTCACCCGGATCCTATGCTCCAGAACCCATCGCTTTACTTCTTCCACTCCGTAATCCCGCCATTCCACCCCGTCCGTTCTCAATCGCTGCTTGACCTCTTCGTTGAGTTTGTCTTGGTCGATAAACAGACACACGCGGGAAGGCGTCAGGGCGAGATATGATCGGAAGACGGGAACGTTGGGGATATCTCCTTGGCACCGCAAGTTGAGTAGCCAGGCGATGGCGGGCAAGACGGGAAGCACGTAGATCCCACCGTGGTTCTCTGGATCTTGATCCCGATCTTCGCCGAACAGCGATCGACGGGCGTTAGCGAGCTTTTCCGAAGTAGGTTGACCGGAAAAGACGAGAGGATGGTCTTCCAACATCGTCTTCGAGTAAGGGGGGACGTCGGGTTCTCGGACGGTATCGACGAGGTTCTCGGTGATGCCCAAGAGCGAGATGTTCTTGGTCACCAAGGTCTTTTGTATCGATTGCGCCGTGGCTAAGAGGGTATGTCGTCGCGGTATCAACGATTAGGTTAGCTCACCAAAGCACCGATGCAACCGGATCGAAAGACTCACGCCAATCGATCAACTTGGGGTCTATCCCAATCCTAGCTCCTTCCTCTACGTGCTAATCCGAACCAACCGAAAGCAGCCCGATAAGCTACTGGCGCCCTGACGACCTCGAGACCTATGCGTACCTTCTTGCACCATTCCCACGGACTCGTGATCCCCGGAGAATCTTTCGGGACGACCCTGACCACCTCCCACAATTCTTTGCTCGTCTGCCCTTCAGCTTGGATCCAGTACCTGTTGTCTACGAACAACCAGGCCGAGGCATCCCCTTTGACGCCATCGTTGCCATCTTGAGACTTGCGGGAGATGATGGCAGTCCCGGCTGATCCGGAGAATCCGCTTATCCATTCACGCCGCTGGTCCGTCGAGGCGGTCCATTCAGAGAGATGCTCGTCGGCCGTGCCAACGATGCTGTGTCGCACGGGTGTACAAGCATAATTCAGTGTCAACTCCAGAGCACACTATGGGTCAACAAGATATAACGACTTGCTAGTAATCTAATTTATGCTCGACCAACAAGGCTTGTAGCTTGTTCAGCCTGAGCTTGGCTTCTTCCATGGGCAAACCGAGTTTGAAGGCGTTGACCTCTTGCTTGTGCGCGGTCGTCGCGAAACCTCTGGTTGCGACAGCGGGCATCCTAGACGAGGGCTTTTCACTGTGGCTATAAGCGGGAGGATCTTGGGTGTACCTGGGTTGATCCTCGGAAAACGTTCGAAGGGCGGCGGTAGTTTGTTTCTTGGACCAAGGGAAGCAAGAGAAGGGCATTGACATAGTCCTGGCGATATGAAGCGATCGAGTGGATGTGGGTCTGTGTGAGGCGATGATCTGACGTGTAGAGGCTCTGATGAGAGGTTGTATCATCGCCTTGCCATCGATTTGAAGGTCAGCCTTGTGAAGGCCTGAATATGTGCTTTGATGATATATATGGTCCGAGTCGAGGATCATGGACCTTATCCCTATCATCCCACATGGGTCACTCACCTCGCATCATCGGTCATCTCCTTCGAACTTGATGTCACGTGATCGTCGTCTGTGACCCGAAAGCGGTCAACTCCGAAAGACCACCGTCCTCTCTTGGTTCATCTATCGATCTATCGACCTGCAACCTGTAAACTGCAACATTCAAGTACATACCATCGCCAACCTTGCATCCTGCATCTTGCAGGTCATTCATTCCTGTCCGCCATGCCCTCATCTATCCTCGTTCTCACTGGCAAAGACGTCGCCGAACTGCTCGAATCCCCATCCACCATCCGATCGGCTCTCGAATCTCAATCCCGAGCTTTCAAGGCATACTCTTCCTCGAATCGGCAGGGTTTCATCCAAGCACCTCTCAGGACCACCTTGACATCGAACGATGTGACTACCCTGGTCATGCCCGCTCGTGCCGACGCAAAATTGGACCTGGGCGGGATCGGGATCAAGGTCGTCTCGGTACCCAACCAGGGGAACGCCGGTTTACCCGCGACCACGACCATCTTTGACGAAACGACGGGCAACCTCAGGGCCGTTATCAATGCTCGTGCCCTGACCGCACTAAGAAATGCTTGTGGTGAGTCTTCCCAGTTAAACGTCCGAAGGTAGACACGCTCACTGACTCGTTTAGTTTTCCAATTGGCGGCTTCCAGGCTCGACGCTCTACCTCCAAACCATCTTCAACGACCCCTCTGATCGTCCGAAGCACATCGTTTTCTTCGGCTCTGGAGCTCAAATAAGAGCCCACGCTGCTCTTTTCAAGACCTTCTTCCCGAGTATCTCCTCGATGACGATCATCAATCGGCGAAAGACGGACCGGCTGGATCAGCTGGGAAACGAGCTACGCGCTTTGTTCACCAACAGCAAAGATTCAAAGATCAGGGCCGAGGTCGAGGTCGATATCGTCCTCGGGGTGAATGGGGAAGAAGGTTTCGACCAGGAGCGAGTCCTAGAGAAGGCGGACGTGATCGTCACAGCGACCCCGTCCACCGAATCCCTCTTTCCCTCTTCAGCCATCCCCTCACGCGAGGGTTCTTATTCCGGCAGTAACGATGACGAGAACATCGACAAGAAGAGGAATAAGACGGCAATCGTCCTTATCGGGTCTTATAAACCCCACATGCGAGAGATCGATGCAGACCTCGTCAACCGCGCTTTGCGATCGGGTGGGAAGATCACGTGCGATTCCAGGGAAGCTTGTCTGACCGAGGCAGGCGAGTTGCAGGACGTCAGACCTGATCAGACTGTTGAGCTTGGGGAGATCTTGAATACACAAGACGGCCGCGCGGAATCGGTCAGGCCGGACGGGGGAGAAGTCAATATATACAAGAGCGTAGGGATCGCCGTGCAGGATGTAGCGGTTGCGAATGCCATGATCGAGGCGGCCAAGGGGTTGGGAGTCGGCACGGTCATAGAAGATTACGACTAGCGAGGTCGTCCAAGCGCGACAAGGCGATTCCGCATGATCGATGGAGGACGATTGAGCATTTCATGATAAACTGAGGGACGCACGCATTCACGTAACGACGATTCATTGAAAGTAAGGAATTGTTGCGACCAATGACTCGGCGTCAGCAACGTCCTTGGAGATCAGCTGGTCCTTCAGCTGGCTGACGACCACCAAGCCGATATGAATGGTGATTGATCGAGGAGACCTTGTCAACTTCCGCAAGCTCTTCGCAGCCAGCGCTACCATCGAAAAGGTGGCCAGATAAGGGTGCGGGTCTGAGGGCATGTCTGTATATTGGAGGCAAGGATCGACCCGAATCCATCGTGTCGTCGTGGATCGGCAATATGGGCAGCAAGAGATAACTATCCATCTTGGTGGACAGGTGCATCTGGACCATGAGAGATTATTAATATTCTTGTATCCGCTCTGGCTCGCATTTATCGTGTAATCTTCTGACCGAATCCGCGCTTCAAGGCACTCATCATCTCGCGTGGTTCTCGCTTTGTTTGACTCAGATACCTTCTGCACCTCTTATCGGCCTCGTTCGCTTGCTTAATCGATCAGACTCCCCTTCTTCCTGCCCAATTCGATCTCCTCGGGTCTAGGTTTTCTCGTCCCAGACGCTCCAGCCTCCTGTCGGACCTTGCGGTTCCAAGCCATCGCGATGCCTCGACCTCGACTCGGGGTTCGGAAACCGGGGCCCTTGTACGAGAGGATTTCGTAAGGTGCGTTAAGACGGGGCCAATTGACGTACGAAGTGCCCTGGATTTTGAGATACTTCTTAATTCGTGTTGCACGTCAAGCGATGCGCATCACTACTTACGTGAGCCCAGATGTAAGAAGCGGCGGCGCCCGCGAGGAGTACCCAGAAGAAAATATACGATGTCAAGGCAAACTCTGTAGGCGTGGCTGGGTTAGCGAAGAATAGCAGAGTATCGTGGCGGACCAAACCCACCAGTAGCCTTGGGCAAGACGATTCCGCAGGCAATCATGAACATTGCGAAACCAAGAACATAAGGCATCTAAGGGCGAGAGACCGACATTGACCTGTTAGTCGATGATCATCGAAGAGCGCCATCGAGACTCACCATTCTGGTCAAGAAAGGCCGCGTATCTGAGAGCGGAGGAATGGCTCCTCTCCTCGCAACCCATGCACCAGTCAAGACATCATAGGCATCCTAAATAAAATCGACGGGACATCTGTTTAGTTCGCAGCACATAGCACATCTCGAGAGGCGCCTGACCTACCTGTCGACTACCGTCGAAGAAGTTGTTCTTGACGTATCGCATCACACTGTTGACACCATCCTGGGCAGCTCCCTGCTTGGTTCGCTGACCAGTCCTGGTAAAGTCCGTCTTAAGTGCCCCAGTCCCGCTGTAGGCTTTCGAGATTGTATCGGCATGATCAGCCCACACTGCAAGGTGGGGACAGTGTCAATCACTTGCTCGGGAGTTGTTCCTATCTCGAGAGGCTTACCGTTACGGAACACGTGAATGAACTCGGAATGGTCATCGATGGTCTCCTTGTGCGCCAGTACGCCGATACTTTGCAGTTGCCTCTGCAAGGCGTCCTTGGCAAGAGCGGCTTGAGTCACGTTGGTCCTGTCCAAGCAATCCATACAGTTTGACCTGATGACTCCGGTCTGTCGATGAGTAGGTTTGGCCGTCAAAGCGTCTCCACCGAGATTGATGTGGAAATAGCCCATCTGTGCCAAGTCTTGGTGCAATTCGTCCACCAGCAATTGGATACGATGGAAGCGCAATCCACGGCATTCGTGGTGGAAGTCAAAGTAGACATAATGCGCCTTCGGTTCTCCGCAAGCCTTGAGAGCCTTTTCCATCGCATCTTTAACGGGAAGCTCGTGCCCCTTGTTATTGACAAGGTTGACAAAGTAGGTGTCCCCATATATCCGGACCTGTTCTTCAACGTGGAGCTTCAACGCTTCGATCTATTGACGCAGGAGAACTCGGTCAACAAGAGGTTGTGAGTCATAGAAGTGAGAATCCTACTTGCAGTCTCCGGCAACTCCATGACCTGCATATCAGGCTTGTACCTGAGGTTGTTGACTTCGGCCCAGAACAAGGGGATACTCCCTCGAATCTGAACGAAACTGTTCCTCTCCTTTCCTTCTACTCGCCCGTTCCCTCCCATAGCAAACCCAGTTCGGGGATCGACATTGATGGGGTCGGTCAAGACCATCTGTTCGGTCTCGTTGTAATTGGCTACATGTCCGGTCGTATCGATACCTCGCGTGAAGTATCGAGTACCTGCGCGGTATCGAGATCGTCGGGCGATGAGAGAGAAGAGGATGTCGTGGTTATTGATGGTTGACGACCGGAGTTCTACCGCTATAAGGAATTGCTTTAGCTTGCCGATAGTTCAGATTGAGTAGCCCGTCATGCCGACTCACAACCAAACATCATTGGCAAGATGAACCGGCTCAACTGGAGAGATGACATGTTCAGTATGCCAAACTGATTGGGAATACAGGTGGTATGAGGAAAGGCTCACGTCGTTCTGTTTTCCTCCCAGCTCCGTCGTTTCAATCAACTTTGCCATCAAGTGCTTGTTCCAAAAGAACCTGTCATCCGCCTTCTTCCACATGGGCTCGCCGCTTCGTCCGGCTTCGATGATATCTTGCTGCCGCTGCAGACTGTTGGTGAGGTCCCATCCGTACGAGAACCATAACCTTCCCGCGCGAAGACCTTGCTCAACGAGCGAAACCAGTTCCCGCTCGACAGGGTTATCGAGGATAGCTTGAGAAGAGCTGAGATTCGAAAGAGGCAGCAAACGGAAGTCATTTGCCAAATAGATGGGGTGAGAAAGCAGTCGACAAGAAGGCGTTCGAGAGGTGATGACGATGATGAAGTCGGCTGCCGGCGATATGGTAGTTAGCCGAAGCGCCTTCTGTACAAGCTAGACCGACGGACTTACTCGTCGCAAGAGTCACAATCCCGACAATACCAAAACAAGTGATGACTTTCTCTCGGCCGATAGGGGCACCAATATTGGGAGCTGAGAAGTGATTTGGTTTAGATCAAATCCCATCGGACAACCGCCCAATATCGTTCAGCTAACCGTTCAGGGTTATCTCTCCGGTCCTGCGGTTGATGCTCATGGTCTCTCGGTGATCTTTTTCACCGGGGTATAGTCCACCCGCAGAAAGAGCATTCGGCTCGAAAACGTACGCATCGTCCGAGATGTAGCTACGAGATGTCATCAGACAGCCATCAGGGTCGATTTTGAAAGCTACGTCGACTCAATAGCTTACACGTTCAAAGCCTCGTGCAAGCTGGAGCTCTCCATGTTTCTTCGTGCGGTCCGAATTTGTGATCAGGAAAGGTCGCTCAATCTACAAGCTACAAGCTGCAAGAACAGCTAATGCTGATTGGAATGCTGCGATTCATGAACATTTCTAAGGTTGGGCGGAATCGAGGCATATGAACGTCCTGCTGGACGACAAGCTCGAACCTGGCGCCCGGAACCGCGAAGGCCACGCGCCAACACCCCGAGCCGGGAACCATGATCATCGCGAAAGCTGGTCAGGATGATCGATGCATACTAGGTTCGGCAAGCATACTGGCACCTATCCCATGTATCACAGGTGTTTCTAATCAAGAACTGGGAAGATGAACCTTGATCGTGGTACAGCCGGCTTTTTCGCTCGTTCTGTCAGTCAATCTGACGGACCGGCGAGGGCCTCTTGCTTATCAGCATCAAGCTCGAAAGGGTTCCCAATCTGGGAGCATATCTCGTGCAGGGTATATGAGTCGGTCGAGTACAGAAGACACAACAGGCGGTCGGCATGGCGGTTATGTAATCTTCAAGCTGTTGAATGCAGCATCTGGATCTTCCTCTTCTGCCTGCGGTTTGCTCTCGGATACGGTCGTGGGTTTATCCTCTGCAGGAGACACAGGCGAAGCTTGTAGATGCTGTGGTGTTAAAAAGGAAGCTGGATTCCACCCTGGAGCTATTCGGTTCATCTCCTCGACCCTGAGAGGAAGATCTGCGTTTAGTCCTTTTGACCAAACAAGCGCAACCTTTCGGACCTACTTCTCTCTTTTGGCACGCTCTATGCGCTCTTCAAGGACTTTCTCATTCTCGATCCGTTGTGTCTTGATCCGCTCGTGGATAGGAGGAGTCTGAGCGAGGATATGCGGCTCCAGCGTGAAAGGGTAAACGAACTGCAACCAAGTCGATGGGAGCGTCAAGTCAATACGCAACGATCACAGGACCCATTCGAGGACCTACATATGCCCCAATATCGTCCGGAAGCGGATGTACATCGTCTGGCATGGTGATCTGGAGCACATCGGAGCTCAGTCGAAACGATCGGAGATCGAGTTCCCTTGAGCACTCACTGGTCGCGGCAGCCACAAGGTAGGTGCCTTTATGAGCGGTACATTCGCTGCGGATGCATACTGCGTAGCAATCCTACCTGGTCACGGCCAGAGATATCAGTAAGATATGTGAACTTCCTCGGTGACCTCGATACTCACTCGACCCCGACATATCGCTAGACACGACAATTCGCTTCGATAGCTCTTCTTGCTTCTGATCAAGTAGCTGTGTTTTATCGCAGACAGCCTCGAGCGTCTAAGTAGCTGCGTTAAGTCTTATAACCAAGGCGTACTTGGGACTGATGTAGACTCTCAGATGCTACAAGGTGGCACTCCTTGATCAAGTGTGACATCTGACAATGTAGTGGTAGTAGTGACGAAGAAGCAGGAGTATTCGCTCGGGTCAGGCCGTGAGTGGGCGGAAGCAAAACGGACATGATGATGCTCTAATCTACTTTGATGTTCGTCTACGATCTACGTCCTGCTGGAGGCCAGGGATATTCTACAAAGCTTGGGTTTGGAGGGGTTGCCTGAGCCCATAAGGGGCAAGTCAGGATGCTAGTGAAATCTATAGAATGGGATGAGGGTGGCGAGCGTGCGCCGACTCCGACCTGATGAGGGAGCTATCTACCTATATACTGCTAAAGGATACAATCATGATCAAAAGAGAACCAGAGATGCTCGAGCCGGCCCAGTCCCACCCGTATAGTGATGAGCCAAGGTCCAGCTCGGTTTCGTTGCATTGGTCGTAAGGAAAGAAATCTATTCGTGCCGATAGATCGTAGAAACCGGTGCCTAGGTCGAGTCCAGGAAAGTCGAGATGAATCGTGCCCGCCGGAAGCGACCCTCAGACGCCGTACTTTTCGTTCAGACGCTGCAGCAGGGCAGGAGGCCATCCAGCAATCATCTGAGTCCATGTTGCGTCTCCCATCATCTGCTTGAATCCGCCGAGGATCTATTCACAAGGAAAAGCACAGCTTAGTATACATGAATTAGAACTCCTCCTGTGACCTGCATACCTTGCGGAACATGTCGTCAAGCTCCACCGACGGTGTCTGCCACTTGACAACAGCGTTACAGAACCAGAAGAAGTCCTGCGTACGTAGATACAAAGTCAGCCCTGCCCTTTTACGGTGAGCCATCCGATGCAAACATACCTCTTGGATGCCGGCAGGGTTGGCCTGGATCAGCATACAGAACCCTCGGAAGGCAGAGTCCTTCTCGTCGTTATCCTTGATCTCCCAGAGGGCGGTGCACCTGCACGTTCGAACGGATTAGGCATGTCCGTCTTTATTTATGATGGCGCCAACTTACCAGGCCTTGGCAAAGTGAGCCAGGTGAGGCGCTATCGGAGCCGGCGAAATGAGACCCATTCGACCGATGGTGACCGCGGCGTTCTCGCTCAGGCTGCGGGGGCTGCGCGAGTTGCACAGGATGGGTACGAGTCGGTCCATGACAGGAGCCACGAAAGGCTCGAATTGCGTGGCTGTAACCAAAGCAAGGCAAGGTTAATCGATTTTGGGTGTGGAAACAGCAATTTTTTCCGCTCTCACCATCTTGAGCAAATTGCAAAGCGATCTCCCCGACCGCCCAGGTAGCGTTGTTGCAGACGCTGACTTGGGTGTCAGAGGGATCGGTAAGAATCTGCTCGATGACGATAGGCATGATCTCGGCGATGTGAGGGTGGACCAAGGGGAAAGCGGCAATAGCGATATCTCCCAAGAGGGCCAAGGCCGATTGTCGAATGCTATCCTCCGGGTGCTATTTGATGGAGGAGAATCCAGCTCGATCAACATTGTGCCCTGTCACGGCACTGGATGTCAATTTGACTCACGTGCAAACAACTCGACATGAGCTGCAAGATCGAGTTGCCGCTGTTGTTGACTAGCTCGACAATGTTTAGTCCCAATCCTTGACAGAGACCGGACAGGAGGTCGAGAGCGACCACGACGAAAGAAGAGTCGGGCTCCTCGTACCCGTCAGGGTTCTGAGTCCATGCTTGGAACACTTGCAGCTCCTTGTGGATGATCTGCAAGCATCGCTCAAAGATGCCTGGGGCATAAGGAGCGAAAGAGGTCCCAGCTCCGATGGCGACCGACGACAAGCACTGTGAAGATCGCGGTCAGTCTACCTATGATCAAGTCGTTTTCGAGAGGTAAAAGTGAGCTCACCTCGAGGAGCGGCACCAGCGCGATGTCATCGTTGGACAAGGAGAGCCACTTTTGCATCAGAGGGGGGATCAAGACCTGGAGGTGTTCTTCCTTGCTCAAGGCGGGTCCGACCGAATCGGCAAGCGTGCCGATGGCATCGTAGAGGATGAGCAAGTTGCGCTGCTGATACTTGTGGAATGCCGCTACCAAACTCTGCAGGATGGGCTGCATGTAAGGCTCCAAAGCGGTACCAGCCTCCTCTTCGAGCGTAGCAAAGGCGCTGCACCCGGCTTCCTGGACTCGCTTGTTAGGGTCGAGGATCATGCGCAAAAGCTATGGACAGCGCGTCAGTTCAGCATGCGAAGCTGAGCAGGATCTCGCAGCTTGAACTCACTCCTTCGAGCACTGGTACAAAGTAGGCGTCTCGGCCATTGCCAGAGTCGACCTGCTCAACGATCCAGCTCGAGTATCGACCAATAGTCCAGCAAGTGATGGATCGCACCAAAGGCTGGAAGTGATCAAGGTCAGGTCAGTATGCAGAGAAACGAGAACGCAGCACGATAGCAGGAACTTGCCTTGGGATCCGACAATGCGCCGATCAAGAACGGCAACAAGGTGGGTAGATGGGGAACGAGTCCGTCCATGCAGCCTAGGATGCGATGCGTAATCAAGAGTCAGTTGACGGAAACTCCTAGCCGTACGACTTTCTGCTCACCTTCGGCGATCGCACCCAAAGCCAAGATGCTGCTCTCCTTTTGCAGCCAGTCAGTGCTGAACAGCTTGTCCCTCAAATGGGGAAGCAAGACGGTCAACATTTCGTCTCCGAAGCTGACGGCCATGATGTCCAACGCGGCGGCGGAACATTTTCGCAGGTTCCATTCACCCTGCAGGTCATCCTCGTCGTCCTCGTCGTAATCATCGTCGGCATAGTCGCTATCGTCGTCTTCATCTTCGGCTTTCGGAGCGGGAACAGCCTTGGGCCCGCTACTCTCGACGTGTTCCTGGTTGTGAGTCTTTCCGTAGAACCGGGGCTTGATGTCCTCGGCCTTGTCGGGCACATTCTCGTCCTCCTCCTCATCCCCACCGAGCCAATCAAGGTCGCTCTGCGAGTAGACCATCCCGTTCAGGAGGAGAGGTCCGACCTGAGGCAAGAACGGCCTGAGCTGATCGACCATCGAAGGGTCTTCACCGAACGTCAACCAGAACTCGGAGGCTTCCAGGGCGACGGATTCGTCCTGATCCTGAGCCGAGTAGATCATATACTCGGCGACATTGCTCATCTGAGGCAAGATCTTGTCGGGTCGAATGTTGAGCAGGATGCTGAGCGACTGACAGACGGCAGCTCGGACGTCGGGAGAGGCATCGGAAGCTCGTCGGAATAGGGCGGCGATGATGTTGTCAATTTGCACCATGATGGCTTGTACTCCAGGTTGATAGTAGTGCTTCAAGCATGTCAAGGCGTATACCCTGATTCGTGGGTTCTGATGCTCGGTATGCGCCAAGAAACGCTCGACGAGGTAATTGAGCGGTCGTTGCCCGTTGATCTCGCAGTCGACCTTTTTCGAACAGTCCTCTGCAAGCTTTTGTAGCGAGTTGAAAGCTCCCTAGAGGGAAGCGTCGAAAAGTTCCAGGTACATTCTTCAGTCACGACGCACCCACTGAGCGGTGATCGACCTGGCGATCAAGCACTCACCTCTTGCTCATTGGGGTCGGCACTGTCGACGGCCTTCATCAACGCTTCCAAACCCTCGGGCCATGCACCATCCTCTTCCCTTGCCATGATGTTGACGATGACAGTTCCCACCGTCTGCCTGACAGTCTGATTCGGATCCCTCATTCCTTGCAGGACGATCGATTTGACATAGTCCATCCCTACCACCTCGCCCTCTGGGGCGAACGGCCTGACGATGGCGTTCTTCAGGATGAGACCAGCTACGGATCGGGTCGTGTCATCCTCGTTGGAGCATTGGATGAGGATATGGGCGAGGTAGGCAAGGTAGCCAGGGAGATGAGAGGAGAATTGTTCTAATCGCTAAATTACGAATAGGTACAGTATGACCACAGGCGAATGATACGGATTTAGCAAACTACTACGGTATATATCGTCTTACTAAAGAGCGATGAGTGTAGTAAAGAGAATCGAGACCGACCTCTTGCGTTTGGCGCTGCACATCTGAACTAGGGTTCGTGGAACCCCTCAGCGTGACGATCAGCTCCTGAAGAGCTTGTTCTGATGGTTGGAACGACATGGTCGGTATGCGTTGTTTGGACGGCCGATCAGAAATCCAACAACGAGTCGTGATGTGAGTGTTCAAGTAGCTAGTGCGAGCTATGGACTATTGCTATTTTCCAGAAAGGAGGTGATCCAAGAGCTGTCCCTTTGAGGAGCGGATGTTGTTTTTTGATCGTGTGGTGGTCTTCGTAGAAAACTTGTTGTCGAGCCAGATGGGCGTGGTTTCCGCGATCCGTCGAAGTTCTAGATCAGCAGATCGTCGCAGGAAGACACAAGAACCGTATGGGCTGTACGTCGAGCTGTCTATTCGTTTTCAAGCCTGTCTCGTCTTGTGTTGTTGCTCGTTGCTGGTTGTGTCGAGGTCCCCCCTCCGTTGGAATGTGGACAAAGCAAGTTTTGGCGCGAGTGGGGCGCCACATCACATCACATGGGGAGGGGAAGAGGGCATCATCAAGTTGCAGCTTTCTCACGCGCAACTCTCATCGACCGGTACCGGGCCGGGGAGGACGAGTACACCCAGGATGTCGAGACGCATTACAACTAAGAGGATATATAAACGATCGCTTACAAGGGTCATTATGATGTGCACAACTGTGACTGCCAAGAAAATTATTATAGGTCCGTTCTGTGTGATATACTGTGGACGCGGCGAGACGCTGCGTCTGTTGCGTCCATACTGATTCGAGGGGGCTCAACAGCACTTGCCTCCCCTCCCTACCATGTCCTTGACATTGACACTCTCCCTCTTCCGTTTTCGCCCGAAAGCGCTTCCCAAGCTCAGCCTCGAACTAGATCCTACTGCTCGTAGCTGCCGTTCCCCGAAAGAAACGCCCGTCCCGCTCTCATCCGGGTCGAGTGTACCCGATTCCATGAGGAGTAATATTGATTGGGACGCTAGTAGGAAAGGTTGTTGAGCATTGGCTCCCGTTAGGGATGAGATTTCCAGAAACAGTAGATCTAGCATGCGAAAAATCCAGAGATTGAATTAGCTCTTCCTTTTCTGTTTGCACGAGCAAAGATGATGGCTCGCCGACTCACTGTTCTCTTCGGCCCAGCGGAGACCTTCCAGGTAGTCCACCTCCCGATCCGCTTCCCTGTCCAACTTATTCCCAACGAGTACCACCACCAAATGAGGTGAAGCTAGCGCTCGACAGTCTGCCAGCCATTTGCCTAGGTCCAAGAATGATTGGCGCCTGCGAGTTGGAAAATAGTTGTGATCATGTCTGCTTCAGTATACTATCCTGCACCAGATCATTCCCAACTTTTCGGGGTAGCGTCTCGTAGGCTTGCTTTGTGATGATGGGACGTACCTCGTGATATCGTACATCACGATCGCAGCCGCAGCACCCCGATAATAACTCCGGGTGACCGATCGGAATCGTTCAGACCCCGCCGTGTCCCATAGCTATCCGCACGGTCCCGCCAGACACCTTATCATCAGCAACGAAATTATATTCTATGGAGGATATGCACCTTCGACTTACCTGCAGTTTGACCGTCTTGTCCCCTATCCGTAATGTTCGCGAGTTGAACTCTACGCCTATGGTATGAGCCGAGTGTTCCTTAACTGAGGATACATGAGGATACGCAACAAGTGATCCGTGGGTACCATGATATCATGCATCGGGAAACATCAACTATCTATAGCTATACCGGCCGGATCTTTCCAAGTGAGAATAACTTACAAGACTCGTGGATGAACTGATGCACACAACACGTCTTCCCGCTTCCAGCTTCTCCGACGACGATCATCTTCAGTAGATAGTCTGAGCGGAAGAGAACGGAAGGGACAACGCAGATATAGTTAGATCACGGATGGTCGTCGTCTGATCGGATGAGCCCGCAAATTTCACCGTACCATAGCTCTCGACCAACTCTGTCCCTTCAAAATCCATCCTGCTAGGATCTCTGTTTTTGCTAGCTACCTATACTCTAGGTATATATGTGAGCTTGTCGAACTTGTCGGACCTGCTCTTGTCGATGGCAGGTGTCAAGTGTCTCCTTCTTCTCGTCTTCAGGTGTGTCCAAGTAGTGTGTCGACCGCTTCTTCAGGCTCTCCGGATGTCGTTAACGCGATTGATGCAACTGATATTGTACAAGTGTCGTCCGTAATGTCGGTCTGGAAGTCAGCGAGCTACAGGTCTTATAGTTGCGTAGCTGATCGTTTCGTCGACTGGTCTCCCTTTTTGATGAGGTATCACATCAAGTACTTGTCCTTTCGGGGGTTTGACCGAGGTATCGCTCTCGGAGGCTATTCCGCGTACCGAGGAGACGGTCGGGCTTGGCTCTGGATCTGCATCGATCTACCCTTTCATACCTTGTCAAGCGACACATGGTATGCCTTGCGAACGATGCCGATCCTACATCTTGTTTGCTCTACAACTTAAATTGCGTACCCATGCATTTCGTTACCTTGCCTTGTCGTGATTACCGGCCGCCCATACCTCCCCCTAGCGGGCCCTCTGTACCTCCGTTGAAGTGGTTCTCTGCACCTTGCCAGACAGACTTGAGGACAAAGGCCTCGGACAGGAGCAATTCCACATCATGGTCTTTCCACGTATCTGTAGGCAGCCTCTGTAGAAACATGATGATTTCCTGCGGACGACGGAAGCGACATTTCAGCACAGGGTTACAGCGGCTCTGCCAGAACAAGGCTGAGCTGGGCTGACCTGGAAATCCATCTTTTGTAACTTCTCGCTCCACTTGACCAAGAATGCCGAGCAGACGTAAAGATGGAACTGCGAGAAAGCGTCGGTTCCCTCGGCCTACCATGTGAAGGAAAGCGGGTCAGCGGGGTGGCTGCGGGTTCGACGTCGGAGAACGGGCTTACCAGATAAGTGTCCCACATCCGGATGGTACATTTGACGCTAATCTCTCGCATCAAGAGACAGTTCATCCATCGGAAAGCGAACTGCATGTACTCGACGCCTTGCTCGTCCATATGTGTTGCCAGTGGACCTGCAGCGATATATTTATTTCAGTATGCAGGCGGGATCGCGATGCCAAGAATAATGCTTCTTACAGTCGATACGCTTCACAAGTTCCGCCATCCGTTTGACTTGACGATGAATGCCAGGTTGGGCCGATATGTAGTTGTCCTGGATACCATCTAGCAACTTGGACAGGCACCAGAAAGAATCGGCCTCAATGGCTGCCAGGATGTTGGCTGGTAATTGCGTAGTGTCGAACAGCTCTGGATCGCAATCTGGGTAGATTCCATCTATCAGACCGAGGTGGAATCTTGCGCGGTTTGCAAGATCGACTCACCGACATATGCGCTCAGAAACACCTCGAAGAACGGCGTGACGAGATCATTGATGCCTTGCACATAACCCGAAGCGGGATGCCGGATAGCCCAGACATAGAGGATCCTTTCCAGAGACTGTCTCGAGGCGCTCGCTTTAGCAAAGCCTTGTCAAGACATGCAAATGGACTCACTCGCTGCGTGACTTCGCACGCCCAGAGAGGAACGCCTGGTCTTGTCCTCGGTACGTCGATTTCAATTTGATGCCAGATCTGTAGGGACGAGCTCGGTCTTCAGCTAGTTGATCAGCATGACGATCAAGGCAAAGCCACTCACTTGCGCATCCATTGTCGTCATACCGCGACCGAATGCCTGGTTGACGAGATGAGCATATTCCTTTCGTTTCCGCTGAAGAGTCGCCAATCTCGGTTGTGTCGGTAATGGCAGGTAATTCTATAACAGATCACCGTGTCAACTATTCAATCACAGTAAAATCTAGGCTGAGCGTATCCTTACTAGTAGCATCTGCCAAGCGATCGGTCGCAGTTCTTCCGGTATCCCTGCCCAGGCCATCTTTCTCAACTCGGTAGGATCGACGCCCCCTCCTCGTTCAGAGCCTCTCCCTCGAAGGACTTTTGCAAAGCGCTCTCTCTTTCTCTCAGTTCGGATCGAACCGGATCGTGTCCTGCCTATGGCTTTAGCGAAAGAAGCGGTGTCCGCGCCGAAAGGCCCGTTACTCAGATCTACTCCATGAGCGTTGTCGTCATGTGAGTGACCGGCATTTGATCCAGGTGTGGCAGGTATTGAAGCTTGGCTGAAGACCTTTAATGTATGCAGCGGGTCTGAGAGAAGCGAAAAGGTACGATCAGCTGATGTCGCGCTGTCTAAGCTTTATGAGTACAAGGCGCAAGCTATTTACCTCTCAGAATATCTTCAATGTCGCTCCTGAGTGCCTCCTTGCCTATCTTCTCCCTCGGCTTCTGCTTTTCCTCTGGTACAGGGTTGAATATCGTCGCTACAGCCGGCTTCTCCTTGTCCTTGCCCTTCCACCTAGCGCTCGAAAACCCGAAAGCTGAAGAGACCAAGCTGGCAGCTGACAAGCTCGGACTCTTCATTTCCGACTTCTTCTTCTCTGGAACCCAATCGTTTCCGAACCCGTCCATCCCGCCTTTGCCTAAATCAGTCGCCCCGTAGCTCTGTTCAGCTTCGACGATCTCTCCTGTTTCGAGGACTTGCCATTCGGCTTTAGGGGGTAGATAGCCGTTGGATTTGTTATCGTAAGAGCTGGGAGAAGGGGGTGATATGTGGGTGTAGGAGAAGGATCGGGTCAAGATGGTGAGGGGAGCGTTGTTGTTGCCATGAGCTGGTGGGCCATTGCCCGCTTTGGGCTCGGCAGTCGGACGTGTTACCATCTCCGGGCTACCAGAATCCATGGTCGAGCTCGAGCTCGGCATATTGCTCTCTCCATTCCGGGTATGCTTCGGTGTCGGCTTTGATCGAGGAATTGGTACAGCTGCGGAGGATTGCGATTTACTCCCAGAAGGTCCGGCTGGAACGTCCTCATCTGACCCGCTATCCCAAGCGTCATCCCAACGATGCCCCGATCCATAACCCGCTCGATCCCTTTGATCCCCTCGTGTCCCTTTTGTCCGCGGCAAAGTAGAATGTCGTGCCGAAGCATTCGGGCTCATCCCTGGTGAAGGCGCTCTTGAAGCCGGCAGGGCGAGCGATGCGGCGTACGCCAATGTCGACGTGATGGGCGATGATGCGTTCCTGTCATTCGTCGTCGAGGGATATGACGGCATGATCTCGCCCTAATTCGATTCTATCTGCCCAGCGTTTCCGTATGATCTATTTTATGAGCAATCAGACGGGTATGTATAAGATGAAGGGCCAAGGGACGAGATCATGTATTATGTACAGGCTAAATTGAGGGGAAGGTAGGTACAGCACTGAGTCTAACGTCTTCTAGCTGGTTCATGCTGCTTCAGTCGCGTCCACGTTAAGCGAGGGCGAGAGGCGTCGACGACGTGAAATGACGAATCTACTCCGACCTACTCTAGCTTCTCTAGGCTATCCGATACGCTCACATCAATCAACAGCGATCCCTGTGGACTTCATTCATGGGCTCGAAGTGTTAATTGCATACTATCTTGCAAGGCCATTCGAAGCTCTAACTTTATAGTTGTATATTCACAAGATGACCTCATCTAACAAATGCGAAGAAAGATACCTGATATGCGTCAACATCTACGAAGCCTTCTCCTGTCCGGCATAGGACGAAGACTCCTGGTCCTTGATCGGCTTGTCATCCTCGTCACCCTTGCCCATGAGGACGTTGACGAGCTTTTGCACGGTCTTCTCGTCCGAGAGATCGGGAATATCCTTGCCAGCACCGATAGCGGCGAGCTGCATGATGGCCAATCCGGTCGAGATGCCACCGTCACCCTTGTTCTCCCTAGCCTCGGTGATCTTGCCAGACAAGATGTCCCGGCAGAAGTAGGGCTCGGCACAAAGAGGTCGAGCCAACCCGATCATGGCGGTCGCACCTCCGTTCACGGCGTCGACCATGGCCTTGGCGCTTCGGAAACCTCCAGTGGTACAGAGGACGGCGGACTTCAGCATCGGCCTGACCTTTTCGGCAAACTCGATGAAGAAGGCTTCTCGCTTCTTGGTGCTCTCCTTCTTGTGCTCGAAAGCCATGCTCTCGTACGATCCACCGGAGAGCTCGATCAGGTCGAGACCGGCCTCGTCGAGCTGTTGAGCGACGGTTCGGGATTCCTCCTCGGTGAGACCACCGTCAGCGAAATCGGCCGAGTTCTACATGACGAAAGGCGACGAGACATGCAGATTAGCAGGCGGGCAAGGGATAGTTGCGACAGCGACAGCGACTCACCATCTTGATCGAAATCAAGAACTTGCTAGTGTCGACACGCTTCTTGATCTCCTCGATGACCCTGAAGACGATCATCGACTTGTTCTCCAATGACCCTCCGAACTTGTCGGTTCGCTTGTTGACTCGGCTGGAGAGGAACTGGGAGAGCAAGTATCCGTGGGCGGCGTCTGCGTAATGAACAAGGCAACGCAACAAGGATAACATGCGGCACGGTATCAGCAGACGCCAAAACATGCGGAACACTGTATTGGCGAATTGGAAACTCACGCAATTGACAACCATCCGCGCCGGCCTTGTACAAAGCCTCGGCACCGAACGCCCATCGGTCGATCAAGTCCTCAATCTCGTCCTCACGCAAAGGTCGAGGCTTTCCAAACTCCATGCCTCCCATAGGGGGGCACTGGATATCAGAAGCCGAGACGGGAGTGTCGACGATCTCGTTGGAGACTTGACGACCTCCGTGGGTGAGCTGACCGATGACAAGGGATCCGTGGGCTTTGGAAGCGGCAATGACGGGCTTCAAGTTCTCGATGGCGTCCCAAGTCTACCGGGGTATCGGCATTCGATATCAGCAATTTATTGGTGAAAAATTCGAGTCAATGCTTCGAATGGCTTACGTTGCTCTTGTCGATGATCATGTTCTTGGCAGCCTCGAGACCTTCTCGCTCGATAGGGATGTTACTGAAGACGAAAGTCTCATCAGTTCGATCTTACATGTCGCATGATCCCTCGAAGTGTGGACTCACCCAAGAACAATAACACCGATCTCGCCCTCACCCCAGACCTTGTAGAGCTTCTCGTATTCTGCGGTGGTCTTGCCTCGAGCTTCGAGGTCCTTCTTGTCGTAAGTGCAGAGACGCTCGGTCATGGCGCTCTACACAACTCAATCAGGGTAATATAATCAGCGATCTGCGGCACGCTTTTTCCGGGACGAACGAGTTCACCTTGAGGAAGACGTTGGGAGCCTTCATTCCATTGCGGAAGGTGATGGGCTTTCCGAGTACGCTGACGTCGACGGTCATTTTGTGGTTTGGTATGTCTTGTAAAGGGTATAGGGGTAGAGACGGGTGTTGGATACAGTTCTGGAGGCGAAATCAGACTCTGATTCTGCGGGATTATGGTGCTTGAGATTCCTCGTAAGTTTATATACCTCGTCCCAGCAGCCTAGCAGTCCAGATCGTCCCGTACGAATTCCTGACGCCGAATTGCTCAATGTGGAGGGGATTACGGATTACCGATGATGCGCTGATTGATAATCTCCCAATTCCCCGGTAACGTAATTGCATCCGAGGGGGGCTTACCGACACCACGCGCCACGCCGATGGCGGCTGGGTGTTTCCCGACGTGGTTTCTGGCTGATGACATCAGCATTCGCCCTCCGTGTTTCACCTTGAAAGAGATTTACCAACATGACGACGACAAGAACTACTCTATTAGCATATCGTCCACAAGCATCAACAAACAAACTTAACGGTTCGGCTTGATGGGGCGCTCACGCCGCGTTTTTAAACGAGAGTGATCTCTCTTCCACGAACAGCCTTGTGTCACGATAACAGCAATAGTAGGCCTAGTAGGAGTATGTAAGGTCTGCAATGTTGAAACGCCTCAAATCGATGATCACATCTCGAGCTACTCATGGCCGGTGTGGACATCATCTCCCTGTTGATCGCCGGTTCTTCAAGCGGTTGGGCAGGTGACCCCTGTAAGATATGCAGCAGCTGGACTCCTTTGGGGAGCATAGAAGTCGAGCTTAGCGTTGCGGTGTTCGTTGCCACTCAACCTTGGACTTACCATGATATACATGTGAGCAAGAAGCAGTGATACGAGTATTCCTTTGTCTATCGATCCGTGTATAAATACATACATAGGTCCAAGAAGACGACAGCACAGGAAACGGGCAGCGAGATCTCATCTCGCCGACAATCTACGTCAGTGTAGACAACCGCACTACGATCCCTTACATAATTGACCACAAAGTCAAGGACTCCCGAACAACAACAGATGTCTGAATGGACACAATCGCATACCGGACGCTCCGCAACGATGTATCACTCAGACGCGCCAGTCGCAAACTCCTTCTCGGACGGATGTCATGACAGTGCCTTGACGGGATTGGTCTGTGATATGGATGGAATGGATTTGTTTGGTGGACAGAGCCAGGAAGATCAGATATGGCAAGGTCATATGCCGCCGCCGCTTCCACATACCGCCTATGTGGGGAGACGAATTTCCCTACAGCACAGATTTCATTCAAGCTGGACCATTCTGGCCCGATGAACTTGATTCCCCTTTCACCGAGTGCGGTCCGGAGTCAATAAGTCCTGTCCGACACGATTTGGCGACATCTGCGGGTCTGCCGGATGTGTCGGATTCCTCGAACGCCTTGTACCGCCTGGATCCCATTGATCCCACACTCAGCTTTCGATCACTGACTGTAGCTAGTATGACAAGCAATGAGGGAGCGGCACCCAGCCGAACAGCAGTCGAAGCCGCAAGGACAGGATCGCTTTCGTGCGCCAGAAAACGTCGGAAGTGTAAGCCTCCGACCGTTGCGACTAAAGCGAAGATACGGAAGGCGCTTGTCGGGCGTCAGTTGTCGAAAGAGACTCGTGAGAAGATGCAGAAGGCACGTCTCGGTCACACTGTGTCAATCGAGACTCGTGCTAAATTATCAGCGACGCACCCTCGAGCAATGTGGTATCGACTGGAGCGATTAGACAACGAACCGTTCACATTTCAAGGCAAATCGGTGTCCTTCGCTGAGATCCGAACTCTAGGGAACTCCACTACCTTTACTGGCATTCCCTCGCAAACCCTTTTTTCTGCTTTGAAGAAACGGAACGGCATCATGGAAAGAAGAAAGTGGAAGATCGAGTGTCTAAGACCTTGTAGATCATCTTGATATATGGTTGACCAGAACGCTTTATGTATCCATCTTTCTACAAAGAACAAGCGAGTAATATGTAGTGACTCTTTATGACATACTGATCGGTGTGATCTCGACGTACTGCGCTATGAGATGGCCATTAGATACTTAAACCAAGCTCAGCCATCCACACGATCCTGCAATCACAGCCAGCCTCTACAATCTAGCTTATTCTCACCGAGAAGCTTCGTATGAACGATCGCGATCTCTCCTTTATCCTGGACGGAGGAGTTCGAAAGTAGTGAACGAATTGACACGAGTTAGCATGTTCTTACATGTTCCGGCTTTATGATGGTCTACCTCACTTTTAGCTGTACCATCAACACATACCCGTATCCTCAATATCATAACATTCCACTTGGCCACTTGCCACTTGGTTCATCCCTCGAATGAATGTCGCTCGCTCTGACTTTATTCGTATATAGAGTGCGAGAATCCCGTGTTCATGGATGGACCGGCGGCTATTTCTTCGAGAATTGCTTCCGCTTACTACCCTCCGGTCTTCATCGAAAGATGTTATGGCAGCGATTTCGTACAACCTCGAGTCAGAGAGTCAACACATCGAATCTGTATCACAATCATCCCAGTCTAGCTCGATCAGAATGGCGCCAAATGCTACTCAAGGACCTGTGCGGCCGAAATTCCTGCCCCGCTTCCCGGCCTTGAAGAGCGACCTCGCCGACACAGACGAACCAGGTTGGATCTCGGTTGTAGAGAATGACGCTTACTTTTCGCTCGATTTTGTGAGTTTCGGCTTTGATACCTTGCTGACGTGACCGAGATTGATGGAAAATATTCATAAACCTCCATGGTAGTTCTTCAAGACGCTCGAAGAGCTGTGTCTTCACCCGGAGCGAAACTCGAGCTCGATCTTGCGAGCGGACATTCTGTATGACTCTCAAGCTGGTCCTAGCACAACGAACAGTGCCGAAGCACAATCGACAAGCATAGATACCGCATTTCAAGGACCTCAGAACTTTTTCCAATGTCGAAGAATCCGAAGGAAGCTCTTGCCTCGAAAACCTCAGATAGACAAACCCCTCGAGCAAGACTGCCTCTTTCTGACCAGTGAGGTGGATGCAGCGCCGAAAGGGCTGGTTATCCTATTGCCGGATGTAAAGGAGGAAAAGGATGTCCCCTTCTACCATCCAATCTTGCGGAAACTGGCCTTCGAGTACACTCAACTTCAAACCTTCGGAGAGAAAGACGATCCGGATACGGTCCCGCAAGGCACAATCAAGATCTCTGCTCTACCTTTTCCCAATTCTGCGCCTTTACCGATCAACAAGGTACAAGAAGCTATGCAAAGTGACGTCAAGCCGGAAGAGGATGTCAACCGGATCCTACCGCAACGGACGGTCAGGACGTGCTTGCATCTCTTGGAGACGCTTCACAAACACGGATGGGGCCAGCAACGAGGTTACGAGAAACGGGTGGTTCACGATGTACGTCGCTATGGCACGACAGAGCTCGGATTTCAAGCCAGGTCGCTGACGCAACGTTGAGACGGTCCGCGAAAAGGTTTTGGTTGTACGGGAAAACTTCCAGGATCTATACCTCGTGCTCAAAGAGCGGCATAAACATCTGGATTCGAGGAAGAACAAGGAAGGCTTCAACAAAATCATGGACACGAAGCGGCACGTCTGGAAGGTCAGTCCCCCTGAGAAGCCATTCCAAGTCGTCTGTATCAACGCTGATCGATAAGCTTGACAGGACGTAGCGATTGCTTGCTTTTTGATGCTCTTGTGGAAAGACATGTACCCGCCCATAAAGCAGGAATCTGGCTTGGAAGATGTACCTTCCCGGCGACCCTGGGATTTGTGGGGCCGGCCTGCTGGTGGATTTTTAGATCTGGGTTGCGTGAGTCTGAGCTGCAGAAATTGACAAAGTGTAGAAACCTTATCCAATCTGCATAGGGAAATGGCTTGCTGGTGCACATCCTGATCTCCGAGGTGAGCTTGTTTGCCCTGTCGAGACTATGACACTGCCTGATGCCTCTTGATTGTCATTCGAAGGGGTACAAGGGCAAAGGTATCGAATTGAGAGAACGACGGACGTGGCCTGGCTACCCAGCAGAAACGAGAGAAGCACTAGTAGAGCAAGGAATTGACCCACCGAGATGGTTCCCCAATACATTGGAAGAATGGCAGACGGGTTCTTGGGAAGGCAAAGAGGATTGCCCGATTGAAGAGGGCATGTTCTTGATCGGTAACCATGCGGACGAAATGACGGTAGGTGGATCGCTGCGCCTTGTCATACGGAAACGATCAGCTCATTATGAACATTCGTATCTGGACGTCTTTAGCCCTGGCTACCTCTCCTGTCCTTGATTCCCAAAACCCCTGCGCCACACCTCTCTTTACCATGCTGCCTACATACCTTGAACGGCTTGTTCACGTACAACACATTCGTACCGCCCCAGACGCATGAGCACATGCCTTCAGGAGACTTTGAAGAAGGTCTCGAGAAGGGAGATTCTCGGTATAAAGCATATCTCAAATGGCTAGGCTGGGCGGGCCTGAATTGCGGATGGCTTTGGGAAAAGGAACCATTACGGGTACCCTCTACCAAGAGCTGGGGTATCATAGGTGAGTCCTGCGTAGCTTTCAGAACTGAGTCCAGCGCTAATCTCGGGCAAGTGCGACGATCACAGCGCGTAAGCGATGGACCGGTGGAGCAGCAGAAGACGACGCTTGCCGAGAATACGTCCTCAGCCTAGTAGACCATGTGCGGCATGGGGATGGCTTCACAGTGCGTGAGAAGGAGGGCAACGTAGATGGTCATTGAGCCGGGAGGTACCGGCAGTGACTAGAGACTAGGTCGGAATCGTCATTGTCGTGTAATCAAACCGAAAGCGCTGTTAATAGCATAATACAACGTGGAAACCCCTACCACACCCTTGCGTCTAAGCTGGAGGGGATGCAGCTGCAGCTTTTTGTGCCAAGGTAATCTTGTCACCTATATTGCATTATGTTTCGTGGTCAGTATGGGTCTTAAGGCTGCTGTCGTGATAGCACTTACCGAGTGACAACGCAATACCCTGAGTCTTTGATCGAATTCTTACGTGACCTTGAATGGCCCCGTCTTCTGTCTTCTCGATTGACAAGTTTGCCAAAGCGTCCTCGCCGAATAGACTCTTGGCACACAGGTTTGCTGATAAGAAGTCGCAGTCGCCGTCCAACGCTCCTTCCGGTGTCAGGCAGGCCATGTTGGTCGACTTCATGATGTGCTGCAGGTAGAGTCGCAGATCACTGGGTGACGAAAGCGAAGCTTAGCGTTGCGAACTCGAACTTTCAGAAGACGCGGTAAAGCTCACCTGATCGTCGTGTTGACGTTGACCTTGTTCTCCCATTCGAATTCTGTCCACATGCTGCGGAACTATGAAGGAGGAAGAGCTGGGTGAGCTCAAGGTTCAACCATGGTCACGCGGAACACTAACCTGTGCTTCATTGCAATAAGCCGGCTTGATGTAGTCCATGATGTCGACGTGGATATCGTTAAGAACGATGTTGACACTGCTATCCGAGGCACCTTGCTTCTCATACACGACGTTGCCGAAGATCACTCCGGTCTCGGTTGAGGACACCTACAAGGCCACTCAGACGTCAGTGACCGAGAGTCGACGGGATTTCGACGGTGGACATCCTACCTTGATAGTAGCCTTGATAGTGTGGAAACCGTGAGGCGCAAGCGTGTGCGGCACCGGTCGCTCGACCAACTTGAGGTCTCCCAGAGTTGCAAAGTCAATGGTCAGATCTCGCAAGGTCTCGGCAGTCTGATTGACGATTAGGACATCTGCGAGGAGATCAAATGTGAGTGTATGCGCGAGTGCGAAACTGCCTGTCTCGACCTACCGAGTACGATGTCAAATTGCTGCACAGTCACACAAGCTTCGGCATAGACGGAATCGGAGAAGCCTGATCTCATATCAAGTCCCAATCAGCAAGCATTCCGGAGATCAATTCCTATGCCTGTCATCGCTTACCCGTAAGCTGCATCATGCGGCTGAGCTTGGAGATGAAGTCGTCGCGAATCTCGGCGCTACCGGTAGCACGAGACAAGTCGGCGTCGACCTGCATTGGGACCTCAGCAAGTTTGTCTGGAAAGCATCGATTTATCGGACTGCTCACATCATTGTCGTCCGTCTGCGTCTTCTTCGCAAATTGCCTGAAGGCAATCAGGTCATCGGCCTGAATGACAGCCTTCTTGTTGTCCTTCTCCTTCTTCTGACGAGCCTTTTTCTGTTGATCCGAGAGCATAAGTGAAGCACCTCGAGCACGAATAAAGGGTGCGAACAAACCTCTTCATTGGCGACCATTTTGGTATAAGCTGCTCTGGTATCCTGGAGGAAGATGTCGGAAGCGGCTTGGGCTGTCTTCAGGTTTGCTAGCGTCTCGATACAGTTCATTATCCTCTCCCTCGAATCTTCGTCAATGGGAATGGCAGCAAAGTGCGATTGCCCCACTCGAACGATGGAAGTCATGATCAACATGGCCTTTGCAACGCAACGATCAGTATTCCGAATTGACGAGTCGTCAACATGAACCAGACTTACTTCCGCCTTCAATGCGTTGACCGCTTGAGCATCGTTGGCGAGTTTGGCGTATCTCAGGGTCAATTTGGTCAAGGTCGAAGCAAGGACCGAACTTGTGTAAAAGTCGCCTCCTAGAATCAAAGCTCGGAGAGGAGGCTTGGTGGCCGCCTTCACTTGTTCTAGTCGGGCCTGTGCAGCGGCACTAGTGTACACGGTCTCGGTTGCGTAGGTTCCGTCGGCCAACACCCTGGTCTTGGTGACCGTAGTCTGTTCCTCCTGCTTCTCGGTCGTGACATCGTCTGCGGCTTCGGCAGCATCGAGAAGGCGCTGTAAGATGGAGGTTGTAAGCGTAAGACGGCTTCTGCCATGAAGCCGTGTGATGACATACCTGTTCGGATGCCAGGATCGGGATCTCCCCAATGACGTGTCGAACTTCGGCGAAAGCTCGCTTGATATCTGATGTCCGATACACATAGTCAATCACTGAGGTGGAATGCCAGTCCAAAACGAGGCTTACGTTCGACATCCTCGCAATACTCTCCGACGATCCACAAAGCTCCTCGGTAGACCTTTCCAGATTTGATATCGCTGAAGGTCGAGATGAGCTTTTCGGCGATCTCGGCTCGAAGCTTGGGGAACTTCTCCACCACCTCTCTATATGAGAGGAAGAGGTATATCAGTCAGGGCGAGTCCTCTTGTCACTCCATTTCACGACTGAAGAACTTACCGAACAAAAGCGACGACGTCCACAGCAGAAGGATTGTTCGAGTCTCCCAAAAAGTCCATAAGCACGTGAACGACATTGGCGGCAACCTCGGAGAACCGGATCGCGCAAGTGTGAATGCTCTGGATCAACAATTGTCGGTACTCGACGCTCTTGTCAAAGTCTTGCTCCGAAGTGGTTTGCAGCTGTTTTTTCAGGAAGAGGACAACCTCTTCGACGTTCCGGCTGGTAATCATCTCCAGGGCGATACCGAGTCCTTTTCGCTTGACCTCCATGTCGGGACTCGTCAATACCTTGAGGATGTCCATGACGAGACCATCCAGGACATGAGGGAACTTTTCGCGGAGCGCGTCGATTCGGTCGAGGACGATGAGCTTGACGTTGTTGTCGGCTTCTTTGACGAGGAGTTCGGCAAAGGCACCAGCAGCGGCTAAGAACGTCAAAAGGGAAAGCGATCAATCTTCCGCCAGAACACGTCGACATTGCTGAGAAGAACTTGCCTTTGACTGCAGCGGGATTCTGGGTGAGGCTGGTCAAGCTGGTAGCGGCTTCATATTTGACAGCACTGCTTGCAGAATTGAGCAAGCCGAAAACAGACCTAATCCACCGTGCCTGTATAATGTTACCCAGCTTGAGTGACTGCATGTTGCGTGTTGGCAATCCGCAGAACTGAAACTCACCCTGTTCGGACTGTCACCCTTGGCATCCGCCCTGATCAACTCGATAACGGCCATCTGCATCAACTCGTCCATCGAGTCGATCGATTCTGACGAGTTGAGGAGGTACTGAACGGCACTGTCATGCGAGACGCTGCTTAGTGCGACGAAAGCGTTGCGCTTGCAAGTGATATCCGATTCCTGGTTATACCCGGAGCTTGCGAATCAGATGACAGCGTTGTGTGGTATATGTTTGTGAGCTTACAGCAGCCAAGAACGTCTCCAACAGCTCCGGAGCGTCGGGAATCAGGTGCTCGTGGTCCTGGTAGATAGTCCAAGTAGCGAAGACGGCGTTCTTCCTCACAAACGAGTGTCGGTGTTCCTATATGATTGACGCGAGACGATTATGAGCTGGCGAGCGTGGGTTTCGAGATGGTCGACAAGGGGACATACCAAACAGCTTCGGACAGTAGGAATCAGAGGTTCCAGGAGCTCGGCCTCCCTGATCTTCTGTAGGAACCGAAGGGTGGCTCCTCGGATGTATTCGTTGGGGTGTTGCTGCATGATAAGATATAGCTCGGCTCAGCTGGTATCTCAGCCAAGGGCCGGTCAAGCTGCACTCACGAGATCATTTCGAATGGCATTACTGGAAGGCCAATAATCTATTCGGTAAGACTTGAGCAGCAGATATGTGACACAGCTATACTCACCAGACCAAGATCATCTCCTGCTTCAGCTTCCCCTGCTCGTCCAGCTTAGGGCAGACCCTGAGCACAGCGAGACCTTTAGCTCTATAACCTGCAATTGCGGTATGGACAGGAGTGACTCACTCCCAGTAGAAATGCAGCAACTTCTTGATTTGCTTGTTTCGTGAAGGCAAGACATATTGGATCATAGGCATCAAGAGGGCAGTCTGATTGACGCGAGGAATGACCTTGTTATGAGCACCCTTTGCATTCCGCCTGTCGCAGATATTACTGGTTTTCCACGTACGTAGTTTTGTCCGTTCAGCGTTCCCACGATAACCCTCCTCATAGTGTCCATCTTGACCTCGTCGCTTCCCTTCTGCAAGGCATTACGAAGATCCGGGATGGAAGGAGCGGCACCAGAGTCGAGCAACGAGTCATCGTTCACGATGGTATAGCAGGTCGAATTCGGATCCATGATGGCAGTTATCGATCTCTGCCAGTCTATATCGATCTAACGAGCGATCTATCTATTGACAGTATTGAGCAGGGTTGCTGCCATGATGTGTCGCTTTGTGTACAACTATCCTCGTCATTCCAAGTGTGCTGGATGCATCGAGGTCGCTAGCTAGGTACCGCGAGCCTGAACGCGAGCGATGAGAAGGTTACGCGTCCGCGGTACGACAAGATATAGAAGAGGGGCTTTCAGCGTTTCAGCTGGGCTATCTTACAACGCTGCCCTTTTCATTTATTATTTGCCGCCAGCGTTTGTCGGTATTTCACTGGAACCGCTTGAGCAAGGTTTGAGGAGCAAAAAACCCTTGGTAGCTCGATTGGTGGCAGTCCTACCGATTTGAGCGGGTTCTTGTGCGAGTGATAATCATGCATACACCAATTTGAACCATATTTTCTCCGAATTCAAGATCAAGGTGCGTGCGTCCATCTCGCTTATCCCAACAGATCAAGCGGAGATGCGCATGCGATAAGCAGGGCAAAAATACGAAGGGATGGCGAGGCAAATGGGCAGTCTTAACAGATGAAACATCGGAGGGGTATACAAGTATCGAGACGGACAACCGCTGGAGCGTCATTACAAATTGTGTGAAACAGAGTCACAAGCTGAGCTGGGTAAGAGATAACAAGAGCAACTCATTCGTCGTCATCCTGAGAGGTATGGCCAGGTTTAAACAGGTCTAATCAAGATGATGGTCAAGTCGTCAATTATGGCGATTCGGCTCGATCGATAAGTTGCAACACAAGGCAGGATGACTTACCCATGAGGTCTTGAAGCTGCAACTTCATGTTCTTGGTAGAATCACCCGAGAGAGCCGCCTTTGCTAGCTCCCGCTTAGCCTCTTGAAGCTGTGATAAAGCCAGAAGATCTTCTCCTCAACGGGATTCTGTGATGAGGAGCGAACTCGTCGCGACCCACCTTAAGGATGCGGTCCTCGACGGACTCTCGAACGGTGAGCTTGTAGATGTGCACGTCGAGCTTCTGTCCCAGTCGATGCGCTCGATCATAAGCTTGATCTTCCAAAGCAGGGTTCCTTTAGATCGAATCCGTCAGCGCTGTTTTCTCTCAGCTGAAACACGATCAACTCACCACCACAGATCCATTAAGATAACGTTGTTGCAGCAAGTTAGGTTGAGACCCGTGCTTCCAGCTTTGAACGAGATCAAGATGACCTTGATCTCGGGTTTGTTTCGAATGGCTTCGAGAGCCTGTTCTCGTTTATCGGCGCGCATGCTGCCATCGTCTGTACGAGTAATCTGTTTCAGGGTTCGTTACCGCATTTCCAACCACTGGCTACCAACTTACATCGAACGTATTTGACGCCGGCTTGCTTCAAGAACGGCTCGACAATGTTGAGGAACGACGTGAACTAGGCGAGAGTTCCGTCAGTTCCATACTACATCGCATTGCTGCCCTTTGAGCTTACCTGCGAGAAGATGATCGTCTTCTCTTCACCGTCTGATCGGTCCGCGATCTGCCTCAAAATTTCGACAGTCATCCGCGTCTTGGCGCTGCTAGGCGGCATGTTGGGGGTAGCGTCGGATCCCTCTCTTGCCTTTCTCACGAAATCCTGGCAGTCGTCACAGGAAGTCGCAGCGGGGTCCTCCAAACTGTCCTCGATTTCATGATCAGACTGGCGACACAAATATCCTCGGGAAGAGAACTCACGGAGCAAGACAGATCTCGCATTTAGCGGCCTTTTTGCCAAGTCCAGCGTCCTGCATCAAATCGGCAAGCTCGTCTACGTCATCCTCCAGATTATCGTTGGTAGCCGGCTTGCTCTCAATAGCGGATGCGTCGGTCGCTAACGATGCAGTGACCAAAGATGGGTGGCAACACGCTGGTATGACCGCTTGATGAGTATGTAGCGAACATCAGATTGCGCAGCGGTCTCGCTTACCTTGCCTCATCCGCAACAACAGCGTCAAAACGGATGTATAGTTGGACATCGCAGTTCCAGCTTTCAGGAACTGTCAGGTAGCGTAGAATCTATCGATTAATGGACCGATACACCGAATTCCGGACTAGCGTGCTTACTCGATTGAAGGTCAATGCCTGCTTCTTTTCGAGAGCGTCGTAGAAGTCTCGTTCCGCCCGATCAAACTCGCAAGAGATAACATTGACGTTTCTAGCTGGCAGGTTCAGGATCGCTTTGCCGTCTAATATGACGACGTTTGAGGTGAATGACTTGTATAGCCACTGTTTCGCAACGGGTAACTTACCGATAGTAGCATCCTTGGTGCGCCTGAGCATGACGGCTTTAAGAACGGCCTACGAATCCGATAACTCGTCAATTCAGTATAGAATAAAGCAAAAACTGCTCCGGTACTCACGTGGATCCTTTTCATCGCTTGCTTAGGACGCCCAGCCTTCACCGGCTGGATAATTCGTTCCTTGAAATGACCCCAATCGTCGAGAGGCCTGGCACGCAAGAACTGGAATAGCGAGAAGAGCTCTTCGACGTTGTTCTACAAAGATCACAGATTGTCAGCTTGGTCACTCCGATACATTCTGGATGGTACTAACCTGAATGGGGGTACTGGTTGTGTACAACAAACAAGCAAGTCAGAATTGCCGACATCCACTTGATGAATCCCAACTCACCCTGTCAAACACCAACGCAACCTAGCGTCTAACGCCACTGCAGCTTTGGCCGCCTTGGTGTTCCTGTTCTTGATCTGCTGTGCTTCGTCTGTCGAGCCGAGAAACCGCGATTTCAGAAGTCTATTACTCATCGCACAAATCAACTCCCGGTTGTTTCAACTCACCGCAGACCACGCGCAACCACTTGATCTGGAACAACGGACTCGTCTTCGGCTTGGCCTTTTTCAAGCTCTTTCCGAACCGCTCCCCGTCTGATTCCGAGCCGCTTTCGGAGTCGGACTGCAACGTCGAAGCCGCCTTGGATTTGGCCTTGGCCTTGGATACGGTCGATTTGGCCGGGGCGCCATGTTCGGAGCTCAGAGTGCTATAGGTCGTGACCTAGGAATGGTGGTGCACAGCCAGGGATCAGACCTCAGTTTCTTTGTAGCTTCCAGGCAAACACTTACGACCACATCGAATTTATGGAGCTTATCCGCGACTTCAGCAAGGATACCCTGCGGTCAGCATGAGTCGTCACAGAGGATTGATCGCATCAAAGCAACTCACTTTTCCCACGCTGAGGTCCGTGGTAGCTGCAAACCTTCAATCGGCCCGGTGAAGTCTTGTTCTTGATCTCCTTGACCCACTGATCCATGACGGACCTGTCGAGACCAGCCAGCAAATCAGTACCAAGTTGACTACAAGGACAGGCAAGAAGCGAACCACGCAGATAGACTCACAGGGGAGTGACAATCAAGGTCGTGTTCGTATAACCCAGCTTTTCCTCTGCCTTGTTCCTAGGTCGTTTCAAGATGTTGGCAATCGTCTGGACCGTCTTCCCCAGACCCATGTCCTGCAAGATAAGCCGGGATGTTAGTCCGCCGTGCATTTCGTCTCTGACACTGCACTGTCCCCATAAACAACACTCACATCGGCCAAGATTCCACCTCGCTTAGTCCCCACCTCTCTCTGTCCCATCCAACTGACTCCCCTGATCTGATGGGGCATCAAAGTCATCCCGTCTGCGAACCCCTCTACCAAGTTTGCCCCTTCCTCCGCTCCGCCCGTGTTGTCTTCCCCATCTCCAATAGCTCCGGAAAGCAACTCCCTCATATCCGCCTCGGCCTGATCGGCAGAGACACGGGTATAATCCATAGGGTCCGCTTTGATATCGTTAAGGGCCGAAGAAAAATCTTCGCCATCCTCCTCTGTCCGGGGCTTGGCTGGTCCGGGTTGGGAAGCAGACCCGGAAGCGTGGGCGGCAGTATATCCCGCTGCGATCCCGTAATCCTGCCCCATCCCCATGGCTGCGCCCGAACCCGCTGGAGCTGAAGGTCGTCCGTTCTGTCTCTGCTGGGCGTGATGAGCGTTCAACTGGGAGACCATCCAATGATCCTGAGGTAGTGCTTGCTTCTGAGGCCGGTAGAACGGGCTGGAAGGGTCCACTCGCAAGGTTGTACTCGAAGGTTTGGCAGGCGAGGCAAAGGCTCCCGTGGACTTGAACTTGGCGTAATCAGCCGAGTTGGTCGAGCTCGGCTTCGACGGATTTGAGGCGGGCCGAGCTTCAGGCTGAGCGGAGCTGATCCCTCGGTAAACGTCAGTCTTCGCATTTAGACCAGGGCCGGAAGTCGAGACCGGTTTGAACCCCGCCATCGTCATCTTCCCCCTCGAACCTTCCGGACCCATACTCCTATGACCCCTTGAATCCACCTCGATAACATGCCTCCTCTGATCCCTCTCTTGTTGCGATCGATCCTTATCGAACTTCAACTTATCAAAATCCAACGCCTCTACGCCCGAGTCGGCATTGCCACTGCCTTTCAGCGCGGTAGGTAGTCCTCGACCACCTTGAGCTTGGGAGTGAGCTTCGACCTGTTGAGCATCGGTAGGTCTCATCACGCCGTTCCGACTAGGACTCTGATCAGCTCGCATGATCTTTTTGCTCAATAGGAACCATAGGTCTCACTTGTTCACGCTCATGTTCGCAGAAGCAGGCTTCGTGCTCGTGTTCAAGCTCTTCTTACTATTGCTGCTGATGACGACGGGGACGTCGCTGTCTCCCTCGCTATCACTTGACAGGACGATCTGTCTACCCCTTCTCGGCGGAGGGGCGGCTTGACGTCTGGAACCACAGTACGAGATAAGTGACGTCCGAAAGGATGGTCAGCTCTGGGATCGGTGGAAGCTGGAAAGGATGTAGAGATAGAGACGAAGTAGGCGTAGAGGTGAACGACGGAAGGTGAATGACCTACAGAGCTTCCATTCTTGACATGCCTCGGTATGATTCCTCCTGCTTTATGTATGTGCGAGTCCGAGAGTGTAAAGGATGATTAGACTTGTTGCTTTGTTGCTTCCTCGGGGATGGTCGGGAGCTACTGTAGGATTAGTAAAAGGTAAACAAGAACAAGGCGATGAGCGGGGTCGTTTGCTGGCGCGCAACGGACAACATCTGGATCTCACCGTCGGGTTTCTTGTTGCAAGACTATAATGCCGAGTCTGATAGAGATTGTAGGTTTCGCAAGGACTGCTTGAGGTGATGTAGATGTAGCGGCAGTCGATGATGATGTGGAGCAGAATCGAAGGAATCGGGGGTTGTTTTGATTGTCGAGGCGAGATGTTTGTTGACAATGTCACGAGCACACACACACACAGATCACGTGATCATCCTCTATGACGTTCCCCCGGCCTTCATCACTTGCTGGCTAATGGCTGCTAGCTGCTAACTAATGGCTAGTGGCTAGTTCCACTCAAACCTTGACATGATAGTCCTGGATCACAGATAGAAGTTGGAAGATATCAGATAGACCCGTGGAGGCTGTTCCTCTCTCCGCTTTCAGGACCGGCGAAGATGCCATACTCGATAGCGTACATGTCAACCGATCAATCTACTTCCACATGACGAGACTGACTTTTTCGGCATCTGTGTCCGGTGAAAACATATAGCATGGTCTCGGACTTCTTCTTGCCGGTAGCTGGTGGGATAGAGATCGCTATCTACAGCTTGGCAGCTGCTCTGCTCGAACGGGGTCACAAGGCATGTCGCTATACCCTGATATTTCGATTCATCAGGCTAACTAGCAACTCCTGGTTGCACCTCTACCTATGGTAAAAAACAGGTCATTGTCATCACCCACTCCCGCTCTTCCGGCTCATCTACACCTCGAGTCGGTATCCGGTACCTCCACCCCTCCCTTAAGATCTATTACCTCCCCATCACCCCCTTGACATCGGACGCTACCTTGCCGCAATACCTGACCAACCTTCCCTTTCTCCGGAACATCTTGATAAGAGAACGGGTGGAGATCTTGCATGGGCATGCGACGTTGAGTAGTATGGCGTTGGAGGGTATCATGTTGGCTGGGTTCTTCAAGATGCCGAGGGGTCTACGGGGAGTCGACCAGAACGAGAACGAGAACAAAATCGAGACGCAGGACGAGCGCAGATCCTCGGGAGATCTACCGGGAAAGAAACAGAAAATAAGAACAGGAATGGGCATGGACATGGGGATGGAATCCGAGACAAGCACGATCCGGACGGTCTTTACCGATCACTCACTCTTCGAGTTCGGCAGCGCCGTAGGGATATTGACCAACAAGCTTTTAGCGGGAGCTTTGAGGAATATCGACGCTGTTGTGTGTGTCAGCCACGCTGGGTGAGTCTCTTGACTCGCTGTTCGATATTTCAGGGGGAGCAGAACTTCGATACTTATCGTTACGGATCCTCTCGATCTATGATTGATGTCTAGGCGAGAAAATACCACCCTCAGAGCTCAACTGGATCCGAATTTGGTTTCTGTGATACCCAATGCTATCGTCCCTTCGGATTTCCAGCCCCGTCCTGATCAAGCCGATCCCGAATGGAGTAAGCCCTTGCTCTTCCTCTTCTTCATCTCCATTTCTTGTGTCACATTATCATTTCAAATCGTTCAAAAGGGTTGCTCGGGCTGACACGGTACCACCTGCATTGTGAACGACAGTCACGGTCGTGACGATGACCAGGCTGGTATATCGGAAAGGGATCGATCTGCTCGTCAGCGCCGCCCCGAAGATATGCGCGCTTTACCCTCGAGTGAGGTTCATCGTTGGTCAGTCCTGTGGCCTTCATCATCTCTACGAATACGTGCTGATGAAGCGAAACATCGTCTTACGACCAATGTATACTGCTTCTGTTTTGCTTTGGCTGGACTAGGCGGTGATGGGCCGAAGATGGTAGAGCTGGAACAGATGCGGGAACAACATCTGCTGCAAGACCGGATCGTGCTCTTGGGTGCAGTCTCCCCTAATGACGTGCATTCAGTAAGTCGCCTCTGATATCACCGACCTCGAGCCGCAGGTCGAACCCGACCAGGAATGTCCTGCTTAATGATTTATCGCTAATTATTCGACGTTGGCAGGTCCTGAACCAAGGCCAGATCTACCTCTGTACCTCCCTCACGGAAGCTTTCGGGATTAGCATCATCGAGGCCGCCTCGGCCGGTCTGTTTATCGTTAGCACCAAAGTCGGCGGGGTACCTGAGGTCTTACCCAAGGATATGATCGAGTTTGCTTCGCCGAATTCATCAGGTAAGATTTCCTGCTTGCGACTGAGAGTTGAATCCAGAAATGCTTGGCTGACTGGTCATTGCGCAGACGTTGTTCGAGCATTGTCGATAGCAGTAGAGACGATCGGATCAGGGGTACACGATCCTCTTCTCGCACATCAGCGATTGCAAGGAATGTACACTTGGGCCAATGTCGCAGAGCGCACAGAACGGGTGTATGACAAGGCAATGGCTAGACCGGAGCGAGACTTGTTCGAAAGGATGACTAGGTGAGTGGGCTCGCAGCCTAAGATTCTCCGTTTCACGACAAATGGCTGACATCCAAATCGTTGCGCTACGATGCAGGTACCTCGATTTGGGACCTATCTTTGGCCCGATATTATGCATCATCACAGCCGTACAAGGGATTTTTCTCGGAGTGCTCGACTGGCTTCAACCGCGAGCCGAGATCGATCTCGTACCGCTACCGGCCAGCTGGTCACAGGATATACAATTGAATTCATAACGGAAATACCCAAACTCTTTACAATGCCGATTTCGATTTGACTGGCGAGACGGGCGGCTTCGAACCCGCCATAAAATGCGTCATCCTCTTCATCGGCGAGATGATGGGACTCGGGATACCGCTGCGGAATCGCTTGGCGGTTGGCGTAACACCTTGGACCGGTGATTCCTTACGGACCCGTCCGACGACCACGTCGGGGATCTCTTCCGTGGTATAGGCATGGTGCTTGCCACCAGGAGTCTTCCGGGCTAACGACAGATTCGAATTCAGCATTGAACACGTCGCATCACACCATCGTGATCGACATACGCTGAGCGGGGGTGTGCATCACACCGGCATTGATACGCCTTCTAGGAGGCGTCTGCGGCGATGCAGCGATGTGACGCGAAACCATCGTAGCCTCGACGGCTACATACTCGTCCACACCCGCCTAAAAGCAGCAGAAGCAACGTCTTAGCAAGCGAGTCTGGTAATATTCCAGGACAAACGGACCCAGCGGGAGAATCGTCCGGCATTTCCCACCAGCCACTGTTGCTGCGGGCCGACAACCATCCCCGGGCGGATCAAGCGCATCAAGCCGATCGCCTCGTGACCGGTGAATCCGTACTTGTATATCAAGTAGGCTGAGACATGGACATGTCAACATCCACGCATTCAAAGGTGTAGCAATGATCATCAGCCCTTACCTCCAATCCTGAGTGTCGAGCCAAGGGAATAGCCTCATCAGTATCGCAGCCTGGCTTTGAACAGAAGCGAGCCGACTCACATCACGCCGGACCGACCGAGACCTGCTTTGCAGTGCACCGCGACCTTGCCCCCGGCCTTGATGATTTCATCGGCGTACCTGATGAACTTTCTCACCAAATCCAATGGAGGGTTCGATCCATCAGGGAACTCCTGTTCAGTCGAGACCGATCAGGACAGCACTATGTCATGTCACATTGGGATATGGCTGACCATTTCAAAGTGGCCGATGCCTTTGTTCGTGAAGATGCCCGAATCGTAAAGCGGATCGTTGAGACGGACAACAGCTCGCACGTCGCTTCGTTCAAAGTAAGTCAGCACCGATTGGGTCCGAGGGTGAAAGAGCCGGGGCGATTTGGCGGTCTCTCTAGGTGAAGCGAAAGGGACGAAAGGGCCGACTGTCGAAACGCAGACGCACACAATGCAATCAGCATATGTCCCAGAATGGTACGCACACCGCGAACTTACTAGTGTTCAAATCGCCATACTCGACTTGTTCGTACTTCTGCTCGCAAGGCTGCCTTTAGTAATCCATCCCTCACACCGCAGCCTCAATCCAGGTGCGACCTACTTCATATTCATCCGGCATGATCTTGTTCAGATCCACGAGCCCCAGTTGTTGTGCACGATGAGCACCGTCAAGGATGTCCTGAAAGATCCAACATAATGGCCGTGTCAGTTCTCATATATTCACCATAGCCACGAGATAATGAGCTTGACACGAACCTGGATAGACAGACTCCATTCGGAACGTCCTCGGGCGGCATCTCGGAAAGGTTTGAGCTCGAAGTCCGAGAGTTGACATATCAGTTGATAAGGCTCCAGCTTGTTTGCGAGAAGCTACAGGTAGAGCAAATGATCGTCAATCAGATTCATGGTCGGAAAGAAGCGGTCGTCTGCCAAAGTGATGTGCTTACAGCTTGAACAGCGGCGAGACAAGCGCCATTCGACTTCCTGTCCGGTTCTTCCAAGCTATAGAGGACGAGATGGTGGCCCTTGAGCCGGGCATCGACCAGCATCCTTTGGATCAGGTCATCTGTTTATGCAGAAGAACAACAGGCTCAGTGACCGGGCTTCCGACGATCCTCACAGAGCGCGGGCTTACGGAACCGGGCGACAAGTCCGATGTTAAAAGGACCATGGTCCTCCGCGAAGCTCGTATAGTAAAAAACGTCATCCACGTCGAACATGGCAATCTTGTCTTCGACTCCTCCGAGCTGATACTGAGTGGGAAAGACTTCAACCATCTCTACTCCGCTCCTCATCTTCATGTCGAAACGAGCCAGAACGTTGTCCCCGACGAGGTAGTTGTCGAGAGTCGTGAAAGAAAGGTATCTCGTGAAACGAGCTACGGGAAAAGGGAAGGCGGAATCGGTAGTATCGGGCATCTTGTATGGGTGGTGATGGAAGTGATCTCGGTGGCTATGAGCGAGAGAGTCCTGTCAAGCAAACGATGAGGTGGAACGGTGATAGGTAGACAAAGTATTGGCGTAGTTCTAAGATCGATTGTCCGCAAGAAGGTGAGGTGCACGAGTTGGTTCGTCTGGGACAGCCCGAACCGATCAGCGAATCAGAGCTTCTTTCTTTTTTGGAGCTTTTGTTGTTTATTGATCGGATCGAAGAAAACCGACTCATCATATCATTAGGCTCATCACAGGATCAGAGTAGAATGTCTTTCAACCAAGAGAGATCCGGGGCGCGAAACGCGTTGAATGACTTTCTACGGGAAGAGTGGAACATCGAATGTGACTGGCTTCGAGACTAGATGAGCGCACGAGGGTCTGATTCATGACTAGTCGTTCATGGGCATCATTACCTCTTTGTTTGATTTTCCGATTGATGTTCCAAAGAATGGAGTAGGCGCTGGATTTTGGCATTGGCTTCGCGTTCCAAATGTATCTACCAACCGGATCCCTCGGTTTCGAGCTCACTCATTCCGTCATTTGCCTGATGGAACACTCGACCATTGGGGTGATCTCGTTGTCATCTTGGTTGGAGATCTGAAATTTGGAAGGGAGAATCTCAACATATGAGAACTAGACAGTATCGGCTCAGCACTAACATCGGAACAAGTAATCTACTAAGGACCAGTTCAACATACTAATTCAAAGTGCTTGATTGTCCTGCTTAAGGCTGCTTCCTACGTACTTGCACTAAATTGGGCTTCTGCATTGGATCTAATCTAGAGCGCTCTTCCCACAACATGACGGGACTTGACTGTGGGGATATCATCTTAGGGTTAGCGTCACAGAACCAGGAGCCGAGACGGTCTGGTCCGCTATGGAAAAACGCTGCGCAGTCACAACGACGCGGTAGTCAGAGGAGGGGTACTGGTGACATTTCTTTATGCGTCATTAGCATAGCGTCGGGAGAGAGCTGGATGCCTTATCATGTTATTGACTGCCCTACATAGACGAACAAATCAGCCGATCCAACGGTCGCTCGTCGACGGATGGATTCACACCTTCTTCCAAATCCTGTCTATTACCTGTTGAAGCTGTACGTTATCATCATTCTGACTCACCATGCCAGAGCATGTTGTTGTCAATCGCAGAGAGTTGTTGAGTCATTCTTTGACTTGATGGCAAGAAAGTGTCCTGACTTAACGACATTCTCCAATTAGGGCATGGATGTTGGTTGATTGGATGTTCACGATACGGCCGATATAAGCTGTGGTCTAACCTGTATTCGTGCGATAAATCCAGTGTCCTCGACTTCGCATCAGCAAAACTTCAAAAATGAAGGTCACATGTTCAGACCTCAAGGGATTGACATCAACTGGTCCCAAGAGGGAAATCAAGAAGGTGACAGGGGAAGTGGTTATTGAGCACCTTAAAACAAAAGGACTCACCAGTAAGTACACTTGAATCAAGATACTAGAGTCGACTCTTTCACTAACAGCAGAAACTACTTCACAGAAGCAGTGATAACTAAAGGTCCTCACAAGAATGCAGATATAAAGTTGCACATCACTGTCAGCATATCTGGGCGGTCTCACCATGTATACTGTTCCCCCCATGATAGTCGAAATTTTCGTCAAGGGCAGGGATCGCCTGGCAGCCTGGCCTGAATGATGTCCGCCGCTGGAGGATGGAAATAGCTAGACGGCTATTCTGGTCTCGCAATCAGGCACATGTTCGAGATCTTGTTTGCCGAACATATATAGACAACCAGCTTTGCCATACTCAAGTACGTAACCGATACTGATGAGAGCTAATGACTCGCGCTTACTACCGTAGACCCTCCTCGGTTCACTCGGCGCAAAGCAAAGACAACGCTTCAGTATCTATTTCAGAATGTCGACTTTGACCATCCCTCAGCTCAATTCCGATGCTTGTCTGACAAGATCAATAAGGGGATAGCCAAGCAATGAATATGGTTGGATTGGGATTGGCTTGCGCGTGGGTCTTGGCTTAGCAGCTCGAAGCAGATGAATCTTAACAACCCCCTTCAACGCCATCTGAGATCCAGCAGAGATTGATTGCCGCGCCACGCGCGCCGGCGGCGGTGACCTAGAGAGATAGATCCAGATAATGGACACCGCCACTAGCACTTTGTATGCAGGGTAGTCCATCTAGCATATCATCTTCCCTCTCCACGTGCTGCTTGCCACCTTGGCGCTCGATCAGCTACTGTAGCCTACAAGTGATTCTGAATCTAGAACATGGTGATGTCATGTTCAACAAGTTGTATTATTGAAATTACTCACGTACCACTACGATCTGTTGTGGTCAAAGATACCGGACTCCACGTGGAGGAGATGAAACAAAACGGGGCAAAACAATCGAAGGATGTGCATGCTTCTTAGATCTGAAGTCTGATATCTGTGTCGAGAATTGTCAACCGTACATCGTTTGTGTTTCTGCTTTACTTTGATCACTGCCATAACTTACGGAAACGAAACACTCGGAGTTTCCGGTTAAACGGTATTATGCCATACTGTAGACATCTAGCTCAACGCGTCGAAAGCCTTGATCATGGCCTCTGTGACGGCATGAGCGGATTGAGGGTTGGCACCGGTAACCAGCCTGCCATCGGTGACGGTAAACGAGTCCCAAGGTCCATCGGGGGAGACGTATTGAGCTCCCGCATCGCCCGCGCTGGCTTCGATAGTAGGCCTGTTCCACGACTTGATCGTGTCCAGGACACCTTCCTCTTCTTCCCCCTTGGTAGTGAACCCAGTGACCTTCTTGCCGGCGATGACGCTCTTTCCCGTCGAAGCGTCGATCGTACCGGGCCAGATGGCTCCGCCGTGACAGACGGAGGAAAGGATCCCACCTTGTTGCCAGATATCGGAAGCTAGGGACTGAAGACCCTTGGCTTCAGGGTAGTCGATAAGGGATCCGTGACCGGCCGAGGCGAAGAAGAGACCGTACTAGCGCCGAGAGACAAGTTTTGTCAACATGATGTCCCGAGACCAGTTTCTTTAGAGGATGGGCTCGATAACTTACGTCTTTGGCCTTGACATCCTTAGGGCTCTTGAGCTTGTCGAGCTTGCTCCTGAACTCTTCGTTCGGGTCGTTGTACTGCTTCAAGTCTTCCTCGCTCAGCCAGTCCTTGGTCAAGCTCAAGGCGTCGGGCTGATAGGTCCCGGTCTCGGAGACGAGATCGATCTCGAAGCCAGCCTTCTTCAGACCATCGAAAGGGTGCATGGCCTGTATGACATACCAACAGAACATGTACAAGGGAGATCGGGGACATTATACACAGAGTGCGTTACGCCGAGTCCTGCTCAAGCCGACGTACCTCGCTGACGAAGAGACCAGTCTCACCGCCATCTGGGTAAAGAGGTGCATGTGCCGAGGTGATGGCAATCAGAGCGCGTCGAGGTTGCTGAGCAGAGTTGGACATGTTGTAATGGGGAATAGTGATCTCAACAAGACAGTCTGTGAAGCGCCAAATGGTGCTCCGATCAGATAGGACCCCATATTACATCCTGCATTATATACTTTATAGGTTTCGGTCCGACCGCTCCAGCTGTGAGGATTCGTCATCGCGCGCTTGTCGAAAAGGTCCCGCGCTGAGCAACCACAAGATGCTGCGAGTTTCGCCTTTGGCCCTTCTCGTCGACATCGACCTCTCTAGCCTCTCTGGCATATACTTCCATCAAGATTGACCACTCCAGCTTAGTACTGGCAGGCCTCCAGGACTTGAGCCGATACATCTGCGTCGATCCAGCAATTCCTCACTAGCGGCTGTGAGACAGCATATTGCGCGCCAAATGTCTCGATCACGATCACAAATCATCTGATTAACCAATACACTACATCTCGTTCGATACAAGACTTTGTTTCCGACCGAAAAAGACACAAAAAGTCTATACAACGTGTCACGACCGTTCAGTTACAGAAGGTATAGGATTACTCTCAAAACGCGATTTGGAATGGCGGAAACAGGGCAAGAAGGTGTCGAGAATAGGAAACGGGAGTAGCAGACGGAAGCGAGACGGCGGGCGTCATCGGAGTTCGAAAGACCCGCTCCCTCGTTGAGGCACGTGGCACAGGGAAAGTTCTTGGAACCTAGGAGTTCATATAGATATTTGAAAGTCAACACGGCACGTCGTCAGAAGCTATGAGCGGCTGAATGACTTACGGCTCAGAGTTTTGATGGTGGAAGTAGTATCCCTACACGCACACAGCCAAGATAAAGATGACGAATCAGCTCCCTCCGAGAAAACGCACATCAAGACCACCTGCAAAGCTCACCTTCAAGACCGGCACCCCATTCTCCCCATCTCCGCGCGCATCCCGGTCGTTCTTCCACGTCGCCCTTGCCGCCGCCAACAACCTGCGTCTACCCTCGCTTCGTGCTGGGGAAGCGGGACTAGGGATCCCCGGTGGGCTGGAGGGCAAGGTCGATCGGGCCGCAGGAGGTTGCTCCATTGTCGTCGACACTCCAGCCGCCTCTTCGTCCATCTCCATATCCATACCTGAACCCCTCGCTCCCGGCCTCCCATTCAGGTAGACCGTCTCGCTCTTCCTTCCTCCGCCCGATCCCGCACCTCCTCCGATATTCCCTCCCGCGCCTAACGGGCCGGAAGACGTCCTCGGTTCCTCGAGCTCCAACTGCAGGTAATAAAACCCGGCAAAGGATGCCCCGGAGATATCCCTCACCTTGTGGTCCGGGACGAGGAACCTTTCTTTCCAGCGCATAAAGACGTACGGGCGTTCCCTCTTCCCCGGAGCGGCTGAGGTAGAGCCCGAGCTGGAAGACACAGGACACCGCTCCATCTCGCTCATCGTCAATCCCGGCCGTCTCAGTTCCCCCTTGACCTCGTGGAACCTATCGAACCTGCTCCAATGCCTCAGATCATCCTGCTCGGTCGCCTGCGCGTAATACCGCGTCCCTGTCAAGAAGCCGTATTGTTCGCCGACAATCTCCCCACTGAAAAAGGTCGTCAGTTTCGGGTGCGTGTCGGTCAAGTGTGAGATGGAGAGGTAGCCAGAGAGGGTGGACGAGGGGAAGTCTACGTCGAGGATCCTGACTTCGACTTCGTAAGACGACCTTCCCGAAGTTTGTTTCCCCCTGAAGATGGAGCCTGGATAGAGGGTGCCACGGCCTTGGGAGGGGCGGCGGAGACGGCCGATATCGAGCAAGGGGTTGGGAAGGTGTTCGGTATGGGGGTAAGAGGTCCGGGTGGGAGGAGTGGAAGGGCCATGTCGGAAAACTGATGGAGCGGGCTCACAAGGGTCGGGATAGACGTGCTGTTTCAGATCTTGTTCTTCATCTCGATTTCCATTTTGCGGGTCGACGGCAGCCGGGGCATGCGCTTCGTTGTCACCATCGATGTCGATGTTGATCCCCACATCCCTCTCACGAAGTCCGCCGACCGGTGTCAAGATCTGCGTATAAGCCGTAGAACTCGTCGAAGGTACATTCTCAATGAGTCCCGGTGGAAAGAATGACGAGGGTACGAAAGGCGGGTAGGCTGTTGTCGGCGAGGTAAAGGAGGCGGGGTCTTGGATGGGGACTGGGGCGGAGGGTCGGACGGATGGGAAAGAGTTCGTCGTGTTCGGGTTGGCATTGGAGTTGTTGGTATCATTGGCGGATGTTGTGGTGGCAGATGTAGTCAAAGCTCGTGGTATATGCACCTCGTCCCCAGTACCCGTTCCCATTCCCATCCGATCCCTCGATTCTAGACAACGAGCACACAGCCCCCCTTCCTCATCCCTTCTTGCTCCCGTATCATCTCCATCGTCCATCATCGTTCCCGATCCCGCGTCCCTTCCAGCAGATCTACCATCACCCGTAATCTCGGGCCCGACATCTACATCTGCGCCATTCCCCACCCGACCCGAAATCATCGAACCCGCTTCTCTACGCAGAACGTCCCCGATGCTCCCTCCTAGGACGAACGGGGTGGACGTGGATTCGATGTTATCTTGACATCCTGTACATTTGTTGGGTGCCGCGTTCGATGGAGATGAGGATGAAGAGGACGACGAGAGTGCAGTGGTTGGAATGGCGGTGTTGTCGTGATCGCGATTGAGGACAGGCAAAATGGCAGATGATGGAGAGCCGGCAGAGGGTTCGGGCGGGATGGAGCCTGTTACCGGCATGTTGAATGGTGAGATGCAGTTGGTCTCGGTAGTTGATGCAAGAAGTTGACAGTCCTAGATCGCTTGTTGCTTCGATATCTTCGAAGAGAGTTTATCACAGGGACGATAAGTCTGCGGGGGATGGCGCCGCTCCAAGGCGAAAAGATCTGGTGTGGTTGTTATATAACCTTTGAGCGCACAAACGTGCGAGTAGCAAGAGTAGGATGAGACTCTCTCCCCTCTACCTACCTTTGGGCTGTGGCTGTGATACGATAAACTTGATCATCCCTTCAAAGGGCAAAAGCTAAAGATGGGTCAAAGATGGGGAGATCCGATCGCGGAGGTGGAGGAGCGATGACGGCATTGGGATTCCACGGGAGTATATAATCACCATGGCAATCATCTGGTTCCGATCACATATTCTCACAATCAATCCCATCAACCTCGACGTCGCTATTACCCACGACCCATCAGCGACAAGATCATGGTATGATCCCTGAGATCCTGCTTATCATGATCAACTTGCAACTTGCCTGTCTACCTTTGAAAGGCAGTCGTGTGTTACATACCATGCATCAATGTAACATGCACAGCCCCTCGATACGCGTCGCCTTACCTCGCCCGAGCGTCATTGTCCCAACTTGTTTACGAGGGATCCCATCATGATGAAACGCAATGCCATGCCTCTCCCGCTCTCCTCGTCAATCCCCGATATTCAACCAGAGCTACTTAGCTACATAAGACACTTGCCGCTAGCCAGAACGACCAAGGTGGAAGAAGAAGGAACTCCCTCCACGGCGAAAAATCGAGCTCAAATACTAGCAACGACATGCGGCGTCGAGAAACGATGTCCATCATCAAGATCAGCTTGTCTTGATCGATCAATTCTCTAGCACCATCAACCTACTTTTCTCGATTCGCCGCTGAGGCTTTCATTGTGGGTGGTAACAATAGTAGCTAGTAGTGTGAATATACACATCTCCCGCCGTCATACCTGCCAATCTCAGAAGCATAGGCCAACAGACACGGCAACGAAATCAGTAATTCGAGGTCCCAGAGTAACAACCGATCAGAGAGTAGGATTCGGTTTGGGAAAGGATGATCCTCCCAACCCCACCGCCACTACCGAGGAACCACCCCCTCCCACCTCTTCCCTCTAACAACCACGTCGGCAGCACAACCTCAACCCCATTTCAAAAGACCCCCACAACCTCTAACCTCGGCGCAGCCTCTTCAATCCCAAACCCAAACCAGAACCCAAACTCGACTTCAGCTTTCGGCCAGAACAGATCCCTCAAAGAGACCATCGCCCACTCTCAAGCCATCTACCGACGAGACCTCCGAGCGTTATTCGGGCACGCGAAAGATCGGTTCGGGGACGTCAAGTGGACGGGGGGTTCTTCCGGTTCTCTCGCTGCCGGGCTTGTGAATGGAGCTCGAGCTGGAGCTGGGATTGGGGACGGAGTGGGTGATGATGGAGACGCCGAAGGGATGGGGTTCGAGGTGGTGGATTTCGCTTTTCGGGCCGATACGGAGACAGATGGACGAGGTTCGGGACCAGATGCTAGGGACAAGGAGGAGGGGGAAGAGGAGGCGGTCTGGGCGCATAAAGGTGAGCAAGGTCTCTATATATCGTGGTCAATGGGGAAGCTTGTGAGATGGCTATGAAAGCGTCGAAGTTGGAGTACAAGAGCGATGCGAACTGGGGAGACGGAGGCTGGAATCTAAAAGGCACAAGAATATAGGCTGACCGACTGTTATGATCCGTGCCCGGGGTTTAGCTATAATATATGCAAGAGCTTCTAGTAAGTCCATCTTACACGCCTGACTTCTTCTTTGTTCACGTGTAACGCAACCTTGTCCTAACACGTCAAACTCGACCTTGACTGTTCACTCATAGAATCCTTCAAAAGCCGGTTCTTCCCCTCCCACGCATCCGCATCAGGGTCGCAGAGCCAGACAGGCGGTTCTACATCCCGAGCACCCAGTACTACCCCTTCGGCCAATAACCAACATCTTCATCCAAACTCGCACTCTGGTACATCGACCGGACAACCCCGCCCGCCGCGGTACACCCGGTCCGCATCTGTCCTCTCTAACCGCCCGAGGGACGCACACGGTGTGACGGTCCTAGACGATCTGGGGATGAAGGAATTGTTATCTTTAGGGTTGGAGGGGATGTATGATCCCGATGTTTCACCCCGGACTGGGATGGGTATCGGAATGGGGATCGAGGGAATGGGCGCGGATGCAGCTGGTGGTCTAGGTGCAGGCGGGGACGAAGAAGAAGGGGGGATGGAGTGGTTGTTAATGCAAGGGAATGAAGCGGGGCGGGAGGGGGACATGAGCTTTGGATTGGGTCTAGGAGTGGGATTAGGGATGGGTATAGAGATGGGCGCTGGGTCAGACAAAGGAAAGGGGAAAGAGGTAGATGGGGCGAGGATGGAAGAGATCAGGTCGTTGATGCGAGAAAAACAGTCTCAGGTGAGTGTACGAGAACACGATCGCCTTGCATGCGGAAAGGACGGTTATTGATTCGTCCCCGCTGGTGTATTCTCAGGACCTCACATACATGTGGAGGTCGAAATTGTACGCCGACGTGCTCATCCAGATCCCGAATCCGACGTCCTCGTCGTCATCCTCTACGACCGCTCGAAAGGGCGCCAAACCGCCTCCGTCATCTTTCCGACAGACCCCGGTTATCCGTCGAGCCACCTCGTTCTCGTCCGTCAAACAGCCGACGGAAGGCGGTGCTCGACCAGGATCGTCTCTCAGCTTCAATCTGGATTTGGACAAGGACCTCGGTTTCGAGGTGGACGAGGACACGGGCGGGATGACCTTCTCCGCTCATCGATTCATACTCTGTTCCCGGAGTCCTTATTTCGCCCAGGTCCTGCTAAACGCCGGGGAATTCCAACCTCACCTGGCTTCCGCCGCTTTTCATAGCAAGGCCGGGTCGGTGGGTCAGGGAAGACAAGCAGGAATGCCCGTCATCGCTCTTAGCTCGCCGCCGTTTACGCCTCAGGCCATGCATTTTATCCTCGGGTACATCTATTCTGGGTCTTTGGGCAGGTTCAGCAACAAGCAGTTGGACCTGGCCACGGCCCTGTTGGTACGAAAGGGCGCGGCATACCTCGAGATGGAAGCTCTGGAGAAAGAGGTCGAGGGCAGGTTGATCTGGGAGTTTGCTCACGGAGTCGCTTGGGACGACCGGGTGGATGAATCAACAACAGCGGGCGGACGAGGAGCCAAGGTTAGATCGTGTCGATGTAGGAAGTGCGTCAAGCGGGTACCGAGGCTTCTGAGATTCGCCACCAGCCCGGACGTCGCCTCCAAGGACCTCGAAAGGCTGACCAAGGAATACGTCGTTCGAGGATGGAGCGAGTGTCTCGGCAAGGACGTGGCCATGCTCGACGAACGGATCAGGGACGAGGTGGTCGACGCCATCATCGATCGGATCAACTTCCAATCGATCGTCACGAGCGTCCGCGGATTGTTGGTCGCTCGTCGACGGCTAGAGCAAGACGGCAAGCCTGGAGACGAGTGGTTCGACGACATCGAGGACGTGCTGGACATCATCGCCGAACGAATCGTCGAGGTCATGACCAGCGACTTTGACAAGGTCCTGCTGGCGAAAGAGATGGTCGACTTGGTAGAAAACCCGTTGGTCGATTTCGAGGTCCTCGAGGCCTTATTGAATTTGTTGGTGCAAGGTGTCGGGCGGGTCGAATATTGTCGGCATGCCCCGTCCGTATACGAGGTGAGGAACGTGACCAGTAGGAAGAGCGAGCGCGATCTAATTCACTTGACATCCAGGCTCTCATCTTCAATCTACTCGACAAGCGAGATGAACGGTCAGAACAGCTCGTCTTGTCTGAAGGATCACGTGTCCGCGAGGTCGTCGATGACGCACGAACGGGTATCCTGAGCGTGTTGCGGAAACGGTGGATGCAGATTCGTCAGGAAGGCGGTTTCTTCGGCCTCGAGCCTTCGGCACTGGAGCGTCTAGCTAAGAGTGAGTTGCGCCCTGTAGTTTCCCGGGATATAGGTTTAGTCAGTTGATGCTGACAAACGCGTCGGTACCAGGTATGGGGGTATCACCAGATGACCTCGTGCAACAGGTTCCTAAGCGCAAACCAGCGGTCTCGTTGAATAGCACAGCGGTCTCGTTGAATAGCAGTACCGCATCCGGGACATCAGCTGATGACAAGCGGGACCAACCCAAGCCTCGTCCTCGCATGCCGTCTTTGGACAGCCGGACGTCCGTTCGGGCGCCTCCAACTCTGGGTCCTCCCGTCACGGTCTCGACCTCCACGTCCTCAGTACCATTGCCGCGACCTGCCTCCAGGGACGTGTCTGGAGCAAATACCACGACTCCCGCCATTGTCGCTCCCGCCAGGCCCACCGCAACCAGTTCTCGCCAAATCGTAGCATCCAGTTCCATGTCCCATACAACAGCTGGCGGGCGAGTGGCGGCGACGGCGACGAGACGAATCGAATCAACCTCTTCCAAGAGTCCGCCATCTAGACTCGCACGTGTGGCTGGTGGGACAAAGGCTCAAGCCGGTCCGAGTGTGCCGAAAACACCTCCAAGCGAGTCGACTATCAGCCCTCCAAGACCCAGAGCCTTGTCCACCCCAGGCAGTCAGCGACGAAAGACGAACGGCATCGAACTCGCGCCTCCGGTGCCCTCTGTACAATCGGTCAGAAGCAACGTCGATAGGGTTGCACCATCTGGGTCGTTGGATAGGGCCAACACAAACACGCCAGAGCCCAAGGCAGCATCAACAAGGCCGAGAGCTGGCGAGCACAAACATGCTACATCAAGGCAATCCTCTATCGCTTCGTTGTCCGATTTCCGAGACCGCACGATGTCGACACAAAGCCTCAAAGCTGCCGGCAGCAAGACCCCTTCCGCAACGCCTGGCAACTCGCCCGGTCGCCGGACACCAACAAGCATTCAACAACGAAAGACATCTACCTCACCCAGCGTCATGACCCGCTCGCCCTTGACGCCGCGGGACAAGGTGCCTCCGATGCCATCCGCAAAACCGACCGCGTCCACTTTGGCTAAAAAGGTCTCAGCCCCTGCGCTCCATGCGAAACGTGCGGAGGAGCTCAAGAAAGTGCCAACAAAATCGCCTTCGAGCTCATCCATCCGTACCCTTAGAACGTCGCCAGCTCCAAGCAAGACATCGACTTCCACGTTAGCAGCGCCCACAAAGTCGACCTTGGCAAATGCTAGGTCTCGCGTCACGAGCACTTCGACAATCCGTTCGCGAGTCGACTCGAACCTGTCTCTGGCGGAAAAGACGACCACGTCTGGCAGTCGCTCCATGTCCGGACCGACCATCTCGAAACTGAAAGCTGCTGATCGCTCAGAGGGAACCACCGCAACCAAACAAAAAGAATTGAGCGAAACGACGGATGATGCACCGACGGAGATAATCACGCCCACAGTGGAAAAAGGCGATGCCTTGAATGTCCCGACAATCGTCGGACCGGAAGTTGAACAGGCGGATGCATCAGATGAACATGATGGTCTGCCCAAAAGTATTGAGCCCGCGTCTAGTTCTCTGTCGACTCCTCCGACAGCGTTATTGGCAGTCGAAACGGAACCCGACCTCAACTCGACACTGCCCAGGTCATTTGGCTCCCAACTGGATACGCAAAAAAAGATCGTCCTAGGACTCCCTGTCCCGAGCGAAACCCGACGCCCATCGATGCAGATGCTGCGCACGGCATCAGCGAGCGCCTCACTTGCTTACGGGGAACCTTCCGGTCGATATCACCCTGCCACCGCCTTTGATCCGCCACCACGTGCGCCGGCAACTTCGACTCCAGTCAACCTGGTGGCTCCGATAGACGATGGAATCCCTCTTGTGGAATCAAAGTATGGGAGCAGTCTGTCGGTCGGTATCCCGTGCATTGTGGCCTTATCTCAAGGCAGGGTGCACAAGTTCAAAGCCATGGCGCGCTATATCGGCCGTCTCGACTCGGCCAAAATGACCGGTGAATGGGTCGGCGTCGAGGTCGAGGAGCGATTCTTGGGAAACACCGGACTGCAAGAGACGGAAGGCCGATTCATCTGTGATGGCACTTTCGAAGGTCGTCGGTACTTTAGGCTCGAGCAGCACGGTTCTTCTCTGCGACGCGCCAGTCACGCAAACTTTGGGCAGACTGCATCCATCCGTGGCCGTCTGCGAGGCGGCTCTACGGCTCCCCACGATATCTACGGAAGACGGGGAATGAGGAGCGCTTCCGCCTCACCTGTCCCGTGGCAAAGGGTGGACGATGAAAATTCCTCTACGGGCAAGACCGCGGCCTTGTTTGTGAGGCCAAACGAGATTGTGTTTGTACTCGAAGCTACTGAATAGACGACAGACGACACGTTTTCTTGTGTAACGATCATAATGACGACATGACGACGTAATGTGTTCTTCGACCACAGCGCCTCGACGTCTGTCGCGCGGAGGCCCTGGGATTAACCTGGCTCTTCATCGGCTGCATGAAATTACCCTTTCATGCTAGCCATTCGGACAATCCGGATTGTAGCAAGATCACCAAGCCTCCAGACAGTGCCGTTACAAAGGTACCCTATCGCTCCACCTATTTCCCTCATCGTTCCCCTCATGTATTGATAGACGTCCCGCTTCACTGGGCAGGTTTCAAGTGCGCGCGAGCAATCACTTTCGTTCCAGCTGCAAGGACTTTGACTTTCTGAAACGCGTGAAAACTAAACGATTTCCGCGCATCAATGACTTTGGCTCTGCAATGGTCCTAGTAGCCTCTCATCCGAGCCAAAGGACTTGAGTGTGAGCCCGTAAGAGAGGAGTTGAAAATCTGCTAATCTGTATTCGATGTAGATCTACCAGTACAGGGGTCGTAAAATCTTGGACAAAGGGGTTTTATCCAAAAGGGACAAGCCAAACACTCCATTGCTTGGCAAAAGATGGGCAAAGGTATATATAACACAAGCTCGACATGGACAATGATCTCTTTCTGACTCTCATCTAATCTACCTCGCTGAATACCCCAATTCCAACGAACCAATAGACATTGAATCACCATGCTCCTCTCCAACTTGTTCGCGCTTGTCCCCTTACTCGGCGCCATTGCGACCAAAGCGGCTCGATGCCCGAATACCTTGCCGCAAGGGGGAACTACTGCATTTGCGCGACTCAGCTGGGTTCAACCGCATTTCGGTGCGGAAAACGTGATCGAGAACCAGGCAAGTTCGAAGCCTGTTTTTTTCGCGTCGACCACCGTTCCTTATAGCAGAAGACGCAACGTACCACTCACTGTCATATAGCCATGGATCCAAACGACTGCTATCGATATAGTCAAATGCACTGATAAGTGTGTCTACGAGCATCCCGGTGAGCCTTATTTCCTTTTCCAAACGGCACTATGCCGATCCGGTACGAGAAACATATGCCGCGAGACTAATCTAGCGAACCCGCTCTTTGTGTATGGAATACTACACCTGTTAGGCTGTATCGGTGTCGCTTTCTTCGAACCCAGAGCGGCCGGATATCCATCAAGGTGTGACTTGTGGATGAGAGGTGGCCTGGGTGAAGTCGATCCCAACTATCCCAATCGTCCACTCAACAAGTTTGAAGGAGGGAGCATCAGAGGTACTTGCGAAGAGAATAAGGGTATTAAGAATAGTGAGCGATCCCTGGCGTTTCTCCTCAATGAGGTGGAGTCGTGACTGAACATCGAGCTCGTGTTGAATTTGACAGTCGGAGCGGCCAGTTGTTGCGAGATCTGGTACTGACCTGTGGCCCATAACGGGACAACCTGAATGAAGCAGCCGGGCAGCTTCGCTTTCGGTTCAATCTGTTGTGGCCCTCGAAGATATTTTCCCATTTTAGTATTAGTTTTCTTATTCATTTGTGACGATCGTTTGGACCTTGCCATTTTGTCAGATTTCCGTAAAAGACGGCGCTGACGCGCTAGAATTGGTCGGTGTTTCAAATGTTCAAGAATGACTGTCGTTGTCTCGAGAATCCACCAGGCAGCACTCGCGCGCAGTGTTGGCCCATGTCAAACCTACGAAGGGTCAAGTGTCACCGTGAGCTCAATCGATTCACCGTCATCGTCGACATCCAAGCGCGAGGCATGCGTTTCAGATCGAGTTGTCGCTTTTGACAGTCACGTGATGTGCGTGGGAATCCAGCGACACGAAACGTCATCAAACCCCGGGGCCACGCGTCGACCTTTCCCCGGATTTGTTATCAGAGCGTGGGTGAATTTGCTTCCGAACTCGAGATCGGGGAGAGCAGACGGGCTTGGCCGAAAGGAGGCAAATGGCCCGGGCAACGGCAGGAAGGAGCCGGGGGTGACTGTGCTGCTATTGTCCTGGGTCGTGATCGTGTCATCGTCCCCCTCGGCCTGCCTCGCCTCCTTTGGGAAAGGGAAGGGGTATATATACCATCAACACCCACGATATCGATACCACATCATCATCCTCACCCCCGACCTTCATTCGACAAGACCTTTTTGGCCAACTCGCACAACTCGTAAGTCTTGTATTCTCGTTCGTTCTGGCTTCGTCATCATCGCCACCCACCTTCTACACCATCAACAAATCGTCGATTGCCATCACTTCGTCATATCATCGAGAACCATCGGGAAGCATGAAATACTATACACCACCGATCTCGAGCCGTCGACATTCGACTCGCCACTGGTATACCCTCCGGCTTATCAATCACCGCCTCGTCATCCCATACCTCCCTTTCCGAACGTGACTTGCTAGGCCTTTCCTTCGCCTCTTCCCCCATCACGTATATAACCCGAACCTACATAGCATCGACCTTCCTTTGCCTCCCATCAGAAGGGCTTACCATCATCAATCTTCTCTATTCAGACACGAACACTACCACAACCACACGAACAACACTCTATCAACATGCAGATCTTCGTCAAGGTAAGCCCCCTTTACCTGATCATATCACCCACGTTTGATTCCTGACCTTTCGATCGTCGCCGTCCTCATCGTCCACGCGTCGCAGACTCTTACCGGAAAGACCATCACCCTCGAGGTCGAGTCGTCCGATACCATCGACAACGTCAAGTCGAAGATCCAGGACAAGGAGGGAATTCCTCCGTAAGTACCTTCCGCCTCGATCATCGCGTTGACCATCGACAAGATGTCGTCGTGAGTGATCAGACCGAGAAATCTGAGCTGACCTTTGGCGTTGCTTTGTGGTGATCGTGCAGTGACCAGCAGAGGTTGATCTTTGCCGGAAAGCAGTTGGAAGACGGCAGGACCTTGTCCGACTACAGTGCGTAACCCATCTCGCCTCGCTTCCCGTGCCCCCGAAACCCCGCTGACCCTCTCCTACCTTCCGCCTCGTAGACATCCAGAAGGAGTCCACCCTCCACCTCGTTCTCCGATTGAGGGGAGGTATGCAGATCTTCGTCAAGACCTTGACCGGAAAGACGATCACCCTCGAAGTCGAGTCCTCGGACACGATCGACAACGTCAAGTCCAAGATCCAGGACAAGGAAGGGATCCCTCCTGACCAGCAGAGGTTGATTTTCGCCGGAAAGCAGTTGGAGGACGGGAGGACGTTGTCGGATTACAACATTCAGAAGGAGAGCACGTTGCACTTGGTGTTGAGGTTGAGAGGAGGGGTGGTCGAGGTGCACTTGCAGCCGGCCGGGTCGTCCTCTTGAGATGAGACCGAAGCTTTCGACCTACCGAGACGGTCTGATCTGATGGACGTTTAGCGTTCCGGGTCTGTTTTTGGAATTGTAACCCATCGCATTACGTGACTTTATCCGTCCGTTTGCCGGGGCAAATTTGTTGTTTTGTACCCAAATCAAATAAGAATACGAGTTTGAATTCGAAACGTCTCGGAACTCTTTCACGTATATGGTGTCGCTGAGCACTAAGGTTTACCCCTTTGCATGGTTTCATGCGCAACGCCTAGGGACAGTGTCAGTGTCATACACTTCTGTTCACTCGATGCACATTGTCTCGTTTCCTGCCACAAAATCTGCTCGCTCGCCATCGGCGACATCTTTCGCCATCGCATCATCGGACACGTTCAAATTACATCTTCCACGGCAGCCTCGACGCCCTCGTCGACATCGATCACTTCCATCCCGTTTCGCCCTTGCTCGTCCTCGTCCTCGTCATCATCAACGTCGATCACATGGATCGGATCGACCTTTTCTTTCCCGTTTACCTTCACATCGACTTCCATCTCCATCTGCAAGCTCATTCCCGGCTCAGCTGGATCTGGATTTCCCGCCCGCGTTGGGTCAAGCGGATCGACCGCCATCATCGTCTGTCCGACCCAACGAGTCACGTCCGGCTTGGCGATCTCGATCGTATCCGACCCGGTACCTTCCCCTTGCCCGACCTGGACCTCAGCCTCGGCTCTTGCGCCCGTAGCAAAGTGAGCCAGACCGAACGGTAGAAAGTCGGGAGGATCGATCGCATCGCCGTAACCTCGTTCGGTAAGGAGGGGTCGCCAGAAGTCACCATCTAGGTCGAACTACATGCGGCAGGGATCATAAAAGAGCGTCAGGATCGAAGAGGGAATGCGATAGAACGATATTCTGGTCAGCGATATGACTAGGTCGAAGCGCAGGTCAAGCGGTCGTCGACTCACGTCCATCTTCCATCCCAACATCCGAGGAGGCGCCACCCCAAAGGGCAGCATCGTCCCCGTCCTGCTCCTCCTCCCGCTTCGCATCGAATCGCCGGCTTGTCCACCTTTTCCGGACTCTTTCTGCTTGGCCTGCATCTCCTGGAGTTTCTCGGCGTTTTGTAGGGCGACGAACCGTCTTTCTGTAGCTTCTACCAGTGCTGGTTTGCCAGACTCTGTCGTGGGCGGGTAGTAAGGTTCGATGTATGGCATGAACACGGGGTTAACCGGGGCTGAAGCTGAAGGCGAATATGGTGGTAAGGTTGGTTGAGCTCGGGTCGATCGAGTCGGTCTGCTAGACACCGTTGGTGCCGGGTGTGTAGAATTGTGCGATTGTACGGCCCGCTTGCTGGGAGGTTTCCGTGCATCGATGATTTCAGGGCTGGCGGATCGCTTGCGAGCAGAAGACAGCTAAGAGGACGTGATAACAGTATCGGTTCTCAGCACAGAACAAAGTCTATGCCCTCAGGTATAGCTTACCATGGCTCGACGAGCGGCGATTTCTTCTTCGGTCTCGGGTGGCGGGGGGGTCATGGTAGACTCTCGAGAAGAAGACCGGCTTCGTGCCCGCTTTTCAACCTTTTGTTGCTGGACCGGCAGTGGCGGGACCGAAACGGGTATCCGCTCAGGTTTAGGTCTAGTAGTGCCAGAAAATGCTTCGCACGTCAGCAGGAAAGTCGACGCGTATGAAGAAATTAGTTGAGGACTCACTTGGTCAAGACCCGGTCGTATCTCGCCAAGAGCTCCTTGCCCTCCCGAACCAGTTCTCGCTTCAAGCCAGGTATTGTAAGTACATCAAGCAATGCAGCTCCAGCATCCATGACCGCCATATACGTTCGTTCTTCTTCTTCAGCTTGCAGCGTTTCGAGCGATTTGATCTCGGGTTTCTTCCGCTCGGACCCTTCCGCTTGATCCCCATTCCGGTCTGTATTTTCCTCATCTCCCCCGTTTTTGGGCTCTTCGACCGGCCGTACCCGTTTACCCCGTTGCATCATCCGCATCACCGCGCCTTCCCATACCTCATCGCTCAACCCTTCCAGGTACTCGATCCGAATACTAAGCTTGTACCTGCCATGCTCCATCTTCTGTCGTTCTGCCAACCGGGCTCGGGATTCGTATCGCTCGTAGCGCAAGTGCAAAGTCTGGTAATGCGCATCGCTATCATCCTCGAGCTCCGTCGTCGTGGCTGCCTGCAGTACAACAGGTACTTCAGCATAAGCAGGTAATCATGACTTTGTGTCGCTCGAACTCACACCCCGTGTTTTTCGCTTCTCGTTAGGCACCACATCGTCCTCTTCGATAACCTTCCGAAACCCTGGCATGACGACCTTCTTCCGCCCATTGACCATGGGCGTGATCTCGCCCACGTCAAGTCCAGACAACCGTCTCTTCTTCCCCGGGGACGGTGAAGGTAGCGCAATCTTACGAGAGCTTGTCGGGGAGACTAAGATCGAAGCGGGATCGGGAAGCGGGGAGGTCCACCAGTCGGGTTCTGGTTTATTGTAGGCGCGCCTGTTAAGGGTCGGGCGGATGGTCTCGTACGGGCTAGTTGTTAGGCAGATGGACAAGTCCTCTGTCGGCTGTTTCGACGCATGTACTAGGAGCAGCCCAGTGAACAGCATGTCAGCTGACGATCGATCAACGAGCAGCAATCGAAAAGCAGCCTCACATGTTCGAGAAAAACACTGATATATCATATCCTCGACGTCTTTCCCCGTGATATTAGATCCTGTTCCGCTTGACCCTCCCAGCCCTCTCATCCGTACGGGCAACACCCTCTTCTCCTCCGGCTTCTTCTTCAATTGCGATGCAGAGTTATTCACTCGATTGGATCTCGAGCTCAGAGGAGTACTTTGTCTCCTGCTCGAGCTGGGCCGAGCCTGAGCCTGAACCTGGGTCCGTATGCTCAGAGACGGGATCGTCGCTACCATCGGCTCGTCCGTGTCCGCGACGATGAACGGTGAATCGGCAGTCCCTCCGGGACGATCTTGGTTCATGTTTACGATATTTGGGGTGTAAGAAGCGCTCGGGGTCGCTGATCCGGTCTGCACCGTTGCCAGGGTGACAGACATGGTCCGGGCAAGAGTCAGGTAGACTGGCCAAACAATTCGAGATCACGTCCGACGAGCTGCCGATGCGAGACAGCAACCGCTGGACTTTTCCGCACGAGATCGGAAAGGGTCTCTCGCTCTTGAGCTTGAGTGTCCAGTCCTGAGCTGTATATCTGGTCTTGTCTGAGTGTCCCGGCACCGTATCGACCGTGAGCCCTTTCATCAGACTGAACCATGAACCTCCCAATAATGCTCTGAGGCCAGTTTCGCGTATTCGAGCGAGCGAAACCTCCACTCGACCTCGGTCGATCGGGGGCACCCTTCCTCCTATTCCAACCTAGACATGCTCGTCGTCATGTTACACCTTCCTATGTCCATTTCCATCCTTACAACCTCGTATAGCATAATCCAGGAAGCTCACATTCGATTCTAGTCGCAAATCGAGGCTGCTATATTCGTGCGGTGCCGAGGAACGCAACCCTCAATCATGGCGGGCGAGAACCGTGGATTCGTGTTGAACGGCCAGAGGGTCGTCCTCGACCTCGACTTTGCAGGTAGCGTCAGGGCCACAGCATACCTCACCATCAAGCCTACCAACGTCCGCCTCTCCACCGTCTTCCTGCACGCTGCTCCTTGCTTGCGGATAACCTCGGTGCACCTGTCTGGACCGAACATCGATGATCCTCTTCCTCCCCTTCCGGCGTCGTTCAGTCACCATAACCCTCTTCTCGGTTTGAGAGATGCAGGAGAAGGAGCTTCTTTCAACCCAACTCAACCTGATGCTATACAAAGGCATCCGGAGATCAAGAGAAAGTTATGGGCAGCGATGGCGGAGAAGGACGAAGGAGAGCTAGCTATCGATGTTTCCCACGGCTGGGTCAGGATCGCTCAGACGAAAGAAGGTGGACAGGCAGCTCAAGCTGGATTGGCAGAGATCTTGATTGCTATCGATTACGAGATCTGTATGTCGGACGTTGATACCGAGGGAATCGTCTGGCGAAGACCAGGCGATGCGGGGAACGATTTCGTTAGTCCTGCTTGGCTTCCCAGTCCGCAATTCCATGAGGCTGACAGCTTGGTCCTATATAATTGAGGACAGCGGATACCTCACATGTTCATCAATTCTTCGTCATACGATGCCGCTCGACATTGGGTACCATGCTTGGACAACCTCTGGGACCGATGTCCTTGGGAACTCGAGATCAGCGTTCCTCGATACTTGAAGCAAGAAACGGATCAGGTGAACGCGGAGCCGGGACTAGAAGGTGGCGAGCCAGAGGAAGGAGAGCTCGTGAGGGTTATCGCATCGGCAGAGTTGGAAGAACAGGTAGGTCTCTCTCTTCACAAGCGGTCTTGTCTCTGCAAGCTGAATCGACCCGGAAATTACAGGTTACCCATCCAGACGATCCGAGCAAAACGCTCTTTTACTTTGTCCAGAGCAACCCTACTTCAGCACAACAGATGAGTTTTGCCGCTGGACCTTTCCACCTGCACGTCATACCGGAGGAAGATCAAACTCGGCGCCTGCTCGACAGTCTCGACCCGACCAGTGATGTCCAGCCGCTTCTCCTCGCTTATTGTCTTCCCGGAAGCGAGCTCGACCTGGCAAATACCGTCTCCTGTATGCGACAGGCCATGAGCTTCTTGGAGGGTTACGACGGTTATCCTTATTCTTCCTTCAAAATGGTCTTTGTCGAGGATCCTTCGACACAGTCGTCCGTCTCGGCCTCTATGGGGACTTTCTCGCAAGAACTGCTCTACCCTCCGGAAGTGGTGGAACAGGCTCTTATCACTCGGCCTATCCTCACACACGCTCTAGCATCACAATGGTCAGGTGTTCACATGATTCCCAGGAGCTTTTCCGATATCTGGCTTACGACTGGGCTGGCCCTGTACATCAATGCTCAGTTGACGAGACACTTGCTCGGCAACAACGAGTACCGGTTCAGGCTACGATCGGACATGGATCGATGCGTCGCCCTCGACCAGGGCGATCAGTTTCCTCTACATGTACCTGGACTCATATCCCCGCCGGATGCAGAGACGTTACAGTTCATCTCGCTCAAAGCACCGCTCGTCCTCCACATGCTCGACATGCGGATGACGAGATTGGCGACATCTTCTGGTCTGGCGAGAAACGCGATCCCGGACATCTTTCGACAGGCTCGAGGTGGCACTCTACCTGATCGCGCGTTGTCGACGGACAACTTTTTCAGGATCTGTCGGAAGATCAGCAAGAGCCTGGATGTTCTCGCTTTTCAGGAACAATGGGTGACGGGGAGCGGTTGTCCAAAGTTCATCATTGGCGCACAGTATAACAAAAAGGGACAGTCCATCACCGTCTCTGTCTTTCAAGGGGCAAGTCAGGCGTGGAACGCGGTTAATCAGAAGGAGCCGCACAACGCCGACTGGAAATGTCCGACGAAGCATTTTTCGGTCAGTGGCCCCGTATGTTCTTGAATCATCCAGATCGGCATGTCTGACGTTTCACATGTGAAAAGGGAGAGGTGACCTTATGGGTCAACGAAGGCGACGGTGCACCTTACGAACATGTCATTGAGCTCGGCGACGAAGGATTGACTCATGAACTTGTCTTCACTCCGCAACAACGTCGAGCACACCGATTGAGGAACGGGCACTATCGGCAAGAAAAGGGCCTCCCTGTGCTCCAAACCGCGGACGATTCGGCACAGATGTCGGCGGGTCTGCAAGACGCGGCCAGGATGGCGGAAGAATGGCGTTTTTCGGGATGGCAGGAACCGGACGCCGTCACCTTTGTGGAACAAGGTTTCGATTGGATTCGGTATGACCCCGAATGCGAATGGCTCGCTTCGATCGAAGTCCTCGCAGAAGTCAGCGCAGGGAACAGGTCAGGTTTGGCACCGGTGATGCTGCCTTACTATTGGGCTACGCAGCTCTCCAACGATAGGGATGTTATTGCTCAGCGAGAGGTTAGTGCTGTAGCACAAGCCTCAATGGAGTTTCTACTTACACGTCAACTCCGTTTCATTCCGGCTAGGCTATTCTGAATCTCGCTAGTATGCCCAGCGGTGTGGCGGCCACAGCCCTAACGAAGATTGCTCTCGACGAAACATGCTTTTACAAAGTCAGGATTCTAGCCATCGAGATGCTTCCGAGGGTGAGTAAAATCTGCGAGATAGAACAATGGACAACACTCATTAGGGTGACACGCTTGAATAGATGCTCACACCTATCGAAGAGACCGGAGAGAAACTAGGCGTTTATCACTTGATCAAGATCCTACAGACACGATACTGTCACTTCGATCAGGAGATAAAGTCTTACCAGCTGCAAACCCCATCGCAAGGCCAGATAGCCCATTACATAATTTCCCAGGTGCGGCTGCCTGAGACGGTTTAGTTCTTCTTTACGCTGACTTTGGGTGTATTGACAGGCTCTGCTTCGAACGCTTTCGATTTGGCCGTGGTCACCAGCTGTGCCTCGCGAGGTGGAGACAAGTGCATGGCTGCGCGATATCTTGTCGACGGCGATTGAGAAGGGCGACTCTGAAGAGAATACTGTGAGTGCCTGATATCTCTTCACTCTGTCGACTTTGACTGAAGTCGCCTCTCGGTCGAAAGTTCTCCCAATCCTATTATTTGGCTTCTCTGATTGCGGACTTGGCCGCCCTGCAAAAACGCGTACCTTTCCACTTGCGTCAATCACCGGAATACCAGAGGGCCACGGCATGCATCGACCGAGCTATGGCTCTTGATAAAGTATTGCCGTCATATGGCAATGTAGTCACCATCTCAGGTCTTCAGGTGAGTTTGACCCGAATGTCAGACCGTGAAGCAGCCTATATGCTTACCCATGTTGCATCTAGGCCAAATTCGCTCTTGCGCTGACGGACAAACAAGTGATGCCTGTGCATCTGCCGTACTTCCTGACGTATACAAGGTGAATTCTCATGAATTACCAGCACGATATCAAAAGCGGCTCACCGAGATTGCCGTCATCTCAGAATCGGAAATCTGCCGTCTGTTCGGCTCTTGGCTATGGATTGCGTCCTGACCTGTCAACTGCCGCCGCCCTGGCTTTATAAGTACATACGGCAATTGCTCCGCAGGGAGCAGTCTTTGTCTTTCCGGCGTCATCTGGCGGAAGGAGTAGCCAATTCGTGGCTCATGGCGCTGGCTTTGGGAGAGATCGAAGGCCTTCATCAGCCGCAAAGTCGATACGTCGAGTCTGCTGCCGAAAGACAGGTCAGGGAACAGACGGATATAGAACAGGACATCCCCGCTTGGCGTCGGACATTGCAGAAATCATCGGATACGGGTCGTTTCCTGATGTCTCAGCTCATGTGAGTTTTCACCTCATTTGCAAGACCTGCGCCGAAAGCTGAGTGATCGAGGCTCACCTGCGGATTCTACGACTAGTGATGCCAATGTCGACAACGAGCTGCGAGTGGCGTTGCTTCAGGCAGCCGAAACGTTGACGCCCGGTAGAAGAGAGGGTGCGGCGGCAAAGCTTATCTTAAAGCTCGGAAGCCGACCGAAGAACACATCGAGGACTAGTGGTGAGCCACGAGCGTGCGAACCTTTCATGGTCCCATCAAAATGGCTAAATCCCTTGTTGACTCGCTCTAGCGAAATCATCGCTCGTTCCCGCACCAGTCGACCCAGTCAGTCAGGTACCGAAACGTAAGCCCAAAGGCAAGCAATATCGCAGCGGCCTGTCCGAAGAAGATTTCAAGGCCGTCAATATCACCTTGGAGAAATTGGTGAGCCGAACTGTCTTCATTTCCGCCGCTTGCAACGTGACGTGCTTAGACAAGAACTCTCCGTGCAGTTTGTGCATCCACGAAGCGACTTTTTCCGCTATCCTGTACCTGATGACGAAAATTTCGCGCCAGGGCAAGTCAACCGGGACCGTCGAAGACAGCATGTTCAGCTAATTCTCACTTCCCTTCTGAACAGATATTACAAGATTATCAAGAGACCGATCGATCTGTCTGCCATCAAGCACAAGCTGTCCGACGGTCAATACGAGAACCGACATCAATTCAAAGAAGATCTGGACCTAATCGTTCACAATTGCAAAACCTACAATGGAGAAGGATCGCTCGTTTTCGAGGCTGCTGTCGAATTCGAGAAGGTCTTTACTGGACGTAGGTGCTTTTGGTCCTCCGATCGGTGTCCCGGTCAACATGCTTACAACCTCTCTCGTTCAGAATGGGCAAGGGTGGAAAAAACACTTTCAAAGAAAGCTCAGACGGGTCCCGAAACGGTGCCTCCCGCAACAACCGCGCTCAAGTTCAATATCAAACGGCCCTCTGTCCCGAACCTAACCGTTACTGCAAATGAAGACGAAATAAGAGACAGCAGCGCTAAGCCATCTTTGAGCGTACGGACTAAAGACTATGCGCACCCAGGTAGTGCAGACAAGCCGAGATCTGCCATGAAAGCGGGCATCAAGCGTCAACGAGAGACACCGGCCGAGGAACCGAAAGAGATCTTTACCGCACTCGCAAATTCGCCGCCAGCGAAGAAGAAAGTCAAGATCGTTAGACCGTCTGTCAGCATACTGCCTAAGCTCAAGGTCACCCAACCCGAGCCTGAGCCCAGCGCAGCGGTCCATAAGCCTGTCATCACACTTAAACGCAAACTAGAAGCAGAACCGGAGCGGTCTGAAAGCAGACCCTCGCCGGGGGCTTCCATGGAACCCGCACAGGCGATGACGTCTGACGGGATTGCGGGTCCAGACCGCGGCAACGTGAAGAGACTGACGGAGATGGGCTGGACAAAGGACAGAACGCCTTTCAAGAGGGTCAGGGCGTTGCGGCTGATCCGCGACTACATGGACAAGTACAGGCTCTTGGTAAGCCAGAGCAGGTAACAGCTACAAACCTGTCGTGCTCATTCTAGCTTGCATACAGTTCGGCCCAAAACCAAACGAAGAGCTCGCTCCCGGGTGAGTGTTTGTGTATCAGGCTAGTCTGCCTATTGCTAAAACTTCTTGCGATCATCATTCCACAGTTACTTTGCCGAAATCAAACGGCCTATGTATCTCGAGTTGATGGAAGAGAAGGTTGCCAAAGACCAATATCAGACGTTGGGCGAATTCGCAATCGATCTCGAGCAGATCATCTGGAAGTAAGCCGTTTTGCTGGTTCAGAACTTCATTTCCAATGCTGAGCTGCGCCATCATCAGCTGTCGAAAATACAACGGAATGGGTCCAGGGATCGAAGATCAATATGCAGCTCCTATGGAAGCTCACTTGCTTGACAAATGGCCTAAATTGATGAAGACGGATGCGATCACGGCGGAAGAGAGAAAGTTGATTGACCAGTGGCTGACGAGCACCCTCAAGACGGATGAGGGAAAATGGTTTCAATACCCAGGTAAGCTAGTGTTCGTCTTCCGATTTCGGCATTTGGCTGGGCAGCTCATACTAGATCACGCACGTAGTGGACCCCGTGGCAATGAATATTCCCGACTACTTTAACATGTGAGTCAGATGGGCTAATAAGTGGTATTACAACAGCAAACCTTACACCCCTCATGAATTACAGCGTGAAACGTGAAGAAGCCCGAGATCTCTCGATGATTAAGAGCAAACTCAAGAGCCTCGCTCCGTTGTCTTCAATCGACAAGGACCTGATCCTGATGGTCGATAATGCCGTCAAGTATAATGGAATTGATAGCCCGGTCGGCAGGGTAGCCAAGACGATCGAAGCTGAATACGAAAAGAAGAGAAAACAGATTTCCCCGTACGGTTCGGCACGGGAATCGGTGGAGAACCGTGCCTCGAAAAGAGCTCGACACGAATGAACAGAAAATATAACGACCTTGACGATCTATAACGACAATCACGTACATCTCTAGCATTAGCATATGTCATATGATCAGACCCGGTCGTGTGACAGATGATTTCATACGACCCGCTTGCTATCGTATCGACGTTGAGTCTCACTGCAAACTCGATCTGTATGTCGAACGATTAATCAATGTTCGAAGGCTATGCAAGCTGTCGATCGAGCTTATCCCTCGTCATTCAGACACTCTCATCATAGAAAGGCTTCGTACATGAGGATGATTTGAACGCCGTGCAGCCACGTTTATCTGCGCTGGAACTCGAAGATCGTCTTCTGCGAAGGAGACAAAGGCGAAGAAAGGCTCGTGGCGAAGCGAAGAATTACAAGAAGTTGTTTCTCTTCCACATCGGCGATTAGGAACACGAATACCTTGTATTTTTTTGTATCTGTCCGTATCTTGAAGAGTATCGTGGATGTCATGCTCGGGAAGTTGTTTGCCCATTCGAATTTCACCATCCGCTTCCCCGGGTCTCACACCCTCTGCAATATCCTTCCTCCTTGTGCGATCCTAACAATTACCGTCTGATGTGGCGTTTTGGTTCAAATTGCCAATTCAATCGGTGAAATAAGTCCAAAACAGACATAGAACAATACTGAACGCATTTCAAAGGTATGAAAGTTGAGGGATCTCTTCCCATTGGCGCATGCGAATCAATGAGCGCCATGACAGTAGCCCCAAGCTCGCCGAGTCGATATCGGGCGAATGTTCAGATGATCCCAACGAGTCTCAAGCCAATCCCAAATCACATGCAAAGCATACACGGTTCTACGGGGAGGCACCAAACGCATTTCGACTGTGAACGAAGCGCAAACAAACTGTCTGTTCAAAAATCGCGCAAAAAGGGCAAAAAGCTTGTGACATAACGGTGAATCGAACACCGGTCAACCGCTGACCAAGGTTAAACATGGAAGGCGGTTATTCTACCATTGAACCATTATATCTTGCTTAAAGATCTTCTAATTTTATATGTAATATCAGACAAGACTACCTTGTGGCTGCCACGATACTCTTCGGGCTCATGAGGGGTGCTGCAGCCTGTGGCTCAATCTCAACCATCTTTATTCAAGCTTCCGGACATCCCTTCCCTCTCCAAATTTGCCTTGCATTTTTTGATTGGATCAGAAACGCAACGTATGGATTCTGTCGAACCGCTCAACGTTACAGATATCGGCGGTTGACAAGGCCTGGTTCTTCAATCGGGCTCTGCTGTTGTCTGTTACAGATAGGTGCAAAGCACGCTAATGCTACATGTCGTCTGGCTTCTTTACCTCCACTCTTTGTCATCTTCTGATTGATTTCGGCTGTATACGCCAACACTTCGCCATCTTCTCCTCGTGTGTCTTTATGCCAATATGCTTTGAGTTCCGGAACAGAATGCTCTTATGAATCGACGTTCACCACAAATTGGAATGGGTCATGACCACCAGGACTTCGAGCCCGGGCGATTTAAATAAGGAACAAATAAAATCGGTCTCAGGAATTCGCGAAACTGGTCGAAGCCAGGCGGATCTGACTTCCTCCGTCCGCATATTATGATTCGAATGGAATCTACTGATGATTGTTGCATGTTTCGAGACGCGAGAGATCTCTAGTCTAGTTCGTGGTTGGATAGTCGCCGGAAGAGGCCACTGACTGCTAATGAGATGATGTATACAACCGGGTCTGATACGTTCGCGCTCAAATTTCACTCGGGTACGTAGTCTTGTGAGAGGTCAACTCCCTGAGACAGCCATTTACATGAGCTTGGCCGGTGCGGCAATGTCGAGCCGGTGCGGCACTTACCAAAGCCATCATATGCACGTTTGTCAACTTCTGAACGTCCTGCTTTCTACTCTTCTTCCGTCCGTCCTTCTTGATCGCACGGTTCGCCGTCTTTTTGGCCGCTTCGGCAGGTGTTACTTTGTGCCCGACTGTAGGGAGGGCAAGAAGTGCATGACGATACAATGACGACAACGGCCATGAGTGCCTTGGTCTAAACGAAAAACGAGAATTGTTTGTACTCACGCTCGGTCAAAAGTTTCTCCAAGTCTGCGGATTCTGGGGTTTCTATGGAAGCCCACATTGTCCGGAAAGCTGCATCCCGCCCGATCCTCAATCAGATTTGAACCTAGATGAAGAAACTCGTCCCACTCACATTCGTCCACCTGACCTTTCGGTGCCAACCCATCCGCCCTCCCCTGATCGTACATGACCGCCTTCCAAGTATTAACCCCCGTCTCCATGATCGTCTTGCTCCCATCCTCTCCTTTTGCCTGTACGACCTTTTTCGGCTTGGCCCCCGGTTCGGGAATAGTAGCCTTTTGTGAGAAACGCATGATCAGGACTTTCCCTTCGTCTTCCCACGTCTTGAGCAGGTCGGAGTAGAGGATGGAGCCGGTATAGTTTTGTTTGATAAAGTTGATGGGGATGCCACCGGGTCGAGCAGAGTAGTTTTGGATGTGTCTGAAGAGTTCGTCAGGTGTCTTCATGGCATTGGCATTCTGACCGAGATCGACATCAAGAGAGAGAGAAAGGTAAGATTATGGCTTAGACGTCAGTCCGGCTTGCTGCTATAGAAACGGATTTCTTAACTTACCTTGTATTCGAGCAGTTCCAACTGAGCGTTCCAGCTCACCCCCGTATACGTCTGCAACAACCGGATCATCTCCGGGTTGAATATCAGACGGATCCCATCGGCATAAGTGTCCTGGAAAGAGTTCGAGATGGTCTCTAGCCGATGGGGCCCTGGTCTCGCCTGCGGTCCCGATATCGAATCAAAGGAAGTGAATGCGTTCAGCTCAGTACCCGATGCCTTGCCAGGGCGACTTGCAGCGACGTTTACCGACCTTTAACCATTCAACAACCTGGTTGACCTGACCTGCCAGATGCTTGGCCAAGGTATTCACAGCAGCAGGAGGGGGACCATCGTATCGTCTCTTTTTGCTGGTAAAGCTGACGCTCGAAGGCGTCGGCGAGGCGGCGTGAGGCCGTTTGATCCCCGAGACCGACATGACGCTGGCTCAGCCGTTGCTCCCTGCTGATTTCACAACTTGGAACTGTGAGACTGCATGCATTGAACAAGACGATCTCGCTCTGAGTCCCGTCATTATGGCATGGTCGTCGTTTGCATAAATGGTTGGTTGATACATACGGCTCTTGGCGATGACGACGACGCGTCCGACACAATACTAGCTGGCCGCCGAGTTCAAAAATGCCAATTCGGTCCGGGATTTGATCGCGAAGAGAGTTGATAGCTTTGTTCCAGGGACGTCTAGGTGCTAGGTGTATGAAAATAGAGGTCGAGAACGAGAAGGGTGATGTTGCAAGTGCAAGTTGGTAGCTCATCCTCGGCTGATGCCGTACGCGCTTCGCTTCGATCGCGCGCTTTCATTTGGATCCGAACCCTTTTCGAACTTCTGAACCCAATACAGATCATCATCATCGTGATACTTGAATCACCTACAACTTCGCTAATTCAGACCGATCCAACACAGCCAACTGTTCATAGCAAACCATCATGGCTTCGAACTCATTACTCGCTTCGTTCAGGACTCTGAAATTAGCGGCCTCCTCTCCGAGCTGTGCAGCCTGCTCGACCGTCCTAGCTCGAGGATACGCGACCTCTTCAGAATCTGCCCCACCGTCCAGCTCGACATCTCAAGAAGCTCCTTCATGGACGCCTTACTCTCAGAGAACCGGATTGATCGCTAGGAAACGTGGGATGAGCGCCGTTTGGGACGACAAGGGTGTTCGTATACCCGTCACGGTATTACAGGTGAGCTCGATTGCGAATCCGGATCGGAACTGAGCAGGTCGATGACAACATGATTCGTGCGTGCTCATAACAATTTCTTCGAACCTGTTGTACAGCTGGAAGACCTCCAAGTAGTAGCTCACAACCCACCAGCCGTCCCCAAACCCGGTCAACCCGCTCCTTTCTCCTCTAAACCTCTCCTTCACGCCCTACAACTCGGAACGACCGACCACCCCCGACCTAAACGCCTGTCCTCACAATTCAGGGGTCAATTCAAGAAGGCCCAGGTAGCGCCTAAACGGAAGATCGTCGAGTTCCGAGTGACGGAAGATGCGGTGTTGCCTGTGGGGACGACTTTGAGCGCGGCGCATTTCGTTCCTGGGCAACATGTTGATGTTTCGGGTGATTCGTGGGTGTTATATCTTTTCAAGATCGTCAAGGGTATCGAGAAACCACATCTGATGATGTTATGCTTATGACACTGACAGGATCGGAAAGGGTTTCGCGGGAGCGATGAAGCGACACGGGTTCCACGGTCTGAAAGCGACACATGGTGTCTCTCTGACGCATCGAAGTGCGGGTAGTACTGGTCAACATCAGGTAAGCCCCCCTTTCTTCCGCTTGGCCACTCATGTTCCACACGGCACCATCGATGCTAACAATCCTCCGCTGTGGGCTCACGCTGTAGGACCCTGGCCGAGTCATCCCCGGTAAGAAGATGGCGGGCCACATGGGAACCACCCGCACGACCGTCCAGAACCTTCCCGTCGTCCGTATCGACACCTCCCTCAACCTGATCTTCGTCAAAGGCTGTATCCCCGGGTTCGACGACGCCTACGTAGAGATCAACGATTCCAAGAAGAAGGTCAGGTGGGCCGGGATGAAGGCTGTAAGGAAGGGGAAGCAGGAGGGAGAGTGGTTGGAGAAGAGTGGGGTCAAGGGATTGCCATTCCCGGCAGGGACGGACAAGGGGGATTGGCCGGAGATTGTACAGATGGCTAGCAAGGCCTGATCGGCGGGCCGTATGACAATATTGCCAATATGAAAGCACGCTACGCTGCAAGCGGATGGGCAACGATGGGTACCGGCAGTCGACGGTCAAATCATCCGAGATACTGTCCCCGCTTGACTGGAGGTTGTGAGCGAGCTGCCATGGCGAGACTACTGCATGATGACGATGCAAGAACCCTGAATAAACAATAAGGAGGAAGCGTCAAAGGAGGATTTAGATTCTCGGCAAAATGGCGTAATTGCTACGTGGACTATCAACGTCCGTTGCAGGCGAGCCGCCCTGCCCGAAAACCATGCTCAACGTCATGAGAACCCTGAATGACAAATGAAGGTTGATCAAAGGGAGTTCTAGGTTCTCAGTTGCAGGACGTGATCAGGATGGTTATATTAAGAGGTATTCCGGAACTGAAGAACATCTCGCAGAAGGCTTTGAGCGACGTTTGCTCAACAATAGCCCCCACCCGTGCCTCCTTGTGATACGTGGAATCAAAACAATGTCTCATCTCGAACACATTCAGGACGACCTGCACCACAAGGTCGTTGCCTTTGGTATCGACAATCTACCCAGGTTTGCGAAGTACCTGCCGGACACCGATTGCGATGCACCTTATTTCCCCTTGGTTGAAAAGATCAGGGTGAATGTCTACAATGCTTTGAGAAGCCACGGCACGGACGCCCGTGTGCAGACGTTCTTGGGTTACGAAGGCTGCACTTTTACCCAGGAAGAATGGGATACTGCCTGCAAGGATTACAATGACTACATCGAAGGAAATCATACCGCCGCAGAGAGTGAGACGATCAAGGAGAACTTGAAGTTGATGACTGAAAGTGTCTTCGCGTTGATCCATTCTATCCAGGCGGCGCAAGATCGTAAGGCGAGCACACGAAGCGGGAGTAGTAGCAAGCGAGACTCGACCTTGTATGGCCATGATCCCATGTCCACGACTGGAACTGGCAGCATTGACACACAGTAGCGGTGATAAGGTATCGTATGGAGAAGATTAGGATAGTCTGGTTCCACTCTGCTGCCTTGTAGTCCAGGTTTAAAATGCTGTATGATATATTCGACGGAAGGCAAACCTTGTCCCATATCTCACCTTCGCGACTGCGTATCGCGACGATCAAATTTCCTCAGACAAACACTCCATCGAATGTTTCTCGTTTAGCAGATGCAAGATGACTGCGCTTGACCGACTTGGTCGCACATGAATATGACAAGGCTCAAACGGTTCCTCGCCTCTTGCCACTCCTTTGTTACGACACCGATAAACTGGTTTTATGGGAAGATTTTGGATACTCAGTGCCAATTCCTAAGCCGTCAGACCGGCCTCCTTGCTTTCTCGTTTCTGAGTGCAAACCTGTTGTAATGCTACCGGTTCGGATCGTCTCCATCAATCAACCGAATATCACCGTCGTCGCTTCAACGTTTCACAAATAGGCCTGGGAGGCGCAAGACGCGACTAACCAGACATTCGATTCGCAAAACCGAAGAGGCGACTTGCGTCTTGATTGAAATGAGATCATGAGACCGGGTTATCATTTACAATCCGAAATAAACCCAATATCCGCAATAACTAGATTGTTGCTTCACCCAACACAGCCGTGGCTACCCAAGTCATTCCATTGAAAATCAAGGCAGTCATGAATAGCCTGGATATATAGATTGTCAGTATTGGACATTGCAAAGATGAGATAGACGCATACTTGTCTTCAGCCTCAAGATCGTGTCCCATATTCATTTCCCACCAAGTATATACAACCACTACAATAATGAATACCAGAAGTATTAATCTGTTTGCGTCTAATTTCCTTGACACATTCCATCATCTGTACTAGTAGTTGCGTAGTTTTGCTATAGTGAATCGGAAACGACGGAGTTGCACCGTACGGCGCGTATCGTCCCGTTTTTCACTGCACACTGAAACACTACCGGTATGACGCGTCCGTCAGGCAGAGCCGGAGAGAGCGAGTCCCCCACCTTTCGCTTCGCAGACAGATCGATTTGGGCGCAACCACCAAGGAAGAACTCAACAAGAAGCAATCTTAGAGACGCTATAAATCGTATCCGATAATTCATAGCACAAAAAGATCCCAATCGCAATCGTTCCCGCTCAATCTTGAACCCCCCGCCTGCAACGTACAGCTCCTCTTCGCGGGGTGGACAAAGCGGAGAGCTCGCCGGACGGTACAAGGAAGGACATAAAATAGGCGAGTAGACTACTTGAGCTTCTTCTTGGGTCGGAGCTGGGACGAGTGTCCGCACTTCCTCTTCCTCTGTTTTTGCAACGCACGAAAGCGAGAAATTAGTTCTCGGTTGCGGTTACGGTAGAGGGGAGGAGTATGCTGAGAGCGGGTACTCACGCAGTTGGTGGCCCTGGGGGGGAGACGGGCGTAACAGACACGGCAGATCTGCTTGTCACACTGCGGATTGAAGAATGCAAAGATCGATTTGTCAGCTGCTGATTATGTGTTGCTCAATACGTAAGCGATAAGAGGAACGCCGAGGGACAACAAGACAAGCCTCCGACAGATGTCTCCATACTTCCCGGGAACATCTATCCTCTACTCGTCTTATCGCCCACATGTGCTCGCCTTGCGGCCTTTCCATTCCCGGCGCTCCTCTTATCGCTCATCGCCTAGACCCGCTCTCGGACTCACGTTGTACTTGTTGGCCAAGACCTTCAACGAAGGCTCGATGATTCCACCACGCAGACGGAGAACCAAGTGCAAGGTCGACTCCTTCTGGATGTTGTAGTCGCTCAGGGTTCGGCCATCTTCGAGCTGCTTTCCGGCGAAGATGAGTCGCTGCTGATCAGGGGGGATTCCCTCCTTGTCCTGGATCTGTTTTGCGGCGAGAGAGACGGGGCAGAAAGGTTGAAAAGATGGTCAGTTCTCATGCGGGAGTTGGGTTTGCGAGATAGGAGGATGTGTGGGTGCGCGTGTGTGTATGTGTGATTCGGGATCGGCTTCGTTTGTTCGGTAGGCCAACGTCGAAAGGTGCATCGGGAAGACCGCCTGCAAGCAAGCGGGAAAGACCGGGCAAGGTCATCGAAAGAAGGCGTGTCGAGCATTTTCTGGTCCTCTCCTTTGCCATATATCGTTCGTTCGATCGATAGCTTGTATGTAGTGGATCGACCGACATAGCGAGTATTGCCATGAGCTAGCCAAATAGTGCCGGATTTGTGGACTATCGGTGAAGTCAATGACGCGGTCCTGGACTTGTCGATATCCGTCGTGACACATGCTATCTCTATATTGATCTCGCCTAGACTTGATGTTTGGGGTTTCCCGAGGTATGCTTGTTGCGTGTTTGGTCGGATAGGATGTTGCATAATAGGTTTGCCCTTGCCAAGTCGTTGTTGGCATCGATGCCGAATTCCTGGTTGATCCCCCCCATCCCGTTCGTCTCGCCTTGTTTGCCCGGTCCTTTCCATCTTTCACTGCATCGCTCGCATCCCGCCTAGCCTTTCCCGTTACTCTCCCCTTCACGCCCTCCCCGCCCCTTCCTAGCCTGGATCCGCGAATGACATCCTAACCCGATCCACACGCCACACGCAATTCCCACACATCTCGCTCGATGAGGAATTGAAGATACGAACCTTCGACTTGACGTTGTCGATGGTGTCGGAAGACTCCACCTCGAGGGTGATGGTCTTGCCCGTAAGGCTGTATAATATCATCGCAGAGATCCGCCATCGCCGTCAGCCCAATCGATCTCTCGGCACGCAGGGGGAAAATGAACGGCGTGAGCGTACGTCTTGACGAAGATCTGCATCTTGGTGGTTGAGTCGAAGGTTTTCTTGAAGAGGTGTCCCCTGGAACTGGAGAAGGAGAGATCCGATCTCTGATAATGTCGACCTCGTCTCAATCCATGCGATCCAGGTCGACCTCGACGTGCGAGGTGGTGTGTGGGAGGAGAGAGGACGAATGCGAGAGAAGGAGACGCGCTTACCAAGTCCAAGGTCTATCGCCGAATCGCGCTTTCAATTTTCTTGTTTTTGCAGACCATCGGTAGCGGACATCCTCCTTCATTCAGGAAGTCCGTTTGCGCGTCGAGCGTTCTTAGGTAAGCCATGCCGAGACTGATCTTTACGTCACTCTTGACCTTTGATTCCGAAGAATGACGATTGCGTGATTCGCCCGATCCGAATGATCTTTTGCTTCCGGGCGATGACGACCGAAGACCCGAAACGTGGGGAGGGGAGAGACAACTTCTCGACACAAAAGTTATCATCTCTCGATTCCGAATCGAAAATGGTCGCACAACACACAACACAATCACACACATCCCATCATCCATCACATTCATCGAGTCATACAAGAGTAACAAAAGAGTACAGCAATACCTACTCGGTAGACAGTTGCATAAAGGGAGACCGACAATCACACAACAGCGCAGTAGCCAATACCAAAGAAACCAAACCTCAAAACTCCATTCATCACCTATTACATCCATCATGTCCCGACCTATCGCCAACAACGTACGAAGAGAGAGCGTCTCTGCCTCGCAACCTCCTTCCTCGTAAGTTGTCCGCATCCTCCTTGATACTGAAGATGATGCAGACAGCTGATCACCGAAACATGATTCGCGCTTCATTTCACATCTCCCATCCGCGGCCATCTCGATCTGCCCGGCTTTGCAGGATCCCGATCCCGATGAACACGAAAGGATTCGATAGGACCATGGTAGCTACGAGTCCTCCTCAGGCTGGAGGATACCTCGGTACCAGCCCGAGTGCTGCGTTTAGCGTGAGTTGGCATCGGTCCTTTGGCTTGAGTAAGGGTAGTCGACCCGATGACTTACCCCTATCTTTCCTGCCTTGTCGCGCACCTCGTCCTCGTAGCTCTCGAACCAGGCCGGCCTCTCCACCTCTCCCCGCAATTCTCGTTCGGTAATCCCTCCCGCCGCCGCTCGTCTCCTCCACGCTTTCCTCCCCAGCAATATCCCTTCCTCCAACTCTTCCACCGAAGGAGAAAAGACCGGACAGATCAGGATCCTCCTCCTAGAGAACATCTCCCAGGACGCCGCCCAGTATTTGAGGGATCAGGGGTATCATGTGGATCTGATCTCCAAGGCTTATGGCGAGGACGAGTTGATTGAGAGGTTGAGCGGATATCAGGCGTTGGGAATCAGGAGCAAGACCAAGGTCACCGAGAGGGTCATCAAGTCGGCACCTCAGGTGGGTCTTGCCAGCAGGCGTGAAAAGTACTGGATTTTCCAGTTGCGATAACTAATCTTGAGCGTTTGTATCGACCTTGACGTCGGTAGCTCCTTACCATCGGCTGTTTCTGCATCGGAACCAACCAGGTCGACCTCGAGGCCGCCGCCAAGGCCGGAATCGCCGTCTTCAACTCTCCCTTTGCCAACTCGCGTTCGGTCGCCGAGCTCGTCATCAGCGAGATCGTCGCCCTCTCTCGTCAACTCACCGACAGGTCGAGGGAGATGCGAGAAGGGATCTGGAACAAGGTCTCCAAGGGATGCTGGGAGGTCCGAGGCAAGACCTTGGGGATTATCGGGTATGGACACATCGGTAGTCAGTTGAGCGTGTTGGCGGAGGCCTTTGGAATGCAAGTCATCTACTACGACGTGGTGCCCATCATGCCGCTCGGATCCGCCAGGCAGACGGATACGCTCGAACAGCTCTTGGGCGCTTCGGATTTCGTCACCTTGCACGTTCCCGAGTTGGAGGAGACCAAGAACATGATCGGAGCCACCGAGTTGGGTCAGATGAAACAGGGCGCTTACCTGATTAACAACTCTCGAGGCAAGGTCGTCCACCTCCCCGCCCTCGTCGATGCGCTCGAATCGGGTCACCTGCACGGATGCGCCGTCGACGTCTTCCCCTCGGAACCAGGCTCGAACGGACCCGGTTTCAACGACAACCTCGGCGAGTTCATCCCTCGTCTCAGAAAGTGCCCGAACACGATCCTGACCCCGCATATCGGAGGATCGACGGAAGAGGCTCAGCGGGCGATCGGGCAGGAGGTGGCGAGCGCCTTGACGAGGTACCTGAACTTTGGAACTTCGGTCGGAGCGGTCAACTTCCCCGAGGTCGATCTCCGGGCCATCACGACGGCCGACGAGAGGCATATTCGGGTCTGTCACTTGCACGCCAACGCTCCCGGAGGTGAGTCACGATTTGAAACGGGTTCGGTGCGAAAGCCAAGTTGCTAAATCATCTTCGGTTTCGGAATTTGAAAACCTTAGTGCTCAAGGGTCTCAACAAGATTCTCGGAAACTTCAACATTACCAAGCAGTTTACCGACTCGAGAGGTGATATCGCTTACTTGTTGGCCGACGTCTCGGACGTCTCGCTGGATCAGATCAGGGACATCTATTCGGAAATCTCGGAGATGCCGACGAACATCAAGACGAGGCTGCTCTGTGAGTCTACTTGGCGCAAAGGAGATCCGCCGATATTTGAGAACGAGTGACTGATTCCTGTCCTTGTGTGTGAACTAGACTAGACTAGTTCGCGCTGTCTGACAGCTCAGAGAGTCGGTCTTAGCCTTCGCCTGCTTCAACACACATTTGTATCAACCCCTACCCATTCAGTCAGACCCGTTCCCGCTGCTCAACGGCAGTCTTCACTTCGCACGCAGAACAAGAATTCCAGAACACAGTAATAGAATGCAACGGAATATATATTGGATGTCATCATGAACAAGAGCTGGGCGCCTCATCGCGTTCGCTACCCCTGGGCTTTGTCTCCTGCGCCTGTTTTTCTTCTGATTTTCGTTTTCTACCCGTATGACCACCCCTTGCTCCATCCTTCTTCGGTCTCGGAGCCTTGGCAGGTTTCTCGGGTTTGGGAGGTACGACCTCTTCCTCATCCACAACAATAACTTCCACGCCGTCTCCCAACTTTTGCCTAGCTTGTTGAGCTAACCACTTGATAGCCCAGACTTCACTCCGGTTATGGCCGACGAAGAGTGTTGGCATCTGGAGAGATTTGGCAGTCTCGAGGCCTAAAGGACGCGGTTCGCCGGTTATATAGAGGATCGAGGAGGGGTTGACTGGCATAGGGTCGGCCGTCGGACTCGATAGGGAGTTCAGGGGAGAGTCATGCGGGTTATCCGGATCTGGAGAAGCATTGGAGAGGATGTAGCGGAGTCGATCGATGATGGTCGGTTCAAAGGCGTTCATGCATGCGATATATTTCGGTGCAGGCAAGTCCGCTATCGTGACCGACTTTGCCAGCTGGTCCTTCTCCTCCTCTGCTGTCGTCGAAATTGGTGTCGAAGCTGGAATTGATGAGTCGGTTCCTAATAGGTCCTCAAAGTTGTCCCCCTCAAGACCCTCAAACTCCTTTTCTAAAGCTTCCCTCCATTCGACTACCGTCCTTCCGCTCAGATTGTCCGGGACGGGGAAGACGACCCCCATCTTCCTCTCCGGATCGCCTTTATACCCGACGATCTCCCCTCTTCCCCCCGTACTTCCCTCTTCAGCCCCCTCGTTCGCTCCAGACCCGGCGCCTAGCCCGAGGGAATCCATCAGGGCCAAATTGTAACCCGTGGTCAAGACCTCATCCAAGCGTTGATGACTCGTCAAGACCAGATTTCCCACGAAAAGCCTCCTCCTCTCCAATGCCCAGGGTCTGTGCAGGAAGACCGCTGTGCGTGGGGTCAGACCTGCATAGACACCCGAGGTGGGAGTGACGGAGAGTATGAGCTTGTTGACAGGTGCATTTGATTTCCGGGGAGTGTGGTAGAGGATAGGCAGGTGGTGAGGTGCAGGAGGGAGGAGGGAGGTAAAGAGGTCGATGATAAGCGGGTAGGAGGAGTGAGCGAATGTTGCTGGTGGAGGTGGTGGTCTTGCACTGGCAGATGCGGTGGGCTTCGGACCGAAACTTGTAGGGAGGTCGGACATTCTGATGTTCGAGGATGAGGTGAAGAACCGAAGAAATGTTCTGCTTGTCATACGATGTAACCCTGGTATCACGCAGTCCGTGAAACACGGTCAGACAATTGAAGGATCGTTGCATACCCAGTCATTTCGTTACAAAAGAAGTGACGACATCGCCGACTGGTCGATCGAAACCCGATCGACAAGTCACGTGACACTCGAAGTGTTACAGCTCGAGTGTCGTTCACTCTAAGCAGATCCCGCACCCACCGGCCCACCGGAACCCCTCCCCAGGAGTCATCTCAGACAGATAGATAACTAGAGGTCTTGGATACAGGGCATCGGAATATGAGCGATCTTGTTGGCCTTGAGTGACGCTTCTGATTTTAACACTGAACTGTCCTCCAGGATATCGAGGGTCAAGGAGATATCATTGCGCACGATGCGCTTGCAAGACCCTGAGATACCGTTCTTCGTTTCCCTCGTCCTCAATTCCTCAGCACCCACGACTGCGTGCCCGCGGTCATCGCTTGCGCCCGACCAATCTGACGACGACCACTACCGAGGTATCGAGCAGTGGTGGATCGATTCGACGAGTCGTGTAGAACGTAGACGCCACACTTACGTTTTAGACTTCCCGCTGAAACACCACGCTTGTCCTTGGACGACGACCGCATGGCCGAACGACGACGAGACATTTGATCGGTTCGGCTTTCGACCTTGATTGGGTTTCAAGATTGAACGAGCTTCTTGATACGGTTGGCAACGTAGCGCGCTCTCTCGGTCCTGGCTCGGCAACCGCGAAGGAGGAGGGGGGAAGACCCATTTTGCTTCCGCGCGGGCCGGGAGATGACCGAACCGTTTCATCGTCGGGTAAGCCACCGCAGTTTCTTTTGTTCTCTTTTTCCATTTGTCGCGAAGGACGTCTCCCCTGACGCAACCCGGGCCTCGGTCGGCGTGGAAAGATTGATGATGGATCAAGGATGGATCGAGGGTGCTGCCAGTCTCACCAAAGGGGGGTGGCATCGGTGTGATCTGTGATCGGGAAGGTGGATCATCTGGCTCGTCGTGGCCCTGGGCGGGTCGCGGCGTGTTGGCAGGGATCGATCCAGGTCCTTTGGGATCGATCTCGATATACCCAGGCGATCTCTTTTCGATCCTTTCCCTCGATTCGAATTGAAGAGCCAGAAGAAGACCTCTATTATATTCTCGAAAGGATACCACCTCGCTATTCGTCAAACCGACATTCGAGGTTGATGACCCCGTTACAGCTCTTGCTTCCTCCCGTCAACTACCAGAGATCCAGAGATCAATCCACCAATCGAAAACTTTTCCGCGGGACGAGCAGAGTTTCAATCAACGGCGTGGTCTTTTGCCATCTGGCCATCTGATCATACACAGAGGCCAAGACGGGACAGGTCGGAAAAAAAGTATATAAATTAGAGGTGAGTTCAGGGCTCGAGCTAGAAGTGTGATCTTGAAGAGAAGGAAGTCTTATCGCGATTGCCACGATTTCGAACATCCTCCAACCGTACCGTATCGTGTTCATATAACGCTCTCACCCGTTGGTCGCGACACTTCTCTCACCGGACTTCCCTCATATATCTCACTCCTAACCACTCGAACCGATTGCCCTTACCCCGCAACCGCGACTGCAACTCGCCAAATGGGCATCAAAGACAAGGTCCGCAACTCGCTCTCCGGCCCGATCTCCCTGCCTACTATGACCCTCCAATCCAACAACCACAACAGTCCCAATGGGAACCATCAGCAACAGGATACCAACTATTTCGTCCAGCTCGACAGTAAATACGATTACCCCACCTCCCCGACTCATCAGTATCAATACAACAATGGGTACGACAACAAGACTCCGGATGGGTACGATATCAAGGGACCGGATTTCGCTTATCCGGCGGAATATAATGTGAGCCATATGCCTTACGGAGGAGGAGCTGGGGAGACGATGCAGTTCGGACAATCGGACGGTATGGGAGGGTTTGGGGGAGATCGGAACGGGGGTGGAGGAGGCGGGGAGGAGAGTGACGAGTTTAGCGAGTACTTGGGGTTGATGGTAAGCATCCTTCTTGAGATCGAATCGACTGAAGGTGAAGCATATCGTATTGATCCCTTACATGCGGCTGGTCTTGCCTTCGTGCAGGTTTACTTCAGGGAGAGGGATTGGAACGTGACATTGAGGAAGATCGACGTGAGTATAGCCTACTCGCCCTTGATGAGACTGGGAAGAAACGGTGTTCAAGATTAACTGACCTTGTCGTGCTCTGTTCATGTGTTCCTCGTGATGTCTTAGTGGAGACTCTTACCGCCCTACCTGTTCGCCTACTTGTTGGCCTTCATGGTGAGCACGATAAATCAACACATCACGTGCGCCACGCAGACGTTCACCGATCATGCTACTTATGTCTGTCTCATAATGTAGGACCGAGGAAACGTAGGAAACGCCAAGGTCGCTGGTCTGCTCAAGACCATCAATATGACGGATGTGCAGTACAATACCGGTGTCGTGAGTCCAGCCGCCCATTTCCCCGCTACCCTTGCTCCCCACGTTCAAGGCGTACAATGAGGTTTCGCTCTTCTTCCGTTCGTAAACTGACTTTCATAACCTTGCGTCATCGTCGTGACACCTCAGGCTTCCTTCTTCGTCCTCTATATCCTGTTGGAAGTCCCTTCGCAATACTTCTTGAAGAAGATCGGTCCCAAATACTACCTTTCTGGCTTGCTTTTCGGCTGCGGAGTCGGTAAGTCCTATCCGCTGGCCATCGATTGAAAAACAACGCTGACGATCCCGATTGTCGATGTTCGATTCGATGACAATATCCAGTCATGGCGAGCGGAGCGGCGATTCAGAGTCCGATTGGTTTCATCATGATGCGACTCGCTCTGGGTGCTACGGAATCTGGTCTGATGCCGGTCAGTGCCCACAAGGACCAAGCACAGTTGGTCTCGATTTGCGATCGCTGAACGTTCTTTTCGCTCACTTTAGGGTTTCAACGCGTCGATCGCCAAGTATTACACCCGTGACGAGTTGAGTGTAAGAATCGCCATCTTCTTCGCGTCCGCATCCATCTCGGGAGGTGAGTTTTGAAACTGTGTTTCATGCTTCCGGGGGGAAGGCGAGCAACTGAATCTCGCTCCATTTCGCCTTCAGCCTTCTCTGGTCTGCTTGCGTTCGGTCTGGCCAAGCTGGGTGGTGTCGCCGGTTTGGAGTCCTGGCGATGGATTTGGCTTCTCGAAGGTTCATTCACCGCGTTCGTGGGCGTCATCGCTCCGTTCGTCTTCGTCGACACCCCCGAGAACGCCGGAAGCTGGCTCACACACGAGGAGAAACGGTACCTCGTCCTGCGACAACGTTACGGAGCTGGTTCGGGAGGTGTAGCTCGATCCGAGGCGTTCACCATGAACTTGCTCGTGGATCTCGCTAAGAACTGGCAGACGTACCCTATGATCTTGATCTACATCAGTCATAGTGTTCTCGGATGTGAGTCGAGGTGTTGAGATCGGTTCGCTTGTTCAGAAGGCTATATTCTCCTGCCCCCGCTTCTCAGACGCCATCTCATTCTCGCTTCCACCTCTTATGAAAACCCTTGGATACAGTAACGAAAAGGTCAGTACCCTTTGAAGTCCCTCATTTTGACCCCAAGCTCCAGGCGACTGACTTCTGTATTCTTACGGTAAGGCATACTTGATTCCGGTACCGATTTTCTTGGCGGCGTGCGTTCTCACCATTCTCAACTCTTGGTGGAGTGATCGCCGAGAAAGTCGGTAAGTATCTTTCTGTCTGCCGGCCTCCGGAACTTTCGATGTTTGCGTCCTCTTACAGCCTTCATCCATGAAACTCAGTTTCTTGCACATCGCCGGTCCTTTCTCGCTTGCCATCGTTGGAGTGGCTCTAACGATTCCCACCGCCGGACAAAAAGATCTGGTCGGCCTCAGTATTCTCGGACTGATGTAAGTCGAGCCTTGGAGATATGGGTTCAATGTGAGGAGGCTAATATGATACTCTTTCCCTTGCAGCTGTTTGACTTTCGCGGCGTATCTCGCGGTGCCGATTAGTATCAGTTGGATGGCAGCAAACACCGTCGAACCCCACCGGTCAGTATGATCCGCGGCTCTTTCTTTCGGGGGGAACTTGAACTGAAATTAAACTTATCTCTCCGCATTCTAATGATCACGATCTAAATAGTTCCATAGCTATCGCTCTACAGATCTCTGCAGGTGGTATCGGAGGGTTGGCTGGTACGCTTCGCTTCTGCAAGATGTCACCGCGAAAGACATCCTAATCCTTACGCCTTTGGTTTAGGTTCATTCATCTACTTGGACAGTGAGGCACCCCAATACCCTACAGGATACTACACTTCGGGAGCTATCGCTCTCGTCGCGATTATCTCATGTATAGTCCTGAAGGTTGGTTACGCGCGGGTCAACCGTCAGCGCAACCAACTCACTAGGGAGGAGATCGAAAGCAACTGGACAGAGGAGAAACTGTGAGTAACGTCTTCAATGCTTGCCGATCAGGTCGTCTGACTCCACTGCGTCCCTTCAGTGCGGTCGCTGGAGACAAGAACCCTCATTTCCGAGTGAGCATCGACTGACACAGAGCGTCAAGGAGCACAACTGACCATGTGAATCTAACTTTCACAGTATATCGGTTGATACGTTGAATACCGTGCTTGCCAAGGACACATAGGAGATATTGTTTGTGCGGGTTATACATTCTTGCTTGCTTCATACCCATATAAGATCGTATCTAGAGGACTGTACGAACACGTTCTCAGCAGCAGATGCCTCAGGTCCAGCGTCAAATGCGTCCTTCGCGCGTGGCGTCATCTGAAACGTGTATGGACGACAGTTCCGGCCTTCCAGATGGACTCTTCGATTCCCCTGCCACCTCTCATCGTCGTTCAATGCACAAGAACGACTCGTAGAGGTGTTTCTTTGTGGTATGATGTGGCTTCTGGAAATGTCCAGCATCTCAGTGCAGACCTGACTGAGCAGGTGCCCGTATCCGGCACGCCGACAATGGCTGTCCGACAGCACTCAACTGTTGCCATGCGGGTTGGCATCACTGGAGCCCGTCTTCTTCTTGCTTCTTATGGCTTGTGTTATATCTAGAGCAGAATCACACAACATGATGAAACGTAAGGCGCATGGAAACTCCTCGCAAGGAGGAAACGGGTGCGACGGGCCGGCCGTCTCCAACATCGTCTTCAAATTACATCACTTCACACTCACCCTTCCGCCATCATGGGACTTGGCTGCCACTGGATCGCTACCTTTACCAGGCCCGCAGAAGTCCCCTTCTTGGACTTGAGATACCCCTTGCCATGGAGACATCGATGACTTCACCTGCAATAGCCAGCACAAATTCAAAGGAAGAATGTATTTGATCACGTTTCAGGCAACGACCTAACTATGGCCTTATCACCAGCGGCTGATCATCTGATGGGCATCAAACACTTACTCGCCGGTCAACTGGGTTTCACCATGGCCGTCAATGCAAGCGCCTACATCACGAGACCTGAGCCTCCATCGTGGAACATAGTCCAGGTTTCAACATGAATGAGTTTCAGAGGGTGAATTTCGAGGATGCAGCATTTCGAAGTGCGACTGAATGGGCGGTATCCTTTGGACTTTCACTACCACAACCACTACTCCTACCCATAGAGCTCTTCTTCTAGCATGGGATGCCTACACGGCATTGTTACCGAGGATGCGATCCGAAGGTACAGAGCCTCATTCCATACGATGCACATTCTGCTTGGCACGTCGTACTTCTGCAGCTTGAATCTCAAGTTATGCATGTACATTTTATAGCCCATAGGAAATCCAAAGTATCTGCAGCAGTTCGGACTACAAGTTGCAGTCTTAAAAGACCTTGATTTTGAACCGTAGTGGAATGGTGCGATGTTTGTCGGATGATATCGAAACAGAAGTCACATGTTCTCAATCACATCGCACATTCGCCTGGAGTAGTGGTAGGAGTGGTAATGATACAAGAATAAGAGAAATCCCTGGCATCGCCTCACTTGATCCATCCAACGTATACGATCCTGATGATCAACAACCAGATCCAGACCGGGACTTGCCGAACAACTCGACAGAAGAAGACGATCGTCTATCCCAAGGACCTTCCTAAGGACCACCAAAGAAACTACCCGAATCGGACGACTGGTTGGCATAGATCTCATCGTCTAGATCGTCCTTGCTGCTGGTCATCATCATCGTCAACTTCCTTCCGATGAATCCTTTCCGTACCAGATGCACTGCCAGCGTGAGAGTCGGATCTAGGCCTTGTGCATCATCCTGACCCTGATCCGCTGACATCGATGTCGCTAACATCCTTTCCTCCGAAGTTGAGCCCACTGACAACGACATCAACCTTCCCCACTCCGCCGTCCAACCCGTGAAGATGAACATGGACATGAATGTGAACATGAGACGACCCAGCACGACTCGTCGTCCTCCTTATCCCGGTCTGGCGACTCTGACGAGTCGCAGATCGAGTCCGGGTCCGAGTCTGCGTCTGCGTCTGATTCTGGACTAACTGTCGGAGCTGATCTTGTTGTTGATGCTGTTGACCATTCCCGTCGTCAAGAGAGAGGTTGAAACCTGGGGTTATAAGTTGAATTGGATCCCAACCGAGATTCGCAATCGAACTCAAACAATATCCATTAGAAAAATTCATTGCGATCACAAGCTACAACTTCAATAGGCATTCTAACGTTCAATCGCGTGCATTACAGTATCCTAATAGCCAGCTTAGCATCTCAATTCTGGATCAGTGTGGGAGGCGGTGCAATTGGCTTGACTCTCAATTGGGGCCGGATCTACGGATAGATCGGGTATGAGGGTCAGTCATCCAGGTGTACCCTATTCTCGCATCTCACTTCCAACTTACAACTTCTACCATGACTGGCATCAAACCAGGCAGATACTTGAGCTCGGGCGGGACGATCGGGTCAGGTGTACCCTTCTTTTGCTGATGGCGTCGCCGCGATCTGGGTGTAGGAGGCTCGGGCGGGGGAGGCGTCGGATCCTTGTGTCGATGCAGGTCGATCGAGTGTCGCAGCTTGCGCAACCTAGACTCGTCGCTAGATTGTCTGGGCGTCTCGTCCCCATCCCGCTCGCTAAAGTGGCTAGCGATAGACAAACGCTTCTTGTGATTGGTAGCGCTCTTTTGTTCGGTCTCGTCCCACTCTTCCACCTCGCCACCCTCTACCAAGTTTCGCGTCTTCTCCTCATCGGCTTCGGGTTCCTCTTCTGAGCTCTCGTCTTCCTCTTCATTCTCAGCAACGTCCCTGACCACCGCATCGCTTATATTCAGGCTGGCGACCACGCTGTCGATCAGTGCGGTCTCTTCAGACGAGGCACCTTGACCCTGGAATCGGCGTCGCACTTTCTCCTCGTAGGCGACCTTGAGCTTGTAGTGATACGAAGCGACAGCATCTACCTCCCGCAGGATGGCCATGCGCTCTTCGCCAGTGTGCGGTAATAAGAATTCGAGATCGACCTTTGCGCCGACACCATCTCGAGCAAAGTTCAAGAAAAGCTCGACCCAGCTCATGAGCGAGTCAAATAAGCCTTGTCCCTTGGAGTGCACTTTGTGTACGAATCCATAGAAAGCCTGCTCGTGCCGCTGGACCAGATCTATAAAGGTCTGAACCGTCCTGCCTGGGTCTTCCTGACTCACTGCAGGTTCAAATCCGTCAGCCTGTCATCTGACCGCGTTATACTCGCTCCAGGTTGTATATGCTCACGTTCTTCGACGCTCTCTACCGTCCTGATCAGATCATTGATAAAGTTCTGACCATCCGAAAGCGAGTCCGCGATACTGGCAGCCTTATATACCGTGGCTAGAGGAGAGTAGAAGATGGTAATGATATCTTTCAAGAGCTCAGCCGTCGTGCCCTGTAATCCGGAAAACGTGTTAACATCGGTAAATTAGGCAAATAACGCAACGATTCAAACTCACCTCGAATATCAATGCCAAAAGCTGCTCCTTCTCCCTCTTGCGCACCATCAGCTTCATCAGGACGTTGAGATCCTCAAAGAGCCAAGCATCATCATTGTCCGGTCCTTCATCATCGTCCGAGTCATCCAGCGCATCTCTTCGTTTCTTGTACGCCAAGTAAGCCTTATTGGCTCGCATGACGCGCTGCATCTGACTGCGATCGAGGCATGGGGGTTCAGGCGACCTCAATACGACAGCCAGGAGGTCGAGACCTTCTTCGGCTGTGAGGATAAAAGTCTTGTGTTCAGCCAGGACAGACCTTATTATGTCGGCCTGGCGACGACTGACCTGCATCTTTCCGGAAGATGGTTTGCACCTCGAATGGCGCGTTGACATACTTGTCGATCTTTTGACAGATCGAGGGATTGTCTATACGTTCGGCGACGGCATCGATATCTTCCTGCACCGCGCGGACTTCCTCCGACAAGGTGGAAGAGAACATGCTGCGAGCCACGTCATCAGCATCGCGACTTCGCTTCCAGTCGTACAAGGCAGAAGCAGACAAATCGCTTACCGCTGGATCAAGCTTTGACCGCCGAACGGTCGTGCTAGGAACAAGTCGAGTACACCCCTGATCATCGCCATCGGGTTCGATACCTTCAAGATGCCTCGAAGCATAAAGTACGGCATCATCCCGTGCACTCTCTTCAACTGGGTCAAGGTATCGGACGCATTATCGGCCGCGACAAAGATCTGAAAGATGGTCGCTGCGAGCCTATAGATGTTCGTAGGGTAAGACCGAGTTTGTATCGCTTAACAAGCACGACCGGGTACTCACGAGATCTTTCCCCATTCCATGACACTCTTCTCTGCCGGCGGGAGGTCCTTGGCATACTCGACCCGCCGCACAACGTCAAACACACCCTTCAGTCCGCCCTCCTTGCCGACGATATCCCCCTTGAAATCCGCCAGACCTTCTCGCAGCGCTTCGACCCGCTTCTCTGCCTCTTCCTTGAACCTCCGCTTCCCTTCTTCCCTCACAGCGTCCGCCTCGGCTCGCCTTTGCGCGTCGAGTTTTTCTGCCGGTGAGAGCTGGATGGCTCCCGACAACAAGAACGATCGGAGTACCATCGAATTCAGGGCAAAGGGGATACTGAGGATGACGTTGAGGTAGGCTCTGAGGGTCAACCGATTCTTCTCCCTGGCCAAGGGGGACGAGCTGTAAGCGTCGATACTATCGGTTCGGCTGAGGTCGTCGGTCGAGTTGGTGGAAGTGGGCGTGCCTGACCCGCTAGATGGTCCGGCTTGAGGTCCAGATCCGTAAAACGCCCTCAAGGGGTTGTATGTCGAGTAGTACGAAGCGGAGGAGGCCGGTGTAGGGGTCGTAGTGGCAGTCCTGTCTTTGGGAGGAAGTACCGGGAATTGGCAGTCCGGGAATTGCCGACGTAGCTGTCAAAGACAGGTCAACTATGAGCTCGCTTGGTATTTCGATCGATCGGAGATCAATCGACACTCACTTCTTCAGCCAATCGTTTGAAATCACCATACCGCCTGGCGACATGAGTATCAGGTGCATTGGGTCGTGTCGTCCGGATGATGAATTCCTGCAAGCCGTAAAAGGCGATACGTCAGCCAGACCGTCCGCCCTCGCACAGTGCGCAACTATCAACCACGCCTCGGGATTTACATCGTGGTTCTTGCTCCTGACCCTTCCCTTCTCGACGACGTTCCTGACGCAGATCACATTCACATCAAACCCAGGCCCCATCCTAGCTTGCCGTTCGAGCATCTTCTTCCTCGCCTCCTCCCCGGCAATCTCCAGCTTGCGCAGATCCCCCTGGTTGATCCTGACGACCTCTTCCCCAGAGGTCAACTTGATCCCCGCGCCAAAGAGCATGGCCAACTGTTTCTGCATCTTTTCCCACAACTTTCGCCGGGCGTGGTATTCGATCAGTTCTTCCTCCGAGGCCAGGGAGAGGTCCGGCTCCCCACCGTTCCCACCTCCGCTGGACAGCGCGGTCGGGCTGAGTCGGGTCTGGTTGATCGCGAGGAAGGAGGTGATGAACGGTTGAACCTTTCCTGACCAAAACGTCGGTGGTGCCGCCGCGAGAAAGGGAAAGGGGAGCAAGAACTGGTGGAACAGGTACCTCAGGACGGGGAGATCGCCTTGTTCCCCCTCTGTCCGGGAGATCTTCATCATCTTGCCATCATGGCTCAACGGCTGGAAAGGCGGTCCCAAGAGCCCCAAAGCTGAGGCTCCGAGGGAAGGATCACACAGTGCGTTGAGTTCCCTCTCGACGACCAGCCCGATAAGGGTCTTTTTCAGGTAATGCGCTCGGAGGGGGGTCAATTCGGACGATCCCGTCTCGGCTGCCGTGTTGGGTAACGACCGGACGGTCTTGTGTAATGCCGACGTCCTCGCCCTCTGTTCCGAAGATGAGGATGACGATGTCGATTTTGCCTGCGGGATTGACGCAAGGACGACCTCTTCGTCATCACCTTCCGAATCGTCCGCAGGCGCAGCAGGTAGAGCTCGAGCGGGAGCTGCCGAACCCGCTCGCAACGGTGGTGGTCTAGGTCTATCCGACATCGTCGTCGATGTGATACAAAGTGATCACTCGGGAATCGATCTGAAGCCTTCTCCTCTTATGATGTCTGGAGAAAGAGGTCGATCTTGTTGTTGGCCCAGATCAGAGATCCAGCTGGGACTGCGTGTTTACTTTTAAATAGAGTTGCTTGCTAAACGTGCACCCTCGTCGTTGCGATCTGGTCCGGGTCCTGATTTGCCCTTTCTTCTCGTAGAGGAGGATACTTGTATTGTCCTTTTTACGCTTTACTACTGTGAATTGATGTACGTTGCGATACTTGACTGTGACGACGTTTCGATCATACCAAGACCACTCATCATCGACTACTCTTGCACTCTTGACTACGAAACCCCCGTCGCCGTCGGCCCGCCCGCTGAATCTGATGTCATCGCGACCTCACACCTCGGCGCGCTCAGACCAAAGACTTCTCGATCACCTTGATCAGCTTTACGTCGCAGCGATACTCGTCTTTACAGAAGGCTGGAACAGTCCGCAGCATTCCGAAATCATTACGACCGAGGCCCCCATGCGTGATGAGATGATCAGTTGAGCAGAAACGTATTCAAGGTCTGGTACAAACCGTGTAAGTCTTCCAAAGATCAGATTAGACGTGGTCGGACGATATTTCTGTTTCATTGCGGGTGAAATTACATTTCGAGGTCTCTGCTTCTAAATACAATCGGGAGATTCGCTTTCGTGTGTGCGTTGTTGATAGTACGGCGATCTAGATGGCGTGAAAAGGGACGGGATGGAAGGGACAGCTGGCAGATGATGCATGCCCTTGGAATGGGCGATATAACATGTCGAAATCCTTCTAGAGACCCCGCTAGCCGCCCACCCGTTATCCTGTGCCCCGATCGTAGTACTTCTGATGATGAATAGGGTATAAGTCGGACGTCCCCCTCGCCGCGTCCGGATGCATGATGAGAGAAGAATGTCGGAGGGAGAGGGTGTCCCGACAGAACAAAGATGTGTGGATACAATATGATGTGATGAGGGTCCAAAGTCCTTGAACGGATCGTCGACAGGCGATAAGATGACGATGAAGTGCATGAGATGGTCCGATGCTCTATGTAAAGGCGATCTTCGGTGCAACGGTCCGCTCGGCTTCCAACTTGGCCTTGTTGGCCGCATGCGCTGCGTCCCTACAAGCTTGTAGTTTCACACTACCGGGATCGAGCGAGCAACCATATCAGCATCTGGCCTCATGGTACCATATATCGTAAACACTTCAGAGGGCTTGTGACTCACCACCCATGTTGTTCCGGCAACCTATGGTTCCCACAAAAGCTCTTCCCGCAAAACCCGCAGTCCCCAACGATCCTCTGCGCGGCCTTGTTGCAGTCGACGGTATCCCGAGTGGCATCGGTAGCCGGGAGTTCCTTGTTGGCAGATGACGAGGCGGTGGTAGCGGGGAGAGGTGGAGAGGAGACGATGATCTGAGCTTGACACTTCTTCTTGGCGGGCCTGCGAAGCAAGTCGAAAGAAGAGGTGTTGGTCAGTCAAGGTATAAGCAGCCGGTAATGCAGGACTAGAGCTCACATTGTGGTGGAGTAGTTTAACGTGTGTTGATCGTTGATCAGTCCGAGTAAAGGAAGGATACGAGCAAAAAGAGCGTCGACCTTGTGATGGTGGTTATGCAGTTATGCAGATAAGGAAGCTGTGGCGTTCGAAGCGACTCTCCTTGTGTCGAGTCGGTCTGTCTATATAACCTCAACGAAGTCCTAGTGGATGATAGCAGTGGCGAGAAGGTGTGTTGTATTGATCAAAGGTTGTGAGCGTGAGATAGATCAAAGGGATAGAGTGTGTTGATTATATAAGAGAGACGAGAAAGGGGCAAAGGAGGAGGTGATTGCGATTGTTGGGTGTGTGTATGACTCCACCGCGCTCGCTCGGCCTCCCCTTGCTCCCGCCACCACCCAGCGATTCATCATCAATCGGGAATCAAACCCGCAACCCGACGATTGCGCGGCCTTTGCCCATTCAGAACAAGGGTGGAAATAATGCAGAAGTTGCGAGACAACACAGCGAAAGCCAAAAGGCAGGGGCAGGGGGCGGCTCGCGTGGTCATGTCGCGTGGGGCGGCCGAACTGCGAAGGGCGAAGGGGGATATGACCGAGAACGATCGTCGCCCGAGAAATGCTGCCGGTCAACCTCCTTGATAAGCCGCAAAACATCGTAACCGGTCGAGTTTCACAATGCTAGAACCATCCATCTTGGAACCCTTCGCACTCTACCAGGCCGAGAAACAAGTTGGCCAAGGGCGGAAAGTTCAACAAGAATGGTACCTTGAAACTCTTCGATTCTCGGCATTCATTGCATACCGAGCTTGTACAACTTTTTCTCATATTATCATTCTTCAATGAGAAGTTGGCTAATCATCAAACTCGTGGACGTCATGCGCAGAGAAAGAATCCATCACCGCTTTGACCTTTTCATACTGTTACTCCGATTTCGCGTGAGGATGGGATAAAGCACTTTAGCACGGTAGCCAGGGGGAAGAATATCCCTCGCAATATGATCGTCTTGAACTTACGACAGTGAAGACTATAGCTTGTCCCGGAGCGACCCTCATCACACGAGGTAGGATACCCTTGTAAAACGCCTTGGGCCCTTCTTGCACGAACATGTCGGTCGTGACGGTCTTGAAGCGACCGAAGGCGGTCTCTCCTGGAGTATGGGAGGCTCGTTGAATCCGTCTGCATCCAGTCCAAGACAAAGGTTGGTAAGCGACATCATCAACACGGCTGTCGATTGTGCCGCGTGGAACTTAGGATCGGCTTACGTCTTGATAGTATCGATCGGAGCGTTCGAAAACGGTCCCATGGCTCCCGATACCAAACCGAGGATCATCGTCTGCCAGGAAGGCAATTCGACGTCCTTGTACTCCGGTTGATACTTGATGGCCAGCCGTTTAAATTCTTGGTATGCCGTAAAGTTTACACCTGCATTTCGATTCGAAGCCGGAAAGTTGTAAGGTTAGCTATTTATACTCATAGTCTAGCTTAGAAGTATGCGTGGAACTCGCCTTGGTTTGTAGCTTGACGCAAGGCGGTCAGGGAGACACCTCGATAGAGAGCTCTGATACCTTCCTCCTTGACGATCGTATAAGCGCAATGCGCAGCATTTCTGTTCGATCGTAAACCCACAGGTGAGTCAGCTTTCCGTGGATCGTGCCGTGACTAGCGCACAGGGGAAATTTGAGAGACAGTACCTACCGGTACTTGGGTATATCCTCCGGATCGGCCAGCGAATGATGCTGCGCTTGCAGTCTAATCTTGACGACTTCCATCGGGGAGACGACCATCACCGCCTCGGTCGCGCCTGCCAACAATCCCGCTGTACAGACAAACCGATGGACCTATCAGTTCAGCCGGCTTGTCACTCATGATACCAGGGTTCGAAGGGGGACCCACCGAGGAATACCCTCGAAGATGGAAGTTTCCCATCCGGACCTCCTAAAGCCTGTTTATATGCTACATCCCGGCCACAGGTTAGTCCCAGCTGATTAAGTGTCTTGTCCTTGTTGACCAAAGAAGCCAAACGGAGGAATAGGGCAAGGAATCACCTTCGAAACTAGCAAATCGAATGGCCATCTTGGGGACGATCCCGGAGACGACGGCGCCTAGTCCTTTGTACAGCCCGAGTGGGGTTTCACGGGCGATGATCTGTTGTGCAGTGGCTATCGGGCCTAGAGGTTTGAGCTGCGGGAACAGGCAGGTTTTCAAAACATCAGTAAGCCACCGTAACTCTCCAGGCAAGTCGAGATAAATCGGAATGGCAGGCAGGCGGGTTGGATCATAACTTACTCCTCGTGCTTTCCGGCTCTTCGAGAGCTGCATCCGGACCTTGATCGTATCGAGCGGATGACTATGTTGATCGAAAAAGGACATCAGTTGAGGCATAGCTCGCAGCGCTCTGCTGCTGTCGAACTTCACCCTTTTCGAGCTTCACACACTTACCATACACACGATTCTGCCAACCCAGCGATTCCTCCAGCTATCAGATGCGTAGTCAGGGGGACCTTGGGTTTCGTCCCTCCCGCAGACGACGAGGACGATGGTGAGGATGACGATGCATCTTTGGACCGGTCTGCTGCAGGTAGTCTTAAAGCAGGGTTCGGAGCGGTATATCGATCCCCTGTCAAGCCCCCGCCGAAAGGTTTCGAAGTCGATGTGGACATTGTTGTCGGTGTCTAGTCTCAAGTGATGCCGGCGGATGCAGCAGGATCTTGCAATGCGGTTTCTGGATACCAAAGAAGTTGGGAGTCAGAGCTAGTATTCGATGTTACTATCGATAATAGGGAGTTTTTCGAGCAACTTTGGAGTATCTATCTACCTACATCGCTCTTCCCATGTTGCATATTCAACCTTTCCTCCTGCTATATCTATCATCGTATACTTGGCTGAGCGTCGGGACCAGAAACCCTATCCGGGAACCAGCCTCAACTCAATCCCGGCCGCTAAGACCTCGAGGGGGCGTGATCTCAGTATGACTCGTACGTAGGTTACAGAGTCTTGACCAACACGACGCTATACTTCCCTCCTCTTCCCGCAGGTTGAACGACGGATCTACAGTAACCGGGAGGGGGGATGACGAATTATCTGATCCCGTGAATTGCTCGCGCGGAGTCCCCGGGCGAGCCCGATTAACCGGATCGGCCGAACGAGGACGAGCGAAGAATTCCGAGAGCGTCTCAGGGGCTCGGGCGTAGGAGGACTTGGCGGCTCGTAAGGCTGGAACCTCAACCAGCTTAGATCTGGGCTTCGCGATGAATAAAGTTTGACTCGATTCGGAACGCAAGCATTCGAACGACGAGTTCTGCTCAGGTTTCGTATCGCGGGATTGTTGGCAGTATAGTTCCATGTAGTAATGTGGTTCATAAAAGTATGGATGTATTGAGGGCGTTTATAAGATGTGTAGATTGTCGATATAGTGATATGCATTGAAAGGAATGATGAGCGAAAAAGTCGTTTACACCCGCTCACGTCGTTGAGCCCCCCTCTGTTTGCACACGGCGTCGAAAGCAGCTTGTATGTCAGCAAGTTTACTTCCATCATCGATCGGCCAAACGATTATTTCATGGTCATCGGTCGGTCAGCCGGGGGAGCGTGGACATCTGCCCTAACTCCTGCGCCGGGCTACGAAGTCGTATGTGACGACCACTCGCTAAACACGCGCCGACACGCCGATTGTGAGCGCCGAAAGATCTTCAGCAGATCATCATAGCATTTCCAAGCCTATGACACGTCTCGCAGAAAATCCGAATTGGCCTCGTGTTGATGTCGTGTTCTCAAACCTGATCACTCGGACACCAACAGGTGTGTGATCGTCGGTCGCCCAGAAGCATGATGAAACGTGAATCAACGATCGCATGGGCGTCGGAAGCAAAACTTGATTCCGATCGCGATGTTTGTTTGAGTGATCGGTCGAAAGGATTGATGGGAAGATTCGCTTGCGTTCGAGCGAAAGGGGGATCGGGGGAAGGGAGGGACGATTCAAGTCGACATGGGGATTTGCGATTCGTACATTTTCGATCTACATAGTGGTACACGCTCTTTACATACAACGTACAGCATACAGCCTCCTTCCTGCACACACTCGCACACACTCGTTTAATCAGCTGGTCAGCTGACTCTTGGTGACAAGAGAGAAGATCATCGCCCCTGCTGCGGCGTCTCCCCGAAAGGAGGGCGAACGTTGCACAGTCTTGGACTGGACTTATAGAAGTGGAGGAAACCCTTTTCAAGATCCGCCACGCAGACACGCACGCTCCTTTTTCCGACCTTTACAAGACCTCTTGATATACCTACAAAAGACCTACGTAACACCATGGACCCTGCACCGAGTCCCCGTCGGGACTCGACGTCCGGAATGCTGCCTCCTAGTTCCCCTCGCCGGAATTCGGCTTCCACTCCTACCAGAACGACTCAACCTACTCGTCAGCCTTCACCCGGACCAACCTCTTCTCCTCACGCTCACAACGCCCCGCCTCATGCCCACCCTCAACGTCGATACCGCCCCAAGCACTATGATGGAAACCCGATTCAAGCTCATACACCTTCTTCGTCGGTCGATGGCGATCTGGATGCCATCTCCGAGCTCGAAGTCCCTGCTGGCACCTCCCCTTACCTCAACTATCATGGCCAGACATCTGGACACGGCTACGGACACGGCCCACACCACAACTACCACACACAATCTGACCCGCCTACTCGATCTCCTCGCAACCTAGTCATCTGCCTCGACGGCACTCACAACTCTTTCTGCGATCACAACTCCAACGTCGTCCGTCTCTTTGAGCTGCTAGAGAAATCGGATAGACAGCTTTGTTATTACGATTCCGGGGTGGGGACGCAGCAAGGGCCGTGGTTGTATGGGCTGAAGAAGGATTTCGCTATGGTGACTGATTTGGCTTTCGCTTGGTGAGTCCCAACTCGGCGGCGGGGACAGCAAGAACCCGGTGGTAATCGCGATATATCTTCGGACTGGGACGATGCAGGAATTTCAAGACCCATGTGATCGACGCTTACCGTTTCGTCATGGACCAGTACCAGTGAGTCCTTTCCCGCCTCCCCTTCTGCCTTGTCTCTCGCTGACTCTTATCGACACATGGTCTGGATGAACCTCGATCAGAGACGGCGATAAGATCTGGATCTTCGGTTTCAGTCGGGGATCTTACGCCGCTCGAGCTCTGTCGGGAATGTTACAATACGTTGGCTTGCTTCCGAAGGGTAATCATTCTCAAGTCCCACTGTAAGCTCTTTTTGGACTTCTGCTTGAAATCTTTTCTTGTATTCGCTCACATCACATTCTTCCACGTCATCGTCCGATCGTCGTCCGTGTTGTGCAGCGCCTGGAGTATTTACGCAGCCTCGGCCGATATCCCATTCACCGATTCACCCATCAACTCTTCTCCTAAGAACACCAAAGTCAAACAACCCGGTCGATCGAGTCAGTACGCGGGGACGCCGGAGGAGTACAAGAGGATATTCAGTAGAAGCGTACATATTCCGATCGAGTTTGTCGGGGTTTGGTGAGTTGAGGCTGGGGTTTCAGTTGTGTTGAGGCGACACGGCTCGAAGACGAAAGCTGAACCTGGAAATGTCGATGCGGGAAATGGATAGGGATACGGTCTCGGCCTTGGGGATCACCAAGCTGCCAAACTTGCCTTTCGCCTCTGCAATCGGATACGTCCGTTACTTTCGTCAAGCCCTGAGTTTGGATGAAAGGTGAGTTTACGTGTATTCGAGCCAATCCGGTATCATTCACGCGGTTAACTGACCTGATCCTATGTGCGGTAGACGAGCCAAATTCGTTCCGGAATACTATCACGAAGAATGCGAACCGAGCGAAGAGGGGAAAGGGACCAAGGCAGTCACTACCGAGAAGCAGGTCTTGCGTCAGAGAGATAACGGATATTTGAGGGTCAAGGAGGTTTGGTTCTTGGGATGCCATTCTGATGTGTGAGTTCATCGGGAAGCTGTGCACTATCCGGACTTTACTGAAAGATCGTCCCGGCTCATAGCGGCGGAGGAAACACCATCAATGGCCAGCCCGCCTTGTCCAACATCTCGCTCCGCTGGATGGTGTTCGAAGCCTCTATCCTCGGCCTCAAGATCGACAACAACGCTCTCTTCTCTTCCCGTATCTACAACAACCCCAAGTACCCTACCGTTCGTCGTCTCATCCCGCCTAGGTATATCAGCGTCGAGGATTTCACTGCCAAACCGATCGAGGACGAGGACTTTCTTCGGTACCGCAGTCAATCGGATGATACGCGCGCAAAGGCGCTCATCAGGCAAGCCGCTGAGTGGGATGCGGAGCCGAATACACCGCTCGACAAGAACTTGCCCATCGATCTGAGGCAAGAGAAGCAAGAGAGCTTGAGGGGATTCTATTGGTTGCTCGAGTGGGCTTGGTTGGAAAGGTGGGATTACGTGGGAGGCAATCGTCGAAAGCTAGTCAAGAAGTGAGTAGAGCGTCTTCGTCGCTACGGAGTGTTCGGGCGGAAGCTGATGGGGACTTGCCATTACAGTCAGAATTGGGGCAAGGGGAGGGAGATCATCGAGCAACAGAGGATCCATCGATCGGTATACAACCGTCTCCAATACGAACTCCAACAGAAAGATGCCAAGACGACCCTCATCCAAGAGGTCAAAATTGAGATCAAGAAGACGTTCCTCTCGAAGAAGCAGAAGAAGAAGTTGGATCAGGAGAAGGAAATCCAGTGGCCCAAGGCTGGGTTTGCTGATGGTACCACGTGGGAGCAAGTCCTCGGCAAGGGACCCGAAGATGATATTTGGGAGACCGTCGAACCCTGAAGCCTAGCATCTCCTCATCTGGACCCCGCACGAAACCCGGTCCTCCGCGCTTTTTCACCCCGTTCTTTTGTTTTTGGCTTTGGGATGTTCGTGAGCTTGAGCGATGCGAAGACAAGTCTGAACTTGTAACTATATGACCTTGAACACCCTATGACGATCTGGCAGTGTATCATACCGATTATCTCGAAGTATCATAGTACACACGGCAATCAGCATTGACTTGAACAGAGCGCAAAGGCGCCGGACCATATTGTGCGAGTTTGAGCTGATATCAGTGTGACCGGAGTGTACTATCTACTGCAAAGCTAGGTAGGAATCAAGTTGTGGGGCTTGCTCGAACTTGCCACTCGACGCAGGTATAGCAGTTCGATCTGACACCCGGATGCAAACTTGCCGTTCGGGATCTGATGACGTGCAATCGCCGGACAGGTGGAGGTCGAGGGGCTACGAAGTTGCTGATATAGCTGTGTGAGCTGTATGAGCTGTATGATTTCCCGATGAATGTGCTATCAGCTACTCTCTGATCTCTGCACATCCTCACAGTCCGTAAGAACCTTCAAATATAATCGAGCTTTATTAGCAAACCACACCATGTCGTCTGGCCTCTCTCAATGCTGCGTCTCCGGACACATCCACGCCGTGAGTGCGATCCCGGCGAGACGTTGCTTGATGTTCACCTTGACTGATTTAGCTCTTCGATTTCTCGACATATGCAGGGAACCCCTAAAGGTTCTTGGGAAGACATTGGCGGTTTGCGAACCTATGTCAGCAAGCCCAAGGACGGTAGCAAGCAGAAGACTGCCGTCTTCTTGCCGGACATCTTTGGCGTGAACATCCCCAATACCCAGCTCTTGGCTGATACGTGAGTCATGTCGAGGCCTTTCCCTCGAAATGAACGAGTCTGATGATATGATTCGGTGATATAGTTGGGCGGAGAACGGGTTCTATGTCGTCCTACCTGATATCTTCCAGGGCGATGCTGTGCCTCTTGAGGTGGGTTGGAGTCCGGATGGAATGTATGCTTAGAAGCTGGACTAACAGATCGTGCTGTGTCTACGAACCTCCCTTCCATAGCACATCAACACTATCACCCCCAAGAAGCGGACGCAGGACGAAGGCGGTATCACCGGAGCTATCAAGACGAACGCTACGGCCGCCTACGATCTTGTCCCCTTTGTCACCAAACACAGGGAGGCCGTCGTCAAGCCTTTGATCGACAACTTTTTCAAGGCCATCAAGGCTGATAGCGAGACGTAAGTCCCGGACGAATGGCGGCTGTTACCACTTTCAAGACTGATTGCTAATTTAAGGCGCTCGCAGTGACAAGATCATCGCCGTCGGGTTCTGCTTCGGAGGGCGTTACGCCTTCCTCGCCGGCCGCACCGACTCGCCCGTCCAGGTCGATGTTGTCGTTAGCTACCACCCTTCGCTCTTGGCCGTCCCTACCGACTTTGAGAACCTCACCGTTCCTACCTATGTCGGACACGGGACCGCCGACAACTTTGTTACCAACGACGATGCGATCGAGTCGGCTTTGATTCAGGCTGTCGGGAAAGAGAAGCTTTTGTTCGAGCGTTACGAAGATGCTTCTCACGGGTAAGTCCCTTCATTTCATGAAAAGCACTAAACCAAAATCTGACGAAATGATTCCTTTCCCTTTGCAGATACGCCGTGCGGGGAGACGACCTGAATGAAAAGGAGAGGACGCAGAAGGAGGAGACCGCCAAGGCGGCCATGGCATTCGTCAACAAGTGGATGTAATGTACTACGCGTTACGCGACCATTGAAAAGAAATGATGAAATGAAACGCTTGATTATTCGCACTGCTGGAAGTGTTTCAGTTCCAGTTAGGGTCAAGTGTTTCAGGACGTTCTTCCTTTGTTTTCGCGGGGGTCTGTCTCAGCGGTGCTTAACAGGTATAGAACAGGCGAAATACATGACGTGATGGATGAACAGCTCAACATATCCCTATCGCATCTCACATCAGTCGAGTCACTCTTCGCAACGACCAATGTACCTTTTAAACGCCATGACCCCCCTGCGCCTCGGCATAGCAATGCTGCTGAGCAGGTAAGCCCTCAAAGTCGGATGCTTCACACCTTCTACGCTTCCTCATCTCATAGTCTCTGGTCAGTCTTGTTGCGGCCCAGTGTCCAACAGGTTTCGAACCGCCTGCATTGAGTGACCTTACTAGACCGAGTGATCCAGCGCTTTTATCAACATATGCCGTCATCGCCGCCCGGCTTGGCGTAAGCACTTATGAAACGAAACATGACTGCATCTGACCTGTATCTGATGTCACACAATATTTACTCTTTAGTCACTTGGAGGGCTAGATGATGTCTTCACCCATGACTGTGAGATTCGACTGAACGAAGGGCCACCATACAAAACCGCTCTTGGTGAAAACGCGACTTGGCACGGCGCTCTAGCTCATGCCATTACGATCACTTTGCGAGAAAAAAACAAGGAAGCGACCATCCCCAATATCTGGAGTTTGCTAAGTCTCAACAAGATCCGATCCTGGGCAACCACAGCCGATCCCACCGGCGAACAACCCCATTCCGTCAAGGATGCTGACGCGTTCAATGAAGTTCTGGGACAAGCGCAACCAAAGGTGAATCTTCCTCGATATATTAAAGGTCGTCTAGTTGGCTGAATGAGATCATATAACTAGGGCATTGTGATGCAATGGGACGTTCCTGAGCTTTCCTACAGCACAGTAATCTCGTGGGACGTTACCACAAAGTCAGGAAAGCTTCAGGACTGGATGACTCTGAATACGTCGGGGGACATTCAGGCAGCATCACCCGACCCAAACGTAAACTTGGAGCTCTACCAGATGTGGAACGACCAACTTCGGCCAACAAACATTTGGATCCCGGCTGACAAGGGGAGTGCCTGATCGCGTTTAGTCGTCGGTTGTTATTCCTGTTCATTAACTCCCTTGTGTTCCTGTATCATGTCGCATACAACATGTCTGGTATTCGAGTGCCTTTATTATTCACTCGGCCTTGTCATCTCCCGCCTCGGAACCCACGACCTCGAAACCCACAACCTCGTAACCTTCGACCTCCTGAAACGCCTTTGCATCCATCTCAGGTTCTGCGCCAAAAGCCAAGCGTTCCTTGAGCACTGCTGCATCAACCTCGACTACTACCTTGATTTCTGACTTTCTGCATACGCTTTTGCACCAAGGATCGACCCTGAGCTTGCGACCCAGTAAAGTGAGTTGACCGGCTGGCTGGCTTATGGGTGTGTGTTCAGTCTCTCACGGTGTCCCTTACCCGCCGGTTATTTAGGCCAAAGACGAAGCGAAGCCTGATGACTGGTGAGCTGATCATAAGTATCGATCATCGACCCAATCACCGAGCAACCGAACATTTCTTCAACTTCGGATCGACTGTTACGGGATCATCACGTGAGTCGACTACCGACACACAGGCTCGATCTACGGACATCAGCATACACCTAAGTCCGGCTCGACGAGGCGAATCCGATTCCCTCGGAGCAGATTCGGTCGCCCCTACCATTCGCCTTCACCATTCACCGAAACAACAAACCTTCCCGACACATATCACAAACAGGTACAGGGACCTCGAGGTACACGACACTCTACTCAGGACCTCGACAACCTTACTCGACGTACCTAGGGACAAATGAGAACTCAAACTCGCCTCCTCTACCGAATCCGGCTGCTCTCGACAGGATTCGTCTGTTCGCCATCTCGTTCTTCCAGTTTCGCCATCTCTCGCCATTCTTTTCTCTTGGGTCTTTTCAGTGTTCGCCAGCCCGTCTACGTACTCGTCTCCGTATAAATAGCTAGAGGAACTTGACCGAATTCGATAGAGGACGCTCTGTAATAGTTAGAGGTCAAGTTCCGATATCACATTCAATACACGCCTATCTGACTTGTTACAACATCTTCAAGACGTGTTGCGGAGAGGTTACAACTCAAGGACGTCGCTAAGTATCTACGCTTCATCGTTTCACCTTAGACCGAATCCGGTACCTCACACCGAGTGATCACTTCCTTATCCATACATCTCTGGATTCGTATCCCTTATCCGAACCCGCTTCATCTAAGCGAACTTGCGACATTCTCCCGACTACCTGCGATCTACCTATAAGCACCCTACGCTTACGACCTAGGACCTATTTCGATTAGCGACCTCTGCCGTAACATCGACTACAACATCAGCTGGAGGCCTGAAGGACATCCCTTATCTCCCTGGTTCCTATACGATCTCGTCGCATCCGGTGTGTCAAGAACCCCATTTTCGCCCAAAAGCTCATTTTTAATCACGCTCACTGGTCACTGATAAGACAAACGAATCCACCATTGCATAGTGTACGAAACTCGACCGAGACACGTCTGCTCGCTCCGGGATATGAGCGAGCAACATCCACAAGTTTGAAAGTCTATCTGGTACAAATCCATAAAAAGGTCCGTCTCCGTCGTCCTGCTCCCATCTCTATTCCTCTTTCCTACTAGTCATCCAAATCGTCATCGGAGCCATCAGCCTAGTCGCCGTCCGAGTCGTCAATCACGATCACCTTCTTCTTCCTAGGGACCTTGGTAGGACTTGGGTGCTTCCTCTTCCCCTTGATCGCGTTCGATTCCGTCGTTTTCGGAGTTGTCTTCCAGTGTTTCTTCACAAACTGATGAAGGAAAAAGATCGGCCGGTCGTCAGTTTTACCCTTCGGCGTATCTTTTGTCAGCCTGACTGAGATCTACACCCCAACGACATACATCGAGGAACTCTGAGATATGTCTGTCTTGGTAGTCGCTTTCCATTATGTTGACTGTCCAGAGCTCAAGAACGATGTTGACCTGGATTGGGCGGGAAGTCAGCTAGGCGAATTCGATAGTCCAGCGCGCAGGAACGACACTAACCTGATTAGGTCGGAATTCAGCTAGGCTAGTAGGAGTGGACGTCGTCCATCCTGCCCGCATCTGTTTGTGGTGCACGATGTGGCCTATAGTGCAGTCCGCGTATTGTCGCGTATTGTCGGTGAATCAGTGATATGCTAGGCACCATGTTTTGTCCATTGGATCAGGCACTTACCGACACTGCCCTTCAACGGATGTTTCCGAGTACTGGTCATTGGTAGCGAGGTCGTCTGATCAACACCCCTAGGAAGCGAGGTTCACGCATACATGGAAGACTTTGTTAGCGATTTTCTAGAGCGCGCCATCAGCGATGAATATGCACCCCAGATATCAAAGCTTCCCTTGCAAAGATCACTTATAAAAGAAGCCGATAATCATCCGGAGGACAGCGAAAAGGGTATGGTATTGCTTCTGTATAGACCAAACGTGGAATGCTGCCCCATAGCGGCCCTGCACTTCCGCTCGGACGAAGACATTAAGCATTCTGCCAAGCCGCACCTCTACACTCCGCTTTTACCCCTTTCTGTCTTCCTGGACAATATTGCATGGCATTCGAAAAATACAACTTCTTTTGCAAATCCTTCTCGCTCCTTGTTGTCTCTCGTTGATCACGTATCCTTGTCCTTCTTCTTGCCACCGAGCATCGACTTGAACGCCGCGCTCGAGCTTCGCGTGAGTCCCGGCACGTTCATGCTCAGACGTCGACTGAGCGAGCCACCCGACGTCGAGCGGGTGTCCTTGACCTGAGGCACGTCCTTCTTCGATGCCATCCGACCCAAGCCTAATTGCGACATGCCAGTGGAGGTATTCTGCGCCGAGAGACCCGGTCGAGCCGCGGGTGGTGGCGACTGTGCCAGCTGAGGTTTGGGCGCAGGGATTGGGGATACGCTCGGTTGCGCCTGGCGGCCTGGCGGCGCCATGGGTTCGGACGTCGCTGACACCGTCGACATGAACGAGCTCGACATGTTGCCTCCCGCAGGCGTCGCCCCACGTGATATCGATCCCGGTGTGGTTGTCCCTGGACCCATCGCAAAGTCTGCCTGGGGCGAGGCACCTAGCGCCGATGCTCCCGTCGTGGAGGCAGTGCCGGGTCGCTCTGAGGTCGAAGCAGTCCTCTGTCTGGATGGCGTACCGTTCGTGCCGTTGCTCGGGGTATACATGGGTGTGGCTGGACTGGTCCCTGGAGCAGCGCTTGACGTCGCCGAAGGTGGACGGGCCAAAGCCGAACTGCCATAAAACGAGTTGCGCTTAGTCGAGGCACCGTTCTTTTCCTTTTCCTTGGTCGCGCCAAACTTGGGCATCCACTTGCTTCCCGACTTTTCAGACTTGCTGAGACTGCCTTGAGAGTGTTCATAGCTCAGGGTCGACGTCGCTAGCGGCTCCTGGTCCATGCTTGGGGTATGCGACGTCTCCCTGGCCAGCCCGGGAGTTTGCCTCGTGTCGGCGGTGCTCTGGCGCGATGACGGTATCGGCATCGAGGCCTGAGTCGCTCGGGTCATGCTGGGTTGCCGTCCGACCGAGGCCTGATAATCTGCGAGCGCCGCTTCGACCTTTGCCTGGGCGCTCATCTTGGCCGCTGCCACACCGACGGGCTCGACGTCGAGCATGGGGATATTGGTTGAGAACGTCGGCGACGCCATGGGGTCTACGAGATCGGACTCCATTGTTGCCGGAGTGGACATTGGGATGCTATCGGGTTCGGCGACAAGGACAGGCGGTGCCTTGGTCAGACCCAAGCTGACGGGGTCAATGTCGACGGCCTGGTAGAACAATACGTATCCGGCACCGGCCGGGTAGTCTCCAAAGTACCGTGGGATGTCGGCTTCGTCGACGGGCTCGACGTTCTCGTCGTCGTAGAGCAACCATCTGCCCTCGTTCTTAACAAGTGCGACATAATGCCCCTGATTCGGTCCCCTGTGATGAACACCTGTCAATTGGTGACTCTTCTCCATGCACGACCCGGCTGAAACTCACATTCCAATGTGTACCACAACGGCGTACAACTCGTACAGCCTGTCCGGGTTGGTCACGTCGTCGCTCGTGTTGAACAACCTGAGTTGCATAGGGAATACGACTCGGTAGGCCAGCTTGACGAATCGACCGAGAGACTCCTGGTACTTGAATCGCTTCAGGTGGAGAGCCAAAACATTGGGCAGCTTCTTGATTTTCATCCTGATAGAGCAAGAGAATGTTATCGACCTCAGTTCGGCGAGGAGAGCTTGCGAAGCCTCGCTCTTTGACTCACGATTTTTCGGCCTCTTGCAACCCACAGCACGTGTCGCAGAAAAACTTGTTCTTTTGGCACAACATTTCGCTGGCGGAAAACTGCCTCAGACACGAGGTGACAGACGAGTTTTGCTCGATATCGATGGAAAGGTCGAGGAAAGATTCGTCCCTCGACGAGGTCTAGCTCGTCGCAAACCCCATTCGAAAGCTCAGCGCCGGGACTATGTGTAAACAGCTAGCGGACTCGCCGGGACTCACGGTCTCGCATGTCAGACACCTGGTCTCGTTGGTCAACAACCCCTCGAACAACTGATGCACCAACGTCTTCCCCCCACCTCCTTCGCCCATACCCAAACCATACCGTTTCAACCCGCCCAACCTCTTTTCCCTCTCCTCGCGTTCTTCCCTGCCCATGCTCTTCTCGAGCTCCTCCACGTCCTCGGCGATCTTGTTCAACATCCATCCCAAAAATTCGTGAGCGTCCTGATGCATATTCCCTCTGAACAGCTCGTTCTCCCTCTTGACGGCCCTGACGAGTTCTTCTGGCTTGACGACCCCTTTCCCCATGGTCCCCGCTCCGTGAGGTCCACCACCACGAACGAACGGCCGATCAGGGTTATGCGGGTTAAAGAGGGTCGTACCGCCCGTGGTCTCTGCGCCAGGAGGTTTCTCCTGAGGCGGTTTAGGCGGAGGAGGCGGGTGAGGGGGGGACGAGTCGATATAGTTGAAGAGCGATTGGACGGCGCTGAGAACCGAGGCTGGCGGCAAGTTTGGGTCTCGCGGAGGAACGGGCGTGGAAAGGGTAGGTTGTCGAGTGGGGGGCAGAGTCGATGCCGTTGCACCGGGAGACAACGGGCTGGCCGGTTCACCTACACCAGCAGTGCCCGATCCAGCTCCGTTCGTGTTCAGCCTGGTGAGATTTCCTCTCGAAGCCGGTGGAGGAGAGGTCGGTGTGGGCAAGACCGCACTGGACTGTTTCCTTCCCATCCCCATGCTCCACCTCGCCTTGTTCGGCGTCTTCTCCGCCGCCTCGACCGTCTCTTCTCCTTGTCCGTTCGCCGCGTTGCTTCCCTGTGCATCCGGATACAGGTGTTCGTAACCGGGCACCTTGCCTCCATTGGCTTCGATCGCCTTGAAGGTTTCTGCGATCTCTGTCGCAGTTGGCCCAGCGGGAATCGTCGAAGGAGTCGGGTTGGGATAAGAATCGATGAGTTGTCGAAAGGGGACGCAGTGGTAGAGGGCCTGGAGGACCGAATTGCAGTAACAGGTGTTCCCGAACTGCACGCACAATGCATCATCGATCACCATCAGCTCGATTCAAATGTAACCTCGGCTAATTCAACGAGAAGCACCGAGACTCACGTTCTCCAACCCAAAAAAGGTCTTGTCCGCGATCGCCTTGTGGCTCTCGGGAACCTCCAACTCGATCTCCTTTTCCGGAAACTGTGGGAGCACAAACTCGTTCATCCCGCTCATCGGTACCGAAGCCGGACCTGGCGTCTGCGGGGTCGTCCCTTGACCATTACTACTCGCTCCAACGTTGGTTCCTCCTGATGTCCCGCCAGACGTTGCGTCACCTGTCGTTGGGATCGTCCCCGTGTTTGTACGGAAAGCCTTTTTCAGCCTAGACATCGTGTGTTATGTCGAGTGCGGATATGGGGGTGATGCGATGTGGTGTATGTCCGGTGTTGGAAGTGATAATCGACCGGGATGGCTTGTATGATCGATGAGACCCGGTCGGACGAGGTGGACGACAGGTGGAGAGTCCTTGTTAAACACCCCCGATCCTCTTGATCCTATCTGCCTCGACAACGATGACGAAGATATAGGCAATAATGCCGAGTACGATGATACTAGTCAAAGAGTATGTTCCAGGCCACAAGCGACAGACGACCTAGTGCTGCAGAAGATGATCGGCCTTTCAAACCTCTCGAGCCAGTGTGTCGATCGGTGCGGGCGGTTGTGTCAGCGACGACGAGTAGGATGGGGTGTCTCTGTCGATATTATATAACGTCGTCGGATTGAAGCCCGTATGAATGCAAGGCGTTCCTGTGTCAAGTGTTACGACCAATACTGCTATAAGATCTGTAGGATCTGTAGGTGTTGCATGGGATATACGTCAACTACTGCCTTACTTGCCGTGTGGTGTGGGGTAGGTCGGGGGTGGGTGAGGGTGAGGGTGACGCGAGCCGGCGAGACAGAGAGAGGACCGACCAGAAACAGAACGACACATGGCGAGCATCACAATCGGACCGTCACAGGATTCCCAGACCTTGCACATCCGCTACAACGTCTGATCCTAGCTTTCATGCTACCAACTTTCGGCTTACACTCTCTACACTCCCTCTCATTTCTGCAACATCGACTCGCCACATCGGCTACATCATCATCATCATCATCATCGTTCGTCAGATCATCATCATCCATCGCAATGTCTCGCTCAACCTCCAGCCCTTCGGCGAGTTGTTCCCGATTTCCCCGCGCCCGCCCCTGCCTCGCCCAATCCCTGCCCTCGTGGTGCGCACCTCGCCTCCTTGCGATGTCGCGTCGTGTCACTCGCGTGGCCGAGCGAAAGTACCATCCGCCCGGTGATCGTTTCATCATCTACTTGTACAACAATCGACCAACATCGTACAACACCACCTTCCAATTCAGCACATTAAATGGCCATCCGCACCAGCCTGCATCGTGATTATCGCGATCATCCCCGGACAGCAAACGCGCTCGCCGCCAAAGGTCCCGCATAAGCAGCCGCCTTGTTCGTCAAGTTGGTCAACAAGCTCTCGTTCGGGTTCTCCACCCGGACCTGCACAGAGAGTGATGTCGTATCAGCATCCGTCACAAATAATATGTTTTCCTCGTACGATTTCGCCTGAACTCACCATGATCGTCGGTTCTTCCGGTTCCCCGATCCCTTCCTCCCTGATCTTCCTCTTCAACGTGTCCAAGACCTCTCCTACCGTCGTCTTGTCCCAATCGTCCCTCCCTCTCAGTACCGCCTCGATAAAGGGCAAGCACGGTCCATGTTTCGCCGCGAAAGCCCAATAGTCCATGAACACCATGTCGGGGGTCGCCTGCAACATCGAGATGATCATGTCGATCACTTCGAATTCGCCGCTGACGTCGTCCTGTTTCTTGTATTCGGCGAAAAAGGTGAACACTTGCGAGATTTCGGACTTCATCTTGGATACCGCTGTAGGCAACTTGATCCCCCTCGGTTGGACCTTGCGGAGCGCGTTGAGGTAGGTGGAGAGGAACTGGACGAGCATGTCTTCGATGAGAATGTCAAAGATGGCAGGGTTCAAGTGACCCCGATAGTCCTGCGTATAGTCTTTCATCGTCTCGACGATCTGTTCCATCAAGGGTTCCGTGTACCATGTCGGCGAGGTGAACAGCGCCTTGGTCACAGACTTCAAGTCGTTGAAGATCAAACTGATCAAGGTCTGGATGCACCTCTTGGCAACGTCCAGGTACCCGTCGATGGCAGCGTTCAGACGTTCAGAAATGACCTGACGGTACTTTTCAGAGACGAGCGGTTCTAGCCTGGCCGACATGGCTTCGGCGTAATCGGCCGCCTTGAGCTGATCGTTGGCGAGCGCGACGACGTACTCGACCAACCCCGGCGGGGTGGATTCCGGCAACCTGACTTGCTTGTCGAATTCCCTCTCCAAGATCTTGAGCCATTGGGTCTGACAGGAAGTCATCACCTTCGCGCTCTCCGCGACGACTCGGGCGAGCACGGCCCCCTGACCCGAATCGGCAGCCAGATCGACCTGCTGGTTGGCCATTTGAAACATGATCATTGCGAACTGCAAGACGTACGTCCCATCCGGGTCCGTCTCTGGTGGAGCGTCTCGAGAGGTGAAATCCCTGTTTTCCGTCTTCATCAGGTTGATCGTCCATTTATCAAACTTGTCGACGATGAGCGCCACGTAGTCTTCGATCAGGTCCTGAGACTTTCCATCCAGCAGAGCCGGTTGTAACCAAGCCCCGGGGACTTCAAACTCTTTCATCACCCCTCGATATTCCTTGATCCACGCGTGCATCTTTAACAGCACCCTCGCCTCGGGGTTGGACTTTACGATCCCGTTCAAGGCCTCGTTCAACCGTGTATGGTACGCCTTGACGTAAAACTCCCAAACGTTATAGTCCTCGGGGAAGAGCGGTCTAACGTCCGTCTCGATCCGGTCGAGATCCTTGAACATCCACGTCAGGTCCTCCAAGAACCCGACCCCATCCGTAGCCTGGATCTCGGCGTCGTTGAAAGATTTACGGACCGACTCGGTGATCTTGTCCATGAGCTTGTGACGGTAGTTTTTGATCAGACGGGCGTTGGCTTGCATGGAACGGGTACGCATGGCAGAGTCGGCGTTGGCGACTTTACGGATTAGACGGAGGGCGACCGCCTGCAGCACGTCGAGTTCCGAAGTGTCAGCAATCAGTACGAACAAGTCTAGATACACGTGCCGCGCACCTTTTGATCCTCCTTGCCTTCGACCTCGATGATCTTGAGCAGCCTGACGATCGTGCCCCCGTTCCCCTCCCTGACGGTCTCCAGTATATTGCTCGCGATCGCCCATAACCACTCTTCGAACCTGTTCCCCAGATCGTCCAACCTCTCGAACCACCTGACCAACGTTCTCCGGTCTTCCTGCCCCTGTTCTCCCTTGGCGGCCGAGGCCGACGTCTTGGCTTGATGCAGCGTCTCGTTCCGAAAGGCCTCGAGCTGCTGGAGCTGATAATGTATGGCCAGGAGATTGGGTGATGGACCGCAAGGACCGAGAGGATGTGATTGGTCGGATGTCAAGAGGGCGTCGAGATTGGCGACTCGTTCCGACATGGATTGCAGGTTCTTGACGATCTGCGCCGTCTGATTCAGGTTGCGGTGAATGTTGGCGACCTAATACAGGCAGATTTCAAATCAGTCCATCGAGACTGCCCGTGCGTTCCAAGTTTGCAGCAATCACGCACCTTACTGATCTTGGCATACACCTCGAACCCTTCTTTCCGTGTCGATTCGGCATCCTTCAACTGCTCGATCCCGATCATCTCCTCTCTCAACCTCCCCACGCTATTCCTCGCTTCGACGAGCCGTCTCAACCCGTCCCTCGTCTCCTCCAATTGCGTCTTGACACATTCATTCAGTCGAGCATCTATCTGAGCCTTTTCTTTGAGCAGCTTCTTCCGGTGAGCGGATAGTTTGAGGAGGTCATCGGGCGATCGAAGCAGGTCGGCGAGAGGGTTGCTCGAGCCTGTTCCGGGGAAGAGCGAACCGCTGCCCGACGCTGATGGCGGCAGAAGGAGAGCCATAATCGGCCCGGCAGCGATAGCACTCGAGAGGCGGTTCTACTGTATGGGTTGGTAAATTGACGAGAAAGACGGCAGGTACAGTAGTATTAGCTTACTAGGATGTGCAAGCTAGTGATCTAGTGATTTAGTGGATGGCATCATGGACTTGTAGCTTTGGGGTCCTCGAGCATCACGCCATTAACGACCTCCACCCCTGATGCAGAGAGCGGGATCAAAACGTTGGGCCATCACCCTCCCCTCTCGATGCAACGGTTCATCATCTTATCAGTCGGATCAGTCATGATCATATCCCAGCGTTACTACAAGACCTCTTACATATACAATCATCAATCTCTATCATTACGCTCTCGTTCTCACTCTAGCCCTGAACCTACGCTCATTCCAAATCGCCCACGTTCGCTATGCCCAGCGCCTACCTCCTCGGACGTTACTCTGACAAGATGCTCGGTTTGTTTACCGGTGAGTCTTCTCTCCACAATGTCCACCATACCGACTCGATCTTTGCACTGACATTCATCCCACAACACTTTATTACCACATACATACAGGCGGTCTTGCTTACCACCTTCACGAGAATAATCCTCGATCCCGCCCCCCTCCCGGACACACCCTGCGAGAGCTGGCCGGTTGGCACTGGGAACAGCATCGTGATGCACGGACCGCCCGGGAAGCAGAGCTCTTGAAAGCCGAAGAGACGGACGTCAAGGCCAAGGAGGAGTTGGAGATCCTGAGGAGGGAGATTGCGGGAGTTGCCGAGCCGGGGGTCAAGAGCCGGTAGTCGGTTCAGCATTGCCGTTAGGCACCTGGTCGAGCTTGTCAGGGAAGCCGCATTCTTCCAGCTCTTCTACCTTCCGTTTCCTCGACTGGCCTCCTTTCGTCGATCACAATCGCCGTCATCAACCGTTCCATAACCTCACTGCATTATACCACACCGCACCATACATCAGCGGATGCCGACCACAGGACAACCTCGCGCCACAATCGCCTTGCCGCCCGCTCACCTCCTCCAACCGATCAACATTGTCAACAACCGACAGAAACATCTCCCGGAACCTTCCTTTGTATCCCCTCTCTCTTTCCTGATCCTTTATCACTTGCCTCTTCTCCCGCTCGTATGTTGTCACTTTCCTGTTTTTGGGCTTTATCTGTATAGAATGAACTAGAATCCGATGGGGTGCAATCGTGGTCTTTCCGACCGGTGGATTTGAGTTACCATTCCCCGAGTCTCGGCGTCCTGTCGCTTCGGGTGTAGGCGACCTGTTTGAGAAGTTGGTCTTTGCGATCTTCGACGACCAGAGGCGAAATGACTACTGGTATGACATCGATCCCACATGAACCTCGCAACTGGTAGAAAGTCTAGGGGTGTACGATAGGAGTCAATATAGGCGTCACATACAGCTGTTTGTCCTGCGTGTATTGAGGGCAAATAGAGATTGCAAGCCGACGTTCATCGAGGTTTCTATGGCGTCAATGTCGGAGGTGCAAATGGTATCAAGGTTGGAGACGAACCCTCGGATCTCCAGGATGTGAAACCCAAACATCACTCCAGCCTTGTTAATTGTCACTGCTTCTCCCTAGTCTGTCACCACTGTCACCACTGTCCGTACTCTCAGCTTCTGACATTTCCCCCACCAACTCGGACATCTCCGCCACCAGGTCTTTCACGAGCTCGAAGTTACAGCTATTTCTAGCTTGAAAGACTGGCTTCTCTGCCGACGGGTCGAATTTGAGCAAATCCGAATTTCTCGGACATAACAAGGCTGCTTCCGGTTGTCGGCAATACGTTTTGTCATCGTCGAGGGATCGACGTTTCAGAATACCAGAGGCGCTAGAGGACGTGTTTCAGGTCGTACGAGTATCGGAATGATGGCTAGCATGGCTAGAGAATCGCTTCGCAGTTGTTCAATGATATCGGCAATAACCCCCACTTGCTCAGAAGGGCGGTACATGGTACAGTATGTTTGGGGCAGTCCAGGATGGAGTCCCCCGTTCGACATAAGGGTCCAGATGCTTTATTGGCTTCGCGGCACAGAGGCATAATGACTATATGGACAAGGTTATGTAGAAGCCGGTCGTACTAATGTCTCAGATCAGGTGTGTCTTGCATACAATCTCGTACCACGCTCATGATTTGTTACGGTAAAACTCCATCAGTAGAGTAAAACTAACCTCTATCACGACACATTAAACCCAGTAAACCTGCCGGCATTGAACCAGATGAAATCATTCCAGCGAAAGCCCTTGATGTTGATCAGCACATTGGAAGGAGAGCAAATGCAGCCAAGAATAATGGGGTAGTCAACTGACATCTGTGTTCGATTGGTTGGGTAGAATGTTGGTTCTGTCCCTACTACTGGCGGGCGGTGGCAGATTTGATAGTCGATTCCGAAACAACAAAATGCATTTCGAGGATCAAACGACGGTTGAAGCCTCATCTTCTTTTCAACTCTAGAGAAGTCTATCCCTTATTGCGAAATCGCCATGTGGAGTCGCTAGGAGTCATTCAGGGAATGAAGGAATCTGTTTCTAATCCATCCCGATACATGGAGGAGACGGGTACGCACGGTCGCGTGAATTGTTCCGGTCCAGTGTACGAGCTCTTAATTCGAAAAGTAATCTCCGCTTGCCGTTTGCGATTCCTTGCATTGCAGTCTTTACTTACCGATCAAGCAATTCTGATTCACTTGGTTGGACTCGAGTTTGCCAACCAGAAAATCTATGGGTGTAAGTTCATCCTTTTTCGATCGAAATGAGGATTTGCCGGAGTCTGCCCTTGCCGTTCTTCTTGCGATTATCAATATGCTCCTCTTTCTGCACCTTGATATGGCTTCAGCTACCAACGTTTTGCCGTAGCTTGATACTAGGTGCCGCTGCGTTGAGACTGAAGCGGATGTGTTTGAGAGTCAGGGTTGAAAGAAAATCCGGAGCTGACACGCGTTACAGCTCGATACGCCGTCAGTATTGAAACCGGACGCCTGAAAAGACCCGGGATCAATACAAATGCTTCATCTCCTCCGCTCTGGTATCAGGTATCTCCCTTTGACGCGAAGATTCCCACGTTTACTGTTGATGACACAGATAGGCGAGCTAGATCATCGCGGTCGGTAGGCTTGATTTTCTTGACAGAGGCAAAAGGGGGTCCTCACTTTAACGGAGCGTATAGTCCTTTGAAGGGCGCCTCAATCCCGGGGTAAAGTGATGCGAGAGATTTACCCCTGATATGATGATCGTCGACAATTGAAGACGGAGGGCACGAGCGCGGGACAGGACAAAGGGAAAACTGGTCAGAGACGCTTGACCTTGCCAAAACAGATATAAAAAGAAGATCTTTCGGGGTTGACTCCCACTCGAATCGCAATGCGCGAAGAGGATCAACTCCAGAATCGATCAACAAATATGCTTGCCTTCATCACCGCTTCTCTCGCCATCGGCGTGCTTGGTGTCAATGCCGGCCCTCAATGTGCAGGATCGAATCCGGATCCGACTGGCCAAGGGTTTGGAGCAATCTATCATGCCAAGGCAGAATGGGGCAACAGTATTGGACAGGTAAATCCACGAAGGTTTGCTCTGAGTGTTCATGCTGAAGAATATTCAATCAATCTACATATCGTAGGCCGCGGTGACCATCATGACAGATAAGCATACGGGCCTGGAGTGTTCCAATGCGTGTTGGATCGATTATGGTGAGTTTAACCGTTAGCTGGGAGGTGATTACCGGCCGATGGACTGATCATCTTCGAATACTAGAATGCAAAGGTGTTCAGTGGGAAGAATCGACCAAGACATGTACGAATATCAACGGTGAAGGAGCATTCTGGGGTCTGGACGATGGACCACACAACAACATGATCGCCGTCAAGAATGCGGCCTGCGGGCAAGACAATTGGGTACACGGTGGGTGTATGCGGTCTCTCTGGCGAAATTTCAAAATTAACTTGTGCTTGCCAGGGAAAAATATGCCTTGTTGCGAGATCGCCATGGACAAGCGCAGAGGCACTTGATCATCGGTCAATAACGAGGCTGTCGACTGGTCGAGAGCAGAGGTTTCTACCATGTGAATAGTTGCGGCGTCGTGGCGGATATGAATAACATTAAAAACACAAAAACAACCTGTAGAGGTGTTTGATCAAAAGCTGTTGTCAGTACGCTTCAGCTCTCTACAGGACAGGCACGTTTGCCACCTCGATTGGCGATCAGAGCAGGAGTGTCTTTGGCTCACGGTGACGTAGTAGGCGGAGCTAGTAACACTAGCGCTTGAGTCGTCCGTGCAACACTAATGACCGTGGTGGTAGCGGCAGCGACCAAAACGGAGGTCAGAGCCTCTTGCGCTCTTGGTGAAAGGAAGCCGCTTGATCGAGTACCGTGATTGAGAGCCCTGGCAAGCTTGAACGATTCGATCCCTCCGAGACCGATCCGGACCTCGTGGATAATCGTAATATGTGGACATGCTGACATGAAGGCGAATACAACGTCTGGAAACGAATCTGCTGCACACATCCGGGCTCAATTCTGTAGATCGCGGAGATTAGAATATCGGTTCTCGCAGATGAAGTGGTGTGAAGCCAGCGGGGACTTGCCTCTCTCCATTGTTCTTTACACTGAACGCATCGTCTACAACCGTCAAGCAACCGTAGAATTAGCTCCGCTACTAGAACGGGTTATAATCGAAATACTCTGGTGTGGAAATGTGACTTACAAGAATGTCGTCATCGGTTCGTCCGCGCTGATATCGTGAAGTCAGGTCGAGGGGAACAGTATAAGTATCGAGTTCAGGTATGAAAAAGCTAGGCAGAAGAAAGAGATGGAAGGAAATGAATGAGAGGGAGAGGACTTGCCTTCTGATCTGTAGTTGACGGAAATAGGCTCTTGTTGAATCGCATTTCGGACATTGAGCTGAACGTCCCGAGTCGGAGTGCCAGGAGAGGGAGATCAGTGCGAGAAACACGGGATATCTAGAGCGAGAAGATAGGATGGAACAGGAAGAAATGAAGCCTCTCGGGACGTACCTTCTCCTTGATCGACGTTCTTCCAACCTTCTTCACCACCCATGACGTCGTCCACTTCTTTCCGGTCAAAGTGAGTCCTCGAAGTCATCTGCAACCGAGGATGAGCCGATTTGTCAGCGATATCAGGGACGTGCAAACATGGTACAGACTTACCTGTTTCGTGATCCCGAAGATGTATGGACAACTATTACACCGCCTATTGATAGTTTAAAAGCTTGTTAATCAGTCAGGGTCAGACGACTGAAAGAGAGGTAGGTAGACTTACCATCTGTTCGTGCCCTCGTGGACTTCTATCGTTAGAAAGTTTGAGCAGTAAGGACAGAACAACATCCTGTTTTCGCGAAGAGCGGCTTGATGGTATTGTGATCTGAGCCTTGAGGTGCTCTCGAGAGCCGAACGGCATGAATAATAGCTCGATCTCACCAACATCCGAGCTTGAGGCCGGTGATTGTTATATTTGTGAGGGGGGCGACGCGTATGTTAATGAGTTACGTAATCAAGAATGTCCCAGCTGCATAGAATAGACTCTGCTTCGACCATCTTCGATTTCTTTGTGATCACCTGTTTGTGCACAGTAGTGCACCTAAATCTCTTCATACAGGTCACTCAGAACATAAGTAGCTGAAGCAATGATCGTACCTCAAGACACAAGCAAGCGCCTCACGGCGTTCGTAAACTTCCCCTCGCAGTACACCCAAAACCTCCTACTCTCCGCTCTCACATCGACCCTCCCATCACTAGCGATAACGACCCACCCAGCCGAATCCACCGAAGAATGCCCTCAACTTCAATGGGCAGACTACGATCTGCTATACATTGACGATATCATGTCACATCCTCAAGATCGCCTGATCTCGAGCTACATCTACCGGAAGACGTTGATCAGGAAGCACATGCTACATAACTCTATACAGGAATACCTGGCTAAACAGCGTCATCGGGGCGTTCCTAGTCTTTTGGAGAAGAGCATACCGAGAGGATGGGTCATTGATATTCAGTTTGCGGACGAGTTGGACGAGTTGATGATGGATGAGCTGTATGACTTGAAGGATGATCTGGATGCGAATTTAGAGGTCGAGGATGTTTCGAAACGCAAGTTAGTTCATTGGCTTGCTTACCCAAGACTGTTTAGTCCCGGCCACTGAACTTGCAAACTACGTGTAGATGGTTCATACTCAAACCTGGAATGTCGGATAAAGCACAAGGAATCCGGATGTTCTCGACCGAAGAAGAGCTGTACGTCCGTCTCGCCCTGCGATTCAGCAGACAATCTCCCGCGCTATACTCATATGACCCGACAAATCCAATAGGGTATCCATCTTCGAAGGCTTCGAACCAGAAATTGACGACGAAGAAGATGAAGATAGCGACGACGAGAACGAAGCAGAGAACGCCGAAGAAGAAGGCCTTACGGAGGAAGAACGTCAACGGATAGAGAAACTGGCCATACAAGATTTCCCCGACGACGAGCCTTTCGAACCAGAACCGACCACACCAATGGGGAAGACGGATTCCGGATCGGATGATGATGATCTGGATACGGGCGTACAGACCTCTCAGCTTCGACATTTCGTCATCCAGGTCTGTTTCTACCGGGGTGGATCGTGCGATTGCGCGTGACTAAAAGGCTGATAGGAGGTTTTGAGTAGGAATACGTCCCAAGACCACTGTTGATTGACCCGAGAGAAGGTCATTCGAGCTCATCACAAGCATTGGAAGGCCACAAAGTACGTGGAACCTTTCTTTAGCCTCGATAAGAAGGACTAGCCTGCTGAATCAAATAACTCAAATCTTACCGTTCGCCTTGACAGTTCCACCTTCGAGCCTACGTGATGATGAGCGGGACGTACAAGCTATACCTGGCACGGACCATGCTGGCGCTCTTTTCGGACAAGAAGTTTGCCTTTTCTTCGAAGTCTACTGAGGAGGACGAGAGCGAGTTGGACCTTACTGCCCATCTGACAAATACATGCCTCCAGGTCAGTAAAACATCAGTTTGCGTAAAGCCGTTCGAGGGATGGGTAAAGTCAGGAGCTAATTCGTCCTTTCGCAAATATACGATAGTCTGAAGCTGCAGGTTCAACCGGTCCGGCGGAAGAACTCGTCAAGCTTTACTGGGAGCTGAAAGGCCAGACGGCGCTGGATCAGGAAGGTTCGGCTCAGGGGAAGATTACGGAAGAGTGGCTCGAGTCTACGTTTGAGACCGTGGGCAGAGTTGTGGCTGAGACGGTCACCGCTGCGGTAAATTGCGGTAGTTTCGGTTTACAACTGCTACCGAATGCCTTCGAGGTAAGCGTCTTTCAGATATATCTCAAAGGAAACGAGATATGCGGTTTCCTGATCAGTATCTTGGTGCCTATAGATATTTGGTGTAGATCTGTTGCTATCATTCCCACCAAGTAGCGAACCGAAGGGAACGGACCTACCCGCTCCAACCGTCACGCTCCTAGAATTCAACGCTTCGCCCGACTTCTTCCAATCTGGAGAACGTCTGAAGTACGAATTAGGCAACATGTTCAAGGACGTTTGCCGACTAGTCATCGCACCGTTCTTTGATCTCGATTTGATTTCCGACGAAGACGACGAATCAGAGAGTGACCAACCGAAGACGCCTAGCCAGGCAGACGCATGGGTGCTCATCGGCGAAGAAAAGACAAGAGGTGAATGGTAATTACTGTATCGTATCGTCATATTTCGTGTAGAGGGGCGTCACAAGTTGTCATTAAGTTACATCGTCAATTTGATACCCGCTGCCTTGAACAGCCGCAGGCATTCTATCGTAACGTCCGCTACCTCTTTCCCCGGATGGCTCGAGCTGGACGGCGATGTCCACTTTGCTAATAGCTCCAGGAGACGTTTGGGTACTCCCTGTTGATCGGCCGTGGACATGGTGACGCTTTTCTGACCGGATGCATCCGAAGAAGCGAACCCAATCAGGTTCGCCAAGAAGATCATGGCTCGGAAGATCAATCCTGTATCCGGTTCCAGCGTTGTTACTTCTTCTACGTCCTCATCTCCCTCATCGTCGTTATCGCTACGCAAGACTGGTGGCGAGAGCATGTCAAAAATCATGCTGAAGACCTTTTTCTGTCGGTCCTCCTTTGCCAACAAGATTCGGCAAGCAGTCGGCGACTGCGTCAACGTCGCGAGCGCGCCAGAGGCTGCTAGACGGGTGTTCAGGTCGTACACGTTGGTCATGGCCAGTAGAACGTGTAATCTCGAAAAAGTCGCGCCTTCGCTGTTCCCGCCTTTTTCTCTGTCGGTATTCGAGGACGAGCTCGAGTCCGGCGTATCTCCCGAGTACCGACAGAAGCCTTCGTCAGAGGCGAGTAGGTTGCAAACGAGCTCGACTGCCGCTCGTCGGACCAGCTCGTGATCCTCCAACATGAGGTGTTCTGCCTGTTTGATGATCTCTGAATCGTTCATCGAAAAGATCCTCGTCGCAACCTCTGGGCCGATGGAAGCCAGGTTCGTCAATGCCATCATCGCCTCGAACTTTTGCAATAAAGTGGACGAGTCGTGTAAGAGCAGCATGGCAAGCGGCCGGATGGTGTCAAGAGCGTTCGAGGCTGGGTTCACTCCGAACAGTGTCTGAGGCGGCAGGGTGATGAGCATCTTTGCCAGCGCTTGAATAGCTGGCAACGCTTCCACCGAGACACCTTCCGTCGGCCCTGTAAGAGACTTGGTGACCTCGGGCTTCGCTTTCGGCTTAATCTCTGGTAATAGCGATGAGACGACCTGAAGTAGGCTCTTGAACCCTCCATCCCGTACCAATTCCGCCCGAGTCCCAGCATCCGTCGATACCTCGAGGTATAACTTTCCCGTCAAAACCTTGACCCTCTCACTATCGCTCTTCCCGAGATCGATCAGACAGCCGATCAAACCGTTTCCCATCGCCCATCGGACCCTAGCCTCAACAGCTTCGTTCGAGTCGATCCGCTCGTCCTCCTCTTTGCTCTCCTCGACCGTCTGGCCCATCTTTTGTTGAGATTTACCGGCAGAGGCGAGCTGTTTCAGCTTTTCCACCTGTCTCTGTTCCGCCGTCAAGGTAGGTCTTCGAGAAAGCAAGTTGAGGAGGATCGTCCCGATTCCGTAGGCTAAAGATGAGGATTCCCGGGGTCCGCCCTCTGGCCGATCTAGCTCGGCATCGAGCGCATAAGAGGCGGATAGGCCCGTCTTTCGCTCCCCTGCAGGTTTGGGTTTCGATTGAGGTTTGGATAAGCGGGCAGCGAGAGCAAAGAGAGCTTTGATGAAAGCTGCATCTTGGCAGAGTTTCGCTTTGACTGAAGGTTGTGAAGAGGTATACGCTAGTCCCTCGAGCGATGACCCGATGGCGTCGATATCTAGACCGTCTATAGCCGGAGTCGAAGCGGCACTGGAGATGACAGCCTGGCTGAACAAGCTAGTCAGGTCCTGCATCTCGCGGTTCATCTCTCCCTTGCGCTTGCTCGTTTGCCCTTGACTTTCATTGTCATCTTGATCACTCCCGACTGTACCAGTATTTCCGGCTATAGTAGGGTTCATCAAGGGGTCCGCTGATTCCGCTCGGAGAAGCTTTGTCAAAGCGACCGAGGCGACGACAACAGTCCTCCGCCTGAGCGATCGCAGCGGTTCTGAACCGTCTTTGGGAACGTCCCGACGAGCTTGTCGATTCAACCAGTCGGAAGCGAGGTTCCGGATGATAGGACGACAAGCTGCAGCATTCAAGCCGTTGGAAAACGTTTCGGCTAGGACGTAAGCTAATCTGGCTTGGACCAAGGCCTGTTCTTTGGTTGGTCGTTTGCTGGAGTTCGATAGATCTTCCAGCTCGATAACGTCTGCGAGTCCTTGAGCCACTCCGTCTGTCTGTAGGATTTGAGTACCAGCCGTAGGATCGATCTGAAAGACTGCTGAGAGCGTCGCAAGCGATCGGATGAGGGGTTCGAGGTCCGTCTCTTCGAGCTGGGTCTTGATGTACGATCCGATGCTCTTGATATTAGGGCTGCTAGAGTCTCCTGCTGACCCTTCCTTGGGCTGTAGGAGCCGAGCGAGCACCAGGAAGGCCAATGAACGAGCTCTCTTGGATTTGGCAGATGGTGAATCGCCATCATCCCCAGCTATCAGCGAAGAGGAAACGAGATCAAGCTCGGTCGAGGTGATGGTTGAGGATGATGACGAAGCCGTTGATGAGACCGTTGGTAGCTCCAGGTCTTTGAGAAGCTGTTCTAGCTTCTCCTCTGCTGTACACTCGGCCATCTTTGTATCCAAAGCTACTCAGCTATAAGACAGCAGTCTGGTATTGTTCAGGTAGCAGGCAAGTAATGAATAAGATAGGAACAAGTAGTCGATCCCGTAGGTCACCTACCAGATTTTGCCCGAGGGCCGGCTCGCGAGAGTTTGGGTTGGACCTCAGCTACTCTGTCCAAACAACCTATCTTACTTGCCTGCTCGATTAGTTATTCCCCTAAGCGACGGAGCTCCCCATCTAAGGACCATCTATACCGCTAGTGCTATACCCAGTGCTATACTAAGGAGACCTGTGAGCAGTTTCCCATAGCTCAGCAGCAGCTTAGAGGGCGCCCGCAGACCATGGAAAACACCCTCATCCCCTTCATCCCCTCAAACCTGGGCCCATTACTCCAGATCGACCTTCTCATCCTCGAACAGGCCCGCAAGAAGAATGCCGCTCAACATCGTTCAGCCCTCTTTTTCCGAAGAGTACACGAAATCTATCGACTAGGAAGAGAAGTTTACCGGGAGTTGGAATGGATGGGCGTCTGGATCGGGGAAGAGAGGGAGAGACGGAAGGAGGAGGGGTTTCGGAGGAAGCACGAGTTGCAAGAGGAAGCGGCACATGAAGAGGTACAAGAACATGCGGAGAGGGAAGCTAGGAAGCATATAATTCGATTGACGATGTTGCTGGAAAGGGTTAGTCACAACTTTCGATGAGAAATTTAGATCCTGCCTAACCTGAACGCTTTTGAACCCATCGAAACGAATCGACCAAAAGATATTTCCTGCATTGACAAAAGCCTCAGAGTGAGCTATACAAACTCCTTGACCTACCTTGAGAAACAGATAAGCCTCATACTAACGAGATAACCCGTATTCCACCATATTGCAGCTCGGTCACCAAGATGATCCACCACCTCCACTTCCTCCCCCTGACGACCCTCCTGCAAGCAGCTTACGCTAGGATCTGGGTCTTGTCTTGCACCATCCTCGCACATGTGAGACCTCGTAAAGGAGAAGAACCCAATTCGACGGGGATGCAGGCGGTGTTGAATGGAGAAGAGGTCATCGACCTCGGCTCGATACACGGGAATGCCGCCGATATGGGTGCGATGACGGGGCGAGGAAGGTTGGAGCTCGCCAAGGAGGAATTGGAGAGCCGGGCAGGGGATCTGTCTCGGACAGCGGATAAGGGCAAAGGAAAGGGACAGGTAGAAGAGGAAAGAACCGGTTCGAGCCCGGATTTGAACGGGGTTCGGGTCGCGGTTGGGATGGAGGATGAGGATCTGTTCGTTGATTTTGGGACCAAGGTGGAACGCAAATCGACGGGATCACGGGTGCAGTCGGGATCACCGTCCAGATCGATTTCTAGATCGATGCGACAATCGAGCGTCAAAGCAGTGGCCAAAACCAGCGCGAGTCCAGCCGGGCGAAACTCTCTTTCATCCGAAGTTGAAGAGCGGGTACGCGAAGGTTCTTCCCCAGTATCGATGACTACACCTGTATACGCCATGGTGTCTGCATCGTCCTCCCATGCAGGACTGGAGCCTGCAAGAGACAGTCGAAATAACACGCCGATCATCGATACAAGTATCCCCCGCTTGCATGCACCGACCACCAGGATTTCGGGCAAGCCGACGAAGGTGGATAGGCGGACACTTACCTCAAGCTCGACCTCGATAACAGAGGTCGTGGATGAGACGGAAACAGGCGGTGGGATGGCTACGAAGAAGAAGGAAAAGAAGAAACGGACGACGGACATTGACGATCTCTTTGGAGGTCTGGTCCCTGGAGGGAAAGAAGCCGGGGCAAAGAAGAGGAAGGTCGACGATCGGATAGCTTTAGGCGCTGAAGTGGTAGCTCCGGTCACGGCGACGGTCGTCGAGAAGTTTGATGCTGTTTCGACGCCCGCAGAGGTGTCCAAGAGCAAGCTCAAACGGGTCACCGATACGGGCAAGGTGAAGTTGAAAAAGAAGAAGAAGAAGGGGGACGACCTGGACGATATTTTCGGGTTCTGAACGATCTTTCAAGGTCATCATGGGTCACTGTTAGCTGATTAGTGAATCACTCATGACGGGAAGATCACGACGCACAGCGGGTCACGCGTCACGGTTAAGGGTCCGATAAGGACGTCTCTTAACTGGCCGGTTAAGAAATGTCTTAACGTACCCCTTTGCCGACCCCCTTAAATGGCGCTAGCCAGCCCTCTATACGCGTACGTACACGCGCTTCTGTTTGGCTCACGCGTTTGACGCGTCATCGCAAGCGCGTCGAGCCCCACATAAGCAACAATCGACTCGAGAAGCTAAAATACTTACTACAATACTCAGTAATAAGTAAAACACGCCTATAGACATCTCTAGTCCCCCCTACCTCTCCTAATCCTGTGTACGACCTAACGACCCCCTTACGAACCCCTCACGACCCCGTTTTCACTCCAACAACAGTCCGTTTACGCCCAAAACTCACCAAGAACCTCGAAGAAGCCTAAAAATCACGAAGAAGCCAAAAAACAAGTATAAGCCCACTGCAAACGATGTCTGCTGTATGTACCCCTTACCTTGCATCTATCCAGTCGCTTTAGACTCTGACTGATGTCCTCGGGGTGGTCTCATGTCGGTCAGAATGATGGAACCCGTCAGTACCTTAACAAACACTTATACCACCCGTATCGACTCACATTAACAACCACGTTTGCCCTCATCATGTTCATCTAGAAGAGAACCCTGCTGCAGGTAAGTAAAAAGCTACCCGAAACTGTCTCTTGGCCAGGTCGCTTACGGTCAGTTATTGCTCCGATAGGTGGTGGTGCTCCCAACACGGGTGTCATTCGTGTTGAGAAGGGGAAGCAGCCGGGTCAGTTCAGAACCATATCACGCTCTCTAACTAACCCATATCGTTCCCTTAGCTGACCGTATATCCTGCCGCTACCTGTCTACAGTCCGACCTACAGGTGAAGAGCTTGAAGAAGAGGGCATCGATCCCAACCTCGACAACCCCACCGTCGAGGTGGATGAGTTAACCGACTCCGATGCGACTACAAACCCGGGCGATAGTAGTGACATATCCGCCGACGAGCTATTGACTGTCGAACAGGTAAGCCCATAGGCCGGTCTTATAGCACTCTTATCTGGTGGCTTACTCCCCCGTTCGGTGCCGTATAGGCTGACGCAAAGAGGCTAGCGAAGAAGAAAGCCAAGGCCAAACGAAAGGCAGCCAGACTAGCGATAAAGGCGGTTCAGCAAAACGTATGTTCCTACCTATCTCCTATCACACGCTTAACCACTCTGATAACACTGTGGCATCTTCACGCTTGGTTTAGAATTTGAAGCGCAAGGCAACCACCGACGATCTTCGGGCAGCCAATTTCAAAGTCGTATGTCAGCTTAGGGGTTAACAATGGCTTATATGACTGCTAACTCACCCTCTCACTGTCGCCTCTCTCTCAGCCGCGAACCGACACTGTAAGCAGATTCCTTCGGTGAAGGAAATTAGATGGGTACTAACTACCTCTTAACGTGCTCCATAACCTCAGGATATGGGTCGGTTTCCCCACATCACCGGTTCGACTGTCACCCCTAAGGACATCGTCCAAAGTCTCCAAGCCCAAATCAGGCTGTTTGAGGCCCGTTACGCGGCGGTTATTGAGCGTCGAGACAAGGTCGTACCTGTCGGCCCCACTCCCAACACCCAGAAGCTATCGTCGGTCGTCCATTCCCTCGAAGGTGTCCTAGACGAATTGGTGGCCTTATCGGGGGAGTTAGTGGCCGGTTTTAGGTCGGTTAAGGTTCTTTCGATGCTGCAGCAGGTCCAGTCGAGAGGTCGACTTCTAGACAGGGAGGAGTTTGAGACGAAGATCAACGATATCGAGGCTCAACTCCACAATCACGTCGACGACACTGGACGCCGCTTACGCGCCCTCAACCAAGGGTCCGATAACCCTGCGTTAGGGTCCACCGCCAATGCCAATCCGACCTCTAGCGGACCTCAAACTCCCTCGTCAAGAGGCATCAATCTGTCCGGTTTGAAGTCCGCCCTCAAGACCGATGCCGAGCTGCGTGCGATTGTGCTTGGGATCTTCAACGACCCCACGAACTTGAACAACAGCGGCCCTGTAGCCGGCCCTTCGGGGACCTCTAACCAGTCGGCTAATCCCCCGGCTCCCACTCACTCGTCCCACGTCTCCCCAGACAAGCGATCGCGCACCCGTACCAACACCAAGTGGTCGGTGAGTATAGCGTAGCCTTATCTACCGCTTATCTGGTCCGCTAACACTTGCCTTATCCACCGCTTATCTGGTCCGCTAACACCTTGTCAACAGTACGCTTGCCATTATGCTGTCAAGGAACTAATCGGGATGAGAGGTACCTGGGACGGTGATTCTATCACCGAGCAAGGTTATCTCCCGGATGGAGAATGGCCCTCGCACGAGGAAGACGACGAGGACACTGGCTTACCGGGCCCTCAACAGATCGATGTCGAACTGGCTATGGGTGGGACAAGGAGCGTTTGGAGGCCTGAGTGGAAGAAGATCGGAGAAGAACGGTCAGCAGCACATCACTTATCATGCCTTTATCCTACCACTAACCATCGAGATAAACGTTCGATCAGGTGGTCTCCCTTTGTCAACGAGGTCGCCGCTCGCGTCGTCAACACCTGGAAGATGACCAACGGGGACAGGCCCACGGTAAATGACCTTAAACCGCTCATTATCAAGTACTGCAAGAACCGGTCTGGCGTCCGTCCCACGAGTGCTGAAGAAGGAGGCGTCCATCTCGCGCGTCTGGTGAATCGCAAGCGAGGTCATGTGAGTCCTTTAACAGACACGATAGACGTGGGTTTAGGGTCGGTTATCATGCAGGCTTACCGTCGTTCTTGTTGTCTCTCTCCGTTACTTCCTCACAGATATCCGATGACAGGTACAAGATCTGGCCTCAGTCCCCTCCCAACCTGTGTCGAAAGGCCCCAGTTTACGCTCTGTTAAGGGCACCGCTGTTCTCGCCGACGTTGTGGCAGTGTGTCACCGAGTGACGATCGGAACCGGAACGTCGGCTCAGCATAACCTCGGACTTATCCCGACGCGCTACGGAACGCGCCTTTATTTGGCCTTTCCGCCCGATTAAGCCCAAGACGCGCTCTCGACCGGTCGAACACACCGCCGCAACGTAGTTTAGAGGAGGGCGATCTATTGTAGAGTAGAATGAGGAGCTTAGAACCAAATTGGGTTCTAAGCGACGATATCGAAGTTCATCATACCGTTACCTTCTGTATTGTGGACTAAGTCACAACGAAACGGCCGCTATAGTACCGAAACGCCCCGAACCGCCCAACAACCCCCGCGTCGACGTATTCTAGCCTCCCCGTGACAGTATATCGTCGCTTCAAAATGTCTGCCCAGCGATCCACTTCTGCTCAACCCTTTGGTAGAACGAGGCTTCCCCGCAACGGAAAAGCCACGGTTCCGCCCGAGACGGTAGAGGAGGATGACTCCGCTAGACAAGAACAAGACGAAGACGAACAAGGTCCGGCGAAGAATAGCGCCGGAGAAATTACGAACGCCGGCGAGGACGCCGAGGAACAGAACGACCGAGAAGGGTTAGATGACCAACTCGATGGAACAAGGGAACCGGATGACGAAGAGGAGGAACCGAGTTTGACGGAAAGGTTGTTTGAGGAACTCGAACTCCTCAAAATGAAGAACCAAAAGTTGGAATTGGAGATGAACGCGATGAGGGAAAGGGCGGTCGAGAGGCCGACGAGGAAAGGAACGTCGGGAGAAGAGGGCAAAGTGTCCGAACGCCGATCTGTTCGGGCACGGGTCCAGGCGGAAAGGTACGGAACCGCCCTGTCCGACAGCGAAGGAGATTACATGGATCCCGAAGACGTCTGGGAAGGCGTCGACCCGTACGCCAGACTGAACGAAGTTTCGAGTTCCGTTCGGGCCGCTGTCATGCAGGACAGGGCCAAAGCGTACGAAAAGGCCTCGGGTAGGGACCCCCGAGCCCCAGAACCGAACACATTTCACGGGAAAAGCAAGCAACTGCCTTCTTTCCTCGTACAATGCGACACGTTTGTAACTTTGCAACCGAATACGTATCGGTCCGAGTTTCAAAGGGTACTGGCCGTTATTTCTCGGTTCCGAGATGACGCCGGGGTATGGATTACGCCTTATATGGACTTAAGCGCCCGTGATAAGCCCCTTATGTTCCAGAATTATCAACTATTCAAGAAGGCTATGAGAGATCAGTGGCCGATGGACGATGAAAAGGATAACGCTAGGCGGGTTCTTCAGGAAATGAAGCAGACTAGTACCGCTCAAGAGTACTTGGCCCGTTTCGCCCTACAGGCCCTGTATAGCGGGTACGATGACGACTCTCTGATCAGCCTTGCTGAAGGGGGTTTGGAACATTCCCTACTGATCAGACTCAAAAACGACCTAGACGCCCCGGAGAACTTCGACAAATGGAGGCAATGGGTCGTTCGTATCGAGAACCGCCAACGCATTACGGAGGCTCAAATCGCTCGATCGCGTTACCGTCCCAGTTCGGGACCTTTGTCGGCTTTTACGCCCAAAACCGCCGTGGTGGTCCCCGCTTCGATTCCTCAAACGGGCTATGTGCCCCGACGACCTTACATGTCACCGGAAGAGAGGGAGAGAAATATGCGAGAAGGGAACTGTTTCTCGTGTGGGGAAAAGGGACATATCGTTAGCGCGTGTCCGAAAAGAGGCGGAAAGGCCCAAGATCTGGCGACGGGGGCCAACGCTATGGAAGTCAAGGCCCGAGCCGCCTACGTGGAGGACTGTTCGAGCGATTCGGAAAAAGATTGAGCGAGGCGATTGGTCAGGAATCGTCTCGTGTGGAACAAAAGAAAATGACTGACACGCTTAGGAAAAGGTTTCGGATTTACATGGAGGGAAGTCATACGAGCTACTTCAGGGCGGAATTGGACGGTTTCGCCGGGAAATGGAAGTTCTTCCTGGACGATGGGACTTCTCAGAGCGCGATCGACCGACATTGCCCCTTACTTGAGGGTTTAGTACCGATTGCCTATGAGAGGAAGAAACGTCTGAGGAGGATTGACGGAACGATCGCAGCAGACGCGATCACGCACTTTGTCAAAATTCGGCTGCGAAAGAAGGATTTTGGACCGATCGA